CTTTGCTGTCATTATTTTAAGAGTTCCGTTGTCTGTCTCCGAAAGTCATCATCAGATCTATATGTACATTAAAATAATCATGAAAATCCGTCTAAAGATGACATAGTTATGCCTGAACATACATAAAAAAAAATTATATACACAAGAGAATTGATAACCTCCTTTTTGAAGTCGGTAAAAAAATATAAAAAGCTCGTGAAATTGCTTGTAAAAATCATCGGTAGTTATTTGAATTCGTCATGGGTAATGGTCATGTAACATAGTCTCACGGCCAATCTTGTTCGTCTTATGCTCTGATTGTCAAACACGAGATGTCACATCCGGTGAGGTCGATGAACTTCGTTACGCTTCAGGAGATAAGCAGAAATTATCGTAATATACTTTTACGATGTTTTTTTTTTATTATTATCCATACTAGTATGTGTCTGTCTGTTTGTTACATCTTCACGCTTAAACCGCTGAACCGATTTAGATGATATTTGGTACAAAGATCGTCCGAGTCCCGGGAAAGGACATAGGGTAGTTTTTATTCCAGAAAACATCCTTAAAGAGTTTGAATGGGGTTGAAGTTTGTATGGGGAAATAATAACCGCTGAATCAATTTAGATGAAATTTGGTATGAAGATACTTTGGTTTAACAGTTAACAGCCTTTAATAGTCCACTGCTGGACATAAACCTCTCCTTAGATGAGGTTTTGGCGTACTATAACACGCTGGCCAGACGGGTTGGTATAGGGTTTATGTCAAGTTTTCATTGTCTCTACAGTGCATTATTATAAAAGATATTTATTTCTGTAAGTAAATATTTTAAGATATCTTTACAAGTCGGATTTTACAGCTAGATGGAGCTGGCATTTCCTTAGATATACTCTGGGAAAAAACCCCGAAACAAACCACAGAGAGTTCTTATTTTTATAATCTGTAAAAAAAGTTAAAGAAAGTGTGCGAATACAGTGTGGGTAGGCCTTTTGAAGAAAAGACCATAGTTTTGAGCCGGCCTGTCCATACAGACGGCATACGGGCCCCAGCCATAGTGTAACTTAACCGATATTTGCTGAACCGATACATTTGTATTGTACCTTTGCGTAAAACCGCGTTTGGTGAGTTTGGAGCCCCGGGACACACGAGAACTTGGGGCCCCATTGCACAACGCATTGTTTTTACCGTCAATTTATTATCTATTTCATCGTAAACAAATATAATTATTCAATCAAGTTTTTTTTTAATTTATTCAAATACGTATTTGTCGAAATCAATTGTATACTACTGGGTCAACCTGAGGTCCACGCGTCATAGTAAACACGGTACTGCTGTATGTAAGACGAAATTAAACTAAAACCTTCCTTGGGGCCCCCCAGGGGAAGCAAAGGATAAGATATGTTTATTTTCTCTTCCACAAAGAATACTTAATATAAGGTTATTACAGAAATTGCTCAAGACCATTGTGGGACACTGGCACACAGATTACCAGGCCTCCCCATAGTACAAGGTGGTGCCTGCGCCATTGCGGGTAGGCGCTAGGAGGGGTCTGGATGTCTTAATAACAGCAGTTCTCGGATCCCTCCTATTACAGGTGCAGAGTGGCACACCGTGTGGTTATAGTCGGTCCGATTCCAACACACCACCCTGCCGCAAATTATTATTATTTATTATTTATCTACAAGAGATAAATGACAATACAGAAGTACATACAAACTGCCTCGGTAGGATAGTGGTAGAAGAGGCGGCTGCTGTATGGAGGTCTCGAGTTCAATTCCCGGGTCGAACCAAATGTTTGTATGATCTGCAAATATTTGTTTCGGAGTTTGGGTGTTTTCTATGTAAAATATGTATGTATTTACAAAAAAAGGCATATAAGTATTCTATCACTCAATCTAACTTTCATAGTTCAAGCTCTGCTTAGTTTGAAACTAGATGGCGTTGTGTGTCAGATGTCCGTAAATATTATTATTGAAGTGAAACTTCTGAAGCAAAAATTCGATGAAACGAAAAAGCAACAGTAAAAAGAGACAAACATATTCATAAATAGGATTTGGCCTGCGAGAGAATGAGATAGATTACAAGTATACACTTCTGTAATCTTCGTCTCCTCTATGCTATCACGTGTCTTTGCGACTGCGTACAACGAAGAAAATGTGTCACAAACAACGTGGTGTAGGTATCATTCACGTGTTTTATTTTTTGCATTTGCGTATTAAAATTCGTGGGTTAATTAATTTATGTGAATTATTTAACATATCTTTGTTAATTTGACCAAAAACTTTTATTTATATAATTTTTTTTAAATTGAATTTATTGACATTTTGTAAATTTATATTGATTTTACACACAAAAATACATATTTGTGTGTATACTGTAAAAAAAAATTAATACTATATTTTGACACGAAAAACATTAAATTTTGTTACGAAAAGTGTGATCGGGCGAGGCGAACGGAAGTTGAGAGATATAAGTTAGTGTCGATAGAAAGAGAGGGAGGTTACGTTTCGTATATTACTGTAGGGGCAAGTAGAGAGAGGTGCGAGCACAATTTTTCTTTCTCTCTTTCTCTCATAACCCAAAAGTTTTACTTCAGTCGTGTGGTCTGAAACAAATTCGTTGTTTTTTATTTAACACTTCACACACACACAGACTGCACACTGGTTTCCCTTGTACCATGTGAGAATTGCACACACACACTTTTTCATCATATATACAGGTCCAAGATCTTGATCTTTTTCAGACATGAAGGCTCAGTCCCGTCTGATATCAGAGTCTTGCGATATTTCTTTCTCCAGCTCCATTTCCCTAATATCTTCTTCTTTTGTCCCGTTTGCAAAAGCACCCTCCTAAGAATATAACCTCTGCCAGCGGTGCTTAGGCATAGGACGCGACGCTCGCGGGATGGACTCTGTGGCGCAAAGATAACCAAACCAGTGTAGAACGAAACGAATGTAGATGCATCAGACTATTTTAGGTATAAGTAAAGCTAACGAAAGAGTAATACAATATTGACTTTTTTTTTAAGTAAAAACTTCTTTAGGCGAGAGAGATGGGAAAAAAACCCATTGAACTTGCGACACTATTACCGTTACCGACACCTCTGTATATAAGTATCTACATATATTACCCCCGTTGACACGAGAGTGTTTGGGTTAAAATACATTGATAATATAACTATATATAATATAAACATATATTGTGTATATACGTACAACATAGATATACATTCATGTCAGAACTTTTCGAATCGAAAAAAAAAACAAAAAACAATCCTGCTATTATAAATAAAACCGGTCAGGTACGAGTCGAACTCGTGCGCCGAGGTTTCCGTACCTACCCAGATTTTACGTAAAAAGAAACGTCTTACAGCACAAATAAAGGAATGATTCCAAAAAATAAAAAACGTTAAAAAATAAGTTAAATTTGGTAAAATTCTGTAGCTGTAGCTTTCCATTGGTGAAAGAATTTTTAGGCTACTTTTTCCCACAAGAATACACGCAAAAGCTAGTTATAAATAAATAAAACTACCCACACAATAATTTTATATTAAAAAAAAACAGTTATTTTCAAGAAATAAGAACCAGGATGTTGTTACTCAAACATATATTATCAACGAGAGCATCTCACCAGTAAATCTAATCTGAAATGTATTCTGTTATGCCATCTCTGACACGCGAATATGAGCCTTATGGCATAAGAAAGATTTCTCGTGAAGATACAACTGTTTCTAACGAGACTGATTTTATTTAGATAAAGTAAATTGTTTTTAATTTTCTTGTGAGAGTAACAGATACAATTGAGAATAATTTCTTTTGTAATCGTTGGTTTCCGTGGGCTGGCAACAGTAGGAGAGTATGAGTTCAGATAGAGCTGATTACTTGAGCCACTTGAGTGTCGTAAGAGCCGACTAAAGGAGCAAGCTACGCAGGACAACAGCACTGCAAAGAGAAGGAAAACTTGGAGATATACTAACGCGTGAACAAGGCCGAGATCAAAAGCTAACAACTCTCGTGAGGTGTCATCTGGTGAGCAATTCAGTTATCAGGTCGCCATATGAAGCAAAAATAAGCTAATGCCAGAATCTCTGTGTGGTGACGGATTAAGAATACTTAGTGTCACCACCCCTTTTCATCCCGTGGGTGGTGTAAGAGCCGACTAAGGGAGAAGACTTTGAAGAACAACAGCACTGCAGAGAGAAAGAAAACTTGACACAAACCCTATACCAACCTGTCTGGCCAGAGTGGTATAGTAGGCCAAACCCTCCTTTCTAAGGAGAGGCTTATGTCCAACAGTGGACTATTAAAGGCTGTTGATGATGCCAGAATGTATTCAGAACAAATTTATTCGGTTCCTGAACTTAAAGAGATACGGGATATACCTATACCGGGATATCCATTACTCTACTTTATTTGTTCTGGATATAGTCGGCGTAGGCCTACCATACAAAGCTGGCGTGTTGGTATAGGGTTTGTTCCTCTATTTGCAGCGTTCTTGTCCTTCAAAGTTCGCTCTATTTGTCGGCTCTTACGACACCCACGGGATGAATAGGCGTCATGATGCTCCGTGTTCCTTATCCGTCACCACACGGAAAGTTGTTAAACATCGATTTTTTTTTATAGAAATAATGAGCGAGAATGAGAGAGAAATATAATAATAATAATATTGTACCACATTCACACAACGCCATCTAGTCCCAAACTAAGCAGAGCTTGTACTATGGGTACTAGATAACTGATATAAATACATATATACTTTTTTTTGTAAATACATACTTATTATACATAGAAATACCCAGACCAAATCAAACATTAAATGTTCATGCACACAAATGTTTGACTTGAGCGGGAATCGAACCGACCTTTGGATTAGCAGTCCGTTACACAAACCACTACGCCATCCGGTTGTCATTTAGAAATAAATAAATAGAAAGAGTCACAGAGTCACTTGCACATGCCGACGCGTCGCCACACAGCATTACATGTTACATATACTATCACATAGCGTGGCGACACATCGCCATGCCAACGCGCTGTTTCACCCGCCGCATTAGAGACATCAAAAACAAATTGTTTCAGAAAATGTTTCAATACGACTATGAAAAGCGTCCGCCATCTGCAAATTCGTGTGACAGCCGGGCTACGGTGCCAACCGACTGGAGCCGGAGATACCCGAACGTGCCCGAACCCACGCCGAATGCTCGTCGACCGCTCCCACCCAGGCCGAGCGCCTGTCACAGGATTCCTGATAAAACTACTGTAAGTTCCTTAAATCTATACTAATATTATAAAGCTGAAGAGTTTGTTTGTTTGTTTGTTTGAACGCGCTAATCTCAGGAACTACTGGTCCGATTTGAAAAATTCTTTCAGTGTTGGATAGCCCATTTATCGAGGAAGGCTATAGGCTATATATCATCCCGCTAAGACCAATAGGAGCGGAGCACCAATGAAGAATGTTTCAAAAACGGAGAAAATTTATTACTATGGAGAGACGCAGACGAAGTTGCGCGGGTCAGCTAGTTTATAATATACTAGCTGAGACCCGCGGTGTTACCCGCGTTTGTTGTTATAACCGCGGGCAACGCCGCGGGGCGAAGCTAGTCTAAAAAAGTAGCCTAAGTTACTCCTTATATAATCAGCTATCTGCCAGTGAAAGTCCCGTCGAAATCGGTCCAGCCGTTCCAGATATTACCCGGAACAAACAGACAGACAGACAGACAGACAGACCGACAGACAGACAGACAAAAATTGTAAAAAAAAATATTTTGGCATATGTACCGTGTAAACATACATATGCATTTAGTAAAAAAGCGGTTATTTTAATATTACAAACAGACACTCCAATTTTATTTATTTGTATAGATATAGATTTAGTTAACTAATTTTTAGTTAATAAAACGGTTGATGTAATAAGTTAATCGGTTGATATAACTAGTCAATCAATTAATATAAGCTGTCCATCGGTTGATGTACTTAGTCAATCGATTGATATGATAAATCATTCAATCAATCAACATTTCTGAGATTAGTTGTAATTATTATTGGATCTCAAACCGTTGATTGTAAGGTAATTCGTTTAAAGAAAATTGGTAAAATCTTTTCTAATAATATAATATTATGCAGCTGAAGAGTTTGTTTGTTTTTTTGAACTTGCTAATCTCATGAACTACTGGTTCGAATTAAAAAAATTCAGTGTTGGATAGCCCATGTATCATGGAAGGCGATAGACTATATATATTTATATAAGGCACCGAGCATAAATGAAAAATGATGCAAAAACGGGCAAATTTTTATTCCGTTTAAAAGATGCAGACGTGGTTCCCCGGGTCAGCTCAGTGATTTAGTCTTCGGAGTGGAAAATCCCTTCGGATCTCCGGCTCCTTGGGGATATAGGAGCCAGGAGTATTTTTTAATCCCACCCACACGCCCACCGCTGTAACTCCTGTACACCAGGATCCACAGCAGTGACCCACGAACACACCGAGTTATGACACTCGGGAAGTCCCAGGAAGAAATTAAACTGTCTTGGAACCCGCAACGAAATTAATCAGAAGAAAATTGGAGGAGTTGGAAATACAGTAAATCCACTTCCCTCCTTAGCAAAGAGGGAGACAAAATGAAGTAAAATGGGCATACACCCTTTTAAACAGGGAAGCACCACGGCCACAAATATTACGGGTCCTACGTGAGCTATGTTTGATTTCTATAATATGTATGGCAGAATCGCCTAAACGCACGGAAATTCACCCTAGTTGACACAAGATCCCCATAGTATACCGCCCCAGATGTCACCTGCAAGCTATTCAGCATTATATTACGTTCATTATACCAAAGACTACATTCCCAGAGGATATGATGAGCAGACTGTTCATAGTGAGAGTTAGGTGTTGAGCATTGACACAATGGTGACTCGACTAATTTAAATGAATAAAGCTTGCTCTTAAAGTTACCATGACCCGTAAGAAATTGAGCGACACAGTGATCCACCTCAAGCCATATCCTCGACAACCGTTCGCGAACAGATGGAAAGAATTGGTAAAGATGGCACCCCTTGGATGATTCATCCCAGCGTTGTTGCCATTCGTCTATGAGGTCGTTATAGACATCGGGCTGCTGTTGAAGCAATCTTGTAATTTTACCGCGATCCCGCGCGCCCAAAAAATCGCATTCCATGTTTTGTTGTCTTGAATAGTACATGGCTGCACGTCTCTGCACCTCGAGATCGACCGGAAGCACACCCGGCAACACCGGCAAAGCCTCAGTGCTAACCGTCCTATATGCCTTACACAAGAGTATCAGTGCAAGTCGTTGGCCTTGTAACAGTTTGCGACGGACAGCGCCTACGGTCGCCCTATCGGCCCATACAGGTGCACCATAGCACATAGAACCTAAATAAGTAGCTCCGTATATGATCTTTAATGTATTAAATGATAGACCCCATGTCGCAGTTGATATCCTTGTCAATGCACAGAAACTCTTTTTAGACTTTTCATTAACTATTTTAATATGTTCGATAAATGAAAAGTTTCTTTCTAAAACTAATCCTAGATAACACACTGTGGTTTTATTTTTTACAGTAACATTGTCAAATCTAATGCTCGGTGGTGATTTGAGGTTACCTTTTAAAAGTAGCTGGAAGGTTTTGTTGGGTGCAAAAGTTAAGCGATTACGTTCACCCCATTGAGATATCAAGTTCAAACATCTATTGGCTAATCTCTCAAGCCCCGCCCTAGTATCAGATTCCACCAGTAATAAGCCGTCATCAGCATACGCGTTCAGAGTACATCCGGATGGTATTGTATCGCAAGAAAATCGTCGAAGCCGATATTCCACAAGTATGGACCTAGCACCGATCCCTGAGGACATCCCATTGTAAGCGCCTTCGACACAGAATGATGACCAAGTCTTAGTTTAGTTGTACCTTGTGAAAAGTACAAAGAGATAAGGGAATAAATATTTTTAAAGCACCCCCGTGATTTTAATTTCAGCAACAGCATGGGCCACCATGCGTTGTCGAAGGCGCCAGATATATCTAAGAAAATAGCCAGCACGTATTGAAATTTTGACCCTGTGACAAACTTTCTAACCGATATAACAGCGTCAGTTGTCGATTTACCCAACGTAAATCCAAATTGTCTATCATGAAATTTGACTCCACCTGGCAGAAGCCGGGGCACTACAAGACGTTCTAAAAGCTTTCCTAAACGATGGTAACAATGTGATTGGTCGGTAGGATTTAGGATCATCCGGTGGCTTGTCGCCACTTTTTGGTATTATACGAATATTACCGCACCGCCATATACGAGGAAATATTCCAGGAGTATGTGGTGATTCCACTAAAAACCACTTCGACGGGCAGCCTTAGGCGCCCTGCTCTGGGGAGAACCCGGGCCATGTGATTTCAGGTCCCCCAGATCGACGCTGCACCTAACCAGGCACCATCTCAGGGAAAGCCAGTGGCTTCTCCCTGCCTCTCTGCCTATCCAGATAAAGGATTGGCGGAGGTTTTTCTTAAATAATCTGTGATTCAATTCTTAATTTCAATCTTCAATTTATATTTTTTAAGTTTGAGAAGTGTTTTCTAAAGTTCAGCCTTTTCTGGAATGTCTCTTACTATTTCAGGTTCCCCTAAAAGTCTGGATCATCGCTAGTGCATCCTGCTTTGCCGTTTGCGCAGCTCTGGTCCTCGCCACTGTATTCATCACCAAATGGGGAACAGGTGAAACGTATACCACCAGGGAGGTGATTAAAGCACCGGTGATTATTGAACTTTAAATATAGATTTCACGATTAAGGCTTAAAGTACAAATTAAAACTTATTATAAAAATAAAATAAGAATCCAGTTTTAGCGCCTCATGCCAGGTTATCATAGACTCTTCTAATCATCAAATTTGGTCCAGCCGTTGAGGAGGATTTCAGTGCCATACGCTTCATCAACAGCCTTTAATAGTCCACTGCTGGACATAGGCCTCTCCTTAGAAAGCAGGTTTTGGCCTACTATACCGCGCTGGCCAGACGGCTTGGTATAGGGTTTATTTCAAGTTTTCCTTCTCTTTGCAGTGCTGTTGTGCTGCGTAGTTTGCTCCCTTAGTCGGCTCTTACGACACCCACGGGACGAATAGGGGTGGTGACACTCCGTATTCTTAATCCCTCACCACACGGAGGGCCATACACTTACAGAAGAGTTATATATATCATATTAGGATATAATAATATTTATTTTTCAGGCTCCAATTCATTCAAATGCCCTCCCTGAACCAATGGGCTTCGATACTTCATCAGGGGAAGACTTAGAGAACCTACCTGTTCTGGAAAAATTATCGATATTTAAAAATATCGTCGCAAACAGAGAACACAAAAATCTAATATCTAAACCACAAATTCATCCAATCCACGATGACATTCTACACGAAGAGAGAAACATAAGGAAGAAAGATAAAGCCGTATTAGAAAACGGTGAAATCAATAAGGAAAGAGTTGAAGTAAAAGATAAAATGGAATTCGTAAAAGATAAAATGGAATTCGTAAAAGATAAAATGGAATTTGTAAAAGATAGACAACCAGTTGTGGATAAAGATTTACTACAGGAGAATGACGTTCGTAATGACGTTTTAGACTTGCCAAAATTCAAACCGATTTTATCCAATTTGGGTCGTAATATCGATATGGATTTGTCTTTGGGATTCGACGGTATTTTTTTTATTTTAATTTTAAGTCTAAACTTGTCAATGGTTCTTATTTCTCGTTTGTTACTACACTTGAGGACAATGAATCCGGGTCATATATAAACAGACACCCACCGAGTGGTTAGTGATTCTGACTGCTAAACCAGAGATGTGGTTCCAACCCAGGACAAATAATTGTGTGATGAGCACGATCATTTATTCTGTGTCTGAGTTTAATTTATCTATAATATGTATGTATTTAGTAATATATAAGTATGTTCAGAATGTATTGTATGTATTCATAGAGAGGTAACGCATTATGTGACTCTTGAGTTGCAGGTGACAATGGGTCTCAAATAATAACCCCCCCCCCCCTCCCAAATTAGGAGGAGAGTTTTTTTTATTATTTTTTTAAAAAGACAACTCCCGCATTAGGAATATATCCTGTGTCGCGGGGAATTTTACAAACATACATGAAACGGAAACAAAGAACACCCAGATTCAGAACAATAATTTGTGGATCACACAAAGTGTAGTCCCATGTGGGGATCGGACCCACAATACTCAGCGTAGTAATAAGCGACGTGGCGACCGCTTAAACCACTACGCCATCCGTGCAGTACCCGTGCGAATCCGGGGCGGATCGCTAGTTGAATGATCCTGCTCATCACACAATATTAGTCTTGGGTGGGAATCGAACCCACAACCTCCGCCTTAGCAGTCAGGGTCACTAACAACTAGTCCAACAGGCTCGTCGCAAAACATTTCGACATCACCAAAGACCCATTTTTTCTTTCAGCCAAAGAAGATTATGTTTACAATGACGAGAATTTCTATGACGATTATATGCAGTCAAATACCATGACAAGTTACTTAATAGAGAAGGTCCAGGAACTGCATGATTGGGTTTCAACTGATACTGATCTTAATAGCGACCATACCACAAGCGGAACAGGTGAGTTAAACCGTACCATCATCAACACCCCTTAGTAGTCAACTGCTGGACATAGGCTTCAGAATGAAGAAGAAGAAAGAATACAGAGTGTCATCATCCCTATTCATCCCGTGGGTGTCGTAAGAGCCGAATTAGGGAGCAAACTATGCAGGTATAGCGACCAAACGTTACTACTGCCTCCCACGGACACATACAACTCATCATCATGAACAGGGTTTAATAGTCCACTCCTGGACATAGGCCTCTTCTTAGAAAGGAGGATTTAGCCTACTATACCACTCTGGCCAGACGGATTGGTATAGGATTCGTTTCAAGTTTTTCTTCTCTTTTCAATGCTGTTGTTCAGCTCCCTAGTCTACTCTTACGACACCCACGGGATAAATAGGTGTGATGACACTCCATCACCACACGGACATCCCATTTAATACCATCGAATTTCCACCTTTGGGTGATTCGAACTATTTAAATTTTATTTAAAGATTTCAGTTCGCTTCTAAAAGCCTTGAACGAAACCATGGTTGATGGGAACCTCACCATTGTGATGTCTAAGCTCAAAGACATGTATTTTGGTGAGAACTACACCAACGCCAATAATAGCTCAAGAAAGGTCATCGTCACGAACAGCACAGATTTGCTCTCATTCGGTATCCTGACCCTGGATGTGATGTTGCTACATAATATACAGCTGATGGCTTGGGAGAACCAGGTATGAATAAGTTTTCTATATGGCTATTTTTTTAACGGGAATTTTGTATTCTGTGGTGTCAAAGGCATGATTTTATTTACTTTAGCGCCACCTAATGAAAAGCAGTCGAACTGACTCAGATAGCGTAGTAATTTAAGCGCTAAGTGTTGTGGATTTGATCCCCACATGGGCCAACACTTTGTGTGATCCACAAATTTGTTGTTCTGAGTCTGGGTGTTCTTTGTATCCCTTTTATGTATGTCTGTCCCCCGCGGCATAGGATATATTCTGAGTACGGGAGTAGTATTTTTTTAAGACAAAAAAACTATTTAGTCATTATAGATTCTAAATCGCGCAATGAAAGTTTTCGAGCTGATTAGCATGTGGTAAAGAATATAGCAATGCTCTGATGGCAACTTAGTCAATTTCGAAGAGCTGAATCACGTTGTATATCTGACCCGGCATTGGAGACTCAACAGGGAGATCAACAGAGAGCCAGTGTCAACCTAATCTTTCGGTGCTTTCCACCGAGTGAGTTAGGCTACTGAAGGCACAACGCTCCCTCCCCTTACCACCCCTCCTTCAAACTCAAAGGACACTCCAAAGGGCATCCACGCATTTGTGACACTCGATTCTGCAAGTGGTCATGTGCGACATTAGTTGCTGCTGTTCCTTAACTATTCCAAAAAAAAACCCACCAATTTGTAATTTACAGGAAACAGCCAGGATCAAAATGTTGCAAGACCCTGATGTCTTCGCGTTCAACGCATTGTTTTTGGACCCGAGCAAGATGGAGGCCAAACAGAACGAGTTGCATGATGGGTCATTGTTTTTGTAAGTTTCTGACCACTGTACCAGCTGTACCCTGCCACGCTTCGCTGTGATATATTCTGGTCACATCAGTGAAAACTGAGGAACCAAACAGATACGAAAAATAGATAAAAACCAAAACCGTCAAAATTTGAGATCAATCAGTGCAGATCTCTTTATGTTTTTGAAACGTACACAAACTAACTTATCATTTTTATATATATAATTATAGAGGAACGGGTATCATGTCCCTCCAACACAAAGGGAGGATCCTCCGAACGGGCGAGGTGATCATGCCTGGCGGGCCGCGGCCCAACGGGTATTGTTGGGCATTTGTATAAATGCTACGAAAGAATTGGTAATATCGCGATACAGGATTGCCAGTTACTCCGTAGTTCGGTGTCCTTCGTTAGATGGCGCCGTAGTATGTTTCTCGTTTCAACGTATGTTGAAGTTGCCATATATAGATAAACATTTATTTTGTAGGAGGTATGGTTTCATTCACGGGCTTTAGTGACCCTTATTGCTAAGCAGGAGGTCGTAGATTCAAACCCCCCCCCCCCCCCCCCCCTCGACACAAAAATTTGTGTAAAAAGCACGATCATTTCTTCTGTATCTTAGTGTAATTTTTCTGTAATATGTATGTATTTATCAGCAGTCTGGTTACCATAGTACCTTTGTTTTGATTTACGCTTCTGTCTACATCTTCAGAGATACCGCCGTGAGTGTAAGTTCAATGAACCTTATGCATTTTAAACCATCTGTTCTAGAAAACGTCTAATGCCGCGACAAGACCCCATCGACGACATGGACATCGGCAAGAACTTCCTCGAGAATATTCTAGAAGTTGGTATGAGCACAGCTCGTGCTGCTATACACTTAGGCAGAGCTTACAAGAACACCAAGTAAGTGTCTTCAAAAGGAGACCTAATACATCTATCTAGGGATTTTATTAATTTATTTGCTTTAACTAACTGGTCCACCAACGCAGAGCAAAAACTGGGGTTCCAAGGACCAAGTTTGGGCATGTGGTGCTTTTTATATTGTAAGCACCATTAATAAAGTAGACGGGCCTGTTGGTCTAGTGGTTAGTGACCCTGACTGCTAAACCGGAGGTCGTGAGTTCGTTTCCCACCCAGGACAAATATTGTGTGATGAGCACGGTCATTTGTTCTGTGTTTGGGTGTACTTTATCTATAATATGTATGTATTCAGAAATATATAAGTATGTTTATCAGCAGTCTGGTTACCATAGTACAGGCTGTGCCTAATTTGGGATCAGACGGCCGTGTGTGAGATGTGTGAGGTTTTTATTGAGGTTATTATTATTATTATAAAGGAATTTTGGAAATTTTACCCCAAGGGGGGTAAAATGAATGGCTTTATGGAAGTTCGTAATTTGCAAAGTTAGAAACAGGGAAAAAATCAAGCTCAAGCGAAGTGGCAGGCAACAGCTAGTACTTAAAAAACATTCTTTTTTTTATAGAAACATTATAGCTCAACTACAAAACAAAGATCTCGCCGTCCAATCACCGATATCTCGTAACATCGACGCCAATACGCACGCTTTGAACCACCTGCAAACGTCATTTGACAGTACCAGTGTTACCAACGCCAATAATAGTAGCGATGGTAGTTTTTATACGGAGCTGGACTGTGTGTGGCTGCTTTACTGCCGCAATTTGGTAGCAACGACTAAATTAAACGCTCCGTATGGTACTATGGCAAGAATTAATGGGTAAGTTAATTAATTTTTGTGACAATTCAGGAGTTTTAATGTCTCTTAAGGCAGACAGAGTAAAATAAGTGTACGATGTACCCGTTAACCGTAGGCGAGGCATGGTACTCCCTCTCCTTTTTAATAAATATTCAGTTAAAGTATAGATTTTATTTGTATTTTTTTTAAGATAAAGAGGGCAAACGAGAAGACAGTTCACTTTATGGTAAGTGACTACCACTGTCCTTGGACACCTGAGTCACAGTATCACAGAACGCGTTGCGGCCCTTTGAGTCCTCCCCCCAGGATCAGGGAGCACATATCAAAATTAAGTCATCAGTTATTTATTACATAACTGTTTATATCCTTTCTATCTACTATCCTCCTCTGCTATCTCCTTATTTTTCTCCTCTCGTAGTTCTTTCTTTCTCTACTCACCTTCAATGAATTTTAATTCTATTCTCCACTATATTGTTAGAAAACAATAATCAATTACGATAGCTTCAAAGGCTATCTTATTGCTAGGCCTTGGCCGTTTGCGGCGTCGATCCGGGGGGGACCTGAAATTACATGGTCCGGGTCCTCCTCGGAGTCCTGAGACTGGCCTTCGGGTGGTTTTTAGTGGCAACACCACACACTGCTGGCTCCTGCGTCCCCGAGGCGCCGGAGATCTGAAGGGATTTTCCACCCCGTCAGCGTCTCTCAAAGGGAATAAATTCGCCAAGTTTTTGCAACATTTTTTGACATTTCTGACTTATCTTTCAGAGTTGCACTGAGGATGTTGACGGGAGAGCTACCGTCGAATAGAGCTCTCGACACCATGCTTTACGAAGTACTAACGGGGTGGACAGAGTTAAAATGCAATGAAATGTTCCCGAGGTAAGGTTTATTGTCTTTAATTGAGTTGCCAACTTTTCCAACGCTCACATGCTTACATGCTACCAAAATTGAACAAACAATATTAAATAACATCACATTTGATAGTCCACTGCTGGACATAGACCGCTCCTTAGAAAGGAGGTTTTGGCCTACTATGGCCAGCGTGTCCAGAACCCTATACCAATAGGGTTTGTGTCAAGTTTTCCTTCTCTTTACAGTGTTGTTGTCCTGCGTAGTTTGCTTCCTTAGTCGGCTCTTACGACACCCACGGGATGAACAGGGGTGGTGACACTCCCTATTCTTAATCCGTCACCACACGGATATCGTCGCAGTGTCGCTTAATAAGTTCCGATCCATACTTTTACAATATTACAGGAATAAATAAATGTGCAAGCAACTCATATTAAAAAAAACAATAACGAGATGGTGACCCTCTTTTGGGAATGACAAACTCTTGTCCGACTCGATCTGACTAAATCTACACAGTTTTTAGTTGTGTTTTATGGCCGGGGCTTTAGGCATACCCTATAAATGCTTTCAGACCTGATGTTCTGACCAAATTTTTGTCATAATTGATTCCGACAGAAAACAAAGTTCCTGTCGCTTTTTGGTACACTTTTGTTATATAGTAAAATACGAAAAAGATGTAAGCGTCGACGCGCCAACTGAAGTGTTGCAAAAAAAGTCTTGTTACACATTTTTCGGTCTCACTCCCATCCGCTCAGAACTTTGTTCCAAAAAACAAGATCAATAACGCTTTGGTCAAAAATAATCGCATAATTCCGATCACAGCGTTGTTTAAATACAAAAAATATATTTCAGGTGCAGCAAAGTCAATGCGGCCTCAGTTGTGATGGATTCCCTTCTCCAAGGACACAGAAAACCGTCTGCAACTAACAGAGGCCGATGATTTTTAGTTATGTATTTAGTTAACTTAGTTTATTGTTGATAATTACGGTTTTTGATATTCGTATGATTAGACATAGTGGTGTTAACGTGCAAACGAGTGTCTCAATGGTGCAGTGGTAGCGTATTCGACTGCTGTGCAAAGACCTCGGGCTCGATTCCCGGGTCGGACCAAATGTTTGTATGATCTGCAAATATTTGTTTCGGAGTTTTGGTGTTTTCTTTCTATAATATTCATTTGATAAAAAAAAACATAAAAGTATTGTATCAGTCAATCTAGCTTTCATAGTACAAGCTTTGCTTAGTTTGAAACTAGATGGCGGTGTGTGTCAGTTGTCGGAAATATTATTATAAAGTAATTAAAATAATAATAAAAATATTAAAAATCAAGTTTTCGTGAGTGCTAATAATATTTATTAAAGATAAATGGGTGGCGGTAGTCACTTACCATCAGGTCGATACCCGTCTGCTCCCACCCCCCCCCACCCTACCTCCTCTATACCATAAAAACACGATTCTATATCATTCACATGTGTATATTGGGAACGCTTGCCTAGTCTAGAAACCTACGGAATCCTTTTTCAACGTGTAAAGCGACCTGTTGCGATATCGTTACCTCTACCAGTTTACCTCTACCACCACTTCCTTCTCATTCATTACTGTTTTTCTTTAAAAATTAAAAAAAAAAACCACTAATACAATATTTTTTTCTTAATTAAAAAAAAACCATATCTATTTATATCAAAAACCGTCTTAGAATATTTAATATACACATAAATGATGTATTTAGGTAAAAAATGTTAAGTTTAAATATTTTATAACATATTTAAAGAATTTTCTATTCAAATTGGTAATTCTTTAATTATGTTGATTTTAAACCGCACTTGGGCTCGACGGTTATGTTCATTCATCAAGAATATCAATATTTTTCCTGTTCTTTTTTGAAATTTATTTGGAGTCGGCGCAATGTGTTCCTATCATTAAAAAGGGTCTTAACTTCTTTTATGGCAACTTGACGCCAATCCTCTCTGGGAATACGGATACCTCAAGTATCGCCTCAAGGCCACAATGGCTCGAAGGACCATGTACCCGTAAATATGGACGGGATTGGATAGCACACTAGAATTGAGGACATCAACAAACCCTATATCCAATATATCTGAGAAATAAACAGAAGGGTGTATTTTAAATACAAAATTCAGAAAGTATTATGTATCTCTCAATTCAGAACATAATCTATATAATATGATAATATCATCAAAATATGTCAAGCAGTACCTGTTTAAACGAACACAAATAAGCTTAAATGCGGTTTGAAAAATCACACATATCTTTATAATAAGACAGGTTTTGTTTTTAAAACCATTCAATTTGGCATTTATACTTAATATAATAAATATTTTTTTTGTATATTTAACTTTTTGCCACAAGATGGTAAATTTGGCTTTGGCGTGATTATGCGATGATGATAATCGTGATATGCAAGAGTTGATCATCAGATGGTAAGTAAAGGAACGGGTATATATCACTCCAACACAAAGTCAGGATCCTCCGGCCAAGCGAAGTGATCATGTCTGTCGGGCAGGTGTTGGGAAGTGATAAAATTATGCTAAACAGCATGAGAACTTTTCATATCGCGATATAGGATTAGCAGTTACTCCGTAGTTCAGTGTGTTTTCGTCAGATGGCGCTGTAGTATGTTTCTGTTTCGTCATCTACACTACACACGTCTATACATCATATTCGATTACTATTAAGCTCGCTTATGTTTTTTTTTTTAATTGTGGTTTCGATTCCACTTCAATTGTTAAACAGATTATAAAATCATAATTTCTTATATTTTGAGTGGTTTAATAGCATAATGTAAAATATTGTTATAATATACAAAATGTTTTATTAAAACCTTTTTGTTTTTTAAAATGCTTTGCACAATTAAGTAACAAATGTGGAAATCATTTTAAAAATGTATTTAAAATCTATGAAAATTATGATCGTTCGAAATTTAAATTATACAACCTCTTCTACTTTTTTATTTATGAATATTAATAATATACACATACTTTTTTATAATCATAGATAATTAAAGGCCAAGTACAACTTGTACGATAGTATTTAAGAAAAAATAGTTTATTTTTTATTGTTATTTTAGAGAGGCTTCTTGTTGTCCATTTAGAGACTGATATTGAAATAAATAATATTTTTAAACGAGTGTTTATTTTATTTTTTCCTAGTTCCCAATATTTTGATACAACTGATTTGAAAAACAAAGATAGAATAAAAAATATTAATTTTAAAGAACGTCAATAAATTTGTGTTTTATGCTGATAATAAAATGGAGTTAAAAATCTATGTTCACGATTATTATCAAAAAGAATAATGATGATTTTGACAAAAATTTGAATTGGTTCTATATTCTCGCAATGACGCCATATTGTCGAACGTCACTCAGAGATGCTGAAATATTAATAAAACATGTGTGATTCATTAACAATGCGCAATATTATGACCCCTCGCTCGAATCGTTTACAAAAGTAGACGGGTCAGATATATTTAAACCCTATACCAACCCGTCTGGGCAGCGTGGTATAGTACGCCAAAACCTCCTTTCTAAGGAGAGGCCTATGTCCAGCAGTGGACTACTAAAGGCTGTTGATGATGATATATTTAAAAATTAATTAAGTCAACTCAGTAAAAGTGAATTTCTTCTAATTTTCTACCTCTTTAAGAAGTACTTTATGGTGACGAAGCCTTCTTAAACGTCAAATACGAAGTCAAAATTTCTAACAAATTTGAAATAACGTTATCTGTCATTTTCATCCTTTCAAATAACTTTTTCAGACTATATTCATCTTGAAAGTTCATTTCAACTTTTATTTTACCCAACTGATTGTATAATGTGTCGATATTTGCTATAACGTAACCAATTCGATAACTATAATTATCTCCCAACGCTTTTTTAACGTTGGTTAGTGGTAGCACTTTTTGTTTAATTCCTCTGATGATATTCTCTATTTCATTTCTCAATTCATCTTTTTCGTGATAAGAGCGTCTTAAGTTTAATTCTACATCTTTATTTAAACTTGAATTGGCTGATGATGTAGGTAGTTTATCATCTAACGTTAACTCGTTACCACTATCGTTATAACGGTTGCTATCTACTATTATATCTTCTGCTATAACACTGCTATTTAACGGAGCTGTAACATTATTTTGTGTGATATTAAGCGTTATATTTGTTGTAACGTTTTCAGAAGTGTCATTAACGCTACGTTTTCTGCGTTTAGATTCTATTTCAAAGCTCACGTTACGACGTAGATATTTTTTAGGGCTATTAAGAGTCAGTTTTTCGTTTAAGCTGTTTGGTGTTATTATCATATCTCTTTCATTAATTCCATTTGTATTTATATTTTCCAAACTTTTAATGTTTAAAATAGCAGCTTTACCGATAACGTTATCGTTAAATAGCGGTTCTTCTTCTATTTTTAGAGGTGTGTCTAGTATTTTCTCAGATGTGTCCTTCGTGACACCATTTTGTAAATTTAGGTAATGATTATAGTAAACGGTACTGAGTAGAGCTGATTGGAACGATACACCTGAAAAAAAGGGTTAGTATATTATATTAATATATTTATATTACAAAAAGTTAAAATTTATAAAAATAAATCCCTATTGAGATATCCAAATATTAATAAAAATAGGTGTCGCGTTCTTTGATAAATATCTATTCATCAATTTCATAAATAAACGCAAACGTTTATTTTATAGTTAGATTTTTATAGTTTAACGTTTATTTATAGGGGTCCGTGGATTTCCAAATCACCCAAACCGGCCATAGTTTTACATTCAGGGAAGCAGCATCATCATCCACAGCCTTAAATAGTCTATTGCTGGACATAGGCCTCTCCTTAGAGTCGGGGCACCAGGGACTTCCTTTCTAGGCTATACCTGGTTCCCCGGCTATTAGTACCCGAGACGGCGTGCGGTTTTAGTCGGTTCGAGTCCGACAGCGGTGGTATCTGAGGGGATTTCCGCAAGGAAAAAAAAAGAAAAAAAAAGGCCTCTCCTTAGACAGGAGGGAGTATGAGCCGACTTAAGCTTATTCCTGAATATATATAGAGGAGATAAATCACACCCCGACACAGAACAAATGATCGTGCTCATCACACAATTGTTTGTACTTGATAGAAATCGAACCCACGGCCTTTGCCTTAGGAATCAGGAACACTATCATCAACAGGCATGTTAAAATTAATTGCTAACATTGTCTTAAAATTGTTTATATTATTACTTCTTGATTGTTACTGATTATGATTTAATAGTTTTTTTATAATATTAACTAGCCGAGACCCGCGATGTTACCCGCGTTTGTTGTTATAACCGCGGGCAACGCCGCGGGGCAAAGCTAGTCTAAAAAAAGTAGCCTAAGTTACTCCTTATGTCATCAGCTGTCTACCAGTGAAAGTCCCGTTGAAATCGGTTTAGCCGTTCCAGAGATTAAACGGAACAAGCAGACAGACAAACAAAAATTGTAAAAAATGTTATTTTGGCATATGTACCGTGTAAACATAAATATGCATTTAGTAAAAAGCGGTTATTTTAATATTACAAACAGACACTCCAATTTTATTTATTTGTATAGATATATACCAAAAGTAGGCCAGAACCTCCTTTCTAAGGAGAGGCCCATGTCCAGCAGTGGACTATTAGAGGCTGTTCATGATGATGATCGATGATACCATAAAAATATAAACTAAACTAACTAGGACCTCCAGCTCCTCGGGGACACAGGAGACAGAAGCATGTGGTGATTCCACTAAAAACCACCCCGACGTCCGGCCTCAGGTGTCCTGGTGAGGACCCGGGACTCTGGGAGGACCCGGACCATGTTGTTTCAGGTCCTTCCTGACAGGTATGGCAAGTGAACGCAACTCAAGACTCAAAACCAAAGAATCATGGCGAGGGTTTGGGCTCCGGTAACCTAACTCACTCAGTGAAACAACTCACTCAACGAAAAAATTACTAATCACCGGTTTTCTGTAAGGCCGTGGTATCACTCCGCTGGTTCCGCCCCATTTATGACGAATCATCCCACGTATAAATATTAAAATGAATATATACTTACATAATATTAGAAATTGTAACATGTTAGAATTGTAAGCACAACTTTAAAACTTTTATACTTTGTTAATGTGTCTGTACAATACGAAATATTCCAATACCTGCAACATATACTAACCAATCTTTTGGGTTTTTGATTATGTAGGTACAGTGAAACGCAGAAAAATGCATGCGTTTAATAGCAAAAAAATATTATATTTAAAACAATTTGGAAAGTCAAGTGTGAATTGCCAATCGGCAAAGTTATAACACAGAAACATGTTTCATATTTCTATTTCAAGTCTAAAAATAAACTTTAAATATCAAAAGTACAAAACTTATGACGTTAATACTTTGGCGTTACATGATGAATATTCCAGGCTATAATCGCTTTGGGGGAGTCGTCTACCTGTTGTTGTAGATGGCCCGAGGTATGTCGGGGAACCAGGGACTTCCTTTCTAGGGTATACCTGGTTCCCCGGCTATTAGTACCCGAGACGGCGTGCGGTTTTATTCGGTTCGAGTCCGACATGCCACCGATACCGGTGGTCTCCGAGGGGATATCCGCACGGAAAAAAAAACTAAAAAAAAAAGGCTATAATCGCTTTAGTATTTCATACAAAAATGTGTCGTTTTGACCTTTAATAAAAAGGCACTAATTTAACTTGACAGTCATCTACCCTATTTATTTATAATAAATAACTTTACATATCTCACATACGACCTTCTGGTCCCAAATTAGGCAAATGGTAACCCAAAGAGATATAAGCATAAAGTGAACAAGATCCAATCTTGCAATATAGGCAACGAAAGAGGATGGATAATAGATAGATGCCTCTATCTCTTTCTAGTCGAGCTCTGTGGTTGGCTGTTGAACATAACAAGTTAATAAGTAGCCAATCGCAGCTTAGCTAAACAGAGATAGAGGAAATTATCGGTCATCCATCTCTCTCGTTGCCTGTATCGCTTACACTTACAGATAGCTGTAAGCCGTGTTCTCTCTATGCTTATATCTCTACGTGGTAACCAGATCACTAATAAACATACTTATATATTTCTAAATATATACGTATCATATAATAACACCCGCACACAAAACAAATGATCATACTCATTACACTATTACTTGTCCTGGGTTCGATTCTTACACAAGACAAGTAATTGCTTAACAGTATAACTTCACTAACCACAAGACCAACAGGAAAATCAAAAATTTCCACACTTCAATTTAATTACTACATTTAAATTGCCGACTGTACCACAAATGAAATTGAATAAACACATACAATGTTCAATTAGATTTACACCACACAAAACGTAAGATTTAATTATAAAAGATTGATTTCAGTATGTTTGTACATAAACTTAATACTATGGGTTTTGTCGCAAAACGAATGGTTTCGCGTCACGTCACTTTAAGGGCAGATCCACTATTAATAACTCAAGTGACAACTCAACTCAAAGACTATGTACGAAAATAAGTCAGTTATGCATGACTGCACGAATGGCGTAGTAGTTTTAACGGTCGGCACGCTGGTTCCTACTATGCCGAGTGTTATGGGTTCAAACCCCCATGGGACGACACTTTGTGTAATCCACAAATTGTTGTTCTGAGTCTGGGTGTAGTTTGTGTCCGTTTCATGTATGTTTCTAAAGTGCGACACAGGATTTATCCCTAGTGCGGGAGTTTCTTTTATTAAATGAAAAAAAAAAGTCTACGCCTCAGAGGCTAATTATTTAGTACAAACTTTTGCCCGTTGCTCTGTCCGCGTCTATTTCGGTTACCGCGGTAAAATGTAACCTATGTTACTCGTTGACAATGTAGATTTCAGTTGGTGCAAGAATTATTAAAATCGGTTCAGTAGTTTTGGTGTGAAATCGTAACAAACAAACTCTATGTCGTATGTATGTCTCTACAAAAAAAGTATATAAGTATTCTATCAGCATAGAACAAGCTCTGTTTAGTTTGAAACTAGTTGGCGTTGTGTGTCTTTTGTCCGAAATATTTATTAGTGTTACACTCTTTCTTCGAGCCTTTTTAACCCCCGACGGAATACGAGGGGTGTTATAAGCTTAACCTGTGTATCAGTCTGTCTGTGGCTTCATAGCTCCCGAACAGATGGACCAAGGATGTAATTGAGATGGTTCTTAGCTATAAATTTTGAAGATCATCAGTTCACTTCCTAGGTGATGAAGGGATCTCACTAAAATACGCTTGTAATTTGGTATACTGTTACTTTAATGGTATCTCCACGACATGGAACTTGCTACTGCATCAGTCTGAGGAATAGCCAACTCCTCAGAAAATTAGGGCTATCAAACCTCCACAACCCAGGTACTAGAGGATATCGAAGTTCTGTAGAAATACTGTTATCGGACTTTTTAGGGCTCCCAACTATCCGTAACGATTGCCACAGAGTCTTGTATACGTGCTCTCCGAGGCACGGAGGGGTCTCAATGTATTAAGAAACGATCACCCATCGATAGACTGACCCAGCTACGATTGCTTAACTTTGCAATGTGTTTACCTAATCAGTTACCGCTTAAAAGAATTTTCCAAACCAGATCATAAATGAAGAAGTCCTTGAATTAACATAGAAAAAACGAATGGTGTTGGAAAAATTGGTAAAAATTAGTGATCAAAATAAAACACAGTTTCCATACAATATATTTAATTAAATACACGTTTAAAGATAGTACGTCTAACACTAAATGTTTCATTACATTCCTATATTACCACGTACAATAATAACCTAGAGCCTTCCATACAAAAGGCATATTTCTGCATTAACATAACTTATAAAAATATTTTTTAATACAACACAAAATGTGGTACAAATTATATTTAAAAATAAGTGTGTGTGCACGACTGTAGTTTACTCCTTAAGAACGATTCAGCTGCACACAAGTATACAAGTTATACACACGCACGATAGATTGTGCACAAATAACGTAACGAGGTCATTCGATAACTAAATTTTACTCTTCATATTTTTTTAAATACCCTCGTCTTTTATAAAAATTGATTCTTAAGGAGTAAACTCTAATTAACACACGCATTTGTATTGTATAACACAAATTGTATACCATACTATGTGACCCATTCAATATGGGTCTTCAAAATACCACGCTTGTTCACAAGAGGGGGAATTGTAATGTTTTCGTTACGTAGTCAATATCATACATGGAAAGCGCTGTTTTGAGGAAAAAAAAATATCCATTCTTACGTGATAGCTACAGGAGTGGGAGTGGGGGGGGGGTCTTGGCATATACTACTACTACTTGGTGTATTAACAAAACAAGCTAATTACTGAAAAAAAATACCGACAGCGTAAAAATGTACAGATCCTTAAAATTTACTAACCGGAAATTTTATTTTAATATCTATACTAATATTATAAAGCTGAAGAGTTTGTTTGTTTGTTTGTTTGTTTGAACGCGCTAATCTCAGGAACTACTGGTCCGATTTGAAAAATTCTTTCAGTGTTAGATAGCCCATTTATCGAGGAAGGCTATAGGCTATATATCATCACGCTAAGACCAATAGGAGCGGAGCACCAATGAAGAATGTTTCAAAAACGGAGAAAATTTATTACTATTGAGAAACGCAGACGAAGTTGCGCGGGTCAGCTAGTTTATCATATACCCAGTGTCACTTTCACAATTAAGACGAATCTAACGACACGTCAAACGCCCAAATCCTTGATGGATTCGAACAGACTACAGCGCGTGCAAACGAAATATACACACAGATATATTCGAAAAATAAACTAGCGCAGTCGAGTAAAAATATCTATTGTGTTGCCTACAGATACAATCTAATATATACCGTAATCCTAACACTGAGAGTTTATTTTACAACAGTAATTATTTGTATAGAGATTCTATCGCCACAAATGGACCGGTTACCACGGCCTCACGGAACACCGGCGTGAGGTTGCCGTAGGACCAACTTACATTAAGTAGGGGGGGATGGGGAGGGGGGAGAAGGTTGCCAGACAGCAACAACGTAGTTGTATCTTTTAAGTTGCATCTTTCTTTTACCACCAGGTGACTAGGTGAAAATTTTTGAGTATAACCGGTAAATTTTTGTTTTTTTTCCGATTCCAAAAGTTCCGACACGAATATATGTTGAACGTACATACACAATAATGTATTTCAACCCAAAACTTAACTTCCGTGTAAACGGGGCCAATATATGTAGACACTTATATACCGAGGTGTCGGTAACGGTAACAGTGTCACGATTTAAATGTTTTTTCCAATCTCAAAAAAAAAACATCCTTTTGTTTGTTGTTCAAAAATGCCTTACGCGCCTAAAGAAGGTTTCACTTAAAAAAACATCTTCCTTTACTTCGTAGTTCAACTTAGAAGACTATACAGCATCTCTCCTAGAGTTTTACACCAATTAAATTACTATGCTCAAATACACAACATCAATCATAGTTAAAGAAAGGAACATCTGGAGACAGCGAGAGTTACATACTCAATGGTGAACCACCATAACCAAACCCCCCCCTTCCCCAGCGCGCCCCCTTCCACCACTTCCAAGGGCATTCCAGAAACAAAATAATCCGATTTTAAATATATTGTGATACATTTTTTTTAATAATTTAAATAAATTTGAATTAAATTTAACATTTATATAGTAATACAATTTTTAATTAAATAATTTTGCATTGCTAATGCAAAAAAAAAATTATAACTAAGACATATGTTGTGTTTTTAACACAATCACTCTTATACAATAATGTAACTTATTAAATAAATAGTACATCAGATATCAGGGTGAATATGACTCCTTAAAGTGTGCTGTCCATCTCTTCAAGAGGATAAATATTATTTAACATTGTGCCACCGAAATCGCAAATTATGACAAAAATCATAGAAATACACATGTATATAAGGTGGTACATTAACGTTTTGTGTAAATAAATAGCTTAGTGCTAAATAAAAACTTAAATTTAAGTAATATTTACAGTTTAAACACGCATGTTTAATTTGTGAGATGAATAAAAGGCGGATATGACGCCAACATTTTTAAATTACAGATACCTTGTAACTTAATGCAAATTAAATTTGAAAATTATTAAAGTTTGTATCAATACAAAGTTGGATAAAAAATTTAATTAAAATAGTAACAAACTTTGTATTAATACAAAGTTGGATACATAAAAGATCGACAAAATTTGTAACAATACAAACTTGGATACAAATTTTAATTAAAAGATTTAAAACTTTACACTAATACAAAGTTGAATACAATTATATTTATTATGATATAAATGTATATGTCGTGACCCAAATCATAGAATCAATCACTTCATTCGACCACATGGTCGACCATTTTTACCAATGTGCGTGCTTCATGAAATACTTTATCACATCATGGCATGGTCTGGTCAGATATGGGAGGCCCTAAATAAATTACGTCACACGTTAAGGGGGAGAGGTCGATCAAGTGTGACAAGGGGTGGGGGGTACTAAGCCTCCCAATGGACTAACTAATATTTGATGTTCATTTTATTAAACAACAATTTAAATGAAATATTTTTTAAGAATTTCTAGATGTAAAATTGCACAGTAGGGAGGGATTGAGGTGGGAGTCTCACAAATGTGCCCGGTTGTGACAATTGTAATGTTATAGATGGGCCCCTGGTCAGTTCTAGCCACATCATCAAATACAGACATTTCATAAAATGGTCGATCGGTAATTAGGTTTATATTATATTGTATTTTTATTTCTATGATTTGGCCACGACATATATGTTTTCAAATTATCGTTAATTACTAGTCTATTTATTCGTATCGTATATTCTAATTAAGATAATGTTATGATATTTAATAAGAGATCTAAAAACATTTTAAATACGTAGCTGTTTTCCAGTTCTAATAGCTGATACACCACCACCAAATTGCGGTGGTATTTTTCGGAAATGGTGTCAGTTCTGTAATCATCTGTGCTTGTACCGCGATAAACCTGTTGAGGATGGTAGTCAAGGATCGCGGGTTGTATTCCCGTGCAATTTAAAAGAAAACGCTTTGTCGCTGCTCTATAAACTTAAAATTCTTTAAGAATTTCACTGTGTTGATTAAAAAACTCGAATACACGAGTTAATCAAATTAATAATGCCAATTAACAATTAAAAATTATGTGTATTCAATGGGAGAGGCCTATGTCCAGCAGTGGACTGCGATAGGCTGATGATGATGACATTGGGAAAGTTATAAGACAGTTTTGTTAAAACATTTTTACCGTGGGACAGCCATGCTTAGGCGCAAACGGACTAGTGATACCACGGTTTCACAGGCAACCGGTGTTAAGCCAGCGGTTACCGGAGGCTGAACTCTACCCCCAAATCTCAAACTACAGGGCAATAAGCTTGCCCCCTATTCAGTAAGTGTGATTTAGGCGCGTCGCCCACTGGTAAGTCGAGGCGCGGACGGCTATGCTTCCTTCACACATTCCAATTTATTCAACATAATCAGAACGTGTTCGATCATAAATGGGATTCATTCGTACAATTTCAATGAATTTTAAGTTGGTTTTAAAAATCGTCAAGTGTAAACATGTCTACGCAACGACACCACCTTGCCTGTGACGCGACTCTTGTGTGAGCCATGACCATGACCATCTAAAGGAAACGTAGAAGCGGCGAGCAGCTCGTGCGGGCGACGGACCTTAAAGACAGTTGGCAAAAAAATTTGTATAATATACATCTGCCTACCCCTTCTAGCATATAACCGTTTGTATATATGTACTTAAATTTGTTGGTAGGATAATCCATGCGCAAAATAGTCCAATTCTTACCGTGAAACACAGTTATTCAATATACTAAAGGCTTACGGAGATAATTGGATAGATTCCTAGTTTTGAAATAAATAATTTTGCCAGCATCATTAAATGTAACATCTCAAAGTAGAACCTGAATTGTCCTTCATTATCAATTTAATGTTTTTATTGATTTGATATCTTGATATCAACATTAAATATAAATGATTTGACAATAGCTACTTGTGACGTCACAAAATAGTATTTCATACAAAAATGTACCGCGTGTAGCATTTTGACGTTTAAAAAAAGTTACTGATTTGACTTGAAAGTCATGTACCCTATTCGAATAACAGGTATATGACCATGACATGGACCTGCTTAAGCCATCCGTTCTCTTTTAATTTACTTTTCCTTCTTACCCAACATTCCTAATAAAGATACCCTCTGATTTTCCAATCCCCTAACTCCTAAAGCTCAAGACAATGTGTATGTTTTAAATGCTTACCTCATCAGCACTACAGGCTTGAATATATCATTATGCAGCTCATTAGACACTTTAAATTAGGGATTCCCAAAGTGGACGATATTGACCAGGGGTCGACATAAACGAAAACTGATTTTGGAGGTCGACGAGGTATAAAAATCGACCCCTATTAATTAAAGTTCTCATTTGAAACTCTCAAGATACTGTATTAAACTTGTTATAAAAATGACTAATATTATAGTAGGAAGTATCTTTGTAGTACTTTAAAAAAACTCAACGAGTCTATAAGCATAAAGTAATGGGGTCTGTGTCGAAAAAAGTTTGGGAATCCCTGCTTTAAATGGTTGTAAATTCACACACAGCATTTATAAAACACCATCATGAAAGTTACTGAAAACCACTTCACAGTTTGGTTGAATCGCTTTGAAAAAAGCCACTCCACGAGGGCTAACGGTTGAGTAGGAGAAATCTATATGCCTTAGGTGTGGTGCAGCTGTTGCCAGATGCTGCAAACTCCTGTCCGTGATATTAATATAACCAGTTAATGACAGCACCCTCAAATTCGACCTGTCCGGTCTCACTCCAGGATCATTGGCATTAAAATGATTACCAAGATTTATATAATTTATATTATCATTTTCAGCCCGACCGAACCTTAGAACTGTAGAATCTGATACCAAGTTAAAACCTAACTGCCGAAATTCTCTGGGTATTGTTATATTTTCCTGGTGGATGTTGAAATCAAAACGTCTGGCTCTGTGGCCATGGTCCCCGTGTCTACGAACTGGTCCAACACGGGGGACATCTGGACAGTCAAATATGAAACCGTAGGTTGGCCGCTCGTTGCTGGGTCGAGCGTTGATTGGTCTGGCGTGGACGGCCACTGGAGGCCGAGCATTCTCCAGAGTGGCAGCATCCGTTTTTCTGCAGTAATATCTTATATTATGTGGCCGAAAACTTTCCCTGCCTTCTCTGGGGTCTGGGTATATTCTTGGATTTATACGTATGCCCATTGGCTGACTTAAATCTATGTTTGCGTCTAAGCCATCTCTATGGAATCTCTTTGATAAACCAGGGATTGGTGTTGAACACGAAGGAACACTGTCATCAGTTTTGGAGTTACATGGTTTTGGATCACTGGATTTTGATGCCGATTCCGAAGTACTGGTTGTAGCCACTAAATCCGAAGTACTAGGTTTTGGGCTTCTTGATTCGGGATGTGGTGTGCAATTCACTGGTTCGGGGACACTTGGTCTGTCAGAAGAACTTGCTTGATCTTCTGAATTAGTATTCATTGGTTCGGAGACACTTGGTTGTCCATCAGATCTCTCTTGATTATCTTCTGAACTAGTTTTCATTGGTTCGGAGACGCTTGATATTTCTTCAGATTTTTCTTGATCATCTTCTGAATTAGTTTTCATTGGTTCGGAGCCACTTGGCCTTTCATCAGATCTTTCTTGATCATCTTCTGAATTAGTGCCCTCTTCATGAAATCTCTTCTTGGCTAAATTAAGGACTTTACACGGATAGGGTCTCTTGAGGTTTCTGCTTGGTCCCGGCTGGGGTACAGGATCTTGAGGGGGATCTGGAACGGGTCCAAGTTCCACCTCAGGTTCAGGGTCTGGTGGCGGTTCAACCCGTTGATCATTCTGTTGGTTTTCATTTTGATTCTGACGATTCGGATGGATCACTATGATTCTGTAAAAAAAAAGATTTATCTATAGTAATGCAGTTTCAATCTAGTTTAGCTGATGCGTCACAGGGTGTTTAGTAACGAACAACCTTCCACAAAAACTGAACTATTAATATAGTAATTGTGGAGTCCAAGCAGGCATGGGAATGTGGCGACTTCCACATACATCACACATCAAATCAACAGCCTTTAATAGTCCACTGCTGGACATAGGCCTCTCCTTAGAAAGGAGGTCTTTGTCAACTATACCGCGCTGTCCAGTCGGGTTGGTATAGGGTTTGTGTCTAGTTTTCCTTCTCTCTGCAGTGCTGCTGTTCTGCGTAGTTGTTTCCTTTAGTCGGGTCTTACGACACCCACGGGATGAATAGGGGTGGTGACACTCTGTATTCTTAATCCGTCACCACACTTCCACATACAATGAAATAAAAACATACTTCAGCGCCATCTATCGAAAACACACCGAACTACGGAGTAATTACTAATCCTGTATCGCGATATGAGTAATTCTCAAGTTGATTAAAGCGGCCCGCCGGCGGGATCACATCGCCTGGTCGGAGGGATATGACACCCGATCTTCCACAAATTGATTGTAAAATCTAAGTAGGGGCGGGAAGTTTAGAGATTACAGTTTTTATCCAAAGAGAAACAACCCCGTTAGTGAGCCGGAGCTCCGAAAGACATGCAGTGACTACATCGGCAGTGAACTGAAGAAGGACCTTGTCAAAAACTGGTGTTTTTTACTTCATGAGCTTTCCAAAGGAGCTTTGACTGCACGAATGGCGTAGTGGTTTGAGCGGTCGCCACGCCACTTACTACTACGCTGGGTGTTGTGGGTTCGATCCCCACATGGGACGACACTTTGTGTGATCCACAAATTGTTGTTCTGAGTATGGGTGTTCTTTATGTCCGTTTCATGTATGTTTGTAAAGTCCCCCGCGACACAGAATATATTCCTAATGCGGGAGTTGAAGGACCATGTCAAAAACTGGTATTTTTTACTTAATGACGGCAAGGTCAAGCAGCTTAAAAGAAACGAATATCGCGTCAAATCAGTAATTCTGGTGGGCACTGAAAATCAGTACTGGGACGGACCATGTCCATCACAGTAAATGCTGAGGATCCACCTATTCTGTGGGACACAGCGTACAACTCTCATCGGCACAAGCTATCTATGTGGTTAAGATTGAGAGGACTGCTTGGTTACAAGCAAAACATAGTACCAAAAATAATAGTATAGTAGTAGTATAGTGTTGCACGTACGTCAATAGTTTTAAGCTTTTAAAAAATGTAATATTATTGTAGTTGTATTAAGTTAGTATTAAGTTAGTTATATTAAGTTGTATGCCGTGTTCTCTTACAGAATAAAGTTTATTTTATTTATTTATTTTAATATTTCCAATAATACCCAAACCCCAAAAGATTTAACATACCTTCTTTCCAAAGAAGCACAGGTGATATAGTTTCCGAGCATGACGTCACCAACTCTCATTTCCGATGTGCCCTCCCCATCTTCCTTCGGATCTTCATCTTCCTCCGTAAACTCCATGGGGGGTGTTTTACATTTGTAGTAATCTGGTTCCTGTAAAAAAGAAAAAAATTTGAAAACACTTTTTTAGTTTCCAGAGTATCGTCTTATGGTGGCTGTTCCACTCGAGAGTGTCGTAGCCGTGATGTCTAATCTATACAAATAAGTGCAGTCATTCGAAATGGTCGTAATCATAACACAAATATTTTTCCTGAAAATCACACCCACAACCTATCTGGCTTGACCTGTTATGGTGGAACTCTAGAGAGAAACTGCAAGACAATTCTAAGTATTTTTATGTTAAGTTAAGACTCAGCAGTGGACCATTAAAGTTTGTGATAAGTTTTCCTTCTGTCTGCAGTGCTCTAGATCTGCGTAGTTTACTCCCTTAATTGACTCTTACGTCACCCACGAGATGAATAGGTGTGGTGACACTTCGTTTTCTTATTCTCACCTCAGCCTCCCAGGAGTCCAGCTCAGTAAATGGTGCCAGTACATCTTCCCACTTGTGTGTGTGTTCACCACTCATCTTGAAGTTATCCGCAGGAGAGGCATACAACTCTTCAAGGTTACGCAGCCAACCAAATGATGACAGTTCAGAGTCTGCAACCGGTGATCCTCTAACGTCCAGGATCTGTAAACAAGAATAAATATAAATTGAGGATTATAAGTATACTTCCTTAATTCAGCAACATTTTTTTTTTTGTTGGTCTTCGTCTTTTTGGTGGTCACTTGCCGTGGGGTGATAGCTCCTATGCTCGTTTGTCCCAATACCATAAAATAACAGAGATAACGCACCTTCTGTAGAACAAGGGGGGATACGACTGTAAAAAAATTCGAAAATAAGTATGCCAAAATGGTTTCATTTAAAAAAAAAGACATTTATTTTTAAAAAGAGAACTCCCACATTAGGAATATAACCTGTGTCGCGGGGGACTTTACAAACATACATGAAACGGACACAAAGAACATCCAGACTCAGAACAATTATTTGTGGGTCACACAAAGTGTCGTACCATGTGGGGATCGGACCCACAACACTCGGCGTAGTAGTAAACGGCGTGGCGACCGCTTAAACCACTACGCCCCCCGTGCAGTCGTTTCAAAGGTAACTTTTTGTTCCGGGTAATCTTCAAAACGGCTGGACCGATTTTAATAATATTTTACTACCAGGTAGCTGTCTATATAAGGAGTAACTTAGGAAAACCCTATAATTTTTTATCCGGTCCGGGAATCGAACCCAAGGCCTCATAGACTGTAGTCGCGTAGCGTACTACACCACTAAGGCAGCGGCACGGGAACCAGCTCGTCGTACCTTTTTTTTTTTTTTTTTTTTTTTTTTTTTTTTTTTTTTTTTTTTTTCCGTGCGGAAATCCCCTCGGATACCACCTGTCGGTGGCATGTCGGACACGAACCGACTAAAACCGCACGCCTTCGCCGGGTACTAATAGCCGGGGAACCAGGTATACCCTAGAAAGGAAGGCCCTGGTGCCCCGACATACCTCGGGTCATCTACAGACGAGTAGACGACCCCCGCCCCGTGTGGGAACCCCATGTTCCCTGTGCTCCCTGGAAGCGAGCGCGCTTCGCAACGCGCTCGCCGCCACCCCGGCCTGCTTCTGCTAGGGTGACAGATGGCCTCACCTGTCACCCCCAGGCCTGCGCTTATGGAGGACGAAGGTCGTTCTGCGACCTCCGGCGCCTGAGTCGCCTGCGCTGCCTGGCCCGTGCCCGGGCCTGGCGGGCCGGGAGAGTTCTAAACCTCTCCCGGTCCCGCTCCGCCGTCTCCTTCGCGAGCATAACTTGCTCGCAGAAGGAAACGGCAGAGTTCCACGCACTCTCGCTCCGCACGATAGCCGCAATCAGGCTATCGAGCGAGAGAACTCCCACTCCGATGGCCGCCACGAGGTCTCGCCTCTGCTCAACCCACGCCGGGCACTCTGCCAGCGTGTGGAGAGCCGTGTCCACGGTCTGGCCATCGCAGTGGTGGCACTCAGGTGTTGGCTCCTTGCGGATCAGACACAGGTGATCTCCGAAACATCCCTTCCCAGTGATCACCTGCGTCAATCGGTATGAGAGGGTCCCGTGACGCCTCTCGAGCCAATCCTCCATAACGGGTCTTACCGCCGCAATGACGGCGTGCCCAGCGCTCGGTTGCCCGAGTCGTTCCCTCCACTCCCCTATGATGACCTGGCGGAGTTGGGATTTCCGGTCATCGATTTCTCGAATCTCGGGGCATCGACCCAACTCCTGCGCCTCCTTGCGCCACTGATACAGTGCCGCAAGGGCTCTCGCCTCCAGGTCCCACGGTGGAGTTCCGGCCAGGAGACTCGCTGCCTCAAAGGAGATCGTGCGGTACCCCCTTATGATCCTGATGGCCAGCATTCGCTGCGGTCGTCGCAGTATCGCGACGTTGCTGGCCTTCAGGGCCCCCGCCCATACCGGGCACCCGTAAAGGGCCATGGACCGCACAACCCCCGAGTAGAGTCTCCTGCAGGAGTCATCGGGTCCCTTCATGTTGGGCAGCAGCCGCGCCAACGCACGCGCTGCCCCAACCAACTTGGGGACCAGACCTCGGAAATGATATCCGAAGTCCCATCGGCCATCGAGTACGAGCCCCAGATACCTGATCGAGGGCTCGATGCCGATGCGAGTGCCTCCTACCGTGAGGCTAGATCCCTCAGGCGGCTTCCTCCGAAGCCCGTGGAAGAACAGGGCCTCGGACTTGTGCAGAGCCACCTCGAGACCCAGCCGCCGGATACGCTCAACGACTTTGGCAACCCCGGCCGTGGCCCTCAGGGTTGCCTCGTGGTGCGTCTTGCCGCGCGCCGTCACGAGTGTGTCGTCCGCGTAGCACACGACGGCGAAGCTCGTCGTACCTAAGATCATCAGGATTGACAAGTAAAATATTTATAACAGAAAGTATAGAACTAACCCTGAGTTTCTGGAAGCCATATCTGGTAGCCAGTGAAGCGTAGGCCACGCATTCTGTCAGCCTGCGGCACTCCCTCATGTACAGCTCTTGAAGATTCTTCACCTTGCTGAGAGGCATCAGGGATGCCGGTTCGAACCATTCGCACTCTGATATGTCCAGATACTACAACAAATAATCCACACTAATCCATACTAAAATTATAAATGTGAAAGTGTAACTGTCTGTCTGTTACCTCTCCACGCTTAAACCGCTAAACCAATTTAGATGAAATTTGGTATAGAGATCGCTTGAGTCCTGGGAAAGGACATAAGATAATTTTTATCCCAGAAATTAAAGATCAATATATTTTGCCACCTCATGTGACTCTTGGGATATATGCGTCACTTACTATCAGGAGATCTGTCTGCTCGTTTGCCCACCTATTCCATAAAATTAGTACTAATATTTCGGAGATCTGACCCACAACGCCATCTAGTTTCAAACTAAGCAGAGCTTGTACTATGAAAGCTAGATTGACTGATAGAATACTTAAATACTTTTTTGTAAATACATACCAGAAATAAATATTTACATAAAAACCACCAAAACCCTTAAGCAAATATTCCGATTGAATCGAACCCGAGACCACAGCACAGCAGTCGCATACGCTACCACTGCACCACATCATCACCAGTCAAATAATAACATTTCATTTCAAATTTAAATTACTCATAAAAATAAAAAAAAAACCCGTGATAAAAAAAATGAGGAGTTGGCTATCCCGCAGACTATTTGATGCAGCAGCAAGTTTCAGGTCACTATGTCGCGGAAATACCATCAAAGTAGAACCACCTCGATCACATCCGCTTTCAAACAAAAAAATCCGCATCGAAATTGGTCGATCCGTTCGGGAGCTATGACGCCACAGACAGACAGATACGCAGATACATAGGTTAAACTAAAACCCCTCGTTTTCCATCGGGGGTTAAAATGAATCAGATGAAACGCTTACCTCAAGTTCCGGCAGTCTGTCCTGAATCTTGCCCAGGTAGGAAGTGTTCAGAGGCAGGTTGTAGCATCGCGTACCCTTCAGAGATAGCTTCTTCAGGTTCGGCGGGAAGTAACGAATGTTGGCCTGCTAACATATGATATTTATCAGTAGTGATCACAATTCGATTCCTGCTAAATTCAAATCGATTTATAGCAATTATGAATTTAAAAAAAAGCCGTGTGGTGTCGTGGGACACCCGATAGGAACGAAGTTGTGACGATCGAGTAAAACTGATTCGACACGATTTTAATTACAGCGCCATCTATGAAAGCGGCTATTACCTACATATTTTTCAGTTGGTTTCTAATTATAACAATTTATACATTGGTAAAATCTCCTTGAGAAATGACTTCCTATCTATTCGATAGATGGCGCTGAATGACTGACAAGAGACAATTCAAATAAATACTGAGATAAAAAAAGTAATGATTTCCTATCTATTCGATAGATGGCGCTGAATGACTGACATAAAAAGTGGCGTTACAACTTTTCGACATCGGGCTTGGCTCCTGACATCGGGCCTGTTAATCAATATAAACCCGATAGCCAAGTAATAATATGATGATTAATTGCTAAACTACTCCAAACAGCTATTCTACATTACGCTTCTTCAGTAACACAAACGCTTCAACTCTACGCTACGGCACTAACATAACACTTCGCTCATACAGTATACTACTACGTTACTCTACAACACTGTGCTACTACTCGTCACTGCTACGCTAAGTTGCTACGCCCGGATAGTGCACTACGCTACGTCACATCACGCTACAGTACATACTACAAATGCTTCAACTTTTCACTTCTACGTTTAGCCAGTACCCTTCGCTACTACGCTACGCTAATAGTTTTCACTACCACGATAAACTATGCTTCACTACTAACACTCCGCTACGTCACATCTCGCTACAGTACTACAAACGCTACAACACTACCTTTCGCTACGCTGTTCCTCTTCACTGCTACGCTAAACTACTACGCCACGCTACTATACTACGCCACGCTACTATACTACGCCACGCTATTATACTACGCTACGCTATGCTAGTGATGAAAAAAGCAACTATAACGAGTTAATAAAAAAACATACTAACATTCCTATAATCCAAATTACAATACTCCAAGGTCAATGATGATAGATTCTGACATTTACTCCGCAAAGTTTTTAATAAACTGTGATTCAACGTGAACTGGGGTCCATGACAGCCCGATGCTATTACGTCATTTTTCGTCTCACTCGAGTGAATGTCAGACCCACTACTCGAGTTTAGATCGGAATTACTCGAGTTTGGTTCGGAATTAGTCATGTCAGAGACGGTGCTTGGAGAGGAGCTTGTAGAAGCGCCAGCGACAATTTCAGACGCCAGTTGACTGAGTGGGCTTAACGGTTGTTTGGGACCCTCAGGAGTTCTGGAGTACGCCTTTCCGGCCGCTTCACGTTTGTCAGGCCAGCGAGGTGACAAGGCATACCTAGAAAAGAAATGTCTAAACCTGTATATCATGTCGTAAGGTAATAGGGCCAGCACAGACCGCGCAGTAGACACTGTAAATTCCACACAAACTCGAAGAAATTGAGGGTAGAGACTGTAAATCCAACACAAGCTCAAAAGAATTGAGGGTAGATACTGTAGATTCAACTCAAACTCATATATTTTATATTGAATAGGTGTTGCTCCGTGGTGACGGATTAAGAATACAGAGTTTCACCACCCCTATTCATCCCGTGGGTGTCGTAAGACCCGACTAAGAGAGCAAACTACGCAGGACAACAGCACTGCAGAGAGAAGGAAAACTTGAAACAAACTCTATACCAACCCGTCTGGCCATCGTGGCATAGTAGGCCAAAACCTCCTTTCTAAGGAGACCGCTATATGGACAGCTACCTGGTGGTAAAATATTGTCAAAATCGGTCCAGCAGTTTCGAAAATTGCCCATAACAAACAGATAGACAGACAGACAAAAAATATTTAAATTGGTTTTTAGGCATATGTATCGTGAAAATAACGGTGTGAGCATGAAAATAACCTATTATTTTAACATTACAAACGGACACTTTTATTTATTTGTATAGATTATTGTTTTTATACTACTGTTGTTTGAGCAACACCTATCATCAACAGCCTTTAACAGTCCACTGTTGGACATAGGCCTCTCCTTAGATAGGAGGTTTTGGCCTACTATACCACGCTGGCCAGGCGGGTTGGTATAGGGTTTGTTTCAAGTTTTCCTTCTCTCTGCAGTGCTGTTGTCCTGCGTAGTTTGCTCTCTTAGTCGGGTCTTACGACACCCACGGGATGAATAGGGGTGGTGAAACTCTGTATTCTTAATCCGTCACCACGGAGCAACACCTATTCAATATAAAATATATGAGTTTGAGTTGAATCTACAGTATCTACCCTCAATTCTTTTGAGCTTGTGTTGGATTTACAGTCTCTAGCCAGGGGCGAGGCCGTAGAGGAGTGGGCGGCCTCGGTGGGCCTCTGTCTTCTAAACAGAGGCTCCACCAACACGTGCGTGCGACAGCAGGGGGGGTCGATAGTGGACCTCTCGTTCGCTACCCCTGCCCTCGCCGCACGAGTAAGGAACTGGCGTGTCCTGGAAGAGGTTGAGACGCTCTCGGATCACCTGTATATCCGATTTGAGCTCTCCCGGACCCAGGACTCCAGTAGGGGTCACGTGGCGCGGCGTTTATCCCGCTTTCCGCGGTGGGCTGTTGCCAGGCTGAACCGGGACCTACTAGAGGAGGCAGCCATAATTCACTCGTGGCTGTCTCCTCAGGCTCCGACCGAGGAGGTCGACGTGGGGGCTGGCCGCTTTCGCGATGCGATTACGCATGTATGCGATGCGGCCATGCCCCGCGTTCGAGGTCGTCGGCCTCCAAGGAAGGAGGTCTACTGGTGGTCCCAGGAGCTGGCGGACCTCCGTGCGGCCTGTACACGTGCCCGGAGGTCCTACACACGCAGTCGGCGGCGTCACCGTGGAGACGGTGAGGAGGACCGGCTTCATGAGGAGTACCGGCGGGCGCGGAAAACTCTGAAGCTGGCCATTAGCCGCGCCAAAGAGGAAAAGAGACAGGAGATGCTGGAGGGTCTTAATCGTGACCCCTGGGGTCGCCCTTACCGCGCGGTGCGACAAAAGCTCCGCGCGTCGGGCCCCCCCCCTTACGGAGACTCTCCAGCCCAGCTTCCTGCGAGAAGTGGTTGAGGGCCTTTTCCCACAACGAGCGGAACACACTCCCCCGTCGATGGCCTCCCTGGCCGGAGACGACGGGGAGCACGGGGAGGACAATGTTCCGCCCGTCCGGGATTCGGAGGTAGGGGCGGCTGTTCTACGGATCCGTTCCAAGAACACCGCCCCTGGGCCAGACGGGGGTACCGGCCCGAGTGCTGGCCCTGGCCCTCAACCACATGGCAGACCGCCTCGGGGAGGTGTTCGACGCTAGCTTGGCGTCGGGACGCTTCCCTGAGTGCTGGAAAAGCGGGAAGCTGGTCCTATTGAGGAAGCCGGGACGGCCAGCCGATTCGGTCGCGGCCTATAGGCCCATCGTGCTGCTGGACGAGGCGGGCAAATTGTTTGAGAGGGTTCTTTCTGCCCGCATCGTCCGGCACCTCTGCGAGGTGGGCCCCGATCTGTCGGACGCCCAGTTTGGTTTTCGGGCGGGGCGTTCGACAGTCGACGCCGTGTTGCGCCTGAGGGCCGTGACCGAAGAGGCCGTGAGCTGTGGCGGCGTGCTGTTGGCGGTGTCACTGGACATCGCCAACGCATTCAATAGTCTGCCATTCAGCTGCATCAGGGAAGCACTCCACTATCATGGGGTGCCAAAGTACCTGAGGCGGCTAGTGGCAGACTATTTAGAGGAGCGTACCGTCGTGTACGAGGACCGAGAAGGTAATTTGAGGTGTCGGCCCATGTCGTGCGGTGTTCCACAGGGGTCTGTTCTTGGACCCCTCTTGTGGAACATAGGGTACGACTGGGCCCTTCGCGCCGATTTCCCCCCCCGGGCTGGGTGTAATCTGTTACGCAGACGATACCCTGGTGACAGCCCGGGGGGCAAAACTTCCAAGAGGCGGCGCGCCTGGCCACAGGGGGAGTCTCCCTGGTGGTCGGGCGCATTGAGGCGCTGGGCTTACGGGTGGCCCTAGATAAGACGGAGGCCCTGTTATTTCATGGGCCCCGTCGTGGTCCACCCCCTGGCGCCTCCATCGTGGTCAACTCGGTCCTCGTACCGGTTCGGGCCCAGATGAAATATCTGGGCCTGATCCTCGACGGGAGGTGGCTCTTCGACGAGCACTTCCGACAGCTTGCTCCAAAGCTGGTCGGCGCTGCGTCTGCCCTAGGGCGACTCTTGCCCAATATGGGTGGACCCAGCGTCGCGACAAGACGGCTGTACACGGGGGTTGTCCGGTCAATGGCACTGTACGGTGCACCGGTGTGGGCGGCGGCTCTGACCGCCCAGAATAGGGTACGCCTCTGGCGCCCTCAGAGGGTAATGGCGGTCAGAGCCATACGCGGTTACCGCACCGTTTCGACGGAGGTGGCGTGCGCGTTGGCCGGAACTCCCCCGTGGGATTTGGAGGCGGAAGTGCTCGCCGAAGTTTATCGGCGAGTGGCTGACTACCGGGCGGAGAGCGGATTTCGCCCTCCGCCCGAGGATGTGCGCGAGTGGCGCGAAGCCGCTCGCCGAGCCACGATGGCTCGTTGGTCGTTCCGGCTGGAGACTCCACGCGCTGGCTTCGCCGCCGTGGAGGCTCTCCAGCCGGTCATCGCCGAGTGGGCAGGGCGGCAGCACGGGACCCTTTCCTTCCGACTGACGCAGGTGCTTTCCGGGCACGGTTGCTTCGGAAAGTACCTGCACACGGTCGCTAGGAGGGAACTGAGTCCCGCCTGCCACCACTGCGACTGCAGTGAGGACTCGGCCCAGCACACGCTGGCGGTATGCCCCGCATGGGCGGCGCAGCGCCGGGCCCTCACTGCAGTCATCGGAGTGGATCTCTCGCTACCGGCCGTAGTACGCTCCATGGCCGGTAGCGACAGTTGTTTTACCGCGGTCGCAACCTTCTGCGAGGTAGTAATCTCGCGGAAGGAGGCGGCGGAGAGGGCCCGGGAGGACGACCTCCACTCGGACCCGATCCGCCGCCGGCGAACCGGGCGGCGGAGGCCCGCCTACCACAGCCTCATGCCGCCCTGAGTGTGGCCGCGGGTGGACGGGGTGGGTTTCCCCTCCACCCGCATTAGTTGGCCAGCCGCGAGGGGGCGGCGTCCGCGTGTGCCGGACGTCGCCTATAAAGAGAGGAAAACATTGAGACGGAGCCCGCACCAGGAGCGGGCTGGCGCTAGGAGGGGTCCGGATGTCTTAACAACAGCTGTTCCCGGATCCCTCCTGTTACAGGCGCAGAGTGGCACACCGTGTGGTTTTAGTCGGTCCGAGTCCGACACACCACCCCGCCGCAAACCCCGGAGGGGTGACGGTCCGAGGGGATTTCCACACGTTAAAAAAAAAAAAAAAAAAAAAAAAAAAAAAAAGGGTTTGTGTCCCCCTCCAACGAGGGTTGGCAGGAGGCGAGGGGATCCAAGAAGTCCCGAAGGCGGGCCAGAAGGGCTGCCCAAAGAGCAGCCCAAGCCCTGCCTTCGCCACCGGTGGCAACGGCCTCTGCAAAGAGGCCGCGGAAGCTGCAGCCGCCCAAAACCGCGGCGGTAGTGGTGACCGTGTCCCTGGAGGCGGCTGACGGCGGGCTGTCCTACGCGGCCGTGTTTAAAAAGGCCCGGGACAGCCTCGCCAACGACTTTGGGACGGTGGGGGTCAGGATGCGCCTCGCCCAGACGGGAGCTCGAGTCCTCGAGTTCCCAGGGGCTGAAGGCGCTAAGACGGCGGACACATTTGCCGAGAAGCTGCGGGGACTCTTTACAGCCACGGATGGTGTAAAGATCGCCAGGCCTACTAAGTGCGCAGAGCTGCGCATCTCGGGCCTGGACGACTCCGTAACGGCCGAAGATGACCGCGCTGTAATCCGTGAGAAGACGGGGTGCAGCGCGGACAACGTCAGGGTCGGCACCATCCGCCCCGGTCCAGGAGGGCTTGGCGCCGTGTGGGTCAGCTGTCCCGTAGCGTCGGCCAAAGTATTGGCCGACGCCGGCAGAATGCTCATCGGTTTCGTGAGCGCCAGGATCACAGTCCTGGCGGCGAGACCGATGAGGTGCTACAAATGCCTAGCATCGGGACACACGCGCGTCAAGTGCGACAGCTGTTTTGACTGCGGCGGACTGTGTTTCCGCTGCGGTCAACCGGGGCATAAGGCGGCAGAATGCTCTGCCGCCCCTCACTGCCCAGTGTGCGCGGCGGGCAATAAGCCCGCCAATCACCAGATGGGGCAGAGAGGCTGCAAGCCTCCCCGCAGTTCTCGGCAGACGTCAGGGGCTAGCCAGTCGACCCAGGCTACCCCCGACGTCAATATTGCGTCGACGTCGTCGCCCATGGAGGAGGTTGTAGAGACGATCCAGTAATGGATCAAGTCTCCAACCTCCTGGTCCAGACGAACCTGAACCACTGTGCCGCGGCGCAGGATCTCTTCCTGCAAACCATGGCACAGTGGTCGATAGGTGTTGCCGTAGTCGCGGAGCCCTATTCTGTCCCTCCCCGTCCAAACTGGATGGGTGACTGGGACGGCTCCGTGGCAGTCGTCGGTTCCACGACGGCTCATTCCCCGCCCTTGTCGCTAAGAGACAAGGGCACTGGATATGTTGCCGTCGAGTGGGGGGGGATCACCATATATGGTGTTTATTTCTCCCCCAACCGGAGTTTGAACGACTTCGAGGTTTTCTTAACCAGCTTGGAGACCTCGATACGGCGACTAGCGTCTGGGCACGTCCTTGTGCTGGGGGACTTCAACGCAAAGTCCATTGCGTGGGGTTCCCCCAGGACGGACGCCAGGGGCGAGGCCGTAGAGGAGTGGGCGGCCTCGGTGGGCCTCTGTCTTCTAAACAGAGGCTCCACCAACACGTGCGTGCGACAGCAGGGGGGGTCGATAGTGGACCTCTCGTTCGCTACCCCTGCCCTCGCCGCACGAGTAAGGAACTGGCGTGTCCTGGAAGAGGTTGAGACGCTCTCGGATCACCTGTATATCCGATTTGAGCTCTCCCGGACCCAGGACTCCAGTAGGGGTCACGTGGCGCGGCGTTTATCCCGCTTTCCGCGGTGGGCTGTTGCCAGACTGAACCGGGACCTACTAGAGGAGGCAGCCATAATTCACTCGTGGCTGTCTCCTCAGGCTCCGACCGAGGAGGTCGACGTGGGGGCTGGCCGCTTTCGCGATGCGATTACGCATATCTGCGATGCGGCCATGCCCCGCATTCGAGGTCGTCGGCCTCCAAGGAAGGAGGTCTACTGGTGGTCCCAGGAGCTGGCGGACCTCCGTGCGGCCTGTACACGTGCCCGGAGGTCCTACACGCGCAGTCGGCGGCGTCACCGTGGAGACGGTGAGGAGGACCGGCTTCATGAGGAGTACCGACGGGCGCGGAAAACTCTGAAGCTGGCCATTAGCCGCGCCAAAGAAGAAAAAAAGACAGGAGATGCTGGAGGGTCTTAATCGTGACCCCTGGGGTCGCCCTTACCGCGCGGTGCGACAAAAGCTCCGCGCGTCGGGCCCCCCCCTTACGGAGACTCTCCAGCCCAGCTTCCTGCGAGAAGTGGTTGAGGGCCTTTTCCCACAACGAGCGGAACACACTCCCCCGTCGATGGCCTCCCTGGCCGGAGACGACGGGGAGCACGGGGAGGATAATGTTCCGCCCGTCCGGGATTCGGAGGTAGGGGCGGCTGTTCTACGGATCCGTTCCAAGAACACCGCCCCTGGGCCAGACGGGGTACCGGCCCGAGTGCTGGCCCTGGCCCTCAACCACATGGCAGACCGCCTCGGGGAGGTGTTCGACGCTAGCTTGGCGTCGGGACGCTTCCCTGAGTGCTGGAAGAGCGGGAAGCTGGTCCTATTGAGGACGCCGGGACGGCCTGCCGATTTGGTCGCGGCCTCTAGGCCCATCGTGCTGCTGGACGAGGCGGGCAAATTGTTTGAGGGGGTTCTTTCTGCCCGCATCGTCCGGCACCTCTGCGAGGTGGGCCCCGATCTGTCGGACGCCCAATTTGGTTTTCGGGCGGGGCGTTCGACAGTCGACGCCGTGTTGCGCCTGAGGGCCGTGACCGAAGAGGCCGTGAGCTGTGGCGGCGTGCTGTTGGCGGTGTCACTGGACATCGCCAACGCATTCAATAGTCTGCCATTCAGCTGCATCAGGGAAGCACTCCACTATCATGGGGTGCCAAAGTACCTGAGGCGGCTAGTGGCAGACTATTTAGAGGAGCGTACCGTCGTGTACGAGGACCGAGAAGGTAATCTGAGGTGTCGGCCCATGTCGTGCGGTGTTCCACAGGGGTCTGTTCTTGGACCCCTCTTGTGGAACATAGGGTACGACTGGGCCCTTCGCGCCGATTTCCCCCCCGGGCTGGGTGTAATCTGTTAAGCAGACGATACCCTCGTGACAGCCCGGGGGGCAAACTTCCAAGAGGCGGCGCGCCTGGCCACAGGGGGAGTCTCCCTGGTGGTCGGGCGCATTGAGGCGCTGGGCTTACGGGTGGCCCTAGATAAGACGGAGGCCCTGTTATTTCATGGGCCCCGTCGTGGTCCACCCCCTGGCGCCTCAATCGTGGTCAACTCGGTCCTCGTACCGGTTCGGGCCCAGATGAAATATCTGGGCCTGATCCTCGACGGGAGGTGGCTCTTCGACGAGCACTTCCGACAGCTTGCTCCAAAGCTGGTCGGCGCTGCGTCTGCCCTAGGGCGACTCTTGCCCAATATGGGTGGACCCAGCGTCGCGACAAGACGGCTGTACACGGGGGTTGTCCGGTCAATGGCGCTGTACGGTGCACCGGTGTGGGCGGCGGCTCTGACCGCCCAGAATAGGGTACGCCTCTGGCGCCCTCAGAGGGTAATGGCGGTCAGAGCCATACGCGGTTTCCGCACCGTTTCTACGGAGGTGGCATGCGCGTTGGCCGGAACTCCCCCGTGGGATTTGGAGGCGGAAGTGCTCGCCGAAGTTTATCGGCGAGTGGCTGACTCCCGGGCGGAGAGCGGATTTCGCCCTCCGCCCGAGGATGTGCGCGAGTGGCGCGAAGCCGCTCGCCGAGCCACGATGGCTCGTTGGTCGTTCCGGCTGGAGACTCCACGCGCTGGCTTCGCCGCCGTGGAGGCTCTCCAGCCGGTCATCGCCGAGTGGGCAGGGCGGCAGCACGGGACCCTTTCCTTCCGGCTGACGCAGGTGCTTTCCGGGCACGGTTGCTTCGGAAAGTACCTGCACACGGTCGCTAGGAGGGAACTGAGTCCCGCCTGCCACCACTGCGACTGCAGTGAGGACTCGGCCCAGCACACGCTGGCGGTCTGCCCCGCATGGGCGGCGCAGCGCCGGGCCCTCACTGCAGTCATCGGAGTGGATCTCTCGCTACCGGCCGTAGTACGCTCCATGGCCGGTAGCGACAGTTGTTTTACCGCGGTCGCAACCTTCTGCGAGGTAGTAATCTCGCGGAAGGAGGCGGCGGAGAGGGCCCGGGAGGACGACCTCCACTCGGACCCGAGGGGAAACCTACCCCGCCTACCACAGCCTCATGCCGCCCTGAGTGTGGCCGCGGGTGGACGGGGTGGGTTTCCCCTCCACCCGCATTAGTTTGGCCAGCCGCGAGGGGGCGGCGTCCGCGTGTGCCGGACGTCGCCTATAAAGAGAGGAAAAACATCGAGACGGAGCCCGCACCTGGAGCGGGCTGGCGCTAGGAGGGGTCCGGATGTCTTAACAACAGCTGTTCCCGGATCCCTCCTGTTACAGGCGCAGAGTGGCACACCGTGTGGTTTTAGTCGGTCCGAGTCCGACACACCACCCCGCCGCAAACCCCGGAGGGGTGACGGTCCGAGGGGATTTCCACACGTTAAAATAAAAGAAAAAAAAAAAAAAAAAAAAGGGTTTGTGTCAAGTTTGCAGTGCTGGTGTCCTACGTTGTTTTTCGCCCTTAGTCGGCTCTTACGACACCCACGGTATGAATTGGGGTAGTGACATTCCGTATTCTTAATCCGTCACTACACGGACACTGCATTGTCTAAATATTATTAATACAGTAAAAAAATGTATTTTGGATTTTAAATTATTCAGTGTTTGTTTAATAGGCGCTCAAATTAAAATAAAACATGTGATTTTTCTATAAAATTGTATAATTAGTTGTTATTTTTATTGCACTTTAAAACTTGTTTGCCAATTTTCATAGTTACAGATTTAGAATTAAAAAAGTTATGCCAAAAACTAACATAATTATTTGAAATGCAGCCATTTCAAATAATTATGTAAAATTCAATAAATTTCAGATCCGTCACTATTTACGGCTATGAATGTAAATTTATATTCTTATTGCAAGACCTAACATACACCAGTCTGCAGTCACCAGGCGGGCTCATAACTAAAGCTATGCAGGTTCGAAACGCATCAGGAAAGACATCAACAAAAAAGTACTTACCGTGGCAGATGAGAGTACCACATGCGGAGCAGAAAGTGTTCCATATCTGGTCCAGAACCTACTCTGCGAATGGCTGTAATTAAATAAAAAAACATTTTTTTTTAAGAATACCCAGACTCAGAACAACAATTTGTGGAACACACAAAAATGTGGGGATCGAACCCACAACACTCAGCGCAGCAGGAAGCAGCGAGGTGTCCGCTTAAACAGTACCCGTGTAGTCATTGCCGTCACTATGCAAAACATTTTTCTTAACAACTAGTAAAAAAAAGAAAGAAGATTAAGCTGTTTTGTTTAGAGTTTGTCACCACAAAGCCAGAGGTCAGAAGTCCATTCCCACCCAGGACAAATATTGTGTGATGAACATCATCATTTGTACAGAACAAATAGTCTGGGTGTAATTTATCTATAATAATAATTCCATGGAGGACCTGGTCTCCTACCCTGCCATGGCCGGTAGCCAACTACACACCGCGCGCCCCGGACGCAGCGCGGCGCCGGTCGCTAGACGGTTCGCAGGGCGATCGCATCCTGTTTGTTTGTGCTCTCATGTGACTTTCTTGGGAATATAGTTTCTTATTTATAATGTGACCACGACAGAGAAGAAGAATAATAATAATAATAACTTCACACATCTCACACACGGCCGTCTGATCCCAAACTAGGCAGAGCCTGTGCTATGGTAACCAGACTGCTGATAAACATACTTATATATTTTTAAATACATACCTATTATAGATAAATGGCACCCAGACACGGAACAAATGACCGTGCTCATCACACAATATTTATCCTGGGTGGGAATCGAACCCACGACCTCTCCGGCTTAGCAGTCAGGGCCACTAACCACTAGACCAACAGGCCCGTCAATAATGTAATAATAATATTGTACCACATTCACACAACGACATCTAGTCTTAAACTGAGCAGAGCTTGTACTATGGGTACTAAACAACCGATCAACAACAACTCATTATAATTATGTGCATATTTTAAGTATGTTTGCCTGACCTGGTTACTGAATAAAATCACAATCACATGTGTTAAATCATATGATTTATAAAACATAACAGCACACCTGTGACTGATTTACAAAACCACTGCTGCTTAATTATTATTATTACGCAAGCGCAAGAGTCGATAAAGGTAAAAAAGTTCGTAATCTACACTAATATTATAAAGCCGAAGAGTTAGTTTGTTTATTTGTTTGAACGCGCTAATCTCAGGAACTACTGGTCCGATTTGAAAAATTATTTCAATGTTAGATAGCCCATTTATCGAGGAAGGCTATAGGCTATATATCATCAAGCTAAGGCTAATAGGAGCGGAGCATCGATGAAGAATGTTGCAAAAACGGGGAAAAATTATTCCTTTTAAACGACGCAGACGAAGTTGCGCGAGTCAGCTAGTCTTTGATAAATTAATGTCATTTATCTTTGTCTATGACGAAATCACAATCACATATGTACAGTGAAATTAGTCTCGAGAAATTTTTGCATATGTAGTGTGTGTGTATATTACTCAGATCTTAGAGCGCGTTTCCACTATATCGTTCTGGCCTATACAAAAATGTTTCGATATCCTAACATTACTATTTAATTTTATACTTATCCCTAGCAACACTCTGATTTTTGTTTTCAATAAAAACAAGTTTTTATTTTAAAGAAAAAGGTTTTGACTTTATAAAAAAAAAGGTGTGTGTGCGATTCACACACGATAGAAGTGAAACTTCAAAGAGGAGAGACCGATATTTTTTTTTTTTTTCCTTTCATCTAGGTTTTTAAAACTCCCCCCCCCGTAGACCCCTACGGGGGGGGGGTCAAAATTTTTGTTATTTTTGGCCCAGGACGCACCGTTTCCGAGATATTTCAATCTAAAGCAAAAAATCGTCACTTGATAGTGGAAAGTGGAAACACGCACAACCATACACTACTACAAACGCAAAAATTTCTCCAAGCTAATTTACCTGTAATCACTGTGACTAAAAGCAATCAATTCAAAATCAATATGATTTAAAAGTAGAACTAATTTCCATGTCTACTGGTTACCACAGTACAGGATCTGAATAGTTTGGGGTCAGACGGCCGTGGGTGAGATGTATGAGGATATTTTTATTAATATTTATGAACCGATATTGAAATTTTTTTACACGCTTTATATTAGCTTCACTTGTATGTTTGTAACCGACTCCTTTGGGCGTGATTTTGACTGACTTTAAACGGTCAGAATTCGTTCAAACTTTGTAGATATATCGAGGACCAAACACAATACACTAATTAAAAAAAAAAGCGTGGGGTGCTTTTTACTATTAACAACAGGCACCCAACGCTTATTTTCAAATTTATTAAAATTTATTTTCTATTATTTAGTTTGGTTTTCTATAAAAAGCGTGTTTCTTAGTTTTTTAAACTATTTTTTTTAAATATTTTTTTTACAAGCTTTAATTAAACTTGCAAGGATGTAACTATGTTTGTTCGGGTGGAATCTTGCAACTCAATTTTAAAGCAGATATCTTCAACCGATTGAGCTGTAATATTGTGTAAATTTTAGTTTGGATGACAATGCATGGTTAGCCGTATCATCATCAACAGCCTATTACAGTCCACTGTCACAGAGAATACAGTGTCACCACCCCTATTAATCCCGTGGTTATCGTAAGAGCCGACTAAGGGAGTAAACTACGCAGAACAACAGCACTGCAGAGAGAAGGAAAACTTGACACAAACCCTATACCAATACGTCTGGCCAGCGTGGTATAGTAGGCCAAAACCTCCTTTCTAAGTAGAGGCTTATGTCCAACAGTGGACTGTTAAAATCTGTTGATATGTGATGATGTGATGTGAATACGAGTACCTAAGCTTTTAAAACATAATATTGTTCAAGCGAGTGATGGTATGAGCACCACAATACAGCATGGATTAAATATTGCATGTTATACGTGTCAGCAATATATAGTCGGTAGTTTTAAATTTAGTTTTATATTGTTGACTGGCACGCTCAGTGCATATCTTTGCTGTTTTATTTCCGGAATCCGTGTTAATTCTTTACAAATATATTTATTTATTTTATTTATTTATTTATTGAGGCACACAAAACAGAACATAACACAAAGCTTAGTCTTATAGCTAACACAAACATATAAAACTGTAAACTGTAAAAGACAACTCCCGCATTAGGAATATATCCTGTGTCGCGGGGGACTTTACAAACATACATGAAACGGACACAAAGAACACCCAGACTCAGAACAACAATTTGTGGATCACACAAAGTGTCGTCCCATGTGGGGTTTGAACCCACAACACTCGGGGTTTGAACAACAACAGTAGGAAGCGGCGTGGACATATAAATTGTGTAATAACCTTATGTCGTTAGTAAAATTTTTAAAGCAAAAGTTTATTTTATTTAATGCATTTTAATAAAAGCTTGTTTTAAAAATGTTTTGTCTTATTTCATTTTGTAACATTCAATACAAGACCCCTTTGTGATTTTACCGTGGGAGAGCCATGCTTCGGCACGAATGGACCGGAGTGATACCACGGCCTCACAGAAAACCGGTGTTAAACAATTCTTTCGTTGCCTTTCACTGAGTTAGTGAGTGAGGTTACCGGAGCCCAAATCGAGCGGGAGGGACTCCAAGGGCAGCAACGCGTTGAGTTCAGGTGTCCATTGGGCCGAGTAGTTGCTTATCATCAGGGGACCCGTCTGCTCGTTTGCCCCCTAATACCATAAAAAAAATCATAAATATATATATATGACTGCCAATATTTTTGGAACGTCTAAGACTTTTATAATTTTCCAATACCCAGTGTCATTGTCACAATTAAGACGAATTTAACGACACCCTAAACGCTAAAATTTAGCCGTTTAGACTATTAGACTATAGAGCGTGAATAATAAATATACACAAGCCGTTTAGACTATAGAGCGTGAATAATAAATATACACACATACATACGCTCGGAAGAAATAACTCTCCTTTCTGGCGCAGTCTGGTAAAAAGATATGAATAAATTATAAAAACAAAATCTTACCAGAATCTCCACTTAAGGGCCATGATAGGTCTTGAATACCGAGGCAGCTGTGGACCAAAAAAAATACATTTAAATTCCAAAATTAAAAAAATAGGTCATAAAGTGTGTTTTCGCATATGATGTGTGGACATCTAACCATCTAATGGACAACCCTCTCATCACCATCATCAGCCTACCAACAGTCCACCAGACATAGGCCTCTCCTTAGAATGGAGGTTTTGGCCTACTATACCACGGTGGCCAGTAGGGTTTGTTCCAAGTTTTCGTTCTCTTTGCAGTGCTGTTGTCCTGCGTATTTTGCTCCCTGAGACGGCTCTTACGACACCCACGGGATGATTGGTAATCTTAATGGAATCGTTAACAAAAGGTTTCATACTTTGACTCCTTGTCGACGTATCCAGATAGTTTGAGCTCCTGAGTGACTGGTGACAGACAGTGAGTGAGGAGCCAGCGGAGACGCTCTTGACCAGTTGGTACTGCACGAGCGTCGACCTTCTGCCAGAGGGTGCGGTCGCAAATGAGGATGCCGAGACGATGGCAGGTGCTGAAACAAATGTATTAAAAACTTAAATCTTGCAATATTCATATTTATTTAATAAAAACCAGTGAATCAATACACAACTCCCAGGTTCCATCATCAATTTAGAAAATAAATAATACTACTTACTGTCCAAGCGCCTTCAGATCTCTTGGAGAACATAGCTTCATGATGTAAAGAAGTACATCATCAGACAAATCCAGGAGTTCTGTTTGACCCTTGTAGCTCTCTGAACCTGAAAAGAGTTAACACATGTGTGTATTATATAACACTTGGCCTGAAAAGTACCGGCCCCAACAAAGAAAACGCCTTTTATTTTTGTTCAAAATTGGCTTTATTCATCAACGTAATCTCCAACAAGAGCCACACAATCATTCCAGCGCCGCTCTAACATTTCAATACCACTTTTGTGGAACGGTTTATCTTTTGCCTCAAAATAGGCCTCAGTTTCAACGATAACCTCTTCATTCGAGCGAAATTTCTTGGCGGTGAGCATTTTTTGAGGTCTGCGAACAGCCGGTAGTTGCTGGAAGCCAAATCTGGCGAGTACGGTGGATGATGGAGCTATTAGAACTTCAATTCATGTAGTTTTGCCATTGATTTAATCGACTTGTGACACGGTGCGTTGTCTTGATGAAACAATTTTTTTTTTGTCATATGCGATCGTTTCTTTGCAATTTCGGCCTTCAAAGACAAATGCTACGGGCCCCGTGCAACAACGCTTTCACAATTCTTATCACGAAAGAGTTACATCGTAAAGTCTATCTATAATTTAAACTTTTAGTACATGGTTAAAAGTGAGCGTTGGTTGCACCAGAAATCGTGGTTTGAACTGCGACACGACGCTGCGACGCCCAAGGCGGGTAAATTGCCAGCGTGTGCTAAGCCGAGTCTTTACTGCAATTGCAGCGATGACAGGCGGGACTCAATTCCCTTCTAGCCACCGAGTGCAGAATCATCCGTGTCCGGAAAGGACCTGTGTCAGTCAGAAGGAAAGGGTCCCATGATGCCGCTCTGCCCACTCGACGATGACCGGCTGGAGCACCACTACGGCAGCAAAGGCAGCATGTAGAGCCTCCAGCAGGAACGACCATCGAGCCACCGTGGCCAGGGCGAGCGGCCTCACGCCACCATGCGTACCTCTTCGTACGTAAGCACGCATGGCTCTAACCAACAATATCCTCTGAGATCACCAGAAGCGCGGCCTATTCAGGGCGGTCAGAGCTGCCGTCCACACCAGTGCACATTACAGTGCCATTGACCGGACAACCCCCATGTACAGCCGTCTTGTCACGACGCTGGGTCCTCCCAAATCGGGCAAAAGTCTCCCAAGAATATTAATATAATCCGAGAATTACAAAGATTTATAATGTAAAGTTGTGAAAAACACGTTTTTGAGCGGTTACGTTGCAAACGCTGCCTAACCTTACGACATAGATCAAAATTATGTACTACAGAATTGTATATCTTAAGATCTACAAAAAAGTCCGCGATGGTATGTCTACCTCCTAAGGACATCTTACATTAACCATCTTTATCTTTTAAAAATTACAAAAAAAAGGGATATTTACGAAGCTATTTTGTACACTACAGTGTTATTACCTTGTGTGGAGGTGGTAGATTATTATTTCTTATCCAATTAAATACGTTAGATACGCTGTGCATTGAATGTAGATCAAAATTGCCCTTTACAGCATATCAATAAAATTAATATCTTGGCCGATATGAGTGATTTAAAATGCGGGGACAAAGCGGCCGTCGTCGGGCTGTACGTCCGTCCCGGGTGGCAGCGGCCGTCAGGAGAGGAGCAGGCTTATAAATATTGTGTATAAAGATATCCTGTAGTATAATCTTATCATAATAACCATATAATTAATTACTACAACTGACACCGCATTTACAGTATTAGTAGTATCTACATTGCACCCATACGAAGCCGGGCGGATCGCTAGCAATATAATAAAGCTGAAGTTTGTTTGGTTGAATTGAAAAATTATATTTATTAAGGAAGGATATATAACATCACTTTACCACCAATCAGAGATGAGAATCAAAGATTTGCAAAAATGGGGTAAATTTATTCCTATTTAGATACACAGATCAAGTTCTGCAGGTCAGCTAGTCCATATCTATAAAAGAAGAAACTGACAGACTGATTCACTCAGACTCAAAATATATTTATGACTGTAGACGCTAAAGTCATAGATCAACACTCCTCACACCAACAATCTCTGTTTAGTCAAATATTTAGCAAAATAAATATATAGGTATCAAAAATGGAACATATGCCTGTGCCAATCTACAACCTTCCGTTTCCAAACATTGAGCTACGGTTGAGCCTTATGAGAAGAAAGGGCAAACTCAAACTTTTCTTATAAGACAGTATACACAAATGTGTGGTAATGGATTAAGAATTCAGAGTATCACCATCCCTATTCATCCCGTGGGTGTCATAAGAGCCGACTAAAGGAGCAAATTCTGCAGGACCAAAGCACTATAAGGAGAAGGAAAACTTGTAACAAATCCTATACCAACCCGTCTGGCCCGCATGGTATAGTAGGCCAAAACCTAATTTCTAATGAGAAGCCTATGTCCAGCAATGGACTATTAAAGGCAGTATTGTATGTCTGACACATAACACCATCGAGTTTCAAACTAAGCAGAGCTTGTACTATGAAAACACACCAACTCTGCAACACATATTTGCAGATCATACAAACATTTGGTCCGACCCAGAAATGAAACCTTAGACCTCGCACAGCAGTCAAATTGTCTACCACTGCATTTTGGGTTTAAGTTTAAGAAAATTAACTAACTTCACATTCCAGGACTATGTTGGTGGCCATTTATTATGCTTTCAGACATCCTCTGCAAAGAGGGCTGTCTGTCGCATTAATGGTGAATAGTTGTCGGTTCGGGGCTAGGTATCCTGCTGTTATAGTTGCTACAACTTTACGAGTGTATAACATTTATACATAACTATATCATGTATTGTGAATCCATCAATCATTTATTTATTGCTGAACATAACACATAGTCATGTAACATGGGACTAATCCCACCCACACGCCCACCACTGTAACTCCTGTACACCAGGATCCTCAGCAGTGTCCCTAACACACCGAGTTATGACACTCGGGAAGTCCCAGGAAGAAATTAAACTGTCTTGGAACCCGCAACAAAATTAATCAGAAGAAAATTGGAGGAGTTGGAAATACAGTAAATCCATCCAGTGTCCAATGTAACATCTAAGGTCTTATTGGATACAAAGTAAATCATGTCCGGCCCATTAAAGTATCCAAAATTAGAGTTTTAACAATATATCACATTATAGAATTATACAATCATATCCATAAAATTGGGACATCCGACAACCGTTGGGGTAAACAAGTTCTTGAGTGAGTCTCTGCAAACGTAGTGTAGGACTCCCACAGGCCAACAGGTCAGTTGGAGTGACGATTTGTGCAAGATGGCTGGCAAGAGCTGGATGCAAGAAGCCCAAAATCAATCTAAGTAGCGTGCAATGGGAGAGGCCTATGTCCAGCAGTGGACTGCGATAGGCTGATGATGATGATCATCCATAAAATTTTCAAAATTTGTCAATAGATACAAATAAAAGTTCAATAGGGTTTCACACAAAACAAGGTAAAGATGTTTTTTTTTCAAATAAGCTAGTAGTATTTGCTGGAGAAGCTATAAAAACAAATTGTAGATAAATTTTGAGCATTTTTTAATAAATTTTAAACTATTATGAATATCTCTCTTTAAATATGAAAATATTTAAACACCAATACCAGCCAATGTTATAAAAATACATATAAATTTCAGATATATATATATTGTGAAAAAGAAAAAGATAATTTATGCAACTTACAATCTTGTACACAGCCGCTATCGTTAAATTCGGGCATTGGTGCACTTTCAGGCTCTAAAGATCCCATTTTTGAAAAAATATTCAGGATATTGTTTACGATAATATATTTATGATCACTGAGTAACCATCGTTATTTCACGTTAAACTCGCACAACAAAGGAAGCAAAAATAAACAAAGGAATGATCCGCAACGCAGGAACAGATACACTTAATTATTTTTGGAATGATTCCAAAATAATTTCAGAAATTACGATTTTATTTGTTCCGACATACCGACACTACCAAAAAACATGGAGGTGAAAACACTAGAGCTGGGATAAGGTGACGAAAATGTTAAACATACTCGGTTTTCTTATAAGTCTTAGTCGATTGATTAAACCATTTTAACTTCATTACCATTGTAGTATTGTTTTAATTCATTAAATTCATATTTAAAATGATAGTTCTGCTATTTTATTAGGAAGAAGCTAATGTACCTTCATTTTGAATATAAAACGGTTTGTGGACATCTTGACAACTCAAAAACTGTGCTATTGTGTATTTGGCATAGTTTTTAGGTTCATTTTCATTATATTAAATTCAAAAGAACTATTACAATTTTAGTTAGGTACATTTTCTAGATTTAATTTGTTTTGTTTGTTACGATTTGGTGGTGTCATTGAATTGATCATCTTTTACTCAGTCCCACTTGTATAGATTGTGTAAAAAGCTTGATATTTGTTGTATTGAAATTATAATATACATCGAAGTTGATGGTTTTTATGGTGAAGATTTTTGATGGGATCAGGATGAAATTTCAATTTTACTTTCAATCGATGGCTAAGCAACAAAAAAGAACTGTCAAAATCTGCCATAGTGATCTGTGGGAGATTTTGACAGTTCTTTCTTTCGTCTTTCTTACGTCAAAAAGCACGTCGTGATATTGTTGTTACGAAATTAAGAAAATATTATGGCGAAATCACTCAGAAGCCGATGGAAGCGAAAATGCAGGGCGATAAAACGCGAACGTTATGCTGTGAAAGAATTGGCGAGACTCAAGAAAATGTTGGGTATCAAGAACGAAGAGTCAGGTGAAAAGTCCACGACAGAAGAGGTTATGGATTCCGATCAAGTAATATTTTTAGACGCTGGTGAAATTAAGAAACAAAAAGAGGCAAAGAAAACAGTTGTAGAGGAAGAAGACGTTGAAATGAGTTCTGATGATGAGAAAGTTACTGTAGACACCGACGATGGCAAAAAGCGCGTTTATTCAACAAAAACATTGAAAGATCAAAACGGCCAGTATCCCGTATGGTTGCACAAGAGAAAAATCGCAAAAATGACTACAACTGGTAAGAAAAACACGAAGAAAAGGTCGAAAAAGCGAAAACGATAGTCAATAAATGTGTAGTGAAAAAATTGTTTTTTTTTTTCAATAGATAATAAAATGTAATTCCTTGTCTTTGGACATACTAACTATCGGTCATTTTGATCATCAATATTTGTGTATCCTATTAGGTAATTTATGAGTGTTGATTAAACATTGGTGGGTTGAAGTCGAAGGAGTTATAAAAACAATCAGCCTATGAACACAGATGGTGTAACCTGGTTGAAACGGGATGTGTGTTCTTTAGTGTGATAGATAGATATAAAACTCTTTATTTGTACACTGTTTCACATAATAGTATGTATTAAGTTGTAGATGTGTAATGTACAAAGGGTGGCCTTATTGCTAAAAGCAATCTCTTCCAGGCAACCTTAGGATGGATCACAATGTTGCAGAGAGACAGTGGTAGTTCAAGGTGCAATGAGTTTTGACAGATTAAATGTGAGAATTGTAGTGTTTATGTTATTCGGTAAAAACAGATTTTGCTACAGTAATGTTTGAAACGTTCATCAACAGCCTTTAATAGTCTACTGCTGAATAAAGGCCCCTCCTTAGAAAGGAGGTTTTGGCTTACTATACCACGCTGGCCAGACGGGTTTGTATATGGTTTGTGTCAAGTTTTCCTTCTTTTTGCAGTGCTGGTGTCCTGTGTTGCATGACACCCACGGGATGAATTGGGGTACACGGAAATGTTATCCTGACTTAACATTATTTTACTTTTACCTCTCTAAAGCACAACTTTTATATAAATTTTATGCTGCGGTAATGCACACCTCAGGATCGGGTTCTTGTGGCTGCTTCTAGTGAAAACAATTATGTAATATAATATGGTAGGCATACACATATATATATATAAATGTATGTATCTATATTCCTATATTTATATATCTTTTTACACATCTCACACACGGCTGTCTGGTCCCAAACTATGCAGAGCCTGTGCCATGGTAACCAGACTGCTGATAAACTACATTATAACTATTAAATACAAACGTAAAAAATAAATATGTACATTGTACACACATAAATCACTAACTATTACCTTCTAAGAATTTTTTTGTAGCTGTTTTAAAAGCATATATCTTTTCTTTTTTTCTTTTTTTTTTTTTAAAAAAGACCTCCCGCATTGGGTAAATATCCTGTGTCGCGGGGGACTTTACAAACATACATGAAACGGACACAAAGAACACCCAGACTCAGAACAACAATTTGTGGATCACACAAAGTGTCTTCCCATGTGGGGTTTGAATCCACAACACTCAGCGTAGTAGGAAGCGGCGTGGCGACTGCTTAAACCACTACGCCATCCGTGCAGTCAAATTATCAAATTGTCAATACTTGATGTATCTGTAGAAGAAGTGCTTTAAAATTAAAAATTGTGTAATAATCCAGTAAGTACATATATGTCATGGCACAAATTTTTAAATCATGACAAGTTTAAGTTGTACGGGCCACCGAAAAAAAGTGTGTGTGTGTGCAATTAACACACTGCAGTAGTGAAACTACCGAAAATGTTTTCTTTATTTTTATCTCACAAAAACCCTTATGAATCGAACCTACTAAGGCAGCGTTTTCCAAATTCCACAATTCCACGTCGCGGATACCAGCTAGTGTTAAATCTATACTTACAAATAAATAAAATTGAAGTGTCTGTTTGTAATGTCAAATAATAGGTTTTTTCATGCTATAACGGTTATTTGTACGATACGTATGCCTTAAACAAGTTTAAATATTTTTGTCTGGCAACAACAAACAGAAAGTTTGTTTCGGGTAATCTTCAAAACGGATGGACCGATTTTAATAATATTTTACTACCAAGTAGCTGTATACATGTATAAGGAGTAACATAGGCTATTTTTTCTCAGTAAAACCCTATAAAATTTTGCTTGGTCCGGGAATCGAACTCACTAAGGCAGCGCTCTTCAAATTCCACGAGAACGAAGTCGCGGGCACCATCTAGTAAAAAGATAAAAATATCAAAATATATTAAAAATAATGTGTAACGTATTCTATCTCATTCTCTCGCCGACTTAATCCTATACATTTATGTGTTTATTCCTTTATCGTGACGCATTTTCGTTTCATCGAGTTCAAAATGACAACCATTCTAAAGAAATTTCACTTTAAAAATCAATACCCCTTTTGGAGCAGGCTGCTGCCAGCGCTAAGCGCCATCTTTGGGCAAGAAGTGGTCCTTAAATTTTCATCTCGCTCTTTCACATTCTCACATCGATCTGAGATAAGTTATTTAATCTGTCTCGTGCAGCAATACTACGGGTCGATAAGGACCCATCTGTTTAGGCTGTTATTATTGATTGACTCTACAGGGCAAGTATGAACGATATAGTTATACTATTTTTCGCTAGATGGCGCGGAATAATGTTTTATGTAAATTAAGGCTGGATTCGCTTTGGGCAAGAAAAACCGTTGTGTAGTGCTTAGGGGCTTGTCAGTGGTCATAACCGCAGTTACACTGCTGGCTTGTTTAATAATCAGTTCTGTCTTTACAATAAGGGCACCCTGGGCCCGGCCACGCGGGCGTTGAAAAGCAAATACATAGAGATATATTTTCACTTACACTATACATTTTTTAAATATTTTATATATTAGATCAACATAATTCGACAAAAATAGATAGCTAACAATATTTATTCAATCATTTTGTTTCGCTGTCCAACAGGGCCGTATATTCTTAAGTGCTCAGGAACCCCGGCATGGCCTAAGACGGCGTTGATTATATCCACAGTTGTTTTATCAACTGTTGTTTCAATAAGTTTGGAGACTAGACAAGAAAAGTCCAGGAATTCATTTGTACCCAGCCAACAGATTTCAATCTATAAATATCCTTACCTCAAGTCCGAAGATGAACACCTCTCAGAGACTCTACCAAAAAATGGAACCTCGTCTCTCAAAGATGATCTTAAATATGGTACCAGAAATCAGTCTAATAAAGAAGACTCTTCAAAGAGGTACCCAATACAAAGACATACACTGCAACCACATATGTTACAATCGAATAATCAATTTTTAAGTGAAAAGGAAGATGTATTAGAAAGAGATAACAAAATTGTTACGAAAAAAAGGGCCACAAGGTACGTAGAAGTATTTTTGGAACGAAGTTCCTTATCGCGCGTTGTGAAAGGGGGCTAGACGGAAAAAAATCTTACGAAAATTGGTCACGACACTTTTTATTTTGAATTGTCACTTGTCAGTCATTCAGCGCCATCTATCGAATAGTAAAATTAAAATGTATGTTCTTAGGTTGAGCAAAAAATATTGTATTCGACATCATTTCTCAAGGAGATTTTACCAATGTATAAATTGTTTTAATTAGAAACCAACTGAAAAATATGTAGGTAATAGCCGCTTTCATAGATGGCGTTGTAATTAAAATCGTGTCTAATCAGTTTTACTCGATCGTAACAACTTCGTTCCTATCGGGTGTCCCACGACACCACACGGCTTTTTTTTTATTACAGGAGGATAAACGAGCAGATGAGGCACCTGATAGTAAGTGATAACCTCGCCCACGAACACCCGCAACTCAAGAGGTCGGAAGCGTGTTGTGGCCCTTTAGGTAAAGGCAACCCCGTCCCCCCCCAAATCAGGTAGGGAGGGACATAATTTTTTTTACCTTCCATTACACCACCAAGACAGCCCCTCTCGTCGTCCTGCACAGGGGTAGATAAGGAAGAGAAAACGCGGCGCGGGCCTCTCTTCGCTCTGGTCCGCACCGCAAGATAAGTTTTTCTCCACCTGCCACGGCCGCCGCTCTGATCAAAGCCTCCAGGATTCCGCTTTGAGTTTAAAACTCTCCAAAAATTCGAAAATCATAATTGTAATATTTTTGCAAGTTCAATTTTAACTGTAAAAGTGTCCTGAGTGGATCGAACACGGCTTTGCAAACGAAGCCGACCCCGCTGACCTTTTTCGAAATACTCATTTTTATATACCTGTACTTAAATTCACAAAATATCTTACATATAAAATTCTCGTGTCACAATGTTCGTTCCCGTACTCCTCCGAAACAGCTTGACCGATTCTCATGAAATTTTGTGTGCACATCGGGTAGGTCTGAGAATCGGCCAACATCTATTTTTCATACCCCTAAATGGTAAGGGTGACCCATCCCTAATTTTTTTTTGTTTTGCAAAACAACGTTTCCGGGTCAGCTAGTAACTAATAAAATGTAGACTATTTTGTTCTGTCGTTATCCTGACAAATAGACCTAACAACACATGATTACAGTAGGTTATATTTACAGGATTATGCAAAGAAAGCCCAGAGGGTATAAATCTACAAGATTGATTAATGAAAAGAGAACTAAGTATAAAAAGGGCAAAGACATGGAGAATATAGACAAGGATAGAGTTAATCATAAACAAAAAAATATAATACGCCAATCGAAAACCCAAACTAAAAATAAAAATTACGAAATAGGAGCTATTGGACTGTATATTAATACTTCCCATCAAGTTCTTTATAATGACACACATTATTCACCTTATTTCGATCAACTTCTTGGAAATTACGATATTAATTCTCTGTGGTCGAATCAGAAAATTGCAAAAAAGTTTGATGAAAGTTTTAAATTGCCGCCATCATCGTTGAACAGGCAAATATTGAAACCATTGTCACGAAACGGAAATAAGAATATGCTTCATACAAAAGTCAACCAGGCTCCGTTGGCATTGGCTTTCCATGGCTTCACAACGCAAACGGATTTATTCTTCAAGGATACAAAGAAAAAAAAAGGTGAAAAACTCAATCAATTTGTTCATTTGAATAAAACGCCACGCCAAAACAATGTTTTACCAAAATTAGGTTATGAATTAGATTCTAATCTGCGACTAGTAATATCCAATATAATGTCATATATGGGTTATAGAAATGCCGAAGAAGAAACTTATAGTAAAAATAAAGAATTTGGCAGACACTCCTATTTACCACATGGTTTAATGGATTGGATGGGAGAGTTAAGAAATAAATCCAAGACCAAAATAAAAACTATAATTGAAGAGGACGTTGTAAACAATATTAAGAAAATATTTAGCGTTAAGCAACAAATAGATCGATTTGTAAATAAAACAAAAGAAAAAGTTAACCAGGAAATCAAAGAAATTTTAGAACAAGAACAACCTGTTATTGTTGCGAATGTGTCACAAAGTAATACATCTAAAAATGCGAGCGTTAGAAATAAAGACTTTGATCTATGGCATCCGTGGATCCATAGAGTAGAAGACGATGTCAAAGTTAATTCTTTTATCAAAGAGATTTCTAACCGCAATCTGAGATTATTCATGTCAGTTGGAAGGAAAACAAAAAACAAGAGATGGAAAAAGAAACTCGAAGATCTAGCAGAGATGTATAAAGATAAATTTAATGATTTCATTATTGAGACAAGTCAACATAATATTAAAAGTAGAAGGGGAACTGAAAGAGTAATTCTTAATTCCGTTGATGTGTCGAACTCTATCGTAAAAAGATTAGTCAATTTTGTTACTGATGAGGTAGATAAAAAAGGTTCATTAAGTAATAATAGTGAGGTACTTAGGCTCATTGACAAAGAATTGAAAAAAGAAACAAAAACAGAACTGAAGCGGGCTTGTTCAAAATTAAATATTTGCAGAAGTTCGAATGGAATGTCTACTTTTTTAGCCGACATGACAACAAAAATAGTTGGTCTTGAGAAAGCTAAATTCAATGAATCTTTCAATAACTTAGTTCAGGCTATTAAAAAAGAAAATTATGATGAAATTTTAGATGTACATACAGATAAAGGCATACAAGAAACTATGCGGCATTATGAGCGCTTGCCGCTATTATTTCAAATGGCAGCAATGTCCGCCATTAAAAATATGTTAACAAGTGTTAATAAACCATTTGTTATGTACGATGACATAATTGTTTATCAATTAGATAAAACTATGGCGTTTTTTGAAATCGTTAAAATTTTAGACGAAAAGGTACCGAATAGTGTGGATAATATCAACACGTGGAATAATATTACAAGTCAAGATATCACCAATCCTGATACTATGACAGAATTTGTATCTCACATGAAAAAAGTGATCACAGAATTAGATGACAATACACGTAATGACATTTTAAAGCAATGTAAAATAATTTATCCGTGATCAGGCGATCTTGCAAAAAAAAAGAGGTTAAGTGTTGTGATCATAAAAATTAAAAAGTAAGTTAGTATAAGAACATAATAATAAAAATCTTTATTAATTCAATAAAATAACTATAAATAGTACTAAAATGGTGGCAACATTGTGATTACTTATGTATTCGATCTCCATAAAATGGTATGCGATGAAACCAATCATCATCATCATCAATCGCGGCTGTTGATGATGATGTGAACAGCTTTTAATAGTCCACTGCACTGCTGGACATATTAAGCCTCTCATTAGAAAGAATATTTGAAACCAATGATGTTAGAAAATTTATTACTTGTTGGCAATTTTTAAAAAATCCTGTTTGAGAAATCAACTAATAATTTAAGAATTTCATGGAATATTAACAATAAGAATTTACAACTCAAGGATACGTTCTTAAAACTAGAGAACCTTTCGCTGGCAATAGCCTTTCAAAGTTTTCTACTATGAAAATGTTTATTTAAAATTACTCTAATTTGAAACACCAAATATACATAAACAGACCGTAGGCTATCAAACTAGGTTCTGGTAATCATCTCACATTATTTTTACGACTGTTTATAATAAGTAGCTGGATGACCGAGCTTTGTTCGGTATTTTTGTTTTCGTAAATTTTCTAAAAATAAAACCTAGCTACATCGATTAATCGCCCCCGAAACCCGCTGCATACTAAATTTCATGAAAATTGTTGAAGTCGTTTTCGAGATTCGAATCATATCAAATCAACAGCCTTTAATAGTCCACTGCTGGACATAAGCCTCTCCTAAAAGGAGGTTTTGGCCTACTATACTGGGTAAGTCGACATAAATACTTTAAGGAATTATAGTTGCCATCATTTCTGATAGATTTCCCTATTAACAATATTATAATAATAATAGCCTTCATTTAACAATCTTTCTTACAATATAGTAACAATAAAATAAGTGTAACTGTGTATTGCTGTCCAGCGGGGGAGGCCTATCTCCCCTAGAGTTCTCCATCGAATGCGATTCTGCGCTTGTCTTTCCCAAGTATGTCCCTCTATTATGCATAAGGCGAGGGATCTACGGATTAGAGATCCTGCAATCTTTGGATAGGATTTGGAGTGAGACGCCAGTAGCTCAAAGGGGCCGAGTGACGTTTCTGTGACTCCGTCGACTTCAACTGCTGATTAAAATTCCCCCTCCTGATCCTCCTAAATTTTGCGGATACACTCCAAACCCATATACTTGTAACTCTTGAGTCGCAGGGTTCCATGGGCAGCTTGAGTCATTTTATATGAGGTAATTTGCCTTTTAGTTTTTCTTAAACCATTATATTGTTTACGTAGAATAGCCATACTCATACTATCTCTGTGATACCTTAGCCATACACAAAACCGGTGTTAAGCTATTCCCTAGTTGCTATCCATCGAGCAAGTAAGGTTAACGGCACCCAAAACCCTCCTCTCCCTGATTCTAGGGAGGAGGACTCAAGGGGCCTCAACTAACTTGTAACTAGTGAGTTGCAGTTGTTCTTAAGCGGTGGTAATTACTTACCACCAGGTAGCTAAGGAAAGGCCTATGCCCAGTAGTGGACTATTAAAGGCTGTTGATGATTGATGAGGTAACCCTCTGCTCGTTTGCACCATCTTCAATAAAAAAAAGAATGCTTGTCACTCGTGAGTTGCAGGTGTTCTTAAGCGGTTATAGTTTTTTTTCTTTTTAATAAATAAATATTATTGTACCACATTCACACAACGCCATCTAGTCCCAAACTAAGCAGAGCTTGTACTATGGGTACTAGACAACTGATATAAATACATATATACTTTTTTTGTTGTAAATACATACTTATTATACATAGAAACACCCAGACCAAATCAAACATTAAATGTTCATGCACACAAATGTTTGACTTGAGCGGGAATCGAACCCGCGACCTTTTTGATAGCAGTCCGTTACACAAACCACTACGCCATTCGGTTGTCTAAAACACCGACATTATTTGCATATTTTTTTTTAGTTACTTACCATCAAGTGACCCTCTGCGTTTGCCTCCTACGTCATAAAAAAGAAAAGTAAAAATATCAATGTTGGAACCAATAAAACAAATTACAATCAAGATAAAACTATTTGCGAGTTATACAATATTTGAGTAAAGGATTTAGAGTTCATACAATTAATAACATCCTTAATATGCTGCACAAAAGCTAACATTGTTTCTTTTACATTGTCGTCACTGCCTTTAACAAAGTTGTTTAGTTTTCCATTTAAATCCATCCATACTTTAAAATTTTTATCACTTTCTGGTACATACTTGTCTAATATGTTAACGATTTCAAGCAGAGCGATCGTTTTATTCACTTGTCCAACATTGCTATCACCGTACACAATTAAAGGTGAATTTCTTTTTGCAATTATACTTTTAATTACCATAACTGCAGATCTTTTGTACATGAGCTCTTTATTTTTAAATTTCTCGATATGTGTCTTTAATGTTTCATCAGAATTCTCACCCAACGTCTTAGACCAGTCGGTGTTTTTAATAGCAGCGGTCAAAGAGTTATATGCCATTTCAAATTTTTTATCGCCTTGACTTAATATCGTTGTCAAGAAATCGATAACGAACTCTGTGAAACCATTGCGACTTCTACAAATACCTAGTTTCAAACATGCTCGTTTGAGCTCGGCTTTTGTTTTTTGTTTTAATTCTTTAGCGATGATATTTAGAGGGCGAGTATTTCGTAGATGCCCTTTCTTGTCCATATCATCTAGTACATAGTTGAGTAATCTCTTTATAATGCGGTTAGATACTTCAATACAGTTCAGAATTACTCTCTCCGTGCCCATCCGACTTTTGACCTTGTGTTTTTTTGTATCCTCAGAGAATTTATTAAATTTTTCTTGGTACGCTTCTGCCAATTCTCTAAGTATCTCCTTCCATTTCATATCTTTGGTTTTCTGTTCAACTGCATAAAATAAATCAATGTTGCGGTTCAGAGTTCGATTAATAAATGAACTAATTTTAGCATCGTCTTTTACTCTATGGGCCCAGGGTTGCCATAAACTAATCGTATCATTGTCAATGTTCTCATAATCTGTAGACTGGTCCTTTAAATTATGAAACCACACTTTCTGAGCATTGAGAGCATTATCGATTTTTTTGTGGAAATCCTCTTTAGTTTTATTTATTATTTGTTGTTGCAATTCTTGTTTCGCTTCGTGTGATACTTTTTTCATATTAACATTATTTTTATTTAAATCGCTTTCTGACGTTTTTTCATTTCGAATGAACGGTGTAGATTGGTCATTTTCATTTTGAAAATTCTTAAATATTTTGTTTATATACAATGACCTGTCTGCCGTCTCAAAGTAAGTATTGAAGTTACGACCAAAATGTTGATGGTTTCTATTTCTTAACACATAGGACTGTGGCTGTGATGTATTTTTTAAGCTAGATGAAACTTTGTTTGAAAGCGAAGAAACTTGGGCGGGTTGCTGAATATTTTTGTTTTTAGAATTGCCGGTTTCTTTAATTGACATTGTACTGTTACTGACAGGTTGAGCGCCATTTTTATTTTGATTGAATTTGTTTTTATTGGCGTTTTTTGGGATTATTTTATGCCCTTGGAGGTATATGGTATGTATTTCGCTGTCAGTTGGCGGCAATTTCAATCTATCATCGGTCATGTTAAGTTTTTCAGGCCACAGATGGTTTTCAATAAAGGAACTGTAATGTTGTGTATAATGTGATGAATGATGAGTGTTTATGTCATGAAAAGAGTCATTAAGATAAGGATTAATTTGATGTGATCTAAAGTACATCTCATTTTGACCGTTCCTTTTTTTCGATTCTCGATTACTATGTTTTTGTCTACGATGCTTAGTACCACGCTCTTCTGTTTTTTTCTTATAGGTAGTTGTTCCTTTTATATGTTTTGTATTTTGTCTCGTAGTAAACTTTCCCTTTTCTCTCTTGTGCTTTGTTTGAGGAGTCCTATAAATAGAAGGGTTTCTTTTTATCTTTTTGTCAATTTCGACAAGGAAAAAGGCGGGAACAAACGCCTGTCATTCAAATGTCAAAGCTTTAAATAAAGATAAACTCTTTGTAGATATTTCTTACCACTTAGATGTTTTCATAGCTTTGTTAGTATTGCTGTCACTGTCTGACACATCTTTTTCATAAAAAGCAGGGGCTTCACGACCATAACTTTGTATTGGATACCAATTTGAAGGATCTTGTTTCTCTGAACGTCTTTTATTATTAAATTCTAAATTTTTATCTGTTTTTAATGATAACGATGTTACTGTTGATGTTAAATCTGTAATACAATTTAAAATAGAAAAAAATATAGCAGTTCAGGGCTCATACTTCAAGGCTGCAGTAAGGCTGTGCAGTTTAGCGAAATCCCTTCAAAATTTACAGCTAAGAACTTCCATGATTACATGGGCTTTCGAATAAAAAAATCCGCATCGAAATAGGTCCAATAATATACCTCACATCTCACTAAATTAAATTTTTAATTACATACATACATATTACAGATAAATTACAATACATACGTCAAATACATATGTATTACAAATAAAGTACACCCAGACATAGAACAAATGACCCACAACCTCCGGTTTAGAAGTCAGGGTCACTAATCGCTAGACCAATAGGTTCGTCGAAATGCCCTATAATGCCACAGCCAGACAGATACACGGATACACAGGTTAAACTTACAACACCCCTCGTCTTCCGTCGGGGGTTAAAAAATGGTTTATAGTATTGCAGTTACAATGAGATAGATGGATACTACAAACTTATGTACAATGGGGGGGGAGGGTGGGGGGGCATTTTTGCTAAAAGCTATCTCTTACAAGCAATCTTTGAATGGACAACTCGACAATAGATAAAAAAGACAAAAATAATAACAGTCTATGGTTAAAGTTTTTTGGCGGTATCTCCAGTGCTGTGTCAGCTGTATAAAAAATTTAAAGTGTCAAAAATACCAGGTTCCACACATATCAAAACTGAAAAGACCAGAAATACAGTACTATCTATTTCCCTTGCTTATTTCGTGTTTCTAACTTTGAAAATTAAGAATTTACATACAACCCTTCATCCTTTATTTTACTCCGCTTTGAGTTGAAATTGCCAAAAAATCCTTGTGGGTGGGTACGACTTAAAAAGCTGCCAAAATTTCAAGTTTGTAGTTTGAGGTTTAGGTTTTGAGTTAATGTATCAGTAAGTTAGGGCAAGTTATTTTATGTGTAGGTATAGATTGACGCTAGATGTTAGAAGTATGATATTCACTCACATAAAAATTCTATAAAATAATACATTTTCCATTCACTCTACAGGTAACGCAATAAAAAGGTAAACTAATTCATAAATAACTACAATTTATTACATTTATATATTTGATTTTATATACGTATATAATTTTATTACAACATATTGTTTATGATTTATGTCATAGACTAGAATTTATGCATAGCTTCACCTGCGTATAGTAGTATTTTCGAATTTCAGATTTTATATTTTACAGTTTTTTTTCAACCTCCTTTCTAAGGAGAGGCTTATGTCCAGCAGTGGACTATTAAAAGCTGTTGATGATGATGATGATGATGACAGTTTTTTTTTCGGTTAAGGGTGGGTAAAAGGATCACTAATCACTCCCACACGCCCACCACTGTAACGCCTGTACACCGGGATTAACAGCACTGACCCACGAACACACCGAGTTATGACACTCGCTAAGTCCCAAGAAAAAAAAATAAACTGTCTTGGAAACCGCAACCAAATTAATCAAAAGAAAATTGGAGGAGTTGGAAATATAATAAATCCACTTCTCTCCTTAGCGAAATGGGTAGAACGAGCAAGCAGGTACCTTACTTGAAAGTCACAACCGCCGCACATATTCCAGTCTAATGTCACAAGTCTCTCTCCAAGAAATAGCTTGTGGGAGATTTTGGGCTGCAGTTACCGCACACACTCGGTGAAAAGTAAAGAAAGAACTGCTAACACAGGTTTTCTGTGAGCCGTGGTATCACTCCGGTCGAGCAGACCTATATATGATGAAACATGGCTCTTCCACGGAAGTGTAACAAGGTACATGATTTTTAATATCTTTGTTCCTTGTTAGCCAGCCTTTATTATTCTACTGCTGGATATAGGCCTCTCCTTAGAAAAGAGGTTTTGGTTTACTATACCACGTTGGCCAGACGGGTTGGTGTAGGGTTTGTGTCAAGTTCTAGTTCTCTTTGCAGTGCTGCTGTTGTCCTGCGTAGTTAGCTCTCTTAGTCGGTTCTTATGACATCCACGGGATGAATAGGGGTGGTGACACTCCGTATTCTTAATATACATACACGGATATTTATGAATTAAAAATTTAACAAGGATTTGAAATTTGTCTTCCAAGCACCAGCACTTGCATTTGATACCCATATTCAGGGAGTTGTGAAAAAATATATAATCCCCCATTTGTGGCGGCGGCCATCTTCAACCGATTTCTATCAAACATAGCTAAAAACACTCCCGACTAATTTACCTTTCAAACAAAAAAAAACCAAAATCGGTTTATCCGTCCGGGAGCTACGATGCCACAGACAAACACCCACACACACAGAGACACGTCAAATTTATAACACCCGTCGTTTTTCCGTCGGGGGTTAAAAACAGTTTTTAATACACGCAATTTTTTATTGTTACTACGGCTCTTATCGCGTTTAAATAAACAATGTTTTATTATTTTGTAGATCTTTTTTGTAAGTATAATCTAAGAGTAAATATTTGTGTGTAGTAAATACAGTAAATATAATTATTGCTACATTTAAATCATAATCATTTGATAAAATAATTACTTTTGGTCACTGTGATTTCAAGTGTTATAATTCACTACCTAGATTTGGTCAAAGGTTCAAACCGACATCAAACGATCAAACCGACCGATTTTGTGAGTGAGTTTAATTGTTTTTATTAATTTATGTGCAAATTTACAGTCCATTGCCTTTCAATTATATACCCGTAGATCAGGGATTTAACATTGGTAAACCTCCATTGTAAGGAGAGGCCTATGTCCAGCAGTGTACTGTTAAGGGCTGTTTATGAAAGAATCCGGACATGTGCGAGTGAGACTAGCCCACCGAGGATTCCGTCCAAATTTGTAGGTACATATTTTTAATATACAGTTAAACCCTTCATCAAGAGTTAAGTGACCTGTTGCATCGGTCCCCCGCATCGCATTGCACTGTTTTCACACTACCTCTATAAGTTATTCCTCTAAGGTACGTTTTTGTTTTACAGATTTTATTTTAACAGTCCACTCTATGACACTGAAAATAGATGAACAATTTGAATTGAAAGTAAAATTGAAAAATTCTTCTAAACAGAACAGTGAGATGTCTTACGAAAATTACATATTATATGATAATTTACATTTTTCTGAAGATTTATCTGAGGTAATAAGCCTGGAAGTTACAGTCTCAAGCCAGACTGAAGGAAGGCATGCTGTAAAATCAGCAAACTCAATATACGATCAAGAATCGTTAGAACTATTTCGTACAAGTACAAAACCTTCATGGTTTAAAAAAAAGAAAGTCACGAAAAGCAATGGCAAAAATAAGAAAAAAATTAAACTCACTACGGGGTAAGTCAATATATTAATAATACTTTGATACCAGTTTTTATTTTCTACAATTATTTTTTTACTTTAAACCATTAACAAAAAACTTAATTTAATAAATGTAAGCTTTTTGACATCGCCAAAACCTCTGTCAAAAAATTATTGTCTTCTGAGGACAATAATTTAAGAGGCTGATATACTGGTGACTCTTAGTCACCAGTATATCAGCCACCCTTTTATTGTATCCGTGTAATTGTATCTGTACACTCCAAGGCATCCTCACAGACTACCATCTTAACTTTTTTATTTGATCTCATCCTCAAAGGGATAAGCAGAAGTGGGTTAAAACGCCCACTTGTTGCTGCCGTCAACGGAACACTTTAAGAATTAGTTGAACAACTGAAAGGCAAAGCTTCTAATAATAATAATAGCCTTACACATCTCACACAAGGCAGTATCATCTCAAACAAAGCAGAGCCTGTACTATAGTAAACAGACTATATTATATATATAGAGAGATTATATTCACAGTCTTTACTAGTCCACTGCTGGACATAGGCCTCTCCTTAGAAAGATACCTTAGAATATATATACATACATACATATTATATATAAGTTATATTTATTATATACCTACATACATATTATAGATAAATTACACCCAGACATGGAAAAAATTATCGTGCTCATCACACAGTATTTGTCCTCGGTAGGAATAGCCCCATGGCCTCCAGCTTAGCAATTAGGGTCACTAACTACTAGACCAATAGGCCCGTCAAACTGGGAAGTTCATCGTACGAAAGGAATATTGCTATTATTATAAGCCAACCACAGAGCTCGGCTAGACAGAGATAGAGAGGACTATCTATTATCCATCTCTCTCGTTGCCTATATTGCAAGATTGGGGCTCCAGTTCTCCCTATGTTATATCTCTATGGTTGCGTGCCTGTAACTGGAATTAAATTGACGGGACCTTCGATTCCTTTAACCAGTATGTGTTCATAAAACAATGTGAGATATCCATAAACAGATTACTACTATGAAATGTTGACCCATTTGGAGATATATTCGGACAAACGAGCAGTCGGGTCACTTGAGGTCCTAGTGTTAGTTTATTACATATCAACTCGCTCTCAACGGCGAGCGCGTTCGGCGTTGCAATTGGTGAAAATTTTAGGGCGGGCCAATCACAACTCCGAACGCGGTCACCGTGACGATCGAGTATATTATTATGTGAAAAAAAACTCACACAAGGCCTCCTCTGATGAAAAGTGGCAGATGTGTTGCCGCCTGCTGGCTTTTGAGTTCTTCCGCCGAATTAGAGAGAGATGGAGGCCTCCAACATCATCACTTACTTACATTCTACTTTCAATTATAAGAGGATATTTTATTTGCAGGAGTACAAAAAGAAAGACTATAAGTACTAGACAAGAGATTGACGGTACCAAGGCTTTGGATCTCAATAAGAATTATGGTTTTAACAGACGTTTTCACAAAGAAAATAATGTTACTCTAACCACCGTCAAAACTAATAACAAAATTAATAAGTCAAACGCCATCGGCATATATATAAATAATTCGCATCAAATATTTTACAACAAAACTCATTACTCAATTTATTACATTCCGCTCTATGGAAGTTACGATATTAATAGTCTGTGGTCAAACCAAACTACCGCGAAAGTGTTCGATGACAGCTTCAAATTGCCATTATCAAAAAATAATGAAAATATAACGAATACTAAAATTACCGGCTCTTTACGACGTTTTTATGATAAAGATAATTTAGGAGATCCTTTTAATCGAAGTAAATTTTTCCACAGACTACCAAAATCCCCTTACGGCACAGATTCATTCAGCCAAAGTTTTTTAGAAATAGTGAAATATTTAAGTTACGCAAATTTTGCTGGCAACAAAAGCCATTCTTATTAGAAAAATGAATGATCGATAGATATTTAAATAGTATAGAATTTTTGAACGAATTTCCTCATCGTGCGTTACACGTTTCGACCGGATAGGAGCGAGACCGAAAATTGTGTAACAAGACTTTTTTCCGACACTTCTTGTCCTAATTTCAGGGTTTAATTTATCAGTTATTTTATACAAAATAAATATATTTATATCTGTCCGTGTGGTGACGGATTAAGAATACAGTGTCAGAACCCCTATTCATTCATTCAAATTAACTCGTGATATTTTATTATAATGGCTGTACAGCAAACTTCTACCGAAAAGCGAAAGGAACTTCGTTCAGACCGGAGGTCCATAGACCACTCACGCCGTTTTTTTTTGTCACAGAAATGTAGCTTTGCATTGGATAATTTAATGGCAAAAATAAATAGGGAGTTCAGGAAACAGCCTAACTGTAATGAAACGGGCGTATCAAGTAATATTATTAAGATGTAAGATGTAACGAGGTTATAGCAACATTAATGAATAAATTAATCTTAAAAGCTTAAAACATGTTATTATAATAAAATATATAATATATTCTACCACATTCACACAACGCCATCTAGTCCCAAACTAAGCGGAGCTTGTACTATGGGTACTAGACAACTGATATAAATACATATATACTTTTTTTTTTTGTAAATACATACATATTATACATAGAAACACCCAGACCAAATCAAACATCAATGTTCATGCACACAAATGTTTGACTTGAGCGGGAATCGAACCCGCGACCTTTGGAATAGCAGTCCGTTACACAAACCACTACGCCATCCAGTCGTCGTTATTTGTAGAAACTTGTAATTAGCAAAAATTTAATCCTAATGATACAACATTGTTCGTAGTCTATGTGTCTAAGTGTATCTAAAAATAAATAAATAACAATAAATAAAACATATTTTACTTTACTTTATTACAGTGTTTACTTTATTAGTGTGTTTTTTATTATTATTATTTTTTCTATTTTTTATGTTTCACTTCATTTTCTCTTGTATTCGTTTTTTCTTCTTAATCTTGTTTTCTCTTCGGTGTTTTTTCACCTTTAAGTCCTTAATAACGGACATACTAGCACACATCAAAACAATGTTGTGATATATTTAATAGTGCCATTGTATCTACTTGTGAATTGCAAAAGAGCGGCCATGAGTTTGTTTGCCCTTTCTTCTCATAAGGCTCAACCCCTTGGAAACGGGCGGTTGTAGATCGGCACAGGCATATCATAGATTTTGTATGGGTTTGATTTTTGTTAAATTTATTTGGTTACATTTGACAAAACAGAGATTGTTGCTTTTGTGTGTGTTGATCTATGACTTTAGAGTCTACATGGAAGACGATTTCAAACAATTTTGGAAATTTTATGAAATAAAGAAAGTTTGAGTTTGAGTTTGAGTTTACATTTTTAGTGATTACCAGCCGCAAATTTCCGCCATCGTTTAACACGCCAAAATTTTCATCCTCATTACCTGGATAGTTGGCGCTCCACTACTGTGCGCTTTTCGAGACACTTTTTGCCCCGCACAACCAATCTGTGGAACGGGTTATCGTCTGCGGTATTGCCGGACTGATACGACCTTCAAACCTTCAAGAAAATAGCGTACTCCTTAATAAAAGGCCAGCAACGCGTTTGTAACTCCTGAGTTGCAGACGTTCATGGGCGGCGATAGTTACTTTCCATCAGGTGACCCGTCTGCTCGTCTGCCCCCTCTAACATAAAAAAAAACAAATTTTTAACCCCCGACTCAAAAAGAAGGTTTGACGTGTCTGTAGCATCGTAGCTCCTAAACGAGTCGACCGAATATAATGCGTTTTATTTTGTTTGAAAGCTGACGCAACCGAAATGGTTCTTAGCTATAATTTGTGAAGATCATCAGATTACTTATTGATTGATAAAGGGATCACAACTGCGATTGATTTTAAATTTAGTTTACGTACTGTTACTTTAGTGTCTGCAGCCATACCTTGGGGTGATACCGGTGTTGGGGGTGTTCCTAATTAGACGACTCACTGATGATCATCAAATTTCCTGAAGTCCTAGAAATCTCAAATTTGGTATGTTAGCTAATATTAGTACATAAACAACAAAAATGAACACTGGGCAATTTAATAAAACCCCCTCAACCCCTTAAACCAGGAGATGAAAGATGAGATTTCTGCATCTTTTAAAATCGATATACGGACTCGTGGTTATCTATACTAATATTATAAAGCTGAAGAGTTTGTTTGTTTGTTTGTTTGTTTGTTTGAACGCGCTAATCTCAGGAACTACTGGTCCGATTTGAAAAATTCTTATTATTATTCTCTTGAGTGTTAGATAGCCCATTTATCGAGGAAGGCTATAGGCTATATATCATCACGCTAAGAGCAATAGGAGCGGAGCACCAGTGAAGAGTGTTTCAAAAACGGAGAAAATTTATTACTATTGAGAGACGCAGACGAAGTTGCGCAGGTCAGCTAGTAATTAATAAAATGCATATTATCATAAGCAACTGACAAAAAGAAGTGAAATCCCATCAAAAATATTTTCATGTAAAAAGTTGGCAAGACGAGACCATATGGCTTGCACTGTCTCAAAAGGTTATCAGACCACATGATAAGCCAAGCTACACAACTCTACACGCCCTAACTGCACAAACTCAACACTCTAGTTAAAATATGTGGCTTGGCCGTTTCGTACACCACGTGAAGGTATTCTTGGCGTAGTTACATCGAGTGTTTGAAGGCCACATACACATGTAACTACTACTCTCTAAAATAGTCTCAAAGCTTGTAGGAGAGCCATGCTTCGGCACGAATGGCCCGGCTCGACCGGAGTAATACCACGGCCTCACAGGAAACCCGTGTTAAGCAATTCTTTTGTTGCCTTCAACTGAGTGAGTTAGGTTACCGGAGCCCAAATCCCCCTTCCCGTTGACTCGAACGGGAGGGACTCCAAGGGCAGCAACGCACTTGTGACTTTTGAGATTGTGTCCATGGGCGGCGGTAGTTGCTTACCATTAGGTGACCCGTCTGCTCGATTGATCCCTTATAACATAAACAAAAGGAACTTGGAGATCTGCAAATATAAAAAAAAATAATTAAAACTCAGACTGCTGGAAGACTATTGTACTAAACGGGAACTTGGACAGCTAACAGTTAATTAAAACCTCTCAAACGGTTTGAATTTCATTTAGGTTCACATCTTATCTCAAATTATCATGCATCGCGCATTGTTCATGCTCATACCGTGACATCTCAATTACACATTATAACAAGCCATTTTATTACTAATCAATATGGCCGACAAATATGTCGTTTACTTTTTAATGACAGTTCTTTTCTTTTTCAATGTTGCCAGTTACAAAATTTCCGAAGTTGACAAAGATAATAAATCACATTTAGAAGATCCGATTGTAAAAACATATTGTGCTAACAAGGATGTAGTTTGTCGTTCAAACGATTCTGTTATTTGTGCAATTCGATATATAAACGATAGCAGTTTTTATAAAGATTTCAGAAATCATTGCTATTTGTTTTTCAGTAACATATGTGGTAGTCGTGGAGAAGGTATGGTCTGTTGATTTAAATATAGTTTTAAATGTTAAGAAATGACCTTAAAGTTACTTTACGAGTTATGAAGGCGCGAAGTTTTTCTGCTGGATCAAATCAGAAATGAGAATATAGGTAGGCGTTCAAAGATTACCGATGCTGGCTAAAAGATCAGTGAGTTAAAATAGGAGAGAGCTGGGATACGTCGCAGAACGGACAGTTAATGGGGCCGAAAGGTGCTACAGTTCTAGAGGACACGCAGGGAAACGCAGTGTTGCCATTACACTACAATGGACAGACCTTAAATAATCGTGGATGATGCACATCAAACCGGTCTTGGGATACTTCAAGTTTTTGAAAGTAATTCGAGAGACTCGGGTTTGTTGCCACCCTCCGAAATTAAGGGGAAGGGGTTGGGAGGTAGCCTGAGTGAGGTCAGTGAAAAGAAGCGAAAGAATTGCTTAACATATCATCATCACCACCGTCAGCTCTGCTGGACATATATATATACATATAATGGTAGCATATGAAGGTAAGAGAAATAATAATAATTGGATTCATTTTTTATTTGCAGAGTTTCTCACGTTGACTGATGGTTCGTGTGAAGATTACTTAGCGTTGAGACGTAATGAAAAGGAAAATGGAGAAACGGCTGAGCCAAAAGAGACGACTGAGCTAAAAGAGATGACAGAGCCAGAAGAAACGACTGAGCCAAAAGAGACTACTGAGCGAGAAGATACGACTGAGCCAGAAGATACGCCTAAGTCAGAAGAAACGACTGAGCCAGATGAAACGACTCAGCCAGAAGAAAAGACTGAGCCAGATGAAACGACTCAGCCAGAAGAAAAGAATGAGCCAGAAGAAGACAAAGATCACGTCGATAGTGAAAATAATAGTACCGAAACAACTACTGATACCGGTAAAGCAACTATCACTTTTCAATTAAAAATAAGTTTTAGAGTTTAAGTTTTAAAACGAACAAACCAAATGCGGAGATATTACAAGTGGCGCCAAAACACGGACATTTCATCATCAACATCAACAGCCTTTAATAGTCCACTGCTGGATATAAGCCTCTCCTTAGAAAGGAGGTTTTGGCCTGCTATACCACACTGGCCAGACGGGTTGGTATAGGGTTTGTAAAGCAAGTTCTTTGTATGGTTTCAGGTGATTATTATTTTGTATGTTTTCGCGGTTGTTTTATGTTACGTTATTAGTTTTCTGTGTTAAAGACTTAACACAATGACTGAAACTGAAACCCGCTTTGTCCAAGCACAATCAAATAGTCATCAAACAAATAGACGTGTTTATGATGATCTTATATACATATAATTCTTTTCAATCTGAAATCCGGAAATAAAATTAGAAAGGTAAATAAAAATAGTTTAGATCTAGTAGTTTAGAACTAAATAGTTAAGTAGGTATATGGCGGAGGACCGATGTCTGATTTGTTTTTAAATACAGTGACGTCAGCTAATCTGACGTCATTCTTTAGATTATCGTGGTTTTCTGTGTCTGTCGTGGAATAAAACAAATACCTAAATAACTCCTTACTAACTTTTCGTAAATTAGGTTATGTTATCGTCGAAATTTGTAAATAAAAGTATGTGCAGGTAACTAAGTAAAAATTATCTTCACAACAGTATAAACAGCTAAAATACGATACATTGTCTCTTCTCATCGCCTTGCACCACTTTTTCTTTATACAATATCTTGCGGCATAAGGAAATTTACTTTGTCAAAAGCAGTTTTGATGTTATTTTTGCACGTATGAAAGACACAATATTTATAGGTAATAAACTTTTTCAACTTTCAGTAACTTTGTGAACCAAACACTGTAACAGTTATTTTTTTGGTATATTAGTAAAGCGACACCTGTTGGCCGCATCGCTTTGTTGTTGATTTATCTAAAGTAGTTTGTAGCTACGGTATTGATCTCCTTTGTTCACTTTCGGACCACTAGATGGCGTTGGTTTGAGACATAATAGATTGATAAAAAGACTTCCTTTTTTAATCTGTTTTGTTATTCTGTCATGTCAAATTGTATAGGTGTTGAGAGTGTTCAGCTATGGTGGAAAGCAAGTTACGTTTGATTTTGTTAGCGTTGTTTTCTTTCTCAATTTAAATGTCAAAGTGAAATGATGAAGAGGGGTTAATTTCTGGAAGATTCCTGAACCTAGGATATATAAGTCCGGCTTTCTGCCACGGGAGACACTCTGCTATCTCGTGTCTTCCAACCTAAAATAGTGTTTTGTTTGTCGTGTAATTTGAATTTCGTAATATGTAGTCTGTTATAATCTACCCACTAATGTGGTGAGTATTCTCTCAATTCTTCTTAAACCTATTTGTTTCTGGAACCTGTTTAATTTATATGAGTGCTAATCCATTCGTAGGGTCCCAGATTTCGGGCTCAAGACGGTCAGTCTCAGACGGCGTGCTTGCTCTTTTGTGGCCTTCTGGTACAGACTCAAGTTTCTTGGTACCCTCTGGCAAGGCTGGTGATTGCGCGGCTCACGACGCAAGCGGACAGCCGTACCCAAGAGTTACGTACTTAAACTTATAATTACAAATTTGTTAAACTTTTATCCATATCCAATATAAATAGCTGACTCGGGCGGAAGAGGAAGTAACCTCCTGGAGGGACGACGAGGAGGCACCGAGCACCATCAGCTCGGCTCTGACGCGCTCCGCTGCGGTTTTTTTTATACCCTCTGATTTTTTTTTATTGTAAATTTAATTTTGTTTTGAAATATACATGTATGTATGACTGAGGTGTAAGTTGTTTTCCTCTAAAGAGTCCCGTAGGTTTCCCACACGCACACACTTCTTTTCTCTTAGAAGGCGCCCTGAGGTAATCTCATAGATCTCTCCACTGGGTCAGCCGGTGAGTAGTCCGCCTGAGAAGAAAAGCGGCTACAAATTGGCGACCAACGTTTGGCCAGTGATCCAAACCTCTGTGTGTGTGCTGTGTGAGGGTGCCTGAGGGTATTCACTTTGGAGGAGACACTTCCCTCCGTCCGATACTCCCCAGGACGTTAATTGGTTGTGCGGGTGCAGTACGCATGTAATAATTTTACTCTCATTGTATTTTCAGCCTATCGTACCATCATCCCTGAGGCAAGGAAAATCAGTGAGACACCTAAATTCCAAATTTAACTCAAAATTCCTACTGCACATATTTCGGGTGAGTTTGAAACATTTTTTGGCCTAACTAGTTTTTTTCTTCTTTTTTTTTTGTGTTAGCTACTTCTGTTCGTACCTTTGAGGTCCGTAGCGTGAAGTTGTGCATACGTGTATATTCAGTGTGTTTTTTTATCCCAGTACTACTGGTGTAATTTACATGAAACTTAACTTATAAAGTTTTATGTACCCTCCATTTTTTTTTTATATAACCTCTTGGCTTAAAATTAGAATAAAATAGTTTTGTGATATACATACCCTACTTAAAATTTATGTTGAAATAACTTTTATGATAATTAAACTTTGTCAATTCATTGGATTACTGTGTTAATGTTCTAAAGATAATATAACTTGTGTCTTGAATTGTGAAACAAGAATATCTTTGTCTTTAGTTGAATTTGCTTCTCAAGTTTTGAGAAATTACTTGATATTTTAATATTTTATTGCAATATTTGTTAAAAATATTAGTGTGCTTTAGCTTTCTCACACTTAATAGTGAAGAAGTATACTCAGTTTCTACTTTGAAATATTACTTAATATTTTAATATTTTATTTTAATATTTGTTAAAAATATTAGTTTGCTTTAGCTTTCTCACACTTAATGGTGAAGAAATATACTCAGTAGCAATATTTTTTACTTTGAGATATTACTTGATGTTTTAATATTTTGTTATAATATTTTTTAAATATTAATTTACTTTAACCTTCTCACACTCTGTTATTAGTGAAGAAGTCTACTCAATATCATTATTTTTTTACTTTTTTTAACTGTAAAAGACATTAAGTCTGCATTACTGGTTTGTTAACTTGTTAAGATTATTTTTTGTATAATCGAATTTAAATTGTAAACCACCATGGCACATGTTCGTAAGTGCATTAACTACCTAAAAATTGATGAACTTATTAATGAACTGTCTTCCATGGGGATTTCAGCGAATCCTGAGGATACGGTTGTCGGATTGCGAAGTGAGATGCGTACTGCTTTGCGGCTTATCCGGCGTGGCCGCTTTAAGGCCATCGCCGCTGTTCCTGCCTTTGCCGCCTCTGACATGGTCTGTCAGCGGGCTTAAGGTCTTTGAACTGGAACAGGTTTTTTCTTCAGGTGACTCCGTTTCGTACTATAAATTGTCTTATTAGAGTTAGGGCTAGATACCTTCTAGATAGGTTAGCCGGTGTAACTGACTAGACCTTCTCAGGACACCCCTTTGTGACCTGAGGGGTCCATTCACTACATTTCCTACATGGGAAATGTTCTTTCAATTGTGGTCTCGGACTACGTCAAAATTTTTCTTATTTGTGTCCTATGAGGATTGCTTCCGGCCTACTGTCGTGTTTGGGTCCCATATGGATGGCTTCAGGTTATGTCATGTGGTGTCCTATATGGATAACCACAGGCTTTGTAGTCGCGAGTCATAGTATAGAATGTTTTCCTAAACCACGGGGTTCGTAAAACCACTTATATGGATTTTGGCCCTGTTGAGGATATTCCCTGCGCACACTACGCAGGGAATACTTTGAGGGAGGGGGTGGTGTAACAGTTATTTTTTTGGTATATTAGTAAAGCGACACCTGTTGGCCGCATCGCTTTGTTGTTGATTTATCTAAAGTAGTTTGTAGCTACGGTATTGATCTCCTTTGTTCACTTTCGGACCACTAGATGGCGTTGGTTTGAGACATAATAGATTGATAAAAAGACTTCCTTTTTTAATCTGTTTTGTTATTCTGTCATGTCAAATTGTATAGGTGTTGAGAGTGTTCAGCTATGGTGGAAAGCAAGTTACGTTTGATTTTGTTAGCGTTGTTTTCTTTCTCAATTTAAATGTCAAAGTGAAATGATGAAGAGGGGTTAATTTCTGGAAGATTCCTGAACCTAGGATATATAAGTCCGGCTTTCTGCCACGGGAGACACTCTGCTATCTCGTGTCTTCCAACCTAAAATAGTGTTTTGTTTGTCGTGTAATTTGAATTTCGTAATATGTAGTCTGTTATAATCTACCCACTAATGTGGTGAGTATTCTCTCAATTCTTCTTAAACCTATTTGTTTCTGGAACCTGTTTAATTTATATGAGTGCTAATCCATTCGTAGGGTCCCAGATTTCGGGCTCAAGACGGTCAGTCTCAGACGGCGTGCTTGCTCTTTTGTGGCCTTCTGGTACAGACTCAAGTTTCTTGGTACCCTCTGGCAAGGCTGGTGATTGCGCGGCTCACGACGCAAGCGGACAGCCGTACCCAAGAGTTACGTACTTAAACTTATAATTACAAATTTGTTAAACTTTTATCCATATCCAATATAAATAGCTGACTCGGGCGGAAGAGGAAGTAACCTCCTGGAGGGACGACGAGGAGGCACCGAGCACCATCAGCTCGGCTCTGACGCGCTCCGCTGCGGTTTTTTTTATACCCTCTGATTTTTTTTTATTGTAAATTTAATTTTGTTTTGAAATATACATGTATGTATGACTGAGGTGTAAGTTGTTTTCCTCTAAAGAGTCCCGTAGGTTTCCCACACGCACACACTTCTTTTCTCTTAGAAGGCGCCCTGAGGTAATCTCATAGATCTCTCCACTGGGTCAGCCGGTGAGTAGTCCGCCTGAGAAGAAAAGCGGCTACAACACTTCGTTGTTCAAATCGAACTCTCTGTAATCTGACGTCACATAATAATCGCGCCAAAACGGCCGCTTTTGAATCGCCCGAATATGATTTTTGTAAATTTTAGTTAAATGTTTTATATTTCGGGTGTGTTATAATCGTTTTTGGTAATGTAATAACTGGTAACAGAAGTGAAACCTTAAATACAGAGGTGTTGCTAATGGTAACAGTGTCGCGAAATTAATAGTTTTTCCCGCCTCAAAAAATTCTCAACGTGCCTAAAGAACTTTTCACTTCAATATATACAGAGGTGTCGGTAACGGTAACAGTGCCGCTAGTTCGAAATGGTTTTCTTATCTCAAAACACAAGTTCATTCTTTTGTTTGTTTTTCAAAAATGCCCAAACGCACCTATAGAAGATTTCACTTCAAAAAAAGGCAAGCATATTCCCTATTGTCGAACGAAACTTTAAACTTTTTTCTAAACTTTTCAGAGCGCGTCACGTTAAAACAAATATCTAATCTACTTAATCCAAACTGTTCATGAGCCTATCGCCGTCCACTGCCGAACGAAGGCCTCTCCCAAGAAGCGCGAACTATCCCAGTTTTGGGCACTCCGCTGCTGGGATAAATACTACCTATAAAAACGAGTAAATTTTCAGGATATCACTATTATTTATTTCAGATAACACAATCCTTCATAACCAAGTTGCAACAGTAACGCCTGAACCAGCAGTAAAAAACGAAAACGTCGATTATGAAAATAATAATACTGAAAAAACGACTAGTACCGGTAAACATCATTTTTATTTAAAAATAAGTTTTAGAGTATATACCTATATAACAAACATGAGCGTAGTCAGTTTAGATAAAGGACATACTACAGTGTTACCATAGTAAACTTAAAACAAACAATGAAGCACATAACTGTTTGAATTATTAACGCCTTTGTACACAAAATTGTAACATTTTTTAAGCGAGTAATTAATGAAAAAAAATTGTAATCGGCTGGCCTTATTCAATAGGGAAAGCTCTTCAAACTTTTAAATACCTGTTGCGGAAACATCTCTTACATAAAACAAAATTTTACATAAAATTACATTTTTAATTTCTGTGCAGCTACCATCTGCATGCTGCAGCTCCATCGTCCTATGGTTGACTGGGAGAAAATGCCTACAGCATTAGGTCCGCCTTTGTCACATTTGTGCATAAATTATAAAAATTAAAAAGTAGAGTCATTTTTACGATAAAGTAAGATGTCAAGAAAATACATGTATACACCAAAACTTAACTGTACTTTGCAGAGTATATTTAGCACAAATACCTTTAAAACCTTTAAACTTCGAAATTCGTATAAATATTACTGATGAAATAATGTTCAATAACGTAAAAACATCTTAATTTTTTTATTTTCAGATAGCCCGATCCTTCGTAACCAAGCGACCACAACTGCACCAATCACGAACATACATACAGAAAATAACGAAACGTTTGATGGCCTCCCGTGCCCCCATTCGTGTCCGAAAATTTACAAACCGGTGTGTCTAAACGTGAATAGGGGCTACGGAAAGTATTTTAAAATGTTATTCTTTGTTAATCACTGCACGGGTGCGCTTTATTACTGCAGGCATCCGGGGGGTGAGTTGCCAAGTTAAAAATAAATATGTCTTAGCAAACTAAAAGCTTGACCGGTCTGTGTAGCTAAAATGCGAATTGTCAGATCTATGTGTGGTGTGATTAGTAGCGGCAGTTGATAAAAATACACGTTATGCAAAGGTTCGTATCGGTGGGTCTCGTTAGAGCCGACTCAGGGACACAACAGCACTGCAAAGAGAAATAAAACTTGATACAAACCCTATAGCAAACCTTTCTCCTGCAACAGACTATTAAAGGCTGTTGATGAGTTAATATGATGTGATGTGACGCGAAGGAATGAGCAAAATGTGGTGGACGACGACGACCAAAGAAAAGATGGATGAAACTGCTCAACAGAGAATGAGGCTGGAAGGGATTTTTAGACAGGGGGAATTATCGGGCATCCATCTCTCTCGTTGCTTGTATCGCTTCCACTTACAGGCAGCTCAGCAGCTGTACCCTGTGTTCTCTCTATGCTATATCTACATGCTCCTGACTCTTACATAAAAAATATTAATAGGAATAATGTTAGCATACCAAGTTAGGTACTGTCAACAAGTTAACGGAACTTGTTGACAGCAATGATAACTCATTTGTGACAGCCTCTGTGGTGACAGCACAGAGTACAGTAATAGCCAGCTGTCATGGGTATCGACTTCAACACATCCAATAATATGCAAAATTGCGAACTTCAAACTGAAATAACTTTTGAACACGTAAAGTTCTAAAAATCTGATAATTAAAACTGTAATTGTCGGTTATATTACCAGCGAGTTCGACCGTCAAAGCCAACTTACCTTCGATGCCTGCTTTGCCAAATAAATAGAACAATAATTCCTATCACAAGGTACGCAAGCGGTATAAAAGTCCTATACATGCCCGCCATTTGCCATTAAATAGGACCAAACGGGAAGTACATGGAACCTGTAACATCCCTGTTACACATTTCCGTCCATTTTCAAGATTTCAGTTCCACAGATCACAAGAAAGTTAGAGAAAAGATGTAACATCAAAATAGAACCTAAAAGACACTAGGTTTTTGCTGAAATTTTAAATTCTTGTAAACTGTTTATGTTATAGAGTTCACGCAGCCACCAGGCGAAGAGTACGCAGAAGATCCTGGAGCTTATGTTTTGTCTTCACCGCTGGATTGGTCTTTCTGTGGAGCGTATAAGTACGAAGTTTTTATGTTTACTGATGGCTTGGCGATTTTTGAACTTATTGAATAGTTTTATTTTATTGATCAGTATAATTTGAACTGTCATTGTTTTTTTTATGGAAGAGACTGCAGACGGGTCACCTGATGGAAAGTAACGCCTGCAGCTCAGGAGTCGCAAAAGCGTTGCCGGCCTTTTAGGAAAGATTACGCTCTTTTCTTGTATGGACTATTGGATCATGGGCAGAAAATATATACTACAAACTGACAATAAATTCCAGATTTTTGGATATCTAAATCTTAAGTTTGGCAAATTTCACCTTCCTGTTTGTAATTTCCTACAGCTGTATAAGACACGGACACATCAGAGTGTGAAACCACATTCTCACAAAAAATCGGTGTTAGACAATTATTGTTAGTCTACCGGAGGCCCTATCCATCCCCTATGGGTGCTTCTACACGATGCAAGTAGCATAAGACACTTGCAGGTTATTTGCTTCGCTAAAAAGAGTATGTGGGTCCAGCGACTCAAGCATGTACCAGTGCGGGCCACTCGGGTTACTTGCGCAGGTACAGACATGCGCAACTGTTCCTCTGACAGAAACCGGTTTACCGCAGTAGCTTTGCGGGGGTTATTTGCTTCGCGAGCAGGACTATTTCGATCCAGCCACTCGAGCATGTACCAGCGCGAGTCACCCGCGCAGGTACACGAACGCTCTACGATGCGCGCGGGCAACTTGCGTAGGTACAGACATGCGCAACTGTTCGACTGACAAAATCGGTTGTCTGTAAAGTCGGTTTACTGACGATAGTTGAACGTGACAACGTCATAAGAAAATACTGATGGAATGGTTGCATTTTTCAAAAATGTATTATTGTATACGAGTAGCAGCTGTCCACGCGGACGCATCGCTCACTCAAGTAGGAGAGAGACAGATGTCAAACGCTGCCGAACGCGGAGGCCGATTGTGCCTCTTTGTCGCTCGTTCCGCGCTCTCGCTTGCAATTCAAGCCTTAAATGGAACGCCTCAGAGCGAGGTAACGCCGCATTAGTCATGTTTTTTCGTGCGTGCAGCCGGCTCCATCGAATTATAAGACGTTGTCACGTCAAAAACCAGTTTAACGCAAGTTTTGCTCAGGTTTTTTGCTTCGCGAAAATTACTATGCGAATTCAGCGACTCGAGCCAGTAACCTGCGCAAGCAACGTTATATCAACCAAACGTAAAAGTAACTCGTGCATGCTACTGACGCAAGTAACTGGGGTCTTTGCCATCTCCAGCTAAATTCACCGTGTAGTGCACCCTAACTCTGGAGGGTAGCACTCGTCGGGTGTGTACTATGATAAAACTCGTTACCTAGTAAGAATTTTAATCTTGGTTATTTTTGCAGGTACCTCCAATTTGCCCGATTCGCAGAATCTGCATCATCTATGGCTCACTATGGCTGGTTGCGCGGAAATGATAGATATTCTCATATAATAAATAAATAAATTTGTACCACATTCACACAACGCCATCTGGTCCTAAACTAAGCCGAGCTTGTACTATGGGTACTGGACAACTGATATAAATACATATATACTTTTTTTGTTGTAAATACATACTTATTATACATAGAAACACCCAGACCAAATCAAACATTAAATGTTCATGCACACAAATGTTTGACTTGAGCGGGAATCGAACCCGAGACCTTTTGGAATAGCAGTCCGTTACAGAAACCACTACGCTATTCGGTCATCAAATAATGCGGAATATAATATATAATGCGGCACAATGAAAAATTTTCTAATGTGTGATCTTCTCACTAACATTGTAAAATCGAAAGTTTGTATGGATGTTTGTTAGTTTGTTACTCTTTCACTCAAAGACAGCTGAACAGTTCTCGATGAAATTTGGCATAGAGATATATTAGTCTGGAATAGCACACAGACTAAACAGGTACAACCACAACTGCGGATAGCACCGTGGGGCGTAGCTAGTAATAAAGACGGGTTAGTTACAACATTTATAGCCTCTACGGCATGACCGATTTTTATGTTGTTCCATTTCCGTTCCTTTTGGGGGAGTACCTATTAAAATATTTTAATAATTCACTGGCACCCTTAAAACTCGGATAAGCCTTTGCCTAGGTAACCAGATGGCTAATCAGATTTCTAAATGTCTACATACATATTATTTTTCTAAACTACACTCAGAACACAGGTCGTACTCATCATCAGTATCCTGTAATAGTCCACTGCTGGACATAAGTCTCTCCTTAGAAAGGAGGTTTTGGCCTACTATACCACGCTTCCCAGACGGGTTGGTATAGGGTTTGTGTCGAGTTTTAATTATTTCTGCAGTGCTGTTGTTCTGCGTATTTGCAGTGCTTTTGTTCTGCGTTTTTGCAGTGCTGTTGTCCTTGTGCAGTTTGTTCCCTTAGTCGGCTCTTACGACACCCACGGGTTGAATAGGGGTGGTGACATTCTGTATTCTTAATCCGTCACTCACGGAATTGAACCTATTATTATACAACCCAAATACTTTTAAATAAAATTAGAGAATAAATAAATCAGTCTTTATTTCGGGTAGTTGTAGAAAAAGTAGTCAAAATATCTTCTATTTCTTCTTTCTTATTCTCAATTGTTCTCAACCGTTTTGGTGTAGGCCTCATTCATATTACGTTGCGGAGGAACGGGTATCGCAGTCCCATGTGTTGCCCCCATCTATCTCGATATGGACCAGGCACACGTAAATCCATGGAGGGCTTAGAAATAGGTAGGTAGTTGGAAGGACCAACACAACATGAGGATCCTCCGACAATGGAAGTTCATCGTCTGGCGGACTGCGGCCCAACGGTCGTGTTGTTCCTGTCCCCACTAGGGGCGAGACCCCTAGTGGGGACAGGAAAACTACTAGGAGGGCTGGGCTCCTTTCTGTTGTGCTCCTGGCGGCACACCACTGCAAGTTAATCACGGGGCTAGACTGCGGGGCATGCCTCTGAAAAAGGACCCGGTAATGTTGGAAAGTTGTATTCATACTAATCGGCGCGAAACCTTTCATATCGCGATACAGGACTAGTAGTTACTACGTAGTTCGGTGTGTCTTCGATAGATGGCATTGAGGTATGGGTTTTTTTCGTTGTCAATGGAAGTCATCACTTCGCCATTGAAGTCGGCATAACTCGACTTTGTTTCTATAGTTTTCTTAGCGTTATCCAGCCATCACATTTGTGGACTTCATCTAGGTCTTCATTCGAAGACCGCTATACCCCAATAGCCAATGCATTTGCAAGACATTATGATTATGAGACGGAGTGTCGTGCTACAAAACTAAAACAAACGGGCCAACTTTTTTTAGGCTGGTGTGCGTGTGAATCGATTGTTTATAGCCATAACACACAGCTGACACATAGTAGCGGCCAACATCTGGACGCTTTCACAGTCTATCTTTTAGTAACAACGACATCACAGCTGACACACAGTGAAAAAGAACTTAGCGGCCCACAGTAAGACGCAATTTTTTTTTTAACGTTTTCACAGCTTTGACAGTCTATCTAGTTACATCAGTGATCTGGTGCCAGTGGTGGAGTGCCAATTATCCAAGTGGTGGATCACATCACCAGCCCTGGCCAACGATTCCACACTGCTTTAAGATATTCACGTCAACCACACTTTCGTCCACCGGCTGGTTCGGATGATGGATCAAATGTAGTAGAATCTTTGGCCTCACGTTAGAAGACCACTTACATATGGCACAAACGAAGTCATCCTTAGCCAATCTATTTTTCTCCCCGTGAGCAGTTAACATATGTTTTTTTATTAAATACCGATTGCATAATAAAACCGGACATTCGGGACACTGTTTCCGATTTTTTTCGTGAAGTTCGAAATCTTCAAACTTTCGCTTGCAATGGGGGCATAGAGTGAGATTTTTTTTTTGGCCAATGTTACCCGACATGTCTTGGCCGTGTTCCGTGTTTATGTGACATTTGAGGGATTTAAGATGGCGGGCGATGAAGCCACACTGTTGACATTTGTGGGGGTTGTCAGGTCGATGAATAAGTTCATGTTTTTTTGTATTCTTTTTAGACGCGCTCCGGTATGGGCAGTGGGAGCATTTGAAGGGTTTTATACCTGTAACAATGGAAGTATGGCATATAGACTTGGGCAAAGGGTCTCTATTTTTTTTTTACAACTCTCGCATTAGAAATATATCCTGTGTCGTGGGGGGCTTTACAGACATAAGAGAAACGGACACAAAGAACACCGAGAATTTGTAGATCACACAAAGTGTCGTCCCATGTGGGGATTGGATCCACAACACTCATCGTAGTAGTAAGTGGCGTGGCGACCGTTTAAACCATTTCGCCATCCGTGCAGTCAGCACAGATAATAAAAAAAAAACTTTTTAAATACTATCACCGATAAGACTATCAAAACTCCTTCCTTAAAAGCCAGCAACGCGTATAGCATAAACTACGGTAAGGTCTCCGAGGGGGGCTGAATTCGAAGGTGAATGAGTCATGGCATATACTGCGGTAAGGGTTGTACCGCACAGGGTTGCAACTTGTATTTTAATTTATATTATTTATTGAGATAATTTGTGTTGTATATATTTATTTTTTAGTGTTATTATGATTGAAAAATTTGTAAGTGAGAGCTGTGGTAAACATTTCTTTCAAGAAAAGTTACATACCCTGATGAATCCTGACATGTTCTTCGAACAAGGACTTGTTGTAGGTAGAATAATCACACATGTAACACTGGAAGGGATTCTCCCCCCTGTGTACCTTCCTCACATGACGCAGCATCTTCTCCTCATTCTCCGCCGTGTAAGTGGAACATTCTGAACATCGTATACGACGGGACTGGATCTCCACGAACGGGGCAAGAGGTGATGTTGAACGTCTGCAAAGAGGGAAGAAGAGAGTAAGAGAAATTTTAGCTTTGTAGCCTTTACCAGAGCCTAAACACAGCCCCCCCCCCCCTTAGTTCCAAGAATTCTGGGTGGAGGAAGCTCTCAACAGACAGCACTTGTGTCCACAGGCGGCGAAAGTCACTTTCTATCAGGAGAACCATCCCTGGCGTAACAATGGTATGATTAAAAATAAAAAACTTCCTCCACAAAGCGCCTAGCATAGGAAAGTCTGGTTGGCTACAAGCGCCACACACTACAAGCGAACTTATATGGGTATGATATTTGTGAGTTTTTTTAAGTAACATCTCAAACGCTGGAGAGAGGGGCGCCACTATCAAGTTTCTGCCCCGGTTCGAAACAAATAGTGGATCTGGGCCTTTTAGTAACACCTACCATCAGGTAACCCCGGCTAAACTTCTAATATACCATAAAAAAGCTTCCATGTATCTAATTGACTACTAATATCATCATTATCAACAGTATTTTATAGTCCACACCACATAGGCGTCTCCTATAGTATCTATACAAATAAATAAAATTGAAGTGCCTGTTTGTTAGACGCAGTGCGCAAAACAACGCAGGACACCAGCACTGCAAAGAGAAGGAAAACTTGAAAAAAACTATACCAACCCGTCTGGCCAGCGTGGTATAGTAGGCCAAAACCTCCTTTCTAAGCAGAGACCTATGTCCAGCTGTGGACTATTAAAGGCTGTTGATGTAAATCTTCAAAACGGCTGGATCGACTTTGATTGTATTTTACTACCAAGTAGCTATCTATATAAGGAGTAACTTAGGCTTCCTCTCAGTAAAAACCCTATAAAATTTTGCCTGGTCTGGGAATCGAACCCACCATACTAGTTCACTAAGACTTTGATAGTGCCACACGAACGAAATCGCTGGTACCAGCTAGTTGGATATAATATTAAAAATACTTACTCAACTTTACATCTTGTTGCCACCTTTTCAATTTTGAGGAGGTTCTCAGAGGGTTCGGCAGGAGTATCAGTGGCACCAATATTTATTGGATACTGTTCTGAACCTGAAGCTACATCAATGAAGACTGGATCCGATTGAAGATTTTCTTCTGCCATTTTGTGCTTTAACACTGTAAAAACAAATTGGTTATTTATTTAAAAATATAAGATAAATAAGACAGTATCACATCAACAGCCTTTACTAGTCCACTGCTGGACATAGGCCTCTCCTTAGAAAGGAGGTTTTGGCCTACTATACCACGCTGGCCATGCTATAAGACAGTATGGGTTTAGTTAATAGTTTAGTAAGTTATAAACATACTTACATGTGGTGACGAATTAAGAATACGGAGTGTCACCACCCCTATTTATCCCATGGGTGTCGTAAGAGCCGACTAAGGGAGCAAAGTACGCAGGACAACAGCACTGCAAAGAGAAGGAAAACTTGAAATAAATCCTATACCAACCCCTCTGGCCAGCAGTGGACTATTAAAAGCTGTTGTTCTTGTTTGAAACATACTTATACATTTCTAAATACCTACATATTATAAAATTAGACAAATTATACACAGACACAGAACAAATGAATCGTCCAGGGTGGAAATTGAATGCATGACCTCCAGCAATCAGGGTCACTAGTCACCAGACTAGGGCTACCATGTCATGTCCCAGTTTGAAGCGTTATATCCTGTTAAATAAGCCCTTTGTTATGTATACACGAGTCTATATTATGCAGGAGATATAGGGCCAGACTCTATTCGCGTTTTCAATGCCCCTTTTCTACATTGGCAAAGATCATTTGTATTTTTCTGAAGTTCTTTTCATTAAAGATGTTTATTTTTATTTTATTGTTGATTTTTCTACATTTTATTTAGTTTCAGTAAAATATGTACCAAAAATTATTTTTTTAATAAAGATACCTCCCGCATTAGGAATATATTCCTGTGTTGCGGGAGACTTTACAAACATACATGAAACGGACAGAAAGAAGAGACTTAGAACAACAATTCGTGGATCACACAGTGTTGTCCCATGTGGAGATCGCACCCACAAAACTGAGCTTAGTTAGTCGAGATAAATTACTTTAAAAAAACTCGCAAATATATAAGTTCACTTGTAGTGTGGGCTTGTATGGCACCTTTTTCTTACAAGTTGACGGTGAGCCAACCAGGCTTCTATATGATAGGCGCTTTGTGGAGCAAGTTTATTCTTTTTAATCATACTTTATTATTATTTTGGCGCCTGAAACTGCAACCCGGGGCCCTGGTTTGCCCCTCCCCCTAAAACCAGGGCTGGTGGCTTTGTTGGTCTGACTTTATCCCTAATGCCTTAGGTACTGGTATATTAAACAGAAAATTTTGCTCCAATTATATAAGGAAACAAGCCTAGCACTAAATCAGGTAATATTAAACAGAGGATGAATATTTCTTAGCTGTCTGGTTACTATAGCACAGGCTAGATTGAGATGAGATGGCCATATGTGATCATATGCAATTAAATTCGAATACTTTTTACACATTGTACAAACTTACAGAGTCGATTTCAGTGTGGTTTGAATTTAGAACATTTATGTATAGATGGAGTCTAACAAGTAACAATACAAAGAAAAAAAACGCGGCAACTTTATTGTGCTGGTGTGCGTCTTCTAGACATAGTATTCTTTCATTTATGTAAAATGATATCAGAATTTTGCAGTGTTTTTATAAACAACTCACCTTTTGAATTCTATTTGGAATTCTTAAACAATATTTTGTACTAAACGTAAATACATTTGATATCTTCTCTTCAAGTGTTTTCGAAGAAATTCATATTTACTAATGAACACCCAAATTAATGTTTTAAAAAAGTAAATAAATAAACCACAGAGTCAGAGTACAGTAATAAATAAACCACAGAGTCAGAGTACAGTAATAAATAAACCCACAGGCCAGGCCACAACTACGAGGTCCTATTTGACGTTAATGACGTTTTAAACTTTAAAAGCGCCCTCTTTAATTAAAATGGAAACGTAGGAACTACAACGTCTAGAACAGCTACAACTGTCAAATTAATTAAGTTCATTAAAATCGTATATTAATCAATTTTTACTCAAAGAATGAAATATTTCATAACGTTTTTTCTAATATATGGGCGATATATTATTGCGTTGTTTTAATATAAACTAGGGCACATAAAACCCTAGAAACTCAAATTCATAAAACAGCATACCTACTCAATCACTACATATTATTGAATGAAGCCCCTCAACCCGCTTGTCTGTCAGTCTGCCTGTCAAAATGCGATAAGTTTTAAAAGCACTGAACTGTTCTTCATATTTATCTACGAATAGAGTTGATGAGAGGAAGTTTTAGATTTAGATCCATTCTTAACAATTCTCATCTTTTTTTTCACACATCTCACACACGGCTGTCTGATCTCAAAGTAGGCCGAGCCTGTACTATGGTTACCAGATTGCTGATAAACTTACTTTTATATTTCTAAATACATACATAATATAGATAAATTACAGCCAGACACAGAAGAAATGGTCGTGCTCATTACACAATTATTTGTCCTGGGCTTAACCTCCGGCTTAGCAGTCAGGGTCACTAACCACTAGACCAAAGTACTAGTACGTTAAACAAAGAATTGCTTTTGTTAAAATATCGTTTTAGAAAGGTCTATTACAACATTTTATGGCAACGCTATATGTTTACCTGCTAATATTAAACCCCCCCCCCCCCCTTCCTCGCGTCGGTTTCCTCAATGCTTGGGGTCGTGACCGCCTCGAGAGTTTACTGTGGCTCACTCGACGCCTACCATTTCTATCTGTGAAAACTGTGGTGTCGAGAGTAGTGCGGATCTGGTCAGTCCAACGTGACAGGCTTCTACCTCGTGGTCTTGTTCCATCCACTTTGCCAGTGACCATTAACTTCTCCAATTTGCCTTCATCCTCTTTGGCAATGTGGCCACAGTTCTACAGAACTCTACGCAGCCGATGGTAGAAGTAGAAAGACTAGTAAGTGAGTTCTTGCAGGATTGACGCGTTGGTGCGATGTGCAGTCCAGTTTTTTATTATTATATGTCCATTAACATATAATAATAAAAACGTTAGCATATAGGTATACTCTGCGACCCGGTAGGTATAGGTATAGTCTTCACATGTACTATTTTTTTTATTAATCAAAATATTCTATATTAATTTTATTACTTATTTAATAATGCCATTGTATCTATCTGTCAATTGCAAGAGTGGCCTTGAGTTTGTTTGCCCGTTTATCTCATAAGGCTCAACCCCTTGAAAACGGGCGGTTATAGATCAATACAGGCATATCAAAGATTTTGTATAAGTTTAATTTTTATTTATTTTATTAGCTTACTATTTGACGAAACAGAGATTGTTGCTATTGTGTGTTGATCTATGACTTTAGAGTCAACATAAAAGACGATTTCAAACAATTTAAAAAAAAATATGAAATAAGGAGAGTTTGAGTTTGAATTCGAATATCGGCCGCCAAATGATCTATGGTATTTACGAAACTTAAGGTTTCAGTTTCAGTTTAAGTAATCATTCAGGGTCAAAATGTCCAATTTCGATGTCTTAAACTTGTACGGATAATATGCCTGTAAAAAACAAACAGCGTTACATGACTTATGTTTGGAAGTCTAGTATTACAACGCAAACAGTTCGGTTCGGTTAAGGAGTTCGACACTTTAAACCAGAACCAATGTAATCTGTAGAAGTTCTAGCACAACATTATAACCGATGGACTACCGACTGCAAAAATGCTTGTAGTCGGTTTTATAAGTTAAAGAAACTATAATCTGACTTTGAATTAAAAAAAAACAAAATAATACACAAATGTTAATAAATGAAACATTTATTTCACAATGAACAATTAAAAACAAAGCGACCATAGATTAAAACAAATCGTTTAACAGTACCTTACAAACTATACAAAATAATGTTCAAACAAAGTTACATATTCCCGCCAAACACTTTGGCAAACATCAAAGTGAAGGCATATGGCGGGCGACTTTCGTACAAGTTTTACAACTAGATGGCGGTACTGTTACTGTATTCGAAATCACTTCGTTTTTACAAGGTGCTAGTACAAATTAAATGATCTAATATCAAGTATTACTGACTTAACGTAGACTTTTTTAACAGTGGTAAATGACTACCGCCTCCCCACTATCCACACCTGCAACGCAAGCGGTACAGGTGTAAGACTTAGCGGTAAATAGGAAACCAGCTCTGACAATCTGATATATTTATAATCGGTACACGCTTACAAAACAAAGAAGTTTCTTATCAATTCTCACAGAGAACATTAATTATTTTTTGCATAAAAAAATACAGATGAATATTACAAAGTATCTGACAGACTAATTATAAAGTATTTGACATATTTTACTCACAGCCACACCTATATTACAAGTGTTATAACAAACAACAAGCCTCACTATTCTTAATTTTAGTACCATTAAAGAATTCTTAAGTTTAATTGAACAAATATGCTACTGCTACTGATAAATACTAGAAAAGAAACCTAACTTAAACACCCTGTGTATTCCTTTTTACATAATGCAGCAATCAATACTGTCATCACTATCCAGAGAAGCATCCGAGACATCGGATTCATCATCATGAGTATCTGCAAAACTCATTACTCTTGCATTCTCCACCAACTCTCTCACTCCAAAATAATCCAGCAATTGATTTGCCAACTTATTTCTAAAACTTACCTGACTAAGGGACGGGTTATCACGTGTATTATACTTGTGTATAACATACATGTTCCTTAAGCTAATGTTGAGTAAACTTTTGAACTGTCTGATATACCAGCGCTCCGACGGCTGGCGTATCATGATATAGTCTGATAAGTCTTCATCTTTGTCCGATATCTTTTCTTTCCCTTTATAGACGTCTAATGTCAATGCTGGACGCCTAATTCCACGTTTATTGGCTCTCATCTCCGATGAATGGTACGTTGATAAGGTTGTCATGTCCCATTCGCTCCAAGCAACTACAGATACGTCTCCACAATGTCTACTTACCAATCTAATCTTGTTTCCGTTCAATTGGTACAGTTTTGAATCGTTTTCATCTTTTTCCAGTTTCTGTATAATTTCTGGTAAATCTTTCCGACTCTTTCGAATGTCACCGATATTGTCAAAGCCCTTGGATCTTAATGTACGAGCTAGATATATACTGGTAAAATGTTTATTGGTTACAACTCGGTGACCTTTATTGGAATATTCGCTCACTAAATCCAGTACTATTTGTGTTTTATCCTTAGAAGATAGTTTGTAATCTGGTCCAGGATATTGGAGTATTTTCAATACATATCCAGTATATACCTCTGACAGTTCATATGTCCTTACCCCAAAATAGTTTGCCTGTAACCGAAGACTTCCTTCAGTGCCTTGTTTTGATAGAAGGAATGAATCGTCCACATCCAAAAATTGTCTAGGTCGATACAGTGATGCAAATCTTTCGTTGCAATGATCCAATACAGGTTTCATTTTAGCCAACATCTTGTCCGTTTCTGCAAGTTTTTCATTGTCTACAAAGTGTAAAAAGCGGTTTAAGGCCGAAAACCGTTCCAGACTCATGATTTCAGAAAAAACCGGCGGCACTAACGATCTCTTTCCAAATATATAAGCTTCTGTCCCTCTATATGAAGCAAAGATTAATAACGCAAACATAATATACATTTCCTCAACGGTGGTGTCTTGCCATTCAAAAGACACATGATTCTTAGGCATTTCCTGATTCACCTGTAACTTGGCTGTTTGTTTTGCGTACCTATTAGTTTCTTCAACTATCAAACTCATGATTTTCTTATCCCAAATGCTGGTGAAAAGTGTAAATGGATCATTAGATGAAATAGTTGGTCCCGCAGTGCCAGTGAAAGGCAACGGTTCACTAGTGAAGGTTTTAAAATTATGAGTCCAAGAATTAGTTTCAAGATAATCTTTTGTTTCTGATTCATAATCTTCTGTTTCTGATTCATAAACACCGCCACATAAATTAAGTTCCTTCCTTATTTCTGATTGAAGTTTTTTTAGGTCGGCTACACTTTCAGATCTTTTCCAACGAGGTAAGGGTGTAAGTTTATAAGTTTCTTTTGAACGAGACTTGCGACCTACAAACTCATGTGTAAAGTTTCGACAGCAGTCTGATTCATCATCAGTCTCTTCGCTTTCAGATATTCTCCAATGAGGTAAGGGTGTAGGTTTATTAGTTTCCTTTGAACGAGACTTGCGTCCTACAAACTCATGTATAAAGGTTCGAAAGCACTCAGATTCATCATCAGTCTCTTCGTTTTCAGATAACCAGACTGTGATATTTTGGTTAGTTTTTCTTGATTGTTCAGCAGATTTAGCAGCCATTGTCATTCACCTAATGAACAAAACAAATATGTATTAATATTCACATTAGATTACTGCCAGCAACATGAGACATTCTCATTCGTATCAATAGACTGTCGATGGAATGTCTTCAGTATAGTTTTGAACTTTTCCTATTCTACTAACTATGTAAGACCAATGGCCTCCCGATAACTTGTCACTGATACAAATGTCGTCGATGCTTTTGTAACAGTTTGATAAATGGTACATTTTAAATTTGTAAGAAAATTATATATTAAATTTTCCAGATATGGCAATGTTATTGATATCATCATCGATTACCTATATTATTATATCGACAGTCTATTAACACTGTGAAATCACATTAGTAGAATACTGATATTTTGACCGATGTCAATGTCATCTCAGTGGCATCTCAATAGTGTGTCAATGAAATAACAGTGGCTTTGCGTTAACATAAAATAGCAGAATTAAGGGCCAGAAAAAGAAGAAGAATTCATAAGATCTCATTTTCCTTATTGATTCTTCTTTTATCCTCCTTACGGTTATCTCATTCATACTCAATATTATAAATGTGAAAGTGTGTCCGTCTGTCTGTTACTTCTTCACGCTTAAACCGCTAAACCGATTTAGATTAAATTTCGTATAGTGATGGCTTAAGTTTCGAGAAAAGACGTAGGATAGTTTTTATCTAAGAAAGGGGGTGAAAGTTTGTATGGCAAATATGATTTTAATGAAATTTGGTGTGGATATAGTTTGTTTCTTAAGAAAGGACATAGGCTACATAATGGATTGGATGGATGGATGGATGGATGGATGGATGGATGGATGGATGGATGGATGGATGGATTACACTATACTAGCTAGCACTTCCTATGAGACCAGACCAGAGTGGTGGTGTAGTGGTAGTGGGCTATGATCTGCAAAATATTTATTTCGAAGTGTGGTTGTTATCTATGTATAATATGTGTATATTTACAAAAAAAAGTACATAAGCATTCTTTCAGTCCATCTAGCTTTCATGGTACAAGCTCTGCTTAGTTTAAAACTAGATGGCGTTGTGTGTCATGTGTCAGTAATATTATTTTTATTTACTTCATCTAAACATAAATACATTACAATACCAAATGGTTTTTACACTATACAAAAATGGCTGTTGCAATTTAAACTGTTTTTTTAATATGAGTTTTTAGCTAAACCAACCATATTTTAAATTACAGTAGGCAAAACAATATATCATTGTTTTTTTTTACACTGCATTTCCAAAACAAAGTATTAAATTAGTTATTTTTTTAGTACCAAACAGTTTATAAAAGTTAACATAGACACAAGAGAACTGCTTGTCAAGGTATACCTATAAATATATATTTGAAACAAATATAGATAAATTACACCCAGACAGAGACTAAATTGCTCATCAATTATATGTAATCAAATCCACAATCCCTGACTTTGCAGTCAGGATGAAAAACCATTAGATCTACAGGCTGCTTCAAGAGCCAACATAAGTTCGTCCGGATGCTCAGTATGCTCATGGGAATTGGATAGAAAACTAAAATATTGTGTATGTTTTGCCATAAAATGGTATATCGCGAACACACCATACCTGTTTGTGAGGAATGTGGCCAAAAAGTAATAAAAATTAATAACTATAATAATTTAAAATAAAGATATTCCCAATTACCTCAAACTAAAGTGCCAAAATTTTGTAGTATCTTCAATAAGTCAATTATATAAGTAGTTATGTTATGTTGATTGTTTTTAAGTTATAAGTGAGATAATATTATATTATTTTGTGATTGATCTTAATTTAGTAGTATTCCAAAGTTTGAAGCTGTTTTTGTCACTAAGTTCATAGATATAAGAAATAAATACTGGCATTTAGGTGGTTCAAGTTCATATGTAATATTAAGAGACTAAATAATTACATAACTTACTATCTATCACATAATCATTTTAAATTAAGTTTATTTTTATCCTATTTAACTTACATTTACTGATTAATATACCGATAATTTTAGAATAGTATTTGTTTAACGTGGTATTTTTTACCCAGTAGCAACTTTCAGTATCCTAAACAGGAGTGCGCCTCCCGCCGGGTTAAATACCACTAAATGTTTAGTTCATAGCTTCGTTTCATTATACACCACCATTATCATAATGCACCTGCCATGTCCCTGTCTGAACCATGTAACGGTCGACAGTCAACTGGTAGATAATACCATGTGGCATTAAAACCGACTTGTGCGAAATGTAATGCAAGAAGTGTAAAATAAAATAAAAAAATTGCATATTTCCAACTTTGCATTCAATATAGATTAATTTTTTTCTGAACTCATAGTGGATAACCACTGCCAATTAGTATGAATAACTATTAATGGAGTAATTTCAAAAAAAAAATCGGTATAAACCCATAGCGGTAATTACGAAAATAAAATAAAAACCACGATTAAAAGGCCACAAAAAGCGATAACCTATCGTTAAAACAAACAAACTTTTACATAACTTACCAGAATGCCGAGAAAAATGTCTTGGGGTTATTGTGAATCAACAAAAATGGGCGCGAAAACACTTCGACAATTCGAAAATTCACACGTGCTTTTGACACAGAACGACTCACGATCACTGGCCGAACTGGACTGACGCGGCGAGGCGAGTAAAGATTAGGGGTGGCGATCTGAAATCGATTAATCGAGTGTCGATTTCTTGGGCAAAAAAGTTCGAATGTTTTTAATCGATTTGTAGTACTGAATCGACATTTCAACCTAGAAAATCGACATTCGATTTTTTCTGTTTTTATAAAAGCCAAAAAATTATTTACAGCTATTCTTACATGCCTCTATAAGAGTTCATCACAACTAGTTAATACTAAGTAAGTGTCGCTTTTGCAGCTACTCTATTTTCTATGCTACTCGACACACGTACAGAAAAAGCAATTCAATAGCAATGAAGTATATGGCTGTCGGGAGATCTGTGCCTTGTAAGCTCCTTTTCTCGATTGAGGCAACATCCATAATGGTGAGCTGTAAGTGACATGTAAGGCTAGCTTTCGCTTGAATTTGGGCTCCTCTATTCTACATATTATTTATATTGAGTAAAATCAACTAGCTATAAATATTTTATATTATAATAAATAAATTTGTTAGGTTTTTGTACTTCAGATACTATGGAATATACCCATTGTATCCATTAATGTATCCCACATTATTTATTCTGGGTATGGTGGGATACAATGAACTGAGGGTCAGAAGGGAACTCACACTCGTCTCGTACCTGTTTAGGGTACTTAGGGGTGGGATACATAATGAAGACGTGTTAGGACGAGTCAGCATATGTGTTCCGGACAGATACGTGTGGCGGCGCCGCCGCTGCTGGCGGTCCCGTGCGGGCGCACCAACCTGCAGAGAGAAGCACCGCTGACGCGCGCACTACGTACTCTGAATATAATTGCGGATGAAATAGATTTATTTTATTGCTCACTGAGTGAATTCACAATAACAGCATTAAGAATTATTTCTTATAATAAATAAGTAGATGGTATAACACTATTGCATTGGGCTAAACCTGTAAAAATAGTTGTTTTTAAAGAAAATAAATATATAAAATAAAAAAATATTTTTTTTTGGCTTTTATATAAACAGAAAAAATCGAATGTCGATTTTCTAGGTTGAAATGTCGATCCAGTAAATCGATCCAGTACTGTAAATCGATTAAAAAAATCGAACTTTTTTTGCCCAAGAAATCGACACTCGATTAATCGATTTCAAATCGCCACCCCTAATCTTTACTCGCCTCGCCGCGTCAGTCCAGCAGTCGTTCTGTGTCAAAAGTACGTGTGAATTTTTGAATTGTCGAAGTGTTTTCGCGCCCATTTTCGGTGATTTACAATAACCCCAAGACATTTTTCTCAGATTCTGGTAAGTTGTGTAAAAATTTGTTTGTTTTAACGATAGGATATCGCTTTTTGTAGCCTTTTAATCGTGGTTTTTATTTTATTTTCGTTATTACCGCTATGGGTTTATACCGATATTTTTTTCGAAATTACTCCATTAATAGTTATTCATACTAATTGGCAGTGGTTGTCAACTATGAGTACAGGAAAAAATTAATCTATATTGAATGCAAAGTTGGAAAGATGCAATTTTTTTATTTTATTTTACACTTCATAATTTCATTTCGCACAAGTCGGATTTAATGCCACATGGTATTATCTACCAGTTGACTGTTGACAGTTACATGGTTCAGACAGGGACATGGCAGGTGCATAAACGATAATGGTGGTGTATAATGAAACGAAGCTATGAACTAAACATTTACAAATATAAGTATAACTCTTAATAGTGGTATTTAACCCGGCGAGAGGCGCACTCCTGTTTAGGACACTGAAAGTTGACACTGGGCAAAAAATACCACGTTAAACAAATGCTATTCTAAAATTATCGGTATATTAATCAGTAAATGTAAGTTAAATAGGATATATATAAACATAATTTAAAATGATTATGTGATAGATAATAAGTTATATTAGGTCTTTACCTATTTGTATGCAATAAGTGAAAGTACTTATTTTTTCAAACTTTCCTACCTTGCACCTACCGACTATTAGTTTTTCCAAAATTTAGACAACTTTTTAGTGGGTAAAAAATTCAATTCCTGAGAGGCAGTACAAAATGCCTTTGAAGAGTTTGTTGCCTCCCGTCCAGCTGATTTTTACAAGAAGGGCATCAATAAACTGCCCATGCATTGGCAAAGATGCGTCGATTGCATGGGTGATTACTTCGAATAACAGAAATAAAAAAGTTTGAAAAAATAAGTACTTTCACTTATTGCATACAAAACGGCAATTTCATAGGTAAAGACCTATTATGTATTTATTTAGTCTTTTAATATTACATATGAACTTAAACCACCTAAATGCCAGTATTTATTTCTTATATCTATGAACTTAGTGACAAAAATAGCTTCAAACTTTGGAATACTAATAAATTAAGATCAATCACAAAACAATATAATATTAGCTCACTTATAACATAAAAACAATCAACATTACATAAAAACTACTTATAGAATTGACTTAGTGAAGATACTACAAAATTTTGGCACTTTAGTTTGATACAATTGGGAATATCTTTATTTTTAATTATTATACTTATTAATTTTTATTACTTTTTGATCACATCCCTCACAGACAGGTATGGTGTGTTCGCTATATACCATTTTATGGCACAACATACACAATATTTTAGTTTTCTTTCCAATTTCCATGAGCATACTGAGCATCTGGACGAACTTATGTTGGCTCCTGAAGTAGCCTGTGTGTAACGGTTTTTCATCCTGACTTGGAGTCAGCCAGCCATGTTGTGGATTTGTTTCCATATAATTGTGACGAGCCATTTATTCTCTGTCTGGGTGTAATTTATCTGTATTTGGTTCAAATATATATTTATAGGTATACCTTGACTGGCATTTCTCTTGTGTCTAGATTATCTTTTATGAACTGTTGTACTAAAAAATAACTAATTTAATACTTTGTTTTGGAAATACAGTGTAAATGCAAAAAAAACCTTAATGATATTAAAACTTACTATAATTTAAAATATGGTTGGTTTAGCTAAAAACTCATGATAACAAACAGTAAATGTTGCAACAGCCAATTTAAGTATAGTGCAAAAATGGCAAAGATGGAGTAAATAATAATAATAATATTGCTGTCATGTGATTCACAACGCCATCTAGTCAAACTAAGCAGAGCTTGTACTATGAAAGCTAGATTGACTGATAGAATACTTGTATACTTTTTTGTAAATATACACATATTATACATGGAAAACAACCAAACTTCGAAATAAATATTTTGTAGATCATAAAAAACATTTGGTACGACACGGGAACACAACATTCAAACTTTAATCCCCCTTCTAGGATAAAAACTACGTCTTTCCCTGAGACACATTTACAGACACACTTTCACATTTGTAAGATTAGTATGAATGAGATAACCGCAAGGAGGATAAAAGAAGAATCAATAAGGAAAATGAGGTCTTATTGATTCTTCTTTTTTTTCTGGCCCTTAATTCTACTATTTTATGTTAACGCCAAGCCACTGTTATTCCGTTGACACACTGTTGAGATGCCACTGAGACGCCATTGACAACGGTCAAAATATCGGTATTCTACTAACATGATTTCACAGTGTCAATAGACTGTCGATATAATAATAATATATATCATCAATGGTGATATCAACAACATTGCCGTATCTGGCAAATTTAATATATAATTTTCTTACAAATTTAAAACGTACTATTTATCAAACTGTTACAAAAGCATCGACGACATTTGTATCAGTGACAAGTTATCGGGAGGCCATTGGTCTTACATATTTAGTAGAATAGGAAAAGTTCAAAACTATTCTGACGACATTCCATCGACAGTCTATTGATACGAATGAGAATCTCTCATGTTGCTGGCAGTAATCTAATGTGAATATTAATACATATTTGTTTTGTTAATTAGGTAAATGACAATGGCTGCTAAATCTGCTGAACAATCAAGAAAAACTAACCAAAATATCACAGTCTGGTTATCTGAAAACGAAGAGACTGATGATGAATCCGAGTGCTTTCGAACCTTTATACATGAGTTTGTAGGACGTAATTCTCATTCAAAAGAAACTAATAAACCTACACCCTTACCTCATTGGAGAAGATCTGAAAGCGAAGAGACTGATGATGAATCAGACTGCTGTCGAAACTTTACACATGAGTTTGCAGGTCGTAAGTCTCGTTCAAAAGAAACTTATAAACTTACATCCTTACCTCGTTGGAAAAGATCTGAAAGTGTAGCCGACCTCAAAAAACTTAAATCCGAAATTAGGAAGGAACTTAATTTATATGGAGGTGTTTATGAATCAGAAACAGAAGATTATGAATCAGAAACAAAAGATTATCTTGAAACTAATTCTTGGACTCATAATTTTAAAACCTTCACTGGTGAACCGTTGCCTTTCACTGGCACTGCGGGGCCAACTATTTCATCTAATGATCCATTTACAATTTTCACCAGCATTTGGGATAAGAAAATCATGAGTTTGATTGTTGAAGAAACTAATAGGTACGCAAAACAAACAGCCAAGTTACAGGTGAATCAGGAAATGCCTAAGAATCATGTGTCTTTTGAATGGCAAGACACCACCGTTGAGGAAATGTATATTATGTTTGCGTTATTAATCTTTGCTTCATATAGAGGGACAGAAGCTTATATATTTGGAAAGAGATCGTTAGTGCCGCCAGTTTTTTCTGAAATCATGAGTCTGGAACGGTTTTTGGCCTTAAACCGCTTTTTACACTTTGTAGACAATGAAAAACTTGCAGAAACGGACAAGATGCTGGCTAAAATGAAACCTGTATTGGATCATTGCAACGAAAGATTTGCATCACTGTATCGACCTAGACAATTTTTGGATGTGGACGATTCATTTCTTCTATCAAAACAAGGCACTGAACGGAGTCTTCGGTTACAGGCAAACTATTTTGGGGTAAGGACATATGAACTGTCAGAGGTATATACTGGATATGTATTGAAAATACTCCAATATCCTGGACCAGATTACAAACTAACTTCTAAGGATAAAGCACAAATAGTACTGGATTTAGTGAGGGAATATTCCAATAAAGGACACCGAGTTGTAACTAATAACCAGTTTAGCAGTATATATCTAGCTCGTACATTAAGATCCAAGGGCTTTGACAATATCGGTGACATTCGAAAGAGTCGGAAAGATTTACCAGAAATTATACAGAAACTGGAAAAAGATGAAAACGATTCAAAACTGTACCAATTGAACGGAAACAAGATTAGATTGGTAAGTAGACATTGTGGAGACGTGTCTGTAGTTGCTTGGAGCGAATGGGACATGACAACCTTATCAACGTACCATTCATCGGAGATGAGAGCCAATAAACGTGGAATTAGGCGTCCAGCATTGACATTAGACGTCTATAAAGGGAAAGAAAAGATATCGGACAAAGATGAAGACTTATCAGACTATATCATGATACGCCAACCGTCGGAGCGCTGGTATATCAGACAGTTCAAAAGTTTGCTCAACATTAGCTTAAGAAACATGTATGTTTTACACAAGTATAATACACGTGATAACCCGTCCCTTAGTCAGGTAAGTTTTAGAAATAAGTTGGCAAATCAATTGCTGGATTATTTTGGAGTGAGAGAGTTGGTGGAGAATGCAAGAGTAATGAGTTTTGCAGATACTCATGATGGTGAATCCGATGTCTCGGATGCTTCTCTGGATAGTGATGACAGTATTGATTGCTGCATTATGTAAAAAGGAATACACAGGGTGTTTAAGTTAGGTTTCTTTTCTACAATTTATCAGTAGCAATAGCATATTTATTCAATGAACTTAGGACTACCTTAATGATACTAAAATTAAGAATAGTGAGGCTTGTTGTTTGTTATAACACTTGTAATATAAGTGCGGCTGTGAGTAAAATATGTCAAATACTTTATAATTAGTCCATGTCAGAGACTTTGAAATATTCATCAGTATTTTTTTATGCAAAAAATAATTAATGTTCTCTGTGAGAATTGATAAGAAACTTGTTTGGTTTTTAATCGTGTACCGATTATAAATATATCAGATTGATTACCTGTGACGCTTGCGTTGCAGATGCGGATAGTGGGGAGGCGGTAGTCATTTACCACTGTTAAAAAGTCTACGTTAAGTCAGTAATACTTGATATTAGATCATTTAATTTGTACTAGCACCTTGTAAAAACGAAGTGATTTCGAATACAGTAACAGTACCGCCATCTAGTTGTAAAACTTGTACGAAAACTTGTTGTCACCCGCCATATGTCTTCTTCACTTTGATGTTTGCCAAGGTGTTTGGCGGGAATATGTAACTTTGTTTGAACATTATTTTGTATAGTTTGTAAGGTACTGTTAAACAATTTGTTTTTGTCTATGGACGCTTTGTTTTTAATTGTTCATTGGGAAATAAATGTTTCATTAATTAACATTTGTGTATTGTTTTGTTTTTTTTTTTTAATTTAGTCAGGTTATAGTTTTCTTTACTTATAAAACCGACTACAGGCATTTTTGTAGTCGGTAGTCCATCGGTTATAATGTTGTGTTAGGACTTCTTCAGATTACATTGGTTCTGGTTCAAAATGTCGAACTCCTTAACCGAACCGAACTGTTTGCGTTGTAATACTAGACTTCCAAATATAAGTCATGTAACGCTGTTTTTTTTCGCTACAGGGTGGCATATTATCCGTACAAGTTTTGGACATTAAGATTGGACATTTTGACCATGACTGATTACTTTAAGGTTTCGTAAATACTATAGATCATTTGGTGGCCGATATTTCAACTCTATCGATGGCCGATATTTGAACTCTATCGAACTGTTTATTTCATAAAATTGTTTGAAATCGTCTTTTATTTAGACTAAAGTTATAGACCAACACACACAAAAGCAACAATCTCTGTTTTGTCAAATAGTAAGCAAATAAATTTAATAAAAATTAATCTTATACAAAATCTATGATATGCCTCTGTTGATTTACAACCGCCCGTTTTCAAGGGGTTGAGCCTTATGAGATAAAAGGGCAAACAAACTCATGGCCACTCTTGCAATTGACAGATAGATACTATGGCATAATTAAATATAAAAAAAATTAATATAGAATACTAACTGACCCGGCAAACATTGTTTTGCCATTTACATTATTTCTAGGAAATATTGGAAAAAATATTTAGGGGTTGGTCACCCTTGTCATTTAGTTGTGTAAAATATAGATGTTGGCCGATTCTCAAACCTACCCGATGTGCACACAAAATTTCATGAGCATCGGTCAAGCATCGGTCACGACCCCAAACAATTATTTTAACAAAAGCAATTATTTGTTAAACGTACGCCAGGAAAGTTCCCAGTTGGCTTTTTTTTTCAGAATGGATCTAAATCTAAACTTTCCTCTCATCAACTCTATTCGTAGCGTAGATGAAAATATGAAGATCAGTTCAGTGCTTTTAAAATTTATCGCCGTTTTGACAGACAGACAGATAGACAAGCGGGTCGGGGGGAATTCATTTAACAATATATAGTGATTGAATAGGTATGCTGTTTTATGACTTTGAGTTTCTAGGATTTTATGTGCTCTAGTTTATATTAAAGCGATGCAATAATATATCGCACATATAATAAAAAAACGCTATGAAATATTTGATGTTACATTATTTTGTTTGAGAAGAAGTTTAAGTTAATTTTTTTATTTAACTCGCCTAAATGTCTAAATATCTGTGCATAAATTTAATGATTCTAGTCATAGTTTGCATATGCAGTAGGAAAATATCTGGCCACCTGACAAAAAAATCAAATAATTATGATATAGAAGATTTTATAAATCAATTGCTTTCATCACAAAAATTCGACGAACTAGCTGACAAAGTGGCTGAGAAGGCAGTGAAAAAAATTAAAAACATGCCTCCATCCGCCAAAATTTTAACTTCGGAACAAAAAATTCTGCCAAAACAAACCAGCGAAGTCGGAGAAATCGAAAAAGAAAAAATATATGAAAGCATCGAAGAAGAGGATGAACAGAAAAGAGTAATAATAAATGAAAGCGTTGAAACGCCACAGCATAGACATAATAAAAATCCGTATCGACCAGACGAAAGACCTCATAAAGTGCCTGCACCAGTTAAAATTAACCCATATGCTCTTTTCAAGAAGGATGATGATTCAGAACAAGGTGAGTTATCTCTAAAATATGAGTACCTAAAGAAACACGCTCACGACGAGAAAGCTCAAACGCAACAAGACACTGGCTCAAATGAACCCAATCCGTGGCAACATCTAGAACATTCCAAATCAAAAGAAATTCACCGCCCTTTAGACACAGCCATTCACGAACGTAATCCAGTAAGTTCTGAAAAAAATATTAATTATGCGATGAAAAATAAAAAGAAAAATTTATATAGCCGTAATGGACGTGAGAAAAACAATAATAGAAACGAATATAATGAAGCTAGACTAAAAACAGATTATGGTTCTAATTCAAGACCACAGTTCAAATCTGGCAAAATACCGAGTTTACCTGTCATAGATATTGATGAAAACGGCGAAAGGAAAATAGAAGAAATTACTGAGGAACCTCTGGAACAACGAAAACCTGTTATTAATGAAGAGGTTTTGGAAGGCGGCAAGATTAGAAAGAGTTGGGGTGGTACTGCATATAGAGGTGCCTATTCAGAAGTCGAGGAGAGTAATCCCGAGGAACCAGATAATGATACGCAAGATTCAAGATCAAATCCTGGATATGAACTAGGGGAACTAACAACGACGAAGAGAGTTATTCGTAAAGAGGGTAGTAGGTATTACACTTACCTCTCAGGACCTGAGTACGCAGAATTCCACCAGCAATTAGCAAATGAACGGAGGAAAGATGAAGAATTTCATTAATGATGTAAACTAAAGAATAATAAAACACACTTAAAAATACTGAACATTTTTTCTTCATAATTTTAAGTTTTTAAGTAAGATTTTTAAGTTACTATCCTTATGAAGGTTGCCTGTGCTATGTTGTATTGGGCGCATGATACGAGTATTGCTCTATATTTATCTTTGGTATACAACACGTGTAATATATAATTCTTATTGAAGTTTGTAACCTTATTTTAGACTGTGAATTATTTAGCGAACAGGTGAAATCAAAAATTTCAAAATTTCTGTTTTGACAATGTGTAAAATAATTGTTAAATGTGTATAAAAGTATACGATGGGTGTTCGCTTTACAACCAGGCACCAAATAACGCGGCTTATTGCGAGGTGCCGCAGCATGTCGTGGCATGCGGTTTCATTCTTCGGATTATCATGCCACGCGAGAGGCCTCTCCTTAAAACCTCCTTTCTAAGGAGAGGCCTATATCCAGCAGTGGACTGTTAAAGGCTGGATTGATGTTGATTGCGATGGCGCCTAAGCAGCCACGGATCTACGAGTTTTTCGAGCCGGGGCAGAAACTACACACACTAAACAGCGTTTTGCGATAAGTAACTGGCACAAACTCACAAAGATAACATTAATTGGGACACATCAATTTATTGTTATTTAAAACAATATAATACTATAATTTTGGTGCCTCCTGAATCTGCCACCCGGGGCAGATGCTCCGGTTTGAACCCCTCTTCCCCTCCTAGATGCAATTAAGCGCCCAAGAGCGCATTAAACATAGATATTTGCTGACTGCTCTGCCAACTCCTCCAATTTTCTTCTGATTAATTTCGTTGCGGGTTCCAAGACAGTTTAATTTCTTCCTGGGACTTCCCGAGTGTCATAACTCGGTGTGTTCGTGGGTCACTGCTGTGGATCCTGGTGTACAGGAGTTACAGTGGTGGGCGTGTGGGTGGGATTACTGCTCTATTTATATAGCTTTAATTCATAGGTACTTTTACATTTGATGTCAAGTTACTCGTATTATTACTGTAGATACTCTGAGTGTTGTATTACTTCCAAATGATAGTTAAATAGTTCAGATTAACAAACCAGATCCTCATGATCGGTTCTTTTACACCATTTTTTTTTATGCCATAAGGGGGCAAACGAGCAGACGGGTCACCTGATGGTAAGCAACTACCGCCGCCCATGGACACCTGCAACTCAAAAGTCACAAGTGCGTTGCCGCCCTTGCGCCGTCAGCGGGAGGGACTCCAAGGGCGATTTGGGCTCCTAAATAATGAAGCTAAAATGTACCATCATAAAGTAAAGGTAAGAAATGCTTGAGAATAAGAAATGAGGTGAGCCGAAACATAGAATGCAAGGTAAATCGTAAATGACGCATATCTTAATACCTTGTCTGGTATACGCAATGAAGAAACTATTACAAAGAGAATGCAGTCAATTCACATTTAAAAACAGTTTGAAGATTAAGCAATTATCTTGAAATAAGCAATTAAGAAGCAAGTCGCTGCAGTCAGAGTTAAAAACTTCAAATTTCAAATACATTTTTGAACGAAATATTATCATGTACCTACCTTCATTATTTGCCATGGATACGTCATTAACAGTATAGCGCCATACTAATCTGTGATAGCGCCTTAGTACGAAAAATCATATTTAAAGTTTTACAATTTCGTCTGTTACAGAAATATATATATAAATAAAAATATTTATAATCATAATTTGTATATAATGTCCATACCAGCATTGAGACAGCCTAATTTAATAAAAAAAGATCATGAAAAAACACCATTTAAGCTCATTCCTGACAAACGAGATTTTTTTATTGTAACTTTGAAAGGTGGAAAGAAACTAGTGGTGTCGTCTGATGCTTACCATGGGATACTGACTGCTGGAGGATTTTACAGATGCGTATTCTGTGAATCAGAGATGGTTTTGGATATACTGTGTAAAGAACGACACAAGAGTTCACAAAATCATAGAAAGATTTTAGAGAATTACCCTCATGTGGAAGAATACAAAGAAAACCTTATAAGAAAGGTAATTAACAATATTTAATCCAAAAAGTTGCAAATATATGTGGTTTTTTTTGTGTAACACTGATATGCCTCTGGACCATATGACATCACTGCCCTACCCTACTTAAAATTCTAAATTTGAATTTTTTTTCTGTAGTTTTTTCTGATGTTACAAAATTTTTTAAACTATTTATTGAAATATTGGTACTTAAAAAAAATGTTTGCTTGGTGAAACAATGCTTTGCAGTAACTTTTTAACACACTTTTATTAAAACTTATCAGTCACACATTGCTAGTATTCTTAGTATGCCCCATTAGATAGTAAAAAAACCCAGAGGTTGTGGGTTTGATTCCCACCCAGAAGAAATATTGTTTGATGAGCCCGATCTTTTGTTCTGTGTCTGGGTGTATGTAATTACACCCAGATACTGCAAAGAAAAGTTACACTGAACACAAATCCTATACCAACCTGCTTGGCCAGCGTGGTTTAGTAAGCCAAAACCTCTTTTCCAAGAAGAGGCCCATGTCCAGCGGTAGACTATTGAAGGCTGTTGATCAATATTTTTGAAGGAGAACAAATAATAAACAAATTATTATAATGAATTTAATTTAATTTAAAATTCTTCATCCATATGGAATTCGAAAAGCACTGCCTTAGTGGATTCGATTCCCTGACCGGGTAAAGTTTTATAGGGGTTTTCTGATGGAAAAAATAGCCTATGTTACTCCTTATACAGACAACTACCTGGTGGTAAAATATTATCAAAATCGGTCAAGCTATTTTGAAGATTACCCAAACAAAGAGACAGACAAAAAATATTTAAACTGGGTTTTAGGCATAGGTATCGTCCATAACCTTGTGAGCATGAGATGACAGTCTATTCACAAAATGATTACTAAACATTTTAATATATTGTTTTGGCTATTAAAAATGCTTTACGTTTAGTCATCTAGTGACGAATAGAAGTAAATATATTTTAAAAAACATTAAGATATTTTTCCAGAACTATTTTAATAAATGAAGTATAAAATTACTTACAAATAAAAATAATAACCTATCACATTCACACAACGCCATCTAGTCCCAAACTAAGCAGAGCTTGTACTATGGCTAGTAGCCAACTGATATTTTTTGTAAATACATATGAAATGAAATGCGTCCATAGCAACATAACGTCTATCCTAATTATTTTAACACGATAAAATACAAAATTTTATCATTTTCTTCTTAATACCACAAAAGTACACCGATTTTGCTACACAAGCGCACACTACGGACGCTGAGTGTACTAATTTTAAGCCACGCCCACTGTGATGACGTCAGGACCTACTTAGAATCACAGTGCACAGTTCCTTCTTCTTTTAGTATTTGCTTCATGCCCGTTATTCATTAATAACTGTTATTTTTTCAGATAACAGCCAGTACTAATTACTGCACTGTGTGTAACGTAATAGTGTTGTCACATTTTTTACAAAAACACGTACTCGCTGAAGCTCATATTAAAGAGCTAAACAAAGCTTTAACCAGAGCAGAATCTTATAAGGAACGGATTTCTCAATCTGATGAATACCCGCCTTTATCTAATTATAAAAATAAAATATAGATGTTATTTTAACAATGTCTTTCATTTCCCGTCATAACTTTTTGTCCTTACGTCATAGCCTTTCTATTGGGGAAACGCGAGAAAACTTCTATTGTTTTTGGGTTGTACGAGTATTTATTGTAATTGGCAACCCACTACTGTGCGCATTTGATAAATTTTTAGCCCTTCACAACAAAATTTTAATGTTATTAGTTTAAACCATTCTGCGTTATTAAATTCAATTACTCTAATAATAGTTCAATAAAATCCTTTGAAGAATACAGTGTCACCACCCCTATTCATCCCGTGGGTGTCGTAAGAAGCGACTAAGGGAAAAAAACTAGGCAGGACAACAGCACTGCAGAGAGAAGGAAAACTTGACACAAACCTTTTTTTTTTTTTTTTTTTTTTTAACGTGTGGAAATCCCCTCGGACCGTCACCCTACCGGGGTTTGCGGCGGGGTGGTGTGTCGGACTCGAACCGACTAAAACCACACGGTGTGCCCTCTTTGCGCTTCCAGTTTAGGAGGGGTCCAGGTAGTTATCGCCTTCTGGACCCCTCCTAGCGCCGGCCCGCTCCTATTGCGGGCCCCGTCTCAAAATTTTCCTCTCTTTAGGCGACGTCCGGCACACGCGGACGCCGCCCCCTCGCGGCTGGCCAACTAATGCGGGTCCACCCGCGGCCACACTCAGGGCGGCATGAGGCGCAGGTAAGCGCGCCTCCGCCGCCCGGTTCGCCGGCGGCGGATCAGGTCCGAGTGAAAGTCGTCCTCCCGGGCCTTCTCCGTCGCCTCCTTCTGCGAGATTACCCCTTCGCAGAAGGTTGCGACCGCGGTAAAACAACTGTCGCTACCGGCCATGGAGCGAATTACGGCCGGTAGCGAGAGATCTGCTCCGATGATTGACACAAACCCTATACCAACCCGTCTGGCCAGCGTGGTATAGTATAAGCCAAAGCCTCCTTTCTGAGGAGAGGCCTATGTCCAGCAGTGGACTATTAAAGGCTGTTGATGATGATGCTGATGAAAATCCTTTGAAGGTATTTTCATAGTAAAGTATTAAACATCCAGCGTTGACTGTAATGGGATCATATCGTATTGTGACTGAAAATTGAATCGGTAATCTGCTAGTCTTAGTAATACTTTACTATTAAATACGAAATTACCTTTGATGTCAGGTGCGATGATCAGAACTGAATTGTGACCGAACTTTTATTACGAGAATTGACCTACAGGTATTTTGTTTGACGTGTAAATAGAGAGAATTTATATTTGTTGTGTAGGTATTTAAATCGCTAGTCTATTTAACAATAAGATTTAAATATAAAAAGTCACAGGTCTGTGCGTTCACCGCAAAAAAAATACCATTGGTCGTAACACCTCAGTTTGAGAGCATCTCCCTAACTGCCGCGGCCAGCATCGGAATCCTAGGCATCGACATATCGAGCGAAGTCCAGTTTCGGGTTCACTTAGAGGGTAAGGTGAAATTGGCCTCGAAGAAGCTCAGGTGTCCTGAACAGATCGAGGCAGTATTTCACTCCAGCCCACCACCTTCAGCTCTATAAGGCGCAAGTCTGGCCGCATATGGAATACTGTTCTCATCTCTATGCAAGGGCCCTCAGTACCACATCCAACGAAGAGCGACTCGAATCGTCGATAGCCAAAACATCTCCGATCAACTCGATCCCTTGGCGTTACGTAGAGATGTGGTTTCACTCTGCATTCTCTATCGCATACAACATGGAGATTGCTCCAACGAATTGTTCGGACTATTACCAGCCGCAAATTTCCGCCATCGTTCCACACAAATTTTCACCCTTATTACCTGGATAGATGGTGCTCCACTACTGTACGCTTTTCGAGACCCTTTTTGCCCCGCACAACCAATCTGTGGAACGGGTTATCGTCTGCGGTATTTCCGGACCGATTACGACCTTCAAATCTTCAAGAAAAGAGCGTACTCCTTCTTAAAAGGCCGGCAACGCGTTTGTGACTCCTGGGTTGCTGACGTTCATGGGCGGCGTATCACTTTCCATCAGGTGGCCCGTCTGCTCGTCTGCCCCCTCTAACATAAAAAAAAAGCGTGGGGTGCTTTTTACTATTGACAACAGGCACCCAACGTTTTTTTTCAAATTTATTTTATATTTTTTAGTTTGGTTTTCTATAGAAAGCGTGTTTTTAAGTTTTTAAAACTATATATATATATATATTTTTTAATTAGTGTATTGTCATCGGTCTTCGATATATCTACAAAGTTTGAACGAATTCTGACCGTTTAAAGTCAGTCAAAATCACGCCCAAAGGAGTCGGTTACAAACATACAAGTGAAGCTAATATAAAGCGTGTAAAAAAAAAACAAATAAAAGATATTAATATTCATGTAAATAGCACTTTAAAACCGTTTACAACTTGATACTTTGATTTGTCGTCCAATTCACCAATTACATGTTTCATATTGGCTACAAAATCTGATATTGTCTTTTTAATATTCCTATCTTTATTTTCTTCATAATTAAGGAAGTTTCTTGTTATATTGTTCCAAGTTTTAATATTTGCCTCACTTTCTGGTACTTTTTCATCTAACATGTTAATAATTTGAATAAATGTCAATGTTTTGTTAACTTCACTAATTTTATCATCACTAAATACAATCACAGGTGAGTGTCTATTTGAGAAAATACTTTTAATCATTGCTATAATCGACCTTTTATGAACTAAATTTTGATCATCAGCATTAGCGAAATTTACTTTTAACCCCTTATCTATATCCTGACCAAAAGCGGGGTTGAAATCGTCTCTTCTAATGACATCGGACAACGAGTCGAACGCTTCTTCAAATTTATTATTGTCAAGGCTCAATAATATCGTGAGAAAATCCATAACGAATGCTGTAAAACTTTTGCGCGTCCTACAAACGTCTAATTTCATGCAAGCTCGATTTAAATCCGTGTTTGTTTCATCACTTAATTCTATTTCGAATGTTTTGGAATCCTTACCTTTATGTTCATCTTTGTTTTCGTCATCTATTATGTAATTAAAAAGCCGTGTAATGAAGCGATCGCTTAGATAAATAATGTTAAGTATATTTTTTTCTAGTCCAGTCATATTATTAACTTGATTGAAATTTGTATTATCTATAAGGTCGCTGAATTTTCTTTCGTAAATTGTCGATATACTTCTAATAACTTGTTTTAATTCGTTATCTGTGCTTCTTCTTTGTTTAAAGTTTTGATCTAAATTTAAAAAATGATTAGATATGTTTTTAATCGAATTCATTTTATCGTTTTCTGTAACTGAATGGATCCAAGACTGCCATTTATGAGAAGTTTTATTTGCTACATAATTGATAGCGACATCTATTTTTTTATCGAGTTCTTTTTGAGTTTTTTCTGAATGTCGTTGTCGGAATTTTTGTTCAAATGAATAAAAATCATTCTCTTTTTTAATTTTATGTTTTATATCTTCTAACCGCAAACTTAAAACTTCAGTTGATTTATTTTTTACGTGATGTCCACCTATTTGTATCGTTTTTAAAACGTGAAGTATGATATCTTGAATAGATAAATTAGATTGGCTGTCAGTTTTCTGTAAATTTTCATTTGAACTAACATTACGAGGAATTTTGTGTATTGTCTGTGCCATCGAATTAAATTTGTTAATACGATGATGTTTTAAATGACGTCCAACACTCTTTTGTCTATGATCGTCTTTTTCACTATTCCTAAATCTCTTTTTCTTTTTTATAGTTGTAGCTATTTCATATTTCGTATTGCGTGTTGTATATAATTCTGTTGATGTGTATCTCTTCTTGTGTTTTCTTTGAGCAATCCTGCAAATAAAATGGCTACTGTAATTTACAAGTAGTAAATTAATTTGGGTACCACAACTAACACCAAGTGTGGTGACGGATTAAGAATACGAAATGTCACCACCCCTATTAAACCCGTGGGTGTCGTAAGAGCCGACTAAGGGACCAAACTACGCAGGACAACAGCACTGCAAAGAGAAGGAAAACTTGAAACAAACCCTATACCAACCCGTCTGGCCAGCGTGGTATAATAGGCCAAAACCTCCTTTCTAAGGAGAGGCCTATGTCCAGTAGTGGACTGTTATAGGCTGATGATGATGATGATGATGATGATGAACTAAGAACAGAAGACAACCTAGTTTAATAAGGGTTCATTATCTTTAAAGCTACTGATCTCTCGTAGGACTTGATTGTAACAAAGAGTTATTAGGACGTTCGGAATTCGAATCCGCATTCTCAGTTGCGGATCTTCCACATCGATTTTGCGTTTAGCCATTATCAATTTATGCAATAAAGACGGCCTTATCTTGCTCTTTACCTATTTAAAGTTTTACCGTAATCAAGCAGAATTAATCTTAAAAGTACATTATCTCAAAATCATAAAATCTATTATTTTTTTTATTTTTTTGACACACTCAAAAATATTTATCAGTCGTAAACTAAAAGTATAAAGTATGCGATTACCTTGCAGTAGTTTTCATCGATTTTTTAGTAGCATCATCATCTCCTGATACATCTTCATTCTCAAGTGAGGATGATCGAAAACTCGTACGAAATATTACCATAGACTCATCGATATTCATAGAGTTTCGTTTTTTAGAATTAAATCTTTTGGATCGGTAGGTTTTAGTGTTGTAAGGATCTGATTCATTATTAATATGTTTATACTTTTGTATATTCGGATTCAAAGGATCATTTTCGCCTGATATCTGTCTTCTATATTTTGGTGAGTTACCTAACTTTATAGATAATTGGAAACCTTTACTTGCTTCAAAAGTCATCAAACCGACCGCTAACGTTAAGTCTGTAACGAAATATTTGAAGATAACTTTGGATTATTTAAAAAAATACTGAATGTACAGCGAGGTAGCTCGACGACCGGAGTGACACCACGGCCTCACAGAAAAGTAGTGTAAACAATTCTTTCGTTAATTACTTTTCACCGAGTGGGTGAGATTACTGTAGATTAGACATGGAAATTATCGCTACTTTTAAATCATATTCATTTGATGACTTGATGGGTCTTAGACACAGCGATTTTACATGTGATTGTGATTTCGTCATAGACAAAGGGAAAAAACAATTAACATTCTTTTTATCAAAGATTACTTATAACCTTTTTTTAGATTTAGTCCTTGCGCGAGTCTTGCGCTGGTGTAATAATTAAGTAGCAGTGGTTTTGTAAACCAGTCACAGGTGTGGGGATATGATTTATAAATCATATGATTTATTATATTTTATTCTGTTCCGAAGTGACACATGGGATCTATATAGGACCAATTGCACTGGCGGAATTTTTTTTTTGTTTTTTTATGCAAATTGAACGCGGTAGGTACGTTGGTTATTTATTTCCACGCGAATTAAATCTCGCGGTGAAATATCACTGTGCGGACGGGTCTTCAGAAGTACGATGAATAAAGCTAAAAATCATTTTACTTACATAAACCATATGGAAAATAACACATGACACGTGTCGTAATAAAAATCGTGATAAACTAAATAAGTGTTTGATTAAAAAAAAACAATTTATAATAAATATTGATTTATTCAAATATTTTTTTTATAGGCTTGTAAAAATAATATTTTTTGCATTTTTGAGATCGTGTAGTACGTGACAACTTTATTTTTAAATATGGAGTGTAGAGGCCAAGCGCGGATCCGTTGTTGTATGCGCGATGCTTGCGTATTCCCACAACCCTAATAGACTTGTGACGTCACACTTTAACATTTTATTGAGATCGACAGGCCTAGAATTAAGAATGCACTATACCTATCGATTATGAGCGAGTTAGTAACCGTTTTACGGGTGTGCCAGTGTTTTGAGGACTTGATTCGCGCCTGGTACCTCTACTGGTAAGGAGCACTACCTTGTATGGGCGGCAAACTGAAAAAGTGTTTGGCAAAAAGCAGCTCATAATAGTTCTAAAACCGACCAGAATGGCGCTAGTGTAGCCAACGGGAATGACGTGAAAAACATTTATAGGCGGAGGGAAGTTTGCTTAGTTAAAGTACTTTTCTAGTCTTTAAAACTCATATAATGACTTTTATTCGCAGTTAAGTGCATGGCGTGTCATTATTTTTTAAGCCAATAAAAAAATTATACAATATTTTTCTTTCCATGTTTATTTCTCCACTAGTTGCGGTGTTACCCGTAGTTTATCAAATAAATTTTTACGAGCGATCCGCCTCGGCTTCGCACGGGTACTATTACTGATATTACTGATGTGGTGTCTGTGTGGAGTAATTAATGATACGAATATTATGATAGCAGTATATTACAGGACATCTTTAATTGCAATATTTATAGGTCCGCTCCGGTCCTACCAGCCGCTGCCACCCGGGAAGGACGTACGGCTTGACGGTCGCTGGGCCCCTGCTTTTTAAACCTCTAATATCTTCTAAAATATGCACAACGTATCTAACGTATTTAAATGGATAAAGAATATTAATGTATTGTTTCAATATATAGCTTAGTAACTAACCTATTTCTTTTTTGTAATTTTTAAAAGATAAAAATGGTTACTGTGGGTTGTCCTTAGGGGATAGACATATACCATTGAGGACATTTTTGTAGATTTTTATAAAATATAAAATTCCGTAGTACATTATTTCGATCTATCTCGTAAGGTTTAGCCAGCGTTTGCAATGCAAACGCACAAAATCATGTTTTTTTTAAATAACTTGACTTTTCATTTTTTTTATTGCATAAAAAGTTGTAAAATGTCAAGTCAATGATGCAAATCAGTGAAAATTTACTTAATTTACTTCAAAACCAAGGCGTAATACAATTTTTTTTTTTCCTCTGAGCCTTTTTTCATAAACTAGGTTCGGGTCAGCTTTAAGTCTTCAACGATACGGCTGAACCTCGATTTTTTTACGTGCAGCGATTGCCGACCTCCACGACCCAAGTACTAGGCGATATCGAAGTTCCTTAGAAATACTGTAGTCGGTATTTTTAAGGCTTCAACCACCCGTGGCAACCGGGACCGATGGCTTAATGTGCTCTGCGAAGCACGGAGGGGTCTCAATGTGTTAAGAATAGTCATCCATCTATAGACTGACCTAGCTAGGATTGCTTAAAAACCGTATTGCTTATTCGGTTACCACTTAGCCACCTCTGTAGAATCAATAATAATTATTTCTATAAATACAATTTTTATTCATTTTGATAAGATCACTTATCAACAACATTTTATAAAATAATTAAAGGTTTTTTGTACCTTATATTAGAAACCATACATATTAAATTGATATTCCTTCATACTTGGCAGGCTTAAGTCTCAAATAATAATTAAGTAATGTTAAACTTTGATGCTATAGAAATATTGTACATTTTGCCTCATCGTCATTAACAGCCTATAACAGTCCACTGCTATACATAGGCCTCTCCTTAGAAAGGATGTTATGGCCTACTATACCACGCTGGCCAGACGGGTTGGTATCCCTATACCAACCCGTCTGGCCAGCATGGTGGCACTGCCAAGAAAAGGAAAACTTGAAACAAACCCTTTGTTTCAAGTTTTCCTTCTCTTTGCAGTTCTGTTGTCTTGCGTAGTTTGCTCCCTTTGTCGGCTCTTCGACGACACTCACGGGATGAATAGGGGTGGTGACAGTCCGTATTCTTAATCCGTCACCACACCACATTTTGCCTAAAGAAACTAAATTAGCGTGAACTCAACCATCATCTATCTTACTCATTTATCGCTAGTATCACTCGCTCATGAAACAGATGGCGCCATTGAGCTAATGATCTAGTGAGCTAGAACTGAGTTACTGATACATTCGGATCTAGTGTAAGTGAGTGATACATTTTATCTTCGTGAAGCCGTGAATGACATATATCTTTTAGATCATTCACTCAGGAGCTACACAACTCTAGTTGCATCCATAGATAAAACACTATAAAGTTGCATCTCAAAGCCATTAATCAAAAGTTGAAGATTTTTTTTCAAGTCGATAAATATGAATCAATTCAGTTATACTAGAGCTGAAAAAGTTAATAAAGAAATGCTAAGATAACGCAAATTAGTTATCAACCCGTGCTTTTGTAGTGAAAGTTGACAAATTAAGGTTATAGATGTTTCTGTCCTTAATCTGTACGTTACCCGTGCATGATAGGATCATGGCGAACTGTCAAAGACCGGTGATTTTTCATTGGATTTTTTCGTATGTAGGTTAAGGTTACTACTTACTCACGTTCACGTTGTTGCCAATAAGCTGTTTTCAGACGATGCACAGACACTATTACGCCTGTTAACAGTAAATCTAGTAATTATTTTATTATTCATCCTACCTACCTAGCAACATTAACCTATGTATGCAAAAATCGAATGATAAATCACAGTTCACTGTGATTTTGTCCCATATCTGGAGCATGATAATATGCACCCAATATTATTCGAACTATAAATAGTTTTTATTTCGAAACAATAAAAATAAAACAGTTTCATTACATTTTAGTTTCATTCGCTTCATTTTTAGTTGCTGAAATGCACATATTACATTACAATGTATTATTTTATAGAAATATTGTGTAAGTTTTAATTTATATTTATAGGTATTTTTCACTCTTTCTGGACGCTGTAGTACTGTGTTATATAATAGAGACTTGGTACAACGACTTGGTATAATTTAATTTGAAAGATACTTTTCCAAATTTAGAATACGAATAATTAAATGAATCTTGTGTATATATAAAGTTGGTTAACTAACAAAATGGCGCGTAATAATAAGCAAGGAGTCTGACTTAGGAAGTTTTTTATAAAAAATATGTTTAGCAAAATACGATGGTATAGACTATTTAATAGATGATGGTAACTACATTAAGAATTAAAATAATTTTACTCAATCATTTGTTCGTTGCTGTTTTTATAACTTTGAAATATTTGAATCTTTTTGTTTTAATCTATTTAAGTTTAATATTTTTGAAATGTTTTTTGAACGGTAAAGATGAATCCGACTAATTCGTCGGAACGTGAAATTAGCGATAATATTAAAACTGTTACTAATTTTTTCCAACAGATTTAATATCAGCAGTCAGCTCAACAACTCTGGAAATAAATAAAGATTTAAAATTTAATGTAAAATTTGATCCACCAATACCTAAAAGACGTACGTCAAATTCACATATCCATGACTTTGTCATCCAAAAATATGGACGTAGTTTTGACGTAAAAGATCCCAGAGTTGCTATTAGAAAAAAAAAGGAGGACTCCTCAGAGGATCAGGATTTTTCTAAAGAAGAAGTGACGCCTCTATCGGGTATAAGGGGTCGATCCTTTTCGTATCAAGAATTAAGCGAAAGTAATAGTGATAGTGATGACAGCACTGAAAAAACTACAACAACAACTGGAAGGTCAGTAAAAATGCTATATTCTTTCGTCCGTGTAGTGACGGATTAAGAATACGGAGTGTCACTACCCCAATTTATCCCGTGGGTGTCATAAGAGCCGACTAAGGGCGCAAAACAACGCAGGACACCAGCACTGCAAAAAGAAGGAAAACTTGAAACAAACCCTATACCAACCCGTCTGGCCAGCGTGGTATAGTAGGCCAAAACATTCTTTCTAAGGAGAGGCTTATGTCCAGCAGTGGACTATTAAAGGCTGTTGATGATGATGATGATGAAGCAGACATGGGAGATATTATTATATTTGTACGTGAGACAGCCTTACTTCGACCGGAGGAAAGGTTCGGCCTCCAATGACCTAACTCATTCGGTGGAAATCATAGGAATTAACAATGTTCACTAATTTTGAATGTTAGCTTTCTGTATTCTGCGTTGAAAATAAGACATACTCGTGAAATAATTATTTCGATAGGTCAATAAGTTTCCAAGATATAGAGTTTTAAAGGCAGCGCGCAACGACCGGTCCGCGTTCATTTCGCGTGACGTCATAATACAACACTCGCTCAGCCCGTTCCCGCTTTTACGTGCCTTCCCCCCCATCCCTTGCGTTCTGATACCAGGTGTTAAGCACACCACACACAGTTTACAGAAAGCAGGTGTTAAGCAGTTCTTTCGCTGCTTTTCACCGAATGATTGAGGTTATCGGAGCCTAAACCCCTTCTCCCTCTGATTCTGAGGTTTATAACGAAAATCGTTGTCTTAAAGTGTCTGGAAAAATCTTTATCCACAAAAAAAAATACAGTGGCACAAAACACAAAACATACATACTTATATACAGTTATATAAAACGGTTCAATTGTTTTTTCCCATCTCAAAAAATGCCCAACGCTCCTAAAGAAGTTTTCACTTCAATAGAGATTTCGGTAACGGTAACAGTTTTACGAGTTCAATGGTTTTTTCCCATAAAATACATTCTTTTGTTTATTGTTCAAAAATGTCCAACGCGTTTTCACTTCAAAAACACTCCAGGAGTGCCGATAGAAGTGAAAACTCATAGAATTATGTACAGAGGTGTTGGTAACGGTAACGGTTCAATTGTATTTTCCCATTTAAAAAAATGCCCAACGCGCCAAAATAAGATTTCAATTCAATAGTATTTCATTAATAATTAGAAATTTTATCAACAGGTCTCCCAAAAAACATAAGAGAAAACATACATCAATAAAATTGACTTCCACAAAGAATAGTAAATATGAGATACCTACAACAACGAGCAAGAAAAAAAAGCACAGAAGTAATAACAGACATCGCCATAGACAGAAGAATAAAGATCACGAAGAAGATGACAAAAGTTACGAAAGAGGTGCTACTGGTTTATCCAATAATGATTCTCAACAAATACTTCATGATCAAACTCAGTATTTAATAAAACCCAAACCTCTTCTTAAACACGACAGCAATTATCATGCGAGGTCAAGGCTGAAGCATGTCAAAAGGTTCGATGAGGTCGATGACAGTTCCGAATTGTCCTTGCCGTCTTCACCCAGGAAGAAACATGGACTTCGACAGCGGAAGAACCACAAAAAAACTACTTACTATAATAAAAACAAAGTTCGGTCTCCAGTTAAACATAATACACCAAGCTCTGGTGGTATCGGCACATGGTTTAATAATCTCGTTAAACTTTTAAGCCCGAAGGAAACCCCAATTAACACAGGTTACGGTAGAATGCCCAATATATCTGTGATACCTTCATCACAGTGGTTCGATTATTTAAAAAATAAATCTAAAACAGTTGTCGAAAGCGATAATCCTCAGAAATGGGTCGAACAAGTGGAGGCAATTAAAAATATAACTGAAACAGTAGTAGGTGAATTAGAGAACGCATCGATGGCAATACAGCAACAAGTTGGAGAAGTGTTACAACCACAAATGCAAGAGCAGTTACAGCAACAATTACTAAATAAAACTAAAGAGAAAATCGATAAATATATCAATAAAACTCAAGAGGAGATTGATAAACACATCAATACCAGTCTGGTGATCGAGGCGCAGATAAATAATTTGGCGAATCAAACTGGGAATTTAACTAAACTTATTAATGCAACCGCAAACTTATGGCAGCCATGGATACACAATGTTCAAGATGACGCAAAAGTTAATAGTTTTATAAGACACATACCCAATCATTATTCAAAATTATTTCGCGCGCTCGAAAGAAAAATTACAGATGACAAATGGAAGCATGTGTTAAAAAAAATAGAACGGGCCTTTAGGACCAAATTTAACGAATATATCACGGAAACAACACATAATAAAATTAAAAGTAGAACGGGAACAGAAAGAGTTGTGCTTAACTCGATTGGAGTATCTAATCGAATAATTAGACGGTTATTCAATTACGTTTTAGGGAATACGAATAATAAAGCTTTCTTGCGCAACAATTACACAATTGATATTATAGAGAAGGAAATAAAAAAACACACACATAACGAACGCCATCGCGCTTGTCTAAAATTAGAGATTTGTAGAAGCAGCAAAGGTTTCGTAACATATATTATCGATATTTTAACTATATTATGCAGCAGTAATAATGAAAAATTTGAAGGTGCATTTACCTCGTTGTCAAAAGTCGTACAAAAAACTCGATTTGCTGATATTCTCGGTGAAGACGTAGAGAAAGGGATACAACAAAAAGTCGCGCAATATGACCACGTAAACTTGGTTTATAAAAGATCTATGGTGGCCATTATGAAAAATATTATTGCGAATAGAAATTCACCGCTTATCGTCTATGGTGACAGTCAAGTTGATCAAATAAATAAAACTATGGCTCTCCTTGAAATCATAAACACTTTAGACGAAAATGTAGCGGGTAATTTGGTAAATCTCCAAGAATGGAATGAAATCAAAAATAATCTTCTCAACTATTCCACAAATGAAGAGGCGGACAACATTGATACTACAATGACTGCATTAATAACTAACATCGTAAAAGTGATCAGTGAATTAGATGAACAGTCACGGGCTCACGTTGTGCAGAACGCCAAAATTCTATTAACTTAACTGTTTTTTTTAAGGCAAGTAATCTATAAAGTACATACTGTACTTAAGTAGTACCAAACATCATTTCAGATGTTTTCTGTGGCAAAAAAAAACATTCTGGAAATGAAAATAAAACGGCAAACCATAAATCTTAATTGCGTAAGTCAGTGAACTAAGAATGTATTTAGAAGTGCTTTCAAATGTATCTTCATGGTTGTAGAATAATGCCGGTTTGAAAAAAATACGAAATTCAGTTTTTACCATATTTGGATACTACATTCATCATCATCAACAGCCTATAACAATCCACTGCTGGACATAGGCCTCTCCTTAGAAAGGAGGTTTTGCCCTACTATACCACACAGGCCAAGCGGCTTGGTATAAGGTTTGTTTCAAATTTTCCTTCTTTTTGCAGTGATATTGTCCTGCGTAGTTTGCTTCCTTAGTCGGTTTTACGACACCCACGGGATGAATAGGGGTTGTTACATTCTGTGTTTTTAATCCGTCACCACAAGGAACTACATTGTCTAAATATTATCACTACTTTCAAGAAAAAAAATGTATTTTAGATTTTAAATTATTCAGTGTTTGTTTGATACGCGCTCAAAGTAAAATAAAGCATGTGATTTTTCTACAAAATTGTAAAATTATTGGTTGGTATTTTTCACTTGTATGCCAATTTTCAAAATTACAGATTTAGAATTTAAAAAGTTATGTCAAAAAAATAACAATTATATAAAATGGCCGCCATGTAAAGTTCAATAAATGTCAGATCCGACACTATTCTACTACCTACTATGACCACCGTGATTATGAATTCCGTTTAAAATTGCAACCACCCGTTGCGTTAACATATTTACATTAAATACTAAACGATATTGTTTTACTAAATGCACCCTTATTTAGTTAACAGTAAGAAAACGTTTCGTATACATACCTGTAGGCCGTTGCGTGCGAAATTACGGTAAACAGCTGCCAGATTTGCAACGAGTGAATCTTGACATTACAAAATATTTTCGTGCAGTTAGTTGCTTGCTTTCTCCGAAAATAAAAAAAAGGTATCATATCTTTATAAGTAATGAAAATTTCAAGGGAGTTCAACTTCAAGAGATACGATTATTGTAAACACGTATTAAGTTTCGATGACAATGCAAAACTAAAAAATAAGTACCTAATAGTAAAAAAAACGTTACTATTACTACGCAGAACAACAACACTGCAGAGAGAAGGAAAACTTGACACAAACCCTATACAAACCCGTCTGGCCAGCGTGTATAGTAGGCCAAAACCTCCTTTCTAAGGAGAGGATAACCATATTCGATACGGGTCTAGCAATGGCGCTTTGGATATACGTTCAAGAAAAGATTTTTATTTTACCAATAACTTATCATAATAATACTTAAAACATTTTATTTAGCATTTGTTGATAGAAAAGATCGCGCTTTATCTTAAAAATTATACCTGCTTCGGAAAATCATATTTCTACATCACCAGAAAGTCGACTGGGAGAGGATGCCTCATGGCATTAAGTCCGCCTTTGTACAACATGTGCATTAAGTTTAACTATATACTGCTTTAGAAAGATAATAATAATAATATTTTCGGACATCTGACACACAACGCCATCAAGTTTCAAACTAAGCAGAGCTTGTACTATGAAAGCTAGATTGACTAATAGAATACTTAAATACATACATATTATACATAGAATACACTCAAACCCCGAAACAAATTTGCAGATCATACAAACATTAAGTCGCATATGCTACTACTGCTCCACCGAGGCACTTCAAATAATCTTAGCAAATTCTGTTAAGTTAGGATTTTGTTTTGCGTTTTCTGGAACGTACTAAGCGTTGCCGAATATTCGGCGATTTGGCCATGACTCTCGCCGAATATTTATTATTCGGCCAAATCACTATTCGTTGCATCTCTAATATTGATTCTGCTGAACCACCCTATGAAGTTATGCAATAAGTAAATTTATATTGACATAACGATAAATACCCCTGCTTTATTAATGTGTAATCGGCTACATTGCGAAGACTTAAATATATAAATGTTAATTTTCGTACTCTTGTGCATAATAAATCAACCAGTTAGAGGTTTTTTTTTAAATTCATAAAAAAAAATATACGTAACTATGCTATTGACACCAATAGATTTAAATTTATTACACCGATAAATATTTGTTTCTTTTTAAATTGTATAGCAGGTACTTACCTATATTTTAATCTTGCATCTAAAAATAACAAAAAACCTTTATTAATATTACGAATACCAAACTAACAACAACATATAATAAATACAGACAATTTTCCAGTAGCCAGTACATAATCAAACGAATTAATGTATTTTACGCCAACGAAATTTTTGTGTAGTGCTTTAGCACTTCTTATAACAACGTAAATGCTTTTTTTCAATGCGAAGGACATGACCGTCTTACCCCGTTTATTTACTCCGAAATGTATTTGCAGCAACTGTTCAAAGTAGACTAAAAAATGGCGACAACAAATGCTTCTGAATAGCCTCAACCGTTATTAATTGCCAATGATTGCTGTCTTAAGAAGATTTATGAAGATTTAATAGCGCATTTTTTTTTTCTAGAACAGAGAAAATTAAAAACAACGAAGTATCTACTTAGCGATTTGAATTCTACGTTTCTAACCTACTTGAGGTTATAATTTAATAAGACAAAGCAAGCGCTATGCCTTTGCAAATAACTTAGAATCATAGTCTTTCCGATAATCAAGTCAACGTTGAAAGAATCGTGACTTCAAGCAACGATTATATTTCAGTCACAAATCAAGATGGAGGATTTCGAAGTAGGTACTACAAAATAGGTATACATACTGGTTACTACTGGTTTCTACATAGAAATCTACTTGTGTAGAACGTTTGACCTAAATTATGTAAATACAATAAATAATTTACTCTCCAAAAGGTTGATTAGTTTTAAAATAGAATTGTATGCATATAAAACTACAAAGCAAGGCTTGGAGGCCGCTTAATTTCTTCAAGTAGGTATGACCATGCGGTAACAGGTCTGACGCTGGCTGGAAGGATTTTTCTACGTGGGCAGATCTCTAAAGCAGCAAGAAGTTTATGTATTGCAGCGGATCTGTACTTCATTATTGACCTTCAAGGTCACCATTTACAATATAAAGCAAGAAGACAGAAATATTCGTAAAGTTTAAAGCAACTTATCATGTTATTGCACATGATTTTTCGTTTATTGAGTAGTCACGTCAAACACATAATGTGAGATGTTTTAGTCGATTTTGATATTTTGCGATTAATATCGCCTTAACCGATGGAGCAAGTAATGGCGACGAAACAATTCCGGTACTTATGATGATATTATTACTATTATTGATGATAATGATAATATTCATGAGTAGATATTCTGTTTATTAAACGTATTTTTTACAACGACAAACTATTGTTGACAAATATTGCATTTCAATAGAATAAACTGAGTTAATAAATAGAATCTATTCTATTTTTAACATATCTTAATGCGTGTCAACTTAAAAATTGTAGTACTACCATGTCACCGTAGGAACAGTATCGGAGATTTGTTTACGGGTGGATACCGCGTTTGCCCATACTAATTCAGTTCATCTGTGGACTACCACGGTGACGTACTGATGTAAACTTACCATATACGTTGCTGTTACAGCCTGACTTGTTCTTGTCAAATAACAGTCAGTGCGGGTGGACGCTACTTGAAAAGCATGTGTTTAAAGTTTTTTATTTTAATCCTTTTTTACAGTGGTGTATTAAAGGGTGCCTCAGTAAGAATGCACTTTTTCATTTTAGAATAGAAACACGTATTTTATGAAAGAGTTGTGATATTTTTATTGGATTGTAAAGAGGACATGTTCCGATTAAGTATGGAATAAAATATCAACCAAACGGCCCCCACGGCTCTGATGACAGGCCATTACTCTTTTCATGAAATTTTCCATGACTTTTGATGACGCGTTGGATCTCTGATTTGAGTTCAGGAATGGTTTCTGGTTTATTCGCATAAACCCGAGATTTCACAAAACCCCAAAGACATAAATTATCTTCATAAAAGTAAGGCCCAATCACGCGCCTGACCAAAATCCGCACCAGACAGCTGCTGGTTGTGGATGAATTTGTCTCTCATGGATTGCATGAGGATTTTCTGAGCCCATAATTCGAAAATTTTGTGTATTCAAGTAGCCATTTAGATGGATGGAAAGGAAATGCGCTTCATCGGAGAAGATGACTTTTTTTGGAAAAATTGGCATCGATTTCACTTTGCTCCATTACCCATTGAACGAATTACCGGTGCTTTCCATGACCTGGTGCCAATATCCATAATCGACCCAGTTTCTTTAAATTTTTTGACCACTCCTCGAATGGTTGACACCTTAGGTGCACTTTATCAACTGAAAATTTGGCGAAGTTTGCAAGCGGTTTCAGCGTAACGTTCCCCATGTTTGTAATGCGTTTTCACAATTATAACGCTTTGTTCTTTCGAAAAGCACTCCATTTTTAATAATCGGAATAAACATAGGTGACAGCTGTCAAATTTCCGAGTTGCAACTTGTTTGTGAGAGAATGCCACATTCACAAAAATGTTTCTAAAACTTAAAAAGTGCACTCTTACTGAGACACATTTTATTGACGTGTTTATAGTGGTTTAATTTCAATAAGGTAATTTATATTTCATAAGATCACTAAAGGTTGCACTTTTTTAAAAGCAATAGCTTTTAGCTGTATTCGAACCATTCTTCAGCTTTCTGCCCAGCAGTGTTTACTTAAAAATGTTTTGTACTAATATTTTGAAGTGTGAAAGCATTTATTATTAGAAAAGGTTGTGTCAGGTATCCAAAAATAACTTTGATTCAAAACGTTGACTTTTGGGAACATTAGTCGATACCATTTGATTGTTTTACCAGTGTGTCAAATTTCATAGTTACGTATCACATCACTAGTCATTCCAAATCCCCGAGGTTGTCGTACGGGTTCCGAGTCAATTGTAAAAATCGTAAATTAGATAATAGTAAACAAATGAATTCATTTTGATGAAATGCTTGTAATGAAATTGTTATGAATGTTAAACAATACAATTGACATACGAGTTTGCACCTGGGATCCATAGAACAGGTAAATTTAATTTCTTTTTCAATTCGTAACATTTGAGTCAAGTTATAAGGCTTTTCTTGTATGATAATTGGAATATTCGATGCTCTATTACCTCATAATCTCTATTTCACTACATATTATGTATCGTAAACATGAGGCCAGGGGTGATATTATTTCCGTGTGCTCATTTACTTCGAACTCTCTCTAACATTAAGCGGTGACAAGGATGGAAGATAGATAGCTTTTAAATACTAATACTCTACAAAACCCCACGTGAGGCGTTTCACTGATAAATTTGATTGTAATTTAATTCTAATCCAACTAAAACTTGTACATTTTACTCAAAATAAAAGCAGCAAAATATTATACTCATGTACCTTTGAATGAAGTGACGTGTAACGCCATCTAGGAACAGACTTAAGTACTAATTTAGTTCTAAGAAAATTCTGTTTCTTTTTGGTTTCCAGTTACAGAACTTCCTGTAATTTAAACAAAATTAGATAGTTTTTATGAAGAATGTATTTAATTAATGCTTAATAGAGGACCTTATATATTCAATAGTGTGTATGAAAGGAGTGGTTTTAGTTTATCCTATAAAAGGTATTTTATATTGTCACTGTACATGTTTCAAATAGAAAGACTAATTGTAGTCGAAATTCCTATATATGCTAGTAAATAAAATATACTAAGAAGGGTAGACCACCCTCCTTAGAATACTTTAATATATATATATATATATATATATATATATATATATATATATATATATATATATATATATATATATAAATTTACATATATCCATGACCCAAAAGTTAATAAACTAATTATAAGAAATGTAAAAAGCTCATCTTAATTATCTTTAAATATTTTAAAAGTAGTACACCTGTGTTATTGATAAAACATACAAAAAAAACTATTATTCACAAGTGCCAAACACATTATTATGGGTTGAATTTCAGTGTTGAAGTCCAAAACTATCAAATCACACTAAATCTATGTTAATATTCTCCCTTTGTTGTAATTTCTGCCCAAAATAATAAAGGAGTGTATTTTTTTTTAGGATTTATTCATGTAACTTCTTTATTCCACCATAACTTTTAAATTGAAACTTAATTTATGTTTTTAAAACTTGACTAAGGTGTCTCTATGGTAGTAATAATATCTTTTTTTAGCAGAGCATTTTTCTTTTTTAAATTAGTAACTTTCACAACTTTGTTATCTACTAAGCACTCTAGTCTTCTTAATATTATGGGTGATGCATTACCATCTCAAAGATGTGCAATTAACCAAAATAATAGTTTTTAAATTTACTTATATGTATATTTCTTTAATATCATAACTTTCATTTACCTATAAGTACATCATCCTAAGTCAGTTTTTCTAGGTTTTTTTTAAATAATTTAACACGGTGGCAGCTGAGCGCTACTTTGGAATACAAACTTTTTTATTTGTTCTTTGCTGGGTAGTCTAATTTTTTATTTTTTTTATTATAATAATAATAGTAACAATAACTTGAGATATCTCCCATAGCTGTCTAATTCTCAACTAGACAGAGCCTGTACTATAGTAACCATACTGCTTATAAACATCACATCAACAGCCTTTAATTGTCCATTGCTGGATATAGGTCTCTCTTAAGAAAGAAGGTTTTGGCCTACTATACCATGCTGGCCAGATAGAGTGTTATAGGGTTTGTGTCAAGTTTTCCTTCTCCTTGCAGTGCTATTGTACTTCGTAGTTTGCTACCTTGGTCAGCTCATGACACCCATGGGATGAATGGAGGTGGTGACACTCCTTATTCTTAATATGTCTGTAAAGTATCCTATATTCAAGACTTTACGATGTAAAGCAGTTATTGCCTGCAGTGTTCATGTTCACTGCTCTGTTCCTAAAACCTATCCTACTAATGTAAATATAAAAAGATTTTTGTTTATCGCATTTGCTATTTCAAGAAGAATTCAACCATGAAAGAGTTATGCTTTGGTACATCTGCTAAGGCTAAACAATATTTTCATTGCTTTTCACCGAGTTACAGTAATAATCATGTATAAATGTAAAAAATTACATAATATTTTATGACAGTACATTGTATTATCGGGTCTGTTGGTCTAGTGGTTATTGAAAGTGACTGCTAAGCCAGAGGTTGTGGGTTTGATTCCAACCTAGGACAAATATTGTGTGTTGAGCATGATCATTTGTTCTGTGTCTGTGTGTAATTTATCTAACATGTATGTATTTAAAAATATATAAGTATGTTTATCAGTAGTCTGGTTGTCATAGAACAGGCTCTGCCTAGTTTGGGATCAGACGGCCGTGTGTGAGATGTATTATTACATGCTACCGAAAGGTGTGTGGGGCGGTTACTCCTTAATACAGGTTATTCCATAACCTAGATAGGAGGACAGCGCTTTGACCACTGATTGTATGCATTGTTAATTAATTTCTGTGTTATCTATTATGCACTATAATTACAGAAAAAAATATATTATTACATATATTATTATTACTAAAGGCCTAACTCAACAAAGAGCAACTATTTGTATTTCTTGATTTGTCCTATGACCAGACGTAGTCACAGGATCCCAGTTTCAAACCTGATACAAAATCGCTCCGATGAGCCTATAAACGCCTCAGGAGGCTTCTGCACTTCTGGAAGGTGCTGCGTTAGCTAAATGACCATTCTTGTCTCTAAATGTAGAAACCAAAACCCACCGCTAATAGTTTATAAATAATAGTTTTATAATAAAATAATAGTTTTTTTATAACTTCAAAAAGAAATAACATTTTATCGTAAAAATGCGTGGGGTGCTAGATCTCAGTTGTTGTATCAATATTTTATTGACAGATATTGGTAAAAGTAAAGTTATTATATTATAAAATCTCTTGAAAAGCACCCTGTACCCCACCCCGATAAAATGATTCTTCTCAGAAAAGAGGTTTTGGCCTACTATTATACCACACTGTCCAAACGGGTTCTTATAGGGTTTGTGTCATGTTTTCTTTCTCTCTGCAGTGCTGTTGTTCTGCATGGTTTTAGTCGGCTCTTACGACACCCACGGGATGCATAGGGGTGGTGACACTCTGTATTCTTAATCCGTAATACATTAAAAATTCAATGAATTACAGTTATAATTTAACCATAATGCATTAAAAAGTCCCTAGTTAGGAATCATTTATTAGAATTCTGATAAATTGTATTAATTTTATAAGTGATAAAATGATAACAGAACGACTGGGGAGTTCCCAAGAAGTATTTTATTGTTGTTAATGGCTTTTAAACGGCCTTATTATCAGTGTTGTATAATCTGTACAGGGGAAGAGTTTTTTTTTTACCCTTGATTCAAGTGGGGCTGGTGTCTTCAGTTTAATTAGTATATTTCTGTAGAAACATAACACAATGGACTAATTCACATTAAGTTTTGTGTTCTTAGAATTGGTTGTTTAACTGTTTGAAAGTCATCAGGTGGTTTGAAATTTTTAATTTTGATTTTTGATCAGATTGCCTAAATAACTAGGGTTGGTAACCGCTGTACCTAGCCTGCTGGTCTATTAATTTGTGATCCTCACTGCCAAACAAGAGGTAGGGAGTTCGAATCCCATACTGGACAAATAACTGTTAGATAAACATGATCATTTATGTGTTATTTATGAAAATACTAGCTATTGTTTGTGGCTCCGCCTGTGTCTTTCCTCAAGAATCTCCATACCAAATGTCTTGTAAATCAGTTCAGGGTTTATTGATTCCCCATACAAACTTCCACCCCCCTTTTCACCAACTCAAAGGATGATTTCTGGGATATAAACTACATTATGTCCTTTCCCGGGACTTAGACTATCTCTATACCAAATTTCATCTAAATCGGTTCAGCGATTTAAGCGTGAAGAGGTAACAGACAGACAGACACTTTAGCATTTATAATATTAGTATGGATGTGTAGTAATATATAAGTAAGTTTATCAGGAGTCCAGTGACCTTTTCTTTTTTTTTTACGTGTGGAAACCCCCTCCGGCCGTCACCCTACCGGGGTTTGCGGCGGGGTGGTGTGTCGGAATCGGACCGACTAAAACCACACGGTGTGCCACTCTGCGCCTGTAATAGGAGGGATCCGGGAACTGCTGTTATTAGGACATCCGGACCAGGAGTCCAGTGACCATAGTACAGGCTCTGTTTGTGTATTAGGAAGTTATTTTTATTAGTAATTAATGGTAATGTGCTAAATTAACCATCATGAGAGATTTGTTAATCCATATTTATATCATAAATGTAAAAGTAAGTTTTTTTGTTTTTTTACTGAAGGACTGTTCCAGTCATTTTTTAATCAGGAAAAATGTTAAGGCTTAAACTGTTATGTTAAAATGTTAACACTGAAAAAATCAAACTTTTAGTTCTGTTGAGAAACGGAACTGAGATGGCAACAGTTCGAAAAGAAAAAGACTTATTTGTTGTTCGTAACCCGTATATCCAGCCGTCCTGTGTTTAGCAAGGCAAGGACTAGTACATCACCTCGCCTTACTATAAAAAATAATATTTTCAAAATTACTTTTCAGAAAAAAATGTCGTCAAAAAGCGCCAAGAAGAATGTCCCTGCAACTAAAGCAACGAATGTAGTTGTCACTAGAAAAAAGTCAACACAGCAAAACCGTCAAGTTCGCGCCAAAAATAAGAAAATAATAAAATCCGTTGTTGACAAAGAGCCTCCTAAACCAGAGATAAAATCGACTATAACACCTACTGCAACATGTCAGAAAGATACTCCGCTTAAGACGAAAGTGAAACATTTAGTGCAGTTAGTGGAACAAGTAGAGTATTATCCGGATAAGTTGAAAAGAGAAATGTGCGCGAAAAAAGTGTTTTTAAAACCGAAGCATAACTTTAAAGTTATTGCCGTTGCTAATAAAAGGAAGTTGAGTGTGCCACAGAAAGGAGGTAAGACTACTTATATACTATACTATACTATTTACTATATAGAAAAAACACATTTTTTTTCATAATTAAGTAGGTAGGATCTTCATTGTAGAAGTTTAGCAGTCTGAGATGTAATGAATCAATTCGTGGAACAAAATTGCCAGACCAATACTACCTTCAAAAAAGAGTACGTATACTCTCTTGATTTGTAGGTCCGTGGTGGCGGTTCTCACTTACCATCAGATGACCCGTTCGGCTCATTTTTTTCCGTATTATCTATTCCTTCCTTAGAGCTTTATTCCATTCGCGTTAAGAAAATAGTGACGTATCGATTAAGTCCCGCCTCCCGACCAATCAGGTTCCAAGAAATTATCGTTTCGTACGAAAGTTTGGAATCTGATTGGTCAGAGATAATTGGTCAGTAACTCAAACCGGCAGTTATAGTAATTATATTTTTATATTACAGGAATGAAATCCACCTTATTATTGAAGAGTTACAGCAGAAGTTCCGTCAAGTCTACTAAGAGTAACAACAGTCCAGAAATATCCATGATAGACATGGTGAAACTGATTGAAGATAATCATAGCCTCAGCGATGAGGACTTTATGGAGATACTAACATGCCCTAGCCCAGTGTGGTGGGAGGATCCACCTGATGAAAGATATATTGAAGGTATTTTTCTAGTTATTTATAGACTTCAAAAAGGAGGCGGTTATCAATTCGGATGTTTTTTTTTTTTATGTGTGTTCAGGCGTAACTCTGTCATATATAGACAGATTTGCTAAATTCTTTTTTGTTCAAGAGGGGTTTATTCCGAAAAGGTCCCATTTAAATTTCATATAGTTCTGATGATGAGTTTCGTAGACAAAGGAAGTCTTCAAATTTTACAGCAAAGTAACCGCGATTGCTGGTAGGTTTTTAGTGCTCTTTGTTAGTTTTGCTTGAAGTCGGTTCAACTTTTTTTCAAAAGGATTTATGTAATTAATATCCGATTGGAGGGCTGAGATGTTCCCGGCCAACTGGAGTGATACCACTGCCTCACAGAAAACCATGGGTTTAAGCGATTCTTCAGTTGCTTTTCACCGAGTGAGTGTTGATACTGGCGATCCAACCCCTTCCCAAATTGGGGAGGGGGGGGGGGTTTAATTCAGCGCACATGCTTTTTTTTCAAAAGACAACTCTCGCACTAGGAATATATAAATTCGTGGTGAAACTAAATGAATTTGTGTCTGATGTCCAAAATATTTATTTATTATTGACGAGGTTGCCAGAGATTAAATAGCGAAATTCAAAAGTTCATGTTCATTTGCGCTGGTAGTCACTTACATTACGGTGACCCATGAGCTTATTCTACCATCAACACACATTAGATCAATAGCATTTAATAATCCACTGCTGGACATAAGTCTCTCCTTAGGAAAGAGGTTTATTACCTATTTACCAAACTAGGTTGGGTCTGCTTTAGGTCTTCTACGACACGGCTGAATTTAAATAAGCGACTGCGATCACACCTCCACAACCCAAGTAATAAGTCATAAGGAATTTCTGTAGAAAGACTGTTGTCGGTGGGACCATGGGATGGGAACCGTGACCGACGGCTTAACGTGCTCTCCGAGGCACGGAGGGGTCTCAATATGTTAAGAATGGTCACCCATCCATAGACTAACCTGACTATGATTGCTTAACTTTGCAATGTGTTAACCTACTCGATTACCACTTAGCCACGAGCCCCTCCATATAAAAGATATACCTATTCGTATGTATCTACGTAAACATTAAAATTTATAAATTCTAAATTGTTCCAGATGCCATATGTACAAGATTACCCAGCCCATCATCACCACTTAACAAAAGCCGTGGTGATGACAATAAAACGGAAGAACAAACAATAAATAGAACAAGCACACCATCAAAATTGTCTTCTTTAATAGACTTCGAAAATGTCATTGAAGAATTTAAAATATCACCCACAATTAATGAGAAATTCAATAAAAAGAAACAAAAATTAGAAAATGTATTAGGCAGTATTAAAAATGTTAAAGAAAATAAAATCAATAAAAATAACACTCCAGTTAAAGATTGTAAAAAGCACATTGTTAAAAATACTAAAATAATTAAAATCGGAAAAGGTGAAAGTAAAAACGTGTCTAGTGCTACTGATGAAGAGGATCTTTCAGACTTGAGTTTTAATGAAGAAGAAGTGCTGAAGAACTTGGAGAATATGGATATACCAATTGAACAGGAACAACATTTCATACAAAGGAAAAAAGAGAAAGAATTACAAACACTTAAAAACATACAAGCAATAAATTCATTAAATAGAGATGCTTTAAATAAAGTTAAAGTGCCTGATATATTGCCGCCATTGAAAAGAAAACCAGATTTAAACATAAATAATATAATAAAACAAGATTATTCTGATAATTTAGATTATAACTTGGACGCTGTGTCTCATTCAAATTTTCGATTTATCTCCGATGATGATTTGAGTCTTGCGGAATCAAATTCTAAATTAAATAGTAAAAAAATGAAAATTGTCAATATAAGTTCTAGTTTAGGCGAAAGTAGTTCAATATTAGATGTAGATAGTGTCGATTTTAAAGACTATGCAATAAAAACTGCACAATCTGATGATTCGAGTGTACCAGACAACATTGAAAAAGACAATGATATTATACCAAAAAAGGTAATAAATGATTTATCCGAATATATAACAGTTTATAAAATAGTGTCAAATGACAATGAAAAGAATGAATTAAATAGTGAAACATCAAATAAAAGTCCTGAGACTACAAGTAATAAGGTTGATAATGTCAGAGGGAAATTGAACAATTTTTTTAAAAAGTGTAAAAGCGGCAAACGTTTAAAAAAAAGTGATGTGACGTTTCCCTCCATTTCGGTTAGAGACATCAAAGATTTGAAAATGGAAAAAGAAAATAGTGACGTCCAGACCTATGTGGAGAACGAAGAAAATCGACTAAAACCCTGCGATTATTGTGTCGTGGAAACCGAAAATGGCGCGAAAAACTTTTCATGTGACAGCTGTGAAAAGGCGCCAATTTTTGCATGCACTTTGTGTGACTTCCTGGCTGATACTAAAGAGCTTTATAAGAATCATGTATCTAAGTGTAAAGATGTCGCTAGAATAACATGGAAGAATAATTTTATTATAAATCAAACTTAGTTTAAACATTCAAAAGTTTGTGTTCATTTCAAGACAGGAAGGAGATTTAACTACCTGCAATAAAAAAAGTTAGTTCTGTCTATGATATAGAAGCCAGCCTTAATACTTATGTAACATAATCTACCTCATTTAGGCAACTTTGATAAATGTCGAATTTAAATCTGAGTAATAAGTCCAAAATAGCTTGCATCATCATTAGATAATAAAATATTTATAAAACATACGAAAATCTTTTTTCATGCTTTTCAGCTATCTGTGGCAGTGATTTCGTAAAATGTAACGGAAGTTAGTAATAAGCCGAAAAAGCGCGCGCTACTTTATTAGACCAATGAAGGCTAGATATTAGATGTTACACATAGGCGACTACTGTCGAGCTAGATTTTTTTTTTTATTACCAATTGCACGCGTGATTAATTCTTATTTCGTGTTTCTAAATTTGAAAATAAACTTCTATACAACCGTGCATCCCTTATTTTACCCCCTTAGGGGTGTAGTTTCCAAATAATTTCTTGTGGGTGTTGCATTAAATTCCAAAATTTTAGTTTATAACCTCATCGGTTTAGGCCCTGGGTTGATGAATCAGTCAGGCAAGGCAAGTAATTTAATATGTATAGATTTTAATCCATTATATAACCCTCAAGGGAATATACTAAATAAATATTAAGTAAAAATCGCTTCCTTATCACAATAATTGCAGGCGGTTAAACCACCATCACACTCGCGTACAAAAATCTCACTCTAACAGACACTTCAACAAATAACGACTTTCACTTTATTGAAATAAGGTCTAAAATAGGATAACGGTGATGCCTGCACTAAGGAAATAAGGTTGTAGATAGATGGTTGTGTGTATTTGTAAAATATTCATTGATTTAGTTAATGGCTACCCGCGGGGAAGGTAGCAGGCTGCCGCCTACCGCCACTTGTTATGAATCCGTAATAGCTGATTGCGTACACTTTTTGTACTAGTTTGTCATTACGTCGTTATAATTAATTCATAGATTAAAAATATCGACCAGTAACTATCTTTATACAGGTGTTACAGAAAGTTTTAGTCAATTTTAGCGTTGTTTGCCGAGAAATAGTCGATTCAGTTGTAAAAATGAATTTTGAATATTTTTTTAAAGACATGTCTCGAACTAGGAACACCTGTGTAGCGAGGGACTTTAGAAACATTCATGAAACGCACACAAAAACACCCAGGCTCAGAACAACAATTTGTGGATCACACAAAGTGTTGTCCTATGTGGAGATCCGCCTAAACCCCTACGCAACGCGTGCGGTCAAATTCTTTTTTAAAATATTTTTTTTGGTTAATTGTTTTATAAAAGTACGCAATGGATTTTCATGAAATTTCAATAATTTTTGGTTTTTATTTTTTGTGATGATAAAGGGTCAATTGAGCAAACCCTAAAATGTGACCACTTTTCTGTAACACTTTGTAAACTATGATACTGCACTAACACAAAGTCTAATAGTAAGCGGTTACCAGTACTTATGATCTTTTAAAATGCCAATCATCCGTGATGGAGCCGTATTTAAAAGCAAAAGCTGTTGAAATGTTGCCAACTTATAAACTTAAAGTTATAGCTTACTAATGATATTTGCCTTAAAAATCTTGCTTGCATCGTACTTGAATATGAATGAAATTTTTAATTTCCTTAAAAAAAACTTGCTTGGTTACATTTATTTACCCTATAACTAGGGACAAAAACTTTATCTTGGCAACACTGCTTTAATGCTTATTAGTAATTGACGGTAGATTTATTTATTACTGTATTCAAAAGTTAAAACATTGAATAAGGCTGATATGTATATTATGTAATTGTTATCTGTGTATAAAAGCCACCTCTTTATAGAATATGTTAAAAAACACCTTATGTAGACCTAATATTGCCTGTATTAAGTATACATGTACCTAATAAAGATGTCTTTTATTTTTAATAATTTAAATGATTAAAAAAAAACTTCACACATTTCACAGCCGTCTGATCCCAAACTAGACAGAGCCCGTGCTATGGTAACCAGACTGCTGATAAACATACTTATATATATATATTAATATAGATAAATTACACCCAGACACAGAACAAATGATGAATACTTTTTCTAGGTGGGAATCAAACCTACGACCTCCGGCTTAACTTCGGGCGAGCCGGGCCATTTGTGCTGGCTCTCTTGTAAAATTATTCCTTCTTTAAATCCTTCTTTAAATTCCATCAAGTATCAATACCAAGTTGAAATAAAACATTATCATCCTCCCAGCCTATTCCCAAAGTAGGTTAGGGTCGGCCTTCAGTCTACCACGACACGGCTGAACTTCGATTTGTTCAGTGGAGCGCTTGCCATCAGACCTCCACAACCCAAGTACTAGGCGATGTCGAAGTTCTGTACATTAACTGTTGTCGGACTTTTTCGAGCTCCAACTATGGCTTGACATGCTCTTCGAGGTACGGCGGGGTCTTAATGTGTCAATAATGGTCACCCATCCATAGACTGACCTGACTACGATTCCTTAACTATGCAATGTGCTACACAGTTATCACTTAACCACGAGTCCCTCTAACAAGACAGAACATTATCATGAAAATATGAGTATATATGCTATGGGCACCACTGCTGGTGCCTTTATAGCCACATAATATTGCATACAAAATGTATGCTAAAACTCTATGGAATCGTCAAAACCGAGCTGATCAAAATACTAAAATAAATTGTAAAATCATTTTTATTTATCTTGTCCAGTAAATCTATTTTGACATTCTTTTGCGTACAATAAATTCAGTATTTCAGTGTCCATCGGATTGAGATCGGTCCTATGCCCCATTGTCAGGGTCCTCTGCCATAAATGATCCTGAAAAAAAAACTTGATGAAGTAGGTAATCATTGAAAAGTAGATTTAATTGTCAAGTCGATTCGGTTCTTTATTAAACGTTAAACGATACCTTCTATAGTTTTAAGCAATGATAATAAATATGATAATAAATAAAAAAATAGGTTTAACAGTTACCTAAAATATAAAAAACTTTAAAAGATATAATATAATAATAATATTTATTTTAACCATAGAAAGTAAACTTTTGACGAGTAGGTAGATATTTTAAATAAGAACACAGGCCATATTGTGTAATTACACTTTGGCGCTGTCAAATTTGCCCGCGTTTTTACCTTTTCTTTACCGTGGAGCCCACAAAAATGGGTACGACTTTTCTTGTAACCCTGTATAATCGGCGGATTATACAGGGTTACAAGAAAAGTCGTGCTAGATCCGTTAAGGGCGTGGAGTACCCATCATTTCTGACATATTTCACTATGAAACACCCTACCCTAAACTTAACCCTTTTCGAGATAATCGTCTTTTAATTTTTTTATTGAAATTTGCTGATTTTTAGGCTACTACATTTATTTTTGTTTATTTTGTGTATCTTATTATTATTATTTTTGCATTTTTACATGTGTAATAAGATGCTTTAGGACGTCAGTCATTAAAATAGTTCATAAGTTAATTGAATAGATCGTAGTAGACAAGTGAAAGTAAAGAAATAAAAAAAAAAATTAGAAAATTATTTTTCTCTAACGGATATCTAAAAACAATATTATGGTAATTGTTCGGCAGATGTTTTTTAAAATATCTACGTTTCATCAGCTATCTAACGAGGTATAATAATCTAAGGTTTTATTCAAATGCATTGAAAAAACTTTAGTTTCATAGGCGACAGTGGAGAAGAAAATTTATACTTAGCCCAAAAAAGTAAAATAAAACAATAGTTAAGCATGAAATGTCATTTATTAAAGGTTTTCACACAACTTTTTCTTATTCTACAGTTCATGTTCAACATGGCCGCCTCCATTTCTGATACATTGTCGCATCCTTCTACGGAGAGCAGTCTTCACTACTCCAGTGGTCAACGTGGTCCTCATTTTATTTGCTGCATCCACAATCCTTTCTCGTAAGTCTTCCACAGACGAAACTGGATTCGGCTCGCTGTACACAAGACTTTTCATGCACCCCCACACATGAAAATCCATGGGGGTTAGGTCCGGACTTCTTGCTGGCCATGGCAACGGCCCACCTCGTCCTATCCATTTGTTTGAATAATTTGTGTCCAGCCAGTCCCTGACACTTCTCCTGAAATGGGCAGGGCAGCCATCGTGTTGGAACCACATGTCCCTGATCAGGTTGAGTGGCAGATCATCCAGCAAATCACTCAAGTCTGCTCTCAGGAAATTTTCGTAGCTTTCCCCATTTAGATTATCCGGGAGAAAGTAAGGTCCAATCAAATGATTGGAGATAATGCCCATCTACACATTCACGCTGAATCTTCGTTGGGACCCCTTCACTCTTTTCTTATTGGGATTCCTTAGTTCTTTTGGGGCCCAGTAATGGGCGTTGTGATAGTTAGTTATGCCATCTTTATCAAATTTGGACTCGTCCGTCTTCTACGTCAGCATTTAGCATAAATCTGCAAAAGTCCAATCTTCTCGCTGGGTCTCCTTCTTCAATAACGTGTACCGGCGTGTAATGGTACGGGTATAGGCCAGCAGTATGCACTGTAAACCACACTCTCCATTGCGAAAGTCCCAGATCACGGGCAACAATATTAGTGGGAGTAGTCGGATCCGCTCGAAAGCGTTGCACTATCTCATTGTCCTGTTCTTCGTCGTCAATTCGTGGTCTTCCCATGTCTGTATTTCGTCTCAAAACAGAGCCAGTTTCTCGAAGTCTTCGATAAACTCTGTCAAAAACGGCCACATCCGGCACTCGACGACCAGGGTAGCGAGTTATGTATTCGTTGCGAGCTTGGGCAGACACACAATCGCAGTATCCGTAACAAATAAGCATATCAGCATATTCCTCAGGTGTGTAGGACGTCATCTTCAACACTTCCGTATCACAGGTACAAATCAGAGTCCGGTTAACAAGCACAGTAGTCACAAATCAGAAGAAATAGTCCAGAATCACAGCCAAGTCGAGAAAAAGAGCAAAACGATATCACATCTACTATGTACGAAGCACAAAAGCAGACTGACAACTAGTACAACTAGTGACAACCAAACAATGCCCCCTGTTGTATTCCCAGCCCTAACTGGTCTCTACACATTTTTTCTTTCATTCGCACCTACATAAATCGTCACTTGTCTCGCTCGCTTGGTGCGTCTTAACTTGAAGGACAATAGGCGCGGGACCGTTAGAACTGTTACCTGGAGCGACCCAACTACTTTTTTTGCACGAAATGTGATACAAACCCTACCTACCTTACCATAATATTGTTTTTAAATATCCGTTAGAGAAAAATAATTTTCTAATTTTTTTTTTATTTCTTTACTTTCACTTGTCTACTACGATCTATTCAATTAACTTATGAACTATTTTAATGACTGACGTCCTAAAGCATCTTATTACACATGTAAAAATGCAAAAATAATAATAATAAGATACACAAAATAAACAAAAATAAATGTAGTAGCCTAAAAATTAGCAAATTTCAATAAAAAAATTAAAAGACGATTATCTCGAAGAGGGTTAAGTTTAGGGTAGGGTGTTTAATAGTGAAATATGTCAGAAATTATGGGTACTCCACGCCCTTAACGGATCTAGCACGACTTTTCTTGTAACCCTGTATTTTTTCGCGTCAGTGGTAAGTTTGGGTTTGCTAGATTTTAAAACAAAACAAGGAAGGGTTATTTTGGTCAAATTTTGTATTTTAATAGATGTAAATACAAAAAATAGTTAGTTAAATTAGATTTCTTACCTGCACAGGCGACACTGTTTGCTGGCCAAGGGAACAGTCGGCACAGAGATAGTTGGAGGGCGCGTGTGTGACACTGGTGTAGTCATATTGCATAATGACACCATCTGAGTTTCTTAGCATCGCATCTTCAGGCAAACGCTCAAAATAATGTTCCATACCTATTTATTATAAATATAATATATATAAATATTAAGAAGCTGAAAAGTTTGTTTGGTTAAATGCGCTAATCTCAGGAACTCAAACTGAACTTTTTTCCCTCAGGACCGCATCCAATAAAAAGTGACTCGAATCGTCGAGGGCCCAAACATCTCCGATCGGCTCGATCCGTTGGCGTTACGTAGAGCTGTGGCTTCACTCTGCATTCTCTTTCGCATATATCATGGAGAGTGCTCCGAGGAATTGTTCGGACTAATACCAGCCGCAACTTTCCGCCATCGTTCCACACGGCAAAATTTTCATCCTCATCACCTGGATAGTTGGCGCTCCACTACTGTGTGCTTTTCGAGACACTTTTTGCTGTCCAATCTGTGGAACGGGTTGTCGTTTGCGGTATTTCCGAACCGCTACGACCTTCAAACCTTCAAGAAAAGAGCGTAGTTCTTCCTAAAAGACCGGCAACGCGTTTGTGACGCATGAGTTGCAGACGTTCATGGGCGGCGATGGTCACTTTCCATCAGGTGACCCGTCTGCTCGTCTGCCCACTCTGACAAACTAAAAAACTAAACTGACAACTAACAAACTAAAACTACTGGTTCAAATGTCTGTCCGTGTGGTAATAGATTAAGAATGACAAGACAACAGCCACTGCAAGAGAAGGAAAAGAAAACTTGAAACAAACCCTATACCAACCCGTCTGGCCAGCATGGTATGTTTCAAGAAGTCTTTCCTGTTCCTATTTAGTTTCTTACAATAAGTTAGTATTTTTTTTTATTACTGATTTGCTCTCAATAAATAAATCCCTATTTTAACTTACCTTGCTGAATATTTTTCCAATGAACAGTGACGTAATTGTCTCTATCGTATCTGTTAGACATCATGGGGATACCAAGAATGCGCAACAGCATATTGAGGGCATGAGCAGTGTGGCCTGGGGCGCCGTTGACCAAAGACGAGAGCAGTAGGCTCTGAAATATACAACGTACTAACTATTCACATCCCATCACATCAACAGCCTTCAACAGATCGCTGCTGGACGTAGACCTCGAGGTTTTGGCCAACTATCCAACGCTAGTGAGACGGGTTGGTCCTTTTCTTTGCAGTGCTTTTACCCTGCATAGTTTTCTCCCTAAGTCTAAGCTCTAAGTCTAAGGTCTAAGTCCTAAGCTCTTACGACACTCAAGGACTGACGGATTAAGAATACGGAATGTCACCACCCCTATTCATCCCGTGGGTATCATAAGAGCCGACTAAGGGAGCAAACTACGCAGAACAACAGCACTACAAAGAGAAAAAAACTTGACACAAACCCTATGCCAAGCCCTCTGTCGTCAGTGCTTTTATGTTTATGCATTTAAATGTAAAGCTAGTAATTATCGGTTGAGCTGTTAAAACATGTAACAAATTCACTTTTGCCTAATCTTAAATTGGAGTTAACAAGTCTAAACACATACCTGGTTTCCTGGCACGACTCCAAGTCTTGGCATCACCTCTCCACCAAAACTAGAGAACCATAGGAAGTTCCTAGGGCTCATACTTAGATCTTCAAGATTGTGGAACACAATGCATGAAGAGAGTTCTATAGTTGTCATTGCGTTTCGAAGAGCTAACAAGGCTTGTGAGCGTCCTGGAATATAAGAAACTAGCATTTGCAGACGGCTTCGCCCGCGTTTACGTCGGTTGTCGCGGTTGTGGCCTATGTTACTAGCTGATAATATAGCTTTCCATTGGTTGGTGAAAGAATTTTCAGAATCGGTTCGGTGATTTAGGCGTGAAGCGTTACAAACAAACAAACTCAAAGCAGTTTAGGTTCGGATGGGAAGGCAACTATTTAATTAAAGTTTGGTCAAGTGCGTGTCTTCATCATCATCATCAACAGCCTTTAATAGTCAACTGCTGGACATAGGTCTCTCCTTAGAAAGGAGGTTTTGGCCTACTATACCACGCTGTCCAGACGGGTTGCTATAGGGTTTGTTTCAAGGTTTCCTTCTCTTTGCAGTGCTGTTGTAGTGCGTAGTTTGCTCCCTTAGTCGGCTCTTACGACACCCACGGGATGAATAGGGGTGGTGACACTCTGTATTCTAAATCCGTCACCACTCGTAAAATATGGATCCGCAGGTTTTAAATGAAGATAACTCTCGTACAAGAAATATATCCTTTGTTGAGGGGAACTTTACAAACATTCATGTAACGGACACAAACAACATCCAAATTAAGAACAACAATTTGTGAATCACACAAAGTGTCGTCCCATGTGTGGATCGAACCCACAGCACTCAGCGGAGTAGGAAGCGGTGATGTGACTGCTTAAACCACTACGTCATCCATGCAGTCGTTTGATTCCGTACTTGATACCTCTATGAGACAAGTAGGAAGTTCTTCTAAATTAGTTTGTCATCGTGGAAGAGCCATACTTTGGCTCCAATTAGACAAACCGCTGTTATGCGATTCTTTCATTGCGTTCACTGCCCCCCCTCGGGAGAGTAAGAGTATGGGAGTTGCAGGTGTCCATTGGCGGTGGTAGTGACTTTTCTTTTATGAAAAGGTCTACTAGCAACCGAAATTACTAGTGCTCTCGTTAACCCCTCCCTTGTGTTAGGAGTGGGTTCACGTCGGTGCTTTAACCACTAGGCTGCCGCCGCTTAACCTACTTACCATCAAGTAAACCGTCTGCTCATCTCCCTATTAAATTGATAAAAAAATGCTCACTGGCTCCTGCATCTGCCGAATACATGACGACTCCAAGGGGCCAAAGTTTTTCTTTATAATATCTGTCATTGTCATCAGTTACTTCGATGTTGGAGCCAAACTTCCGCGCGATGGGAACCGACTTCACTACAAATTCCCCACACTCGTCGTGATAATGGGAATTTATGAAATTACGATCCTTCCATGACAGTAATCCTGAAGGTCCATTCCCTTGCTAGTTTAGAGAAATAAAAAATTATATTAGTATCCACTTGGGAATACGTATTTGCTGTATATCAGAAAATCGGTTGTCCTGAAGGCCAATTTTCGTAATTAAAGTTCTGTTTAAACTGTCATACTTAAAAAGCATTTTCGTAGTAAATTTTTAAACATTACTGTAATGTCCGTGTGGTGACGGATTAAGAATACATAGTGTCATCCCGTGGGTGTGTAAAAGCCGTCTAATGGAAAAAACTACGCAGAACTACAGCACTGCAGAGAGAAGGAAAACTTCACACAATCCCTATACCAACCGGTCAGGCCAGTGTGGTATAGTACGCCAAAACCTCCTTTCTAAGGAGAGGCTTATGTCCAGCAGTGGACTATTAAAGGCTGTTGATGTAATGTGATTATATCGTATTGTGACTGAAAAATGGATCAGTAATCTGCTAATCTTAGTAATACTTTACTACGAAAATACGTTTTATGACAGTTGGGAGATTGACAGTTGATCGGAACTGAATTTTGACCTAACTACAAGAATTAAGCTTCTGGGTCTCATATTTTAACAATTAAAAAAAACCACTTACGTTGTAAGTTTTTTGAACAATACAAGTGTCTATTGTAAGTCTACCAAAAACGAGTATTTTTAATGCATTTGTTGCTAACACCTTTCTTGCGTATAGCAAAACTTTCAAACAGAGACTTACGCCTAACAGACGAAAGAAACATTTCATGTGGGGGCGATTTAAAATTAAATAATTGTAAATTGTTTTTATCACTCGCATTCACTTTCTGACCGTCATCATATATTTATTTATTTATTTATTCATCTTTATGCACTTTTGTACATCGGCGGACTTAATGCCCAGGGCATTCTCTTCCAGTCAACCTTTGGGTGATGTAGAAATCTTGTCAGGTAGGTGCACAGAGGTTACATCATAATATCAAATGTACAATGAAAATATATACGGTTCACTACATATATAAACATATACACACATACTACACTTACACATCATAAATACGCAAAGATACACATACATATATATACAAGTATATTTATATAGATACATAGACATATCATATTCGTACACTATGAAAACCTGAATTTGAGGTATACTTAACTATGGATTAGACCGTTCTGCCATTTCTTTAAGAAGGAGAGCATGTACCTTCTTTTTGAATATAAAGCGGTTTGTGGACATCCTGATTTCGAGCGGGAGCGCATTCCAGAGTAGTACTGCTTGAACAAAGAACGAAGAGTTCACGAAGTCGGAGTTGTGAGAGGGACATAAGAGAAGCAGATTGTTATCTGTGCGAAGATTTCTGTCATGATTGCTAGACAGGTAACATAAGTAGGGAGCAAGGTAAGTAGGTGAGGACGGTGAATTGAGAAATGCAAATAGAGAGGTAAGTGCACGCTGTTTGCGGCGGAGGCGAATAGGTAACCAGTTTAATTGGGAACGCAAAGCAGACACATGGTCATACTTCCGAAGATTGAAGATGTATCGAATGCAGTTATTGAGAAGACGGTCAAGCTTATTTAGAAGGTCTGCATTCAGGTCGAAATAACACACATCACCATAGTCAATTATTGGCATTATTAAGGACTGCATGAGCGTAACTTTGGTTTTAGGCGGTAGGAAATTCTTGAGACGATACAATGTTCGCAAATTGCCAGTTACTTTCTGGCTCACGCTAGTAATTTGAGCTCGCCAATCGAGGGATGAATCGATAAGTAAGCCCAGGTCTTTGACTACCGGGCTGAATGGAATAATTAAACCATTGTAGACGACCGGTGGGATAGAGGCAGTATCCAATCTGCTCATAATCCGTTTGCTGCCTGTTATGATTGCCTGACATTTGGTCGGATTAACTGACAGTCCAAATCTCATCGAAAAGGATTCTATGACCTCCAGGTCCCGATTGACCTCGTCAATAGCCCGCGTTACGTCCTCTACCCTTGCCTGTGAGTACAGCTGCAGATCATCAGCATACAGGTGATACGCACACTGAAGATTTTGAGTTACGAGGTTAATAAATATAGAGAATAAGAGAGGACATAAAATTCCGCCTTGTGGGACGCCAGCGTGGAGGTCGCACCAACTTGATGATAAGTCATCAACACGAACACATTGCTGTCGCCCCTGAAGATAGGTGGAGAACCATTCCAGTGTCTCAGAAGGAACCATAAGATGGGATAGGATAGATAACAGGATTTCGTGATTGACGGTATTAAAGGCATTAGAGAAGTCAACTAGGACTAATACTGTGACTTTGGTATCTTCCATGCCCTTCCTAATATCGCCAGTCACTTTAAGGAGAGCGGTAACTGTGCTGTGGCCGGGTCTGAAGCCCGATTGTAGAGGGCTTAAAAGTTGGTTTCTGTATACAAACTGTGAGAGTTGCTTATGTACACAGGCCTCGAGTACTTTAGATAAAAATGGAAGAATAGAAATAGGCCGAAAATGTTCAGGAAGTAAAGGGTTATTATTTTTTGGGAGAGGAATAATATAGGCCTTACGCCACAAGGAGGGGAAAGTACCGGAGTCAAGAGAGAAGTTTATTATATGAGTAATTACTAAGAGAATGCAGTCTAGGATGGTGACAATCATGCGACGGCTAATGCCATCACACCCCACAGCATTAGAACGGATAGAAAGAACAATCTTCTTGATATCCTCGGGAGACACCGGAGAAAATACAAACGAGTCAGAAGTGGAACTGGTTAGACCAGATATGTAGTGTAGCGTTTGACATTTGGTTTGAAGATCCAGCGTAGCTGTGAATGAGAAATGACGGTTGATATCATTCAAACCAATTTTATTGTTAAACACGTGATGCTGTTGTTTACCAATTCCTAGAGTACCAAGAAATTTCCAGATACTGGATGAAGAAGAAGACTCTATGTTTTGAAGAATATGTCGGCGTTTAGCGTTGCGTATCACCTGGTTGCACCGATTCCTTGCAGCCTTATAAAGGTTCCATTTGTCTTCGCAGCGATCTTTCTTGAAACGAAGAAAGGACTGGTCCCTTCGTCTCATAGCAGTTCGAACCTCATTCGTCATCCAAGGCGCCGGGGCACGTTTTAGTTTTACTCTCCTGATAGGAGCGTGGACGTCATACAATTTCAAAATGGTGTCATTAAAAATACGAATTTTGTTGTCCACGTCGGTGGCAGCTGCCATATCCTCCCAATCGATCTTAGCAGCATCTGCGTGTAATTTGTCAACATCCATGCGTCGGAAACTGCGGATCTGTAGAAGTTTAGGAGGTGGTTTAGGAGGTTTCAGGATATAGGAGAGGAAGATAAGGTCATGATGGGAAAAACCAGGGGCAAGGAGTTGTCCATGGGAAGAGACAAGGTGTGGGGCAGAGGTGAGCATTAGATCTAGCCAGGTATCATGGTAGTCTAAATTGTGGTGAGTGGCTTGAAGGGGCAGGATATGAAGGCTGGTTGCTTGGATGATCTGAAGGAGATTGCGTGTACGAGGAGTGTTTGGGGCTAGGAGGTCAGTGTTGAAATCGCCCATGATGATGTGATGCGAGTGTTCCGACCCTAAAGATTCCAGAACTGTTTCCAGACTAGAGAAGTAGTTAACGGTTGGGGGGCAGTAGACTACACCTAGAATTACGTTGACTCCCTTGACACAAACTTCGAGGAATAGGTATTCTGCGTAGGTGGAAAGGTTGGAGGAGGAAGAGGCGAGGATTTTATAAGGTAAGTAACTACGAAGGTAGATAGCGACGCCCCCACCTCTTTTATCTAAACGGTCATTGCGGATAAGTAAAAAGCCAGAGAGAGGATATGAGGTGGAGGGTAGGTGGGGCTTGAGCCAAGTCTCCGAAATCAGGACGGCATGAACGTTGTTGTCAGAGAAAGTCTCGGTTAAATCGCTAAAATGACTTGGGACACTTTATATGGTGTACTGTTGACCCAGTACAAAATATGTATCATTAGATACAAATGGTGCAAATCTGCACTTACTTACTTCACGCCATGAAACAAAACCTTCAGCACCATCTATTGAAGCATTGAAGATCTTGCGACGAATAGTATATTCACAAGTCCTCAACGTAAACCGCTGGGTCGCCGGCCGTAAGGCATGATCACCTCGCCCTGCCGAAAGATCCTCCCTTTATGTTGGAGGGACATAACACCTGTCTCTGCATTCTCCTCCAAAATTCAGACTAAATGATCATACTCACTTTTACTGAATCGAAGTTACTCGCGCGCCCTGTAAATCAGTATATTTTTATTATTTTTGATTTAGACGTGTATTTATTATAAATATACCTAGAACTAATTCCCTGAATCACGCACGCATCCCCTGGTGAGTGTAGTACACATCTCCACCTCATTCTCTGAGCACATTTACAATGTACTAGTTATATAGAATTGTAATTTTCTCATACTCCTATTCTCTTGTGAAGAAGTATGCATCGTTCTCATGTAAAGGTACTTCTCCAGTTAACTCTTCAAAGTCAGAGTCAGTTTCAAAGGTCAGAGAATCTGAATACCTGATATTTTAACACTTGCTCGCAGCATCTCCACAACAATTCTTGTTAAATCATTTTCGTTTAGACATTTGTAACCGATCTTCATATCCTGTGAACCAATAAGATAAGATCTTCACTCTCCAGGTACACAAGCTGTTAAGTACAACACAAGTTTGTTTCTACTGCTGGCAAATAATTTACCATAGAATCAAGAATAGAACTCGTGGAAGAGTCATGCTTCTGTACAAAGATACCACGGCCTCACAGAAATCTGATTTTAATTAAAGAAACTACACTATAAACTACAAAAAAAAACAGAAGCAGTCATAAGGATTGGCAACAGAAGTGAAAACTCAAAACAAAGGAACTAAGCGTCGATAGTCTGGCGCAATACGTCCGGAGCATGTCCAGGTCATGCAGGGACTCTCCGAGTTTTTTCCTAGAAGCCGGCAACGCACTTGTGCTTCTTTGAGTTACTCACTTACCATCAGTTGACCCTTCTGCTCGTCTGCCCCCCAAACATAAAAGAACGGCAGGAAGACGACGAAGATCTCATATCTAACATTAAGAGAGAGATAAAGTACAGAAAAAGAACTTGTATATATTTCAGAAGCGTACCACCACAGTTTCATCGAAGTCGTACTCTTCAAGAGGGCAGTCCTTCCTCTTGTCAGGGTTGCTGATGTACAGTATTTTGTCTTCTTCATTGGCGCTATAATTCATCGGAGTTTTGAAGAACTTGACGCAGACTTCGCGCTGAATTTTTTCTAACGTGGACGCTATTAGATCTTGAGAGTGATAATCTAAGAAAATATTTTTTTTTTCAAGATAACTTAAAATAATTAAATTAACTTGTCTAAAAGTGGCACTGACTTAATTCCGTCTAAATTATGTTTAATAATAATGATTTGACACATCTTACACATGGCTGTCTGATCCCAAACTAGGCAGAGCCTGTACTATGGTAACCAGACTGCTGATAAACATACTTATCTCACTAATATTATAAAGGCAAAAGTCTGTATGGATGTTATTATTTTACGCAAAAACGGCTGAATGCATCTGGATGAAACTTAGCACAAAGATAGATTATAGTCTGGAATAGCATATACTCGTAGGTTATGAGGGGATGGAATTGGTGGGATGAGCAAGGTACTGTTGTAACTTCACTACATTAGTAAGTTATGTCATGTCACTAAGGCACTATGCACATTCTTGGGTAGTCATTGCTCTGCTGTCTGCGACCCTATAAAGTCTAGGTACTTTCAAGGTCTGTATATGTAAAACTCTAATTATTTTATAATATTATATTTACAAGCAATGTTACTGTATGATCTATGCCACAACAATTATGATTGCGTTGCACTTACGAGCAAGCTTTGTTATGTCGTACCCGCAAGGACTCATTGTCGTAACATCTGTAAAATTTTTGCAACTTCTCGATGTCGAACTAATGCAGGCAAGAGATCACCGATGCACAGATTAGTTGATAGTTATAACAAGCATTTTCTTACTATTGATCTTATGGCAACGCGTCCTAGTACTTTTAAAAAACTCTTGCTGGAAAGTCTGAATTTTAATTAATATAAAACATTAAGCTACTATAAATATCCATAATGTTACTTTGTAACTATCAACTCTCAATGTTCTCAAACCCTATAAATATTACTTCATTACTCTGTGGTAAATGTCGCTGATGACACAGTTGCACATACTTAATAAGTAATGTTATTTAAAACTTTGTATTGTGTCGTTGTTTATTTACCTAAATAAATGGAAAAAAAAAAAAAAAAAAAAAATATAATAGTCAAGAAGTGATTTCATTTATAACTAGTTACGCCCTAAAGCCACACTTTTTGCCCCGCACAACCAATCTGTGGAACGGGTTATGTCTGCGGTATTTCCGGACCGATACGACCTTCAAACTTCAAGAAAAGAGCGTAGGCAACGCGTTTGTGACTCCTGAGTTGCAGACGGACTCCATCAGGTGACCCGTCTGCCCCCTCTAACATAAAATAAAAAATAAAGAATATAACTGGTACAACAACAACCGCGGGTAATACAGCGAGGCCCAACTGGTATATTACTAAACACATATTGTTGATAAATTACACCCAGACACATTACAAATGATCGTGCTCATCACGCAATTATTTTTCCTCGGTTGGAGTCGAATCAACGACCTCTGGTTTAGCAGTCAGGATCACTAACCACTACACAAACAAGCCAGTCATCCTATCCCATCCATCCTAAATGTCTACAATACTGCGCGGCCGACTGGGACTCCGCCCAGCACCGCTGGAAGACTGCCCCGCGTGGGCGTCTGAACGCGAAGTCCTGGTCAATGAAATCGGACGAGACTTGTCCCCGCCAGCAATCATTACTGCCATGCTGACGGGTGAGGAGGGCTGGGGCGCAATGGTCTCTTTCTGTGAAGCTGTAATGCTCCAGAATAAGACCGCTATACGGGATCGGGAGATGGCCGATCCCGAGCGAAGAAGGCGTCGGCGGCGGAATAAGCAGCCGACGGGACCGCGGACCGCGTATATCCCCAAGGAGCCGCGTATATAACCAAAAAAAAAGATGTCTACAATACCACGCGACACCGGCCTTTAAAAACTAATTTAAACGAATCCAAATGATTCTGAGTAATAAACTTACCGTAATCTTTATTATTAACAGCATAATGAACAATTCCTCTTCTCCATAGACAATTCCCGCTTTTAATATATAAATAGAATAAAAATGAAACCACAAACAAATTCATCTTTTTTTATTTAATACTGTTCTTTGAGCGTCAATTCACGCACGAAATTGTTATCGTGAAATTAGTTCAATAAAGTTTTATGTAGAAAAAGCATGTGACATTAAAATGTATTGGATTAAATTATTTATGTATATAATGCTAAATCTAATATATAAAATTCTCTTGTCACGGTGTGCGTGATTTTCGTGAAATTTTGTGTGCATACACCTAATGTTTTTTTTTGTCAATTTTTGGAACGAAGTTCCTTATCGCGCGTTGTGAAAGGGGGCTAGACGGAAAAAAATCTCACGAAAAGTTGTAACGACACTTTTTATGTCAGTCATTCAGCGCCATCTATCGAAAAGATAGGAAATCATTACTTTTCATCTCAGTATTTATTTTGAATTGTCACTTGTCAGTCATTCAGCGCCATCTATCGAATAGATAGGAAATCATTTCTCAAGGAGATTTTACCAATGTATAAATTGTTTTAATTAGAAACCAACTGAAAAATACGTAGGTAATAGCCGCTTTCATAGATGGCGTAATTAAAATCGTGTCGAATCAGTTTTACTCGATCGTCACAACTTCGTTCCTATCGGGTGCCCCACGACACCACACGGTTTTTTTTTAAATTATGTATATGGCAAAACAACGTTTGCGGGGTCAGCTAGTCTAAACATATAAAATTCCTTGCCCTGACTCACTGATTGTTCAACGCAGGGCCTAAACTGCTTTGGCTACAAACTTGAAATTTTGGCAGCTGATGGTTTTTACGTTGTAAACACCTATTAAGAAACGATTTTTGGAAATTTCACCCCCTAGAGGGGTAAAATGAGGGATCAACGGTTGTATGAAAGTTCGTCATTTATAAATCCAATACATAAAGTTATAAATCCATACAAATAAATAAAATTAAGGTGTCTGTAATGTCAAAAAAATAGGTTTTTTAATGCTCACACGGTTATTTGCACGATACCTATGCCTAAAACCCAGTTTAAATATTTTTTGTCTGTCTGTCTGTTTGTGCCGGGTAATCTTTCAAACGGTTTCTAAACTTGATATTTTACTACCAGGTTACTGTCTATATAAGGAGTAACTTAGGCTATATTTTCTATCAGAAAACATAATAAAATTTTGCCCGGTCCGGGAATCGAACCCACTAAGGCAGCGCTTTTCAGATTCCACGCGAACGAAGTCGTGGGCACCAGCTAGTTTTATACATACAAATGAGTCATAAATAAAACAAATATTAAAAACGATTTATTTATTGATGAAAACATAATGTGTCTTAATAATTAAAATTATTTACATTCTAATTCATAGGAATCATTTATTCTTAGGAATAGGAATAATTTATAATTTATTAGTGATCTTGGCGGCCGAATTTCTTGAATTGTTATTCTATAGAGTTCTGTCATACTTTACATGACAGGTCAATATACTGGACCCCTATAGTTTACGTAGGCGTTTTTACATAATTTTTACCTTTACAGCACATATTGTTTAAAAAATGTTATCTTGGTGCAATGATATTATATACAAACAAGACGTAGATACGCTACTAACGCACAAAACGCTGTGAATTGGTCCTAATTAGGACCACTGCGTGTGAGCGTACGTAGTAATTAATTTGAGAAAATTCATAAAATGCCTTCCTGTAACTTTACAGCACATATTCTTTAAAAATGTTAGCTCGGTGCACATCAAAGCACAAAGTCCTGCGAATTGGTCCTAATTAGGACCACTGCGAGTGAGCGCACGTACTAATTTTTTTGAGAAAATTCATAAAATGCCTTCCTGTAACTTAACAGCACATATTGTTTAAAAAATGTTAGCTCGGTGCAATGATATTATATACAAACAAGAGGTAGATACGCTACTAACGCACAAAACGCTGTGAATCGGTCCTAATTAGGACCACGTCGAGCGAGTACTAATTAATTCGAGAAAATTCATAAAATGCCTTCCTGTGTATTCCTAAAGGTGCACAAATTACGATAAAAGGGTAAATAAAGATAAAGGAATATCATACAACAGTTAGTGTATCATCATCATCATCATCATCAACTGCCTATTACAGTCCACTGCTGGACACAGACCTCTCCTTAGATAGGTGGTTTTGGCGTACTATACCACGCTGGCCAGACGGGTTGGTATAGGGTTTGTTTCAAGTTTTCCTTCTCTTTGCAGTGCTTTTGTCCTGCGTAGTTTGCGCCCTTAGTCGGCGCTTACGACACCCACGAGATGAATAGGGGTGATGACATTCCGTATTCTTATTCGGTCACCACACGGACAGTTAGTGTATGTTTTGTTCTAAAATGCTTTAATAAATGTATGTATAGTGTTACGGTGCATGCACTTTGAATAAAATGTATCTTCCTTTAAAAATCATTGGTTTTGATCACTTTTTCTATATAATTGAAATATCTATACAAATAAATGAAATTAAATTTTCTGTTTGTAATTTCAAAATAATAGGTTTTTTCATGTTCACACGATTATTTCAACAATACGTATGCCTAAAAATTAGTTTAAAAACTTTTTGTCTAGCTGTCTGTTTGTTCCGGGTAATCTTCTAAACGGCTGGACAAATCTTGATAATATTTTACTACCAGGTAGCTGTCTTTATAAAGAGTGACTTAAGCTGTTTTTCCTCTCAGAAAAACTCTACAACATTTTGACAGGTTCGGGAATCGAACCCACTAAGGTAGAACTTATCAAATTCCACATGAACGAAGTCGCGGATGATAAGCGCTGCCTTGGTGGGTTCGATTCCCGGACCGGGCAAAATTTTAAAGGGTTACTCCTTATATAGACAGTTACCTGGTAGTAAAATATTTGCAAGACTGGTCCAGCCGTTTAGAAGATTACCCGGAACAAACCGACAGGCAGACAGACAAAAAAAAATTCAACTGATTTTTAGGCATAGGTATCTTGCAAATAACCGTGTGAGCATTAAAAAAAACCTATTATTTTGACATTACAAACAGACACTTCAATTTTATTTATTTGTATAGATAATATATAGTCTGCAAATGGCTTAAAAACATTCTATCTATAAAATGTTAAATTGGTTTGTGTACATTTCAAAAACATTTGGACATTTTTGGCGATAATTTACCTAATTTTAAGAAAAAAAAACACGGACTTTCTTGAATCTAAACTAGGTTTGGATTTGCATAGTCCGTGGTATGTAGTTTTTAATATATTGTTTCTAATAATTTCTTTTTTTACCTAATAGTTTTTTTTTTTATATTTTTTTATTATTAGGCCTTTTCGTGTGGTGACGGATTAAGAATACGGAATGTCACCACCCCTATTCATCCCGTGGGTGTCGTAAGAGCCGACTAAGGGAGCAAACTACGCAGGACAACAGCACTGCTAAGAGAAGGAAAGCTTGAAATAAACCCTATACCAACCCGTCTGGCCAGCGTGGTATAGTAGGCCAAAACCTCCTTTCTAAGGAGAGGCCTATGTCCAGCAGTGGACTCTTATAGGCTGTTTGTTGAATTAGGCCTTTATTTTCGTACCTCAAAAGGAAAAAACGGAACCCTTATAGAATGCCACTTTGTTGCCCGCCCGTTCGTCTGTCTGTCAAGATCCTTTATCTCGGTAAGGCGTGGAGGTATCGAGTGGAAATTAATACGATATACTCAGGTCAACAGTCTCTTGAAGCTGGGCAAAGTCAAACTTCCAAGTTAACGTAAAAAAAAAAGATACGGTCGTTCATGCCGCACAAAACGTATATTTCGACACTCTCAAGGGAATCAAAATTTATAGGGTATTTTCCGTAATGGGGGGGTGTCGGGGCACCAGGGACTTCCTTTCTAGGGTATACATGGTTCCCCGGCTATTAGTACCCGAGACGGCGTGCGGTTTTAGTCGGTTCAAGTCCGACATGCCACCGGTGGTATCCGAGGGGATTTCCGCACGGAAAAAAAAGGGTCTTTTCCGTTGACCTAGAACTATGAAATTTGGCAAGTAATACCGTCTTATACTACAAGTATAGGGAAGAGTCTGAAAACTATAAATCTGTAATTAAATCATTAAAAAACAGGGTCTTTATGCAAAGAACGGTCCAAATTTTAAGTTCAGTTAACCGTGTCATCGGTTACAGTTAATCGTATGAAAGGGCTTCATTGGCACAAGCTTAACCTCCGACGCGTCGCCGTCACAACAGTTGTGACACCAAATTTTTACGCGGTAGCGTCTGTCACAACATTTAGAAGAATATGTATCAGGGATTCCAAATATGTTTATTTCATTGAATATAATTATAAAATAACGTAGATATTGAGGTAATAATGACTTCGCTCAGCTGTGACTGGGTCACTAGTTCAAGGGCGCGACAGTAAGATGTCGACGTCGACGTCCTAAGAGTTAAACAAATTTTTAATTTTTTTTATGATTTTCGATTGCAAATTTGTACGGTACCCTCGGTCGGCGAGTCCGACTCGCACTTGTCAGGTTTCTTTTAAATTTTAGAATGGTACAAGTTTCACTTGTGTTAGTTTTGATTGTCTATAACTGCATGAGCACAAGGCATGTTTTTGTCTATTTTTTAATTATTGCAGAAACAGGCCCGTCTCTAATCTATTGGAGGCCCTGGACAAATTAGCATAATGGGGCCCCTACGAACTTAGCTGAGCACTATTTTGTTGGAATAGACAAAAAAAGGTATTGTAGTCAGTCATTACAAATGGATTTTTTGAAATAATTATGTTTTTCGGTGATAAATATTGATTTTCGATTGGTGATCTGGCAGGAATCGGGCCCCTATCGATCGAGGGGCCCTGGGCACGTGCCCAGAGTGCCCAGGGGGACAGAGGGGGCTGTGTAGAAATGTGTATCGTTTGTTGGCAATTCAATTTTTTTCTGTTTTTTATTGCTTTAAAAAAAGACAACGCCCGCATTAGGGATATATACTGTCACGAGGGACTTTACAAACATACATGAAACGGGCACAAAGAACACCCAGACTCAGAACAACAATTTGATGATCACACAAAGTGTTGTCCCATGTGGGGATCGGACCCACAACACAGCGTCGCAGTAAGCGGCGTGGCGACCGTTTAAACCACTACGCCATCCGTCCAAAATAAAGTTTAATTGAAAAAAAAATTTTCGTTCCAATACTCTCCGAGTTTTTTCCCAGTAGCCGGCAACGCACTTATGCCGGTTTTAGTTACAGAAGTTGACCGGCTGCGCCCAAGAGAGAGAGAAAGAGACTTAATAAAGCACAGAAAGAATTTTTTGTACAACACGCTTCAAAGATTATTTTTGTCAACTTTTCGAGTTAGTTCTATTCTTCATTCCTCATCAATGCAATCACAATGTGCCACAGCCAAGTATAGCAGAGTACAGATAGTGTGCCCACACAGGAGGGGGTCATCTACAAGCCGTAGATGGCAAGAGGTACGTCGGGGTATCAGGGATTTCCTTCCTAGGGTACACCTGGTTCCCCGCCAACTGGTACCCAAGACGGCGAGCGGTTGGAGTCCGAAATAACCACCGGTGGGTGGTATCCAAGGGGAAAACGCACAGAAAAAAAAATTGTACAGCTAGTTATTAATAAAAATATTTTTTTGTAATTATTTTATTTCGTTGTTGAGCTTTTGTATGTAAGGCATTTACAATAAAAACGGCAGTAGACGGTTGACAGAGGCATAAAAAGGCCACCATTTGCCGATTATAATTTTAGTCCCACTCACGTAAGTCCCACTTACGTGAACGGGACTAAAATTAAATGGCTCTTCTGTAAATTTCCCAAAAGTTCCCGCCTCCTCCAAAATCAGAAGGGGAGGAATTAGGACTGCGGTAACCTCAGTCAATGTAAGTGGTGGTGGTTTTCTGTGACAATGCTGCCTATCTAGTTTATTTTGCCATATTCAGTGAAACATTTCAGGCATGGAAATACATTTTAATATATAATAATAATTATACTATCCCAATTTGAGTGAAACCTACTGTTTTATGGGTCCTTTCTTAAATTCTCAATTATCCTAAAACCAAAAACAAAAACATTTCTTTAAATTCTTATTATAAACTTATCTTCTATGAATCACTTGGGGGCTGCCAAGTGACTGCTGATATTTTTCTATTGATCTCTTGAAGAATTAGTCGACATCTGGCCAGCTGTGGGGGCCGGAGCTGCGGCGTGGGGTCGCGGGTTCTTTCTCCGGAATTGGTGGGCGCGGGCCGTTGGGCACGCCTCAGGGCACGACGACGGCGAGCACGAGCTTAGAAGAAAATTATCAATTAGTGTTGACGAGGGAGCTTCCACTAACTACGTGAGTTACTAACTTAACACATCTCACACACGGCTGTCTGATCCCAAACTAGGCAGAGCCTGTGCTATGGTAACCAGCCTGCTGATAAACATACTTATATATTTTTAAATACATACTTACTATAGATATATTACACCCACACACAGAACAAATGACCGTGCTCATCACTCAATATACGTTCTGGGTGGGAATCAAACCCACAACCTCCGGCTTAGCAGTCAGGGTTATTAACCACTAGACCAACAGGCCCGTCTCTAAAGCAGTTCGTTTTCTTAATAAATAGAGTAAAATAATCAAGAACCGACCGGAGTGATAACGGCCTCACAGAAACCGGTTGCTTTTCACCGATTGATTGAGATAACGGGGAGGTGGGGCATAGGAAAGAGGGAGAACGGGCACAGGGAGGAGGGACAACGGGCACACGAAGGGGGGAGAGCGAGCACAGGAAGGGGAAGAACGGGCACAAGAAGGGGGAGAACGGGCAGAGAAAGGGGGGAGAACGGACAGAGGAAGGGGGCAGAACGAGTACAGAAAGGGGGAGAACGGGCACAGGAAGGGTAGCTACGCATTTGTGACTCTTGAGTTGTAGGTGTCCATGTGCGGCAGTAGTCATTTACCATCAGGTGACCCGTCTGCTCGTTTGGTTGTACCATAAAAAAAACCCTCATGTCGCGTCGACGCCCCGCTAGCTGTCTCACACAGCCTTAAGTCTCGTACGATATTTAGTCGTCTTAAACTTAGTCGAGACTTCGAACGAGTTGTACTTAACAAACACATGTGAATGCTCACCGCTATCACTTTTGTCTTTGGGCTTTATATCTTCATCCAATGATCTTGATAGGGATCTCTTCTTTGGCGACTGTGGAATAGAAAAAAATAAATGAGACGGACACCAAGACAAGGTGTGATAACCTGGCAACGGACCACATTTAATTTTACTGCACGAATAGTGTAGTGGTTTTAGCGGTCACTTTGCTTCGCTTCGAGCGGTTTGAGACCCACATGGGACAAATGCATATAATGTGACTCTGGCAACCAGACTGCTGATAAACATATTTAAATATTTCTAAATACATGCATATTACGGATAAATTACACCCCCAGACACAGAAAAAATTATCATGCTCATCAGACAATTAATTGGTCTTTCAAAATCACCAGACCTTGCACCTACCGACTATTACTTTTTCCAAAATTTAGACAACTTTTTAGTGGGCAAAAAATTAAATTCGCGAGAGGCAGTACAAAATACCTTTGAAGAGTTTGTTGCCTCCCGTCCAGCTGATTTTTACAAGAAGGGCATCAATAAACTGCCAATGCGTTGGCAAAGATGCGTCGATTGCATGGGTGATTACTTCGAGTAACAGAAATAAAAACGTTTGAAAAAATAAGTACTTTCACTTATTGCATACAAAACGGCAATTTCATAGGTAAAGACCTATTATTTGTCCTGGGTGGGAATCAGACCCCTTCGACTAAATCCTCAGGGTCACAACCACTAACCCAACAAGCCTGTAATATATAGGGAAGAGTAACCTTAAATTGGACTACTTCTGTATTTCTACCAAAATAGCACTATTTTTACCCACAATAGCACACAAAAAGGAGCGCTGGCAGCGCCACTATCACTCCGCCATTTTGAAGCGCACTATTTTGTGTGCTAGACATTGCTACAATATGGCGGAGTATTAGTGGCGCTGCCAGCGCTCCTTTTTGTGTTGCTAGTGTGAAATAATATTGGTTACTCGCCCCTATAGTTAATTCACCTCTATTTATTCTTTTGAAGTTTTAGTAAAAATATATTCATTTATCAATGCTCACCCGTCTTTTAATCTGTTTCTGATAATGTTGGGCATCATAGAACTGTGGTTGGGATCTTCTCACTCGTCCGGTTCTCCGTCTGATGTCTTCTACTGCTGGCAAAGAGTCCGCACCTCTCCGTGAGGCAAAGAAAGTATGTCCGCACTTGCATGACTTAGACGCTACTGCTACCTAAATAAAAAATAGCATGGGCCTGTTTATTTAGTGGTTATTTTTATTTATACATCTTTATTGTAAACCGCTACGGTATATACTGTACAGACATGGAATGATATCTCCATTTTGGTATAATGCAGGGCGCAATCAACCGTTCCCACTGGAAATCATTGGGAGAGGCCTATGTCCAGCAGTGGACAAGCATAGGCTGAGGTATATATATACAACAGGCGGTCTTATCGCTCACTGCAATCTCTTACAGACAACCTTAACATGGATATTGGAATATGTATGTATTTAGTAATATTTAAGTATGTTTATCAGCAGTCTGGTTACCATAGAACAGGCTCTGCCTAGTTTGGGATCAGACGGCCGTGTGTGAGATGTGAGGTTATTATGATATTATAGCTCCTGAAAGGATGTACCAATTTCGATGCGGATTTTTTTATTCGAAAGCCCATGTAATCGATATAGTTCAATCATCGGAGGGCATCAGGCATTGGAGGGCTCCTATTCCGTAAAGCACACATACTGTGAAGGTTCGGAATAAAAAGCTTTATTATAATGTTGTAAATACTTGCCTGCATTTCACACTTGGGACAACTCTTCGCTATCATTTTATTTTTACCCATTGTTTTTTATTTTTATACTAGCTTAACATCACGATAACAAACAGAATCACAGCTCAATTGAAAGGAACTACCAATATACGAAGAACTACGATCTTCTGGATTATGTCATTCATGAATTCAACTTTTTTTATCCATTGGAACATGACAACAAATACAACCAATGCAATAATTACTTTTTTAATGACATTGACAAATCACTCTTTATGGACACTGACACAATTACAAGTTGGCTATGATTTGTTTGGTTTTTAGCTAGTGATGGCCAATTTCTGAAATCTATCGTGTCAAGTCCTCATAAAAGTCAAAATACAAGGATTTCTCTCGTCTCTAACAATGTACAGCAAACCCACAAAATAAACAAAAAAACCGTGGCAACTATAATATCATATAATATTATAAAAAAAACCCCGGGGGTGCAGACAGAAGTGAGAACTTGAAATTTTGTTTTTTTTTGTTTTTACGATTCGAAAAGTTTCGATATGAATATAAAGTTAATGAAATAATCTTTATTAGAACAATAAACAGTAGGTATACAGATTTGCTTGTGTCTGAAAATAACCACATTAGTTATGAACTATGTCGTGGCTATTATCGCCCACCTCCAGAAATGTGCAGACAAGCGTTACAGGAATAATAAAGATAACTTAGTGATTATCATAAGTTATACAATACAAATATATCTATTGTACGTATATACACAATATATGTTTATATTAAATATAGTTATTTTATCAATTTTCTTCAACCCAAACTCAACTCTCACGTAAACGGGGCCAATTTATGTCTATAAGTATCGAGTACATAAGTCTGTTAATCGTGAGTTTAATGGTTTTTTTTCCTATCTCAAAAAATACATTCTTTTGTTTGTTGTTCAAAAATGCCCAACGCACCTATCATCACTTCTCGGACAGCACTAGTTTTTGATAATTACGTTCTTTTTTTTTTACGAAGTTTCTAAAATTTCAATAAAACCCTACAATTTACCTTACTTTTAATAGAACTTATGATTGAGACATTTATAAATCATGATATTCTAAGTACCTAACATAGTAGTTGGCCACAAAATCTTGGTATAATTGTTATTTTATGTCGTGGAAAGTTTTAATAGCTTTGAATTTTGACGTTTCTATGTTTACATATTTGACAGTTCAGTACTTTATACATTAGTGATGCGCAAAATGTATCACTGAGCTGAAAAGATTGATACATATCATTTCGCTCTAAAGATATATATCACTCATCTAGCTCACTAGCTCATTTAGCTCACTAACTCATTTAGCTCACCAACTCATTTAGCTCACCAACTCACTTAGCTCACTAGCTCATTGATCCGATTCAATTGATTGGTCTCTCAATTAATTCATTTCTTCATCTAAGCCTTTAAGCCACTTTAAGCCTCTCTCGCCATACAAACCTTTCTTTATTTTCATATTAACCTAAATTCAGTTTTTGAAACTACATTCTTAACCTTTTTTTTTAAATAAAATTTATTCATTTTGATAAGATTACATAATTATTAACACCCTTTTATATAATATTTAAAAAAAGAAATTATTTCTTGTACTTTTTTTAGGTTGTATAATAGAAATCGTACATAATTTGATTTTCCTTGTACTTGGCAGGCTTAATTCTTAAGTAATATTAAACTGATCCTATAGAAATAATGTACATTTTGCATAAAGAAACTTGCGTGAACTCAACCATCATCTATCTCACTCATTTATCTTTAGTCTCACTCGCTCATGAAACAAAGATCGGCGTCGTTGAGCTAGTGATCTAATGATCTAGTGAGCTAGTACTGAGTTACTGATATATTCGGAGCTAGTGTGAGTGAGTGATACATTTTATCGTCGTGAATGATATATATCTTTTATATCACTCATTCAGGAGCTACACAACTCTATTATACATTGTGCTAACTTGCCTTGTCCCCTGACGTTGGCAAAATCATCGATATTCGATGGAGCCATTGAATTAAAAGAACTTGCCTTGTCGTAACGTAAATATTCGCGCAAATTCTACCGTAATGTCTAAAAAATATTTTAATTCTCAACAAACAGTTATTTGCGACTATTGTGAAAGAAGTTTTGTAAACAAACAAAGCTTGAAAAAACATATATCATTACACACTTCCCAACAGAATTTGCCTAGAAAAGAAGGGCTCACATGCGAAAAGTGTAATATTGTATTCAAGAACAGAGGCCTATTGATGTGTCATAATGTAAAGATACATGAACCAAAAAGGTATTTTCATATAGAAAGTTATTATAAATAAAATAAAAAAAAAAGCAAAGTACGTAAACTATGTTACGTACTTTGTTTTTTTTTAAATTTGCTACGCGGTATTAGGCAATGGAAGTGTAAATTCAACATTTGAATGAAACATTGAAGAACTAACAAAATCTAAGAATTTTATGTTGTTGTCTTTGCTTGTTTTTTTTTATGTCAAATGAATATAGTGCTTCAAATATAGTTCATATTCATAATTGTTAATAGGAGAGAGTGTGGACTGCGATAAGACCGCCATTTGCCTTTTTCTTCACATGATGTTTGTCTATTTGTCATATATAACGTTTGCATACAATGAAATAAACTTTATGTATGTTTTAAGACCTTCCTAAAATGTAGTACACATGGCCTCTGTTTATAAAAACTTTTTCTGGTGCTAGTAAAACATACAGATTTTTGTTTGTATCCTTGACTACGGCTACAAACATGTTGTGTTCATTGCAGCAGCTGTTGACAGATATAAATATCTATGTATATTGTAGCACAAGTTTCCTTTTTATAAACTCAGATCATATCTTCAAGCTGGCCTATATCACTCTTTCCACTTCAATCCCCTGGCACAACCCTTAAGGGAATTGTACAACACTTACTTTGATCCCCTGTGCCGGGGACTCAATAAGTACTAAAAAAATTATTTCCTATTTAGTCCTTTCTAAAAATATCTTTTAAAACTTACTTTCACACATTGTAAATCAAGAACCAAAGGTTGAAAAAATATAGTTTATTTATTATAAACCGTAACTACTATATTTATATTTACTTCAATTACAATGCCATAAAACCGTATCATTCTTATATACTCTTTTACGGTGGTATTTGTATCCATCGTGTAATAATGGTTAACCTTTACGTTGAAATATTCAAGATTTGTTTTTCAACATTATCATGATGTTATGTGCCCCCTAGTACTGTATTCACCATTGACCTGCACCGTCAATGGTGCAGAAGTGACCAATTAGTTTCGTTTCCACCATTAAAGGTTAAGTCATTGGCACTCTTAATTTTAAACAAAAATAATTCGTGAGTATTACTCTTAAAATATAATAAATCTTTAAACTTATTTTATAGATGAAGGTTGGTAAAAACAAACAAAGATCGGGTCGGAATCACCTTGCGCCTAGTTTTATGGTAGTCAAAACGTCATATAGATAAGAAAAAAGAGTTGCAAGCAATTTTCGACCTTAATGACATTACCTTAAAAACGTGTTTTTGGGACTCAATAAATGATCATGAATATAAAAAAATATGAAATCACGACATACAAAACCCCTCGAATACCGAGTAGGGTTGTTACAAGGTTGATGCTTATCACCACATACGAAAATAGCAACATACGAAAAGAGGTGGTGCTAACGGTTTAAGATCAATGGAAAATATACGGAATCCATCTTAGCATTCACAGACGACCTTGCGATCCTCAAACGTAACCCGAAGCAGTGCCAAGAACTACTGCGTAAGGCGTATGACTTTTGTACCTGACGGATGGAGTGAGGACTACTACTGAGGACTAAGATATACTACAAAGCTCGTACTCTATCTATGAACGCAATAGTCGATGACTTCGTAAAAGACAAGGTAGACCAACAGCCAATAAGTAACGTAAAAAAAGCTTAGATTTACGACAACTACTCAACATCACGTCTCAACTGGCTGTTTCTGGTATACGACATAAACCAAAACCACTTCAGAATACTGGACGCGAAAGTCACTAAGACATGGAAGTCGTAGCTCGGGCTAGCACCATCTCCAGACCTGTCAACGTTGTACAGGGGCTCGGAATAACTTTTTAATGAAATTAAAAAGGCCTTCGCAACTCTTCAAACACCCAAGAGTTACCAAAATGCATGTCTTGTCAAAATAAATCGTTAGATCCCTCCCAAATTCATCAGAGCTGGAGTCACGGCTCCGATTCCACAAGGAATTCATTGTGGGTACGCAATCCAATCCAGTAGAGTTGGATTGGGAAATGCTAGAAGACAGACCGACAAAGAGATAACAAAATATTTATTACAACAAGATGAAAACGAGACCTACAAGATGCACGCAATGCACCTAGAAATGCCTTATGAATGGTTAACTCTAGGAGAATTTTGTATCCCACCAGCTTGGAAATAGCGCACACTTTTATACGATTGGTCACCTGCCCTATTAAAATTTTACCTTTTATTAGTAAGGCTACAGAGAGGCTTGTACGATGTGCAGTGCGGAAACAGGCACAGCCAGGCACTTACTGACAGGTTGTAAGGCGTTATTAGACCGAGGTCATTCATGTCGCCATGACAGGCTATACAAATCATACGCGAATCTATAAGTTTATCACTCGCGAGAATGGAATATTAACAACATAAGAACTAACATCAAGTTTGAAGAAGAAGGAAGGCTCAACAAAAAAATAATCACAGAAGCCGTTCTCATTCATAAAGACCGCCAGTGACTAGAAATTATTAGCGGACACGTATGAAAATCATTACAGAATACCGGAGGATATCTGTGCCTCGGCGTTCAGACCAGATATATTTTTGTATGCAATTTCAATTAAGCGTGTAGTACTAGGAGAACTCACGGTGCCATGAAAAACGAAGACCACGCTTTAAAAAGAAACAAGTAATTTGACTTACCAACGAAGTAACCAAAAATGATTATTTCGTTGCTTTGTATGCCTTGGAAGTGGGTGCGAGGGGTATACCAGCTAAATCCTTCTATAATCTGCTTAAAGACCTTGGGCTGCCAAATATTTTTAGGTAGAAGGGGTAACACAGCAGACAGTGGAGGTTAGCGCTGACGCGTCGCAAGGAGTCCTCCGTAAACCTATCCTTGGGTCGCATTTCCCAGGCGCTGTCGAAGACGCATGTGTTGCCCCATCTATCACGCGATTGACCCGGCACCTGCACGGTGAATCCATGGAATGCTAAGGAATAGGTCTTGGAAAAAAACTTCCATAAAGTTCGAAAATCGACCTACTGGTGGGACTGGATGAAATAGACGAGTAAAGTATGGGAAAGTAGTTGTATTAATATTGATGGTGCAAACGAAACTTATAAGTCTTCTAATGGTGCAGGTCAATGGTGCATTCAATACTAGGGGTTATGTGCAAGACAATGATTATTAAATTACGACAGTTTAAATCTATCTTACTGATCTATAGACCTTTATTATGCATATACCTTCAGTAACCCAGGGGATAGGGGTAATGGTACTGGGAGATCGAAGTGGAATAGTGAGTCTTGTACAATCCCCTGAAGGTGTAAACCAGGGGATTCAAGTGGAAAGAGGCCTTCTCTTCTTCTCCCACGATCTTTACTATATTACCGTTTAATATTCACCTTTACACTTTTCTTTTCAGTACAACACCGAAAATTATTGAAAACAAATTCAGACATATATGCCAAGCATGTCAAATAAACTTCTTCTACCTGAAGGACCTCAAGCATCACATAAGACAATACCACTTCAATCTCCTATCTCACATACCGTACTGCCACTTCAAGAAGGTAAACCAAGTCTGGTTCGAGAAGGTATTAAACTCAAAAAATATAGTAGAAATTAAAAAAGTTGCTCAAAATATGCTGTTGATGAGGAAACTAGATGACAATACAGCTATGAAGGTTAGTGACCATTCGACTGAAGTCATTGACTTACATTCTTTGTATCCAACACAACGGTCAAATGTTGTCCAGTGTGAATTTTGTGAGAAATCGTACGATAGATGTTATATTAATAAACATAAAACGGATGTTCACTTAAAATATAAAAACAAGGAATAGAAACATAAGTAATTCATTGTTTACATAATTAGATGCTTAATAAGGGTGTATCTTATATATAAATTCTCGTGTCACAATGTTAGTTACCATACTCCTCCGAAACGGCTGGACCGATTGTTATGAAATTTTGTGTGCACATCGGGTAGGTCTGAGAATCGGCCAACATCTATTTTTCATACCCCTAAAGACAAGGGTGACCCACCCCTAAATTTTGTTTTCAATATTTCCTAGAAATAATGCATATGGCAAAACAACGTTTGCCGGGTCAGCTAGTATGCTATAATATTATAAGGTATGAGCCTTTAAATAAATAATCAATGTTAAAGAAATATACCTGATGTCAAACGTGTGATGATTGTAAGTCCCCCATGATCTAGGACATATTCATAGAGCGGGAGTAGTTGGCTTCTTAAAAAAAACCCAATAAAGTAATATAACTAAATGAAACGATAATTTCGTACAAAATACAGCACCATACTAAAAATAAGGCAATGAAAATATGTGATCGTTATTAGATTAAATATAGAAAAGAGAAAGTTTGTGCTCTTAAGGTTCGAAAACTAAAAAGATCATATTATTTAACACTTTTAGAAGAGACTGTTCGCAGGATATACACATCTCTAGGTGTGTGTGGGTGTGGGTGTGTATGTTTGTTTATTTGTGCGTTGTGCCGTGTATGTGTGAGTGTATGTGCGTGTTGAGTGTGAGTATATATGTTATTTAAAAGATTTGTTTAGTATAGGGGGCAAACACTGCAACCAAAAGAGACCTGCAACTGATAATTAGGGATAGTGCAGGTTTGCACTCGGTGAAGAGCAACGAAAGAATTGCTTAACACCTGTTTTCTGTGAAGCCCTGGTATCAGCCCTTCATGTTGGGCCATCCTATTTGTGCTCTCCCACGGATAAATAAATAAAAATAACAAATTACTAAATTATAAAAAAAAACGATATGAGTTTGTGTGTGTGTGCGCGAATGTGCATGTGTGTGTGTACATGTATGTGTGTGTGTGTATTGTGCTTGTGAATCTGTATCTTTGTTGAGTATTTGCCAACAGCTAAAATAAAGCTTAGCAAATTTTAAGTGTAATAAATACATGTCAGTGTATCTACATGGGTTTGTGTGTTTCTTGTGTATAGCTGTGAGTCCATTACTTTATATGATATGGAATGAATTGTAATTAATACTCAATATTTTATTACATGGCACTGTTTATAAATGCAGGTCGTATAATACATATAAATATATGTAGGTCCTAGTAGATGCAGTTCGGCAAAAGCGGAGGGTCAGAGTGGATATACACGTAGTGACGCGTCGCCACGGAATGCGTCGCCACGTTATATTTGACGCTGATTTACAAGAATAGCTAACCCTAGCTATCTTCTTATAATCATTCATCATCATCAACAGCCTATACTAATCCACTGCTGGACATAGGCCTCTCCTTAGAAAGGAGGTTTTGGCCTACTTATAATCGTTATTGCTACAAAATAATCATCATAATAATGTTTTACATATGCCAGACTTTATTTATTATTATATTACTATTATTATAAAACGCTACGTTATGAAGTTAAATAAAAAGAGAATGTGTGTGAAAGGGATGAAAGTTATACGATATGTATTTTACCTTGACGTGGACCTTTATCAATAATTTAATCTACCTGAAGGCCAATTTCCGTAATAAAAATTCTCGATCTCACAAATCGCACCTTTATTTATAAACTGAATTAACTTAGAATTTCAAAATTGTGGGAAATCGCATTTAAAGTTTGACATTCATGTACGTGCGAGTTCGTCAAAAAGAGAACGACGATCTGTTATCTCTGCCATTTTTATGGTATCGAGTCGGCTGTTGGATTGTTCGTGTTCTACTGATGAAGTTGATTTGGTATTTGTTGAAAACTCGAAAAACGTAAATTTTGAATTAATTCAGTTTATTATTAAAGGTGCGAAATGTCATAAAAGGTAGTTTCGTAGTAAAGTATTAAACAACCAATGCGATTATATCGTATTGTGAGTGAAAGTTGAATCGGTATTTTGCTGGTAATACTTTCTGTTGTGTAAGTGTCAGTGTAACGTAATATAAAAAAAGGTGTTGATAAATACCCGCATAGAGGAAACTAGTCTCTGGTATTTCTGAAATATATTATGTGAATTAAACCGTATGTCTTTACTGAATAAGGAATGATACTCTTCATATTTTTGGGTGTCCATTCCTATTAATAGAACGCTTAGTAATAAAACTTAAAATTCTATGCCTAGCTGCATTTTTTTAAAATTCAATTATTATAATTTATACTATAATGTCTTAATAATAGGAAACTCTGTGTTTATTTATATTGTTATTTGTATTGGGCATGGTTCCTTGCTAAATAAAATGTTTTTTTTGTGTTATGAGCTGTTTTATTTCATCTCTTTACACAGTGTGTAGGGTAAGTAAAAAATTTATACTTGCAACATTGCCTTTCTACATTAGAAAAAAGTTTAAACCCATCTATGTTTTCGACTGAAAGACTTGTTCTATGGTCATGAATAAAAATAATTAAAAAAAAAAAACATTAGAAAAACATTAGTATGTTTTTCTAATGTAGAAAGCTAGTGCTTTTGCCCGCGACATCGTCTGCGTGGTGGTCGACATCAGACATCGTAGAGGTTACAATGAATATCAAGATTACAGGTATATGCACATCCCTATTTTATAATAACCCCATTTAAATAAAAAAATAGATGTCTAATTAACATTAATTTTGATAGAGAATATATGTAATTATAATCAGTTTGGAATCGATAAGTTACAAAGAAATAGTTCCCCATACATACTTGCACCTCTTTTTAAGAGTAGTTTAGAAAAATTAGTAACATTTATTTTAATAAAGAGTATTTACTGTAAGTTTAAAACGATACTAACAGAAGTAACGGAAGTTTTAAATAAATTTCAAACCCGCATTTTGCACCCTCGGGGGTTTTGCACCCATTATTTAAAAAATCCTTTCTTAGTGCACTACTACGTCACCCTAAGGAACATTTGCTAATCAGTTTCTTCTTTTATAGATATGGATTAAGAATTTTCAATTTAAATATTGCCCTCAATATCTTTAGTATTAGGTACACGCTGGGTTTGGAAAGCGTTTTAGCCACGAGTTTTTCAATGGGCAGCATAAGCGTATCACCTCGGTTTGAGAGCACCTCCCTAACTGCCTCAGCCAGCATCGGAATCCTAGGCATCGATATATCGATCGAAGTCCAGCTCCACTGCCTTCAGATTAGGTCACCTTACGTATCGCACTGCTCGAGCGCACGACTGCTGGCTACCCTCCAGTAATAAATCGAAACAGTGTACAAGAAGTTTGACTTTAGTTAATTTTTATTATTTATTTTATACACGAACCAAATTTTAAGGAAATTAATTAATATTATAATTGCTTACACGAGTAATAGGATAAAAATAGGTTTTCAACAATAATAATAATTTAACAAATATTTTTAGGACGAAAGTGAATTTTGATTTTTTTTTTATTACAATATCTTTACGGAATTTTTCCAATGCAATATTGTAGTTGCATTAATTAAATTTAAGTTAAACTAAACTAAATTACAAACTAAAATAACAAATTTTACTTAGTGCTATAATTGTGAACGCTCAAAGAACAACAACATATATCCACATCGTCAGCTATAAGGTTGAGTGTGCGTAGCGCGCGCGTCAACGGTGCCTCACGCAGTAAGATAGTGCGTGCGCGCGGCACCACCAGAAGGCGCGGCCGCCGCCGACATCCCGCGTAGCCGTCTGGGATACATAAACCCACCCTCTCTAATATATCTGCATTATGTATCCCCCCTCTAATTACCTTAAAGATATAGGTAACGAGTGTGAGTTCCCTCCTAACCCTCAGTCGTTATATCCAACCATACCTAATATAAACCGGGTAGGATACATTAACGGATTAAAAGGATAGGATATACTACTTCATGTTAATAAATCTAATAAAATTATTTTGCACCCGCTCCAATATGAGACTATATTTAGTCTTATGTGGAGCTCAGATAACTGCATTACACTCCAGTTGGCTCCTAACTAAAGCATTATATAATGCTGTAACAGCTTTTATATTGGTAAAGTCTTTAGCCATACGAAGTACCAACCCCAAGTTCCTATAAGCTTTTTTACAGATTTTGAGTTGAGTTGGAATGTTAGTGTTTAGACACACTACATACAAATTTATAATTTTGATGGATCTATATTACTCAGTCATGCTAGAATAGTAGATGAAATTTTGCACATATACACAGATTACAGTCTAGAGTAACACTAGCTACTTTCATGAAAGATTGATTGACAAAATGGTTGAAACTTGAGCGAAGCCACTGGCAAAAGGTAGGTATCAATCTTTATTACGTCAGATGCCAAGAAAATTATTTACCACAAATCTAATTTAATTATATAACATACAACGGTAGGTTACCAGATATATTGGTCTTCTTCCTACGACAATCTAGTAACACAATAATAGCATCAAGTCATGAAAACTGATCTAGACTTTAGAAAGAAAGAAGTCTGGGCACACAGTTATAATAAATCATCATCATCAGCAACCGCCTTTAATAGTCCTCTGCTGGACATAGGGCTCTCCTAAATAAATATATACTTTGAACCAATTTATTTGCACTTAAATTAATTTCATTACAAGACCAGTATTCGTAGATGTCATTGTGTTGGTTAATTTTATAAAATCGACTAAACTATTTAATCGATACAAATAAAAAAAAGCACATCTTGTCATTTGTAAACATACGGCGTATGACGTATCTCTAATTTAGTTGTGTGATAGAAAAAAATAGATTATTGTTTTGATTTCGTATTTATGTTAAATAATTCATAAAAATGACTGAATGCAATAGTTTTGAGAGATATTTTAGCAAAACTACGTGCTGGGCTTGTCTAAAAGTTACAGAAGAAGTGTTTCAAATGTCAACTGAGGAAATAAACGCGTATCGAAATTTCGCCGACAAGGTTAACAAATTTGGTATTGTTTATTTTAAATAATTATCTTTTGAAAATAATAAACCAACTTCAATACGCCTTAATCATGATTTAATCGTGGCTTTGACGATAATTCATTTTATTTGTATTTACAACGACAAATTCAAGTAATCTGTACTTAATCCCTTTATTTGCCATATAATGTTTTCTTTAAAATCAAATAGGACTTGCCATTAGGATATACCATAAATAAAATAACGCAGCAATCAGACTTCAATTGGCGGAGAAATCACATAATAAACATCGACAAAAACACAGGAATAGAACTTTATTCTATTTTCAAGTTTCAGAGTGAGGGTAAATTTGTGCTATCAATTTTATATAGAGGCACATAGAAGACATTGAGTTACATAGGATAGTCTATGAATCCTGCTCTTCCCATAGAGCTATACTATGATTACTGCTGTTTAATTATAGTTTTCAATAAGCAGCAGCTTTAGGGTGAAGCAACAATTTCTCTAGGACTTGGAAAAGGTTAAGACCATAAACCAAGTTTACCGTGGGAGAGCCATCATCATCATCAGACATGCTACAGCACAAATGGGTCAACTGGTGTGATACCATGCCCTTACAGAAAACCTTTGCTTTCTTGTCCACTGTACCCCTCCAGTTGCACTGTAAAGGGGCTATGGAGAGCAACCTTCATCCCGTGGGTGTCATAAGAGCTGACTAAGCTTCCGTCTGGCTTGGTATAGTAGGCCAAAACCTCCTTTTTAAAGAGAGGCCTATGTCTAGCAATGGATTATTAAAGGCTTTTAATGTGATAGCACATGGATGTTGAAAATCACTTACCATCAGGTGATCTGCCTACCCTCTTTTTTCATAGAATGTTGAAATATTTTACCACCTGAAGGATACATAAAAAAATATAGCCCCATCATTGTGATTATATTGAAAATCATGTATTTTTATGAATGTTTACAGATAGACACGAATGAATTCGACATGGTGCTCTGTTTAATTTGCAAATGGATGGTAAATAAATGTATGAAGTTTATCGCACAAGTGCAGAGAGCAAGCCAGGTGTTGAATCAGATTTCTGTAAAGGTAAGTTGTATTGATATCTGTGTGGTGACAGATTAAGAATACGGAATGTCACCACCCCTATTCATCCCGTGGGTGTCGTAAGAGCCGTCTAAAGGAGCAAACTACGCAGGACAACAGCACTGCAAAGACAAGGAAAACTTGAAACAAACCCTATATCAACCCGTCTGGCCAGCGAGATATAATAGGGCAAAACCTCCTTTCTAAGAAGAGGCCTATGTCCAGCAGTTTACTGTTATAGGCTGTTGATGAAGTTGTATTGGCCTCTTGGTTTAACAGTTAGTAATCTTGATTGCTCAGTCAGAGGTAGTAGGATTAATTCCGATTAATAATTGTGTATTAAGCATTGATACAAAAGAGAAAGAAAACTTGAAACAAATCCTATACCAATCCATCTGGACAGTGCGGGTATCATCATCATCATCATCAATAGATGACTATATCCAACAATGAACTAATAAAGGCTTTTGATGATGATGAGTATTGTTAAGGAAACTTAAACACTAAATATAATATTAAACGTTTGTCATCCTATTTGATACTAGATGGCGCTCATCGGTTTTAATTGCTATTGATTACTTCTCACCTTTGATTTAATGTTTAGTGATATATATTCTGTGATGATATATATTAATTTGGGGGGAGGGTGGGTGTTTATAGGGTAAGGTTTTTTTTGGATTGAATGTGAGCTTTAGCATGACTGCGTGGAGGGTATAGCGGATTAAGCAGTCTTCTCACTGCTTCCTACTGCGTTGAGTGTTGTGGGTTCGATCCCCACATAGGACAACACTTTATGTGATCCACAAATTATTGTTCTTTGTGTCCGTTTCATGTATGTTTGTAAAGTCTCCTGGTACACAGGATATACTTCTAGTGGGGGAGATGTCTTTTTAAAGACAAGACAAATTTATTAGCACCATCTATCCAATATATGCTGAACCACTTCGTGACTATGATCCTACATCGCGATATCATTATCATCAAAATTCATCTAATCTTTTTGCAGGACTCAAAATCATTTCTACAAATTCAATTAAATAATTACGATATTAGAACTACAGCGCCTGCTATAATCCACGTAGGTCCAGAAGCGGACATAGAAAATGAAACAGAAGAGTATACTGCAGATGATAATCTAGAAGATGATGATGAGATACCGTTAGTGATGTTACAAGACTTCAAAAGTAAGAAGAGAAAGAATAGTGAAGAGGTAAGAAGAATTTCTTATTGAGCTGACTGTAGGGCTACAAGGGAGATCTATCAACAAGCTTATTAGGCTGTAGCCCTGGGCTCCGTAAATAATAATAATAATAAATAATAATAATAACAACTTCACACATCTCACACTCGGCCTTCTGATCCCAAACTAGGCAGAGCCTGTGCTATGGTAACCAGACTGCTATATTTTTAAATACATGCATATCAAAGATAAATTACACCCAGACACAGAAGAAATGACCGTGCTCATCACACAATATTTGTCCTGGGTGGGAATCGAACCCACAACCTCCGGCTTAGTAGTCAGGGTCACTAACCACTAGACCAACAGGCAACTGCCTCTCTTCATGAGTCCAAGCCCGTCTCTAATCTATTGGAGGCCCTGGGCAAATTAGCATAATGGGGCTCCTACGAACTTAGCTGAGCACTATTTTGTTAGAATGGACAAAGAGTATTGTAGTCAGTCATTACAAATGGTTCTGATTTTTCGAAATAATCATGTTTTTCGGTGATAAATATTGATTTTCGATTGGTGATCTGGCAGGAATCAGGCCCCTATCTATTGACGGGCCCTGGGCACGTGCCCAGTGGGAAAGAGGGCCCTGCACGAGACTATGTTCATAGGAAATTTAAGAGCTCCACTAGCAGAAGTTGAAAGGCAACTAAAGGACTAGGAACTAAAAGGATCCGGTCGACCTGTCTCATATGTGCTGAAGAACAGATGATCGTGTCATTTATTTATAACCAGCTGCGCCTCGCGGTGTTATCCGTGGCTTACCACATACTAGCTCTTGCCCACGGCTCCGCCCGCTCGCTGTTAATGTAGCTTTCCATTGGTGAATGAATTTTTTAAATCGGTTTAGTGGTTTAGCCGTAAAAGCGTAACAAACAAACAAACTCACTTTCACATTTAAAAGTATGGAAGTATTGATATTTAAAGTAGGTACTTGCTCGTCCTACGGGCACATACATTTTCTCCGGATGAAAGTAGAATTTATTTTAATCCAGGGTATCATCTACCTCCATATCACATTTTATCAAAATTGGTACAGCGGTTTGAGTGTGAAGAAGTAACAAAGATACAAACACACATACTCAAAAACTTTCCACTTTATACGGTGATATGTTTGTATTTAGAAATATAAATGTGCCTGGATGACGGGAATAAGCTTGCCTCCTATTATGTTATCATCATCAGCCTTTAATAGTCCACTGCTGGACATAAGCCTCTCCTTAGAAAAGAAGTTTTGGCCTACTATACCATGCTGGTCAGACAGGTTGGGTTTGTGTCAAGTTTTCCTTCCCTTTGCAGTGCTGTTGTTTGCTCCCTTAGACGTCTCTTACGACACCCACGGGATGACTAGGGTTTGTTTTCATTAAATTCAATTATGTTTAAATGTAATTCAACTTTCTTGAGGTAAACTCTGGACATCCATTCTTGGAACATGATTTTTCTGTAATAAAAATGAGAATTCAGAGTATTTTTTAAATTCGGACTTTACAGCTAGATGGAGCTGGCATTTCCTAAGACTCGCTCTGGGAAGAAACGCCGAAACAAACCACAGAGGTGTCTTTTTTTTTAATCCATAAACAAGGTTTGTGTCAAGTTTTCCTTCTCTTTGCAGTGTTGTTGTCCTGCGTAGTTTGCTCCCTTAGTCGGCTCTTACGACACCCACGGGTTGAATAGGGGTGGTGACCCTCCGTATTCTTAATCCGTCACCACATGGATTGTATACTGAAAATAAAATGTATAGTTACAGCTAAAGACAGATACTGATATAAAACAAGAAAAAGAAATAAAAATTGAATCTGACAGTCAAGAAGACAAGTCTTGTAACAAGAGAGGGAGAAAGAAGGAGATGAGAGAAGGATTTACATCTAGAATGAGACAAGAGACTGATGAATATATTGTTATTAAGTTGTCTGCTGATCAGGTAAGACAATAACAGAGATATTTTTTTGGATAATTTTATATCTATGGTGTGATGTCACACAGGCTATTATTTGTATTCCGATGTCCGACGGGCCTGTTGGTCTAGTGGTTAGTGACCCTGTCTACTAAAGCGGAGGTCGTGGGTTCGATTCCCAACCAAGACAAATATTTGTATGATGATCACGGTCATTTGTCACGTGTCTGGGTGTAATTTAATTTTTAATAAAAAAAAAAAAATATTCTACCACATTCACACAACGCCATCTAGTCCCAAACTAAGCAAAGCTTGTACTATGGGTGCTAGACAACTGATATAAATACATATATACTTTTTTTTGTAAATACATACATAATACATATTATACATAGAAACACCCTTTTTTTTCCGCGCGGAAATCCCCTCGGATACCACCTACCGGTGGCATGTCGGACTCGAACCGACTAAAACCACACGCCGTCTCGGGTACTAATAGCCGGGGAACCAGGTATACACATAGAAACACCCAGACCAAATCAAAAATTAAATGCTCATGCACACAAATGTGAGCGGGAATCGAACCCGCGACCTTTGGAATAGCAGTCCGTTACACAAACCACTATGCCATCTAGTCGTGTAAACCATATTTCAGGTGCGACAAGAGTTAAAGGAGAAATCAAAAACAGAGTCCTACCTACGAGCTCCTTTCAAATGTGAGAACTGTGTAAAAGGATTTAACTTTGAAGATGTGTTGCTAACCCACATGGAGAAACATAGATTGGTGAGTTATTTGACCTGTCACCACCCCTATTCATCCCGTGGGTGTCGTAAGAGCCGACTAAGGGAGCAAACTGCGCAGGGCAACAGCACTGCAAAGAGAAGGAAAACATGACTCAAACCCTATACCAACCCGTCTGGCCAGCGTGGTGTAGTAGGCCAAAACCACCTTTCTAAGGAGAGGATGATGTCCAGCAGTGGACTAATAAAGACTGTTGATGATGATGAGTAATTTTAAAGTCAGGCAGTTTAATTGTCAAACCTTGTGGTGTTAACACTGATTAACCAGATAATGTTGGACCAGAATTGCGATAGTGTTTAAGCGGTCATCTCGCCGCTTCTTACTGCTGTAGTGTTGTAGGTTTGATCCCCACACGGGACAACACTTTGTGTGATCCACAAATTGTTGTTCCGAGTCTGGGTATTCTTTGTATCCGTTTCATGTATGTTTGTAAAGTCCCCGCGACACAGGATATATTCCTAGTACGGTAGATGTATTTAAAGATTAAGGAGGCGTACATACATAGGCGGTGGTATTCGCTTACCGTTTTCAACATTATCAGATCACTAATTAATATGCAGAGCAGGCTTACTCGAGGCTCAACTTTCCTTCTCGGTCTTGGGGGGCAGGGGGGGGGGGAAGGTTTTGATCCTACAGTAACCTCACCTCACTCAGTTGGTGGAAAGAAAAGCCATAAAATAATTTTAGCTCCATTGCTGGTGGTCTGGTTTCACTCCAGTCGAGCCGGTCCATTTGTGAATGGAAGTGAAGATCCTGAAATTTCTTGTTTAAAAGATTTTTTGTTTACAGGAACACGGGTCTTTCCAATGCAACATATGCACACAGTATTGTCCGAGTGTTGTTTCACTGCGGGGCCATTTGAAGTCACATACCACAAGGTAAGCGGTTACCTACTGATGTTTACAATATTATATTAAAAGGCGGTACTAAACTATGCCAGTAATGTACTGGTTTGATTGAATTTAATTTGATTTGAGTTTATTTAATATAATTTAATTCAATGTTTTATCATTATTTATTATTGCTTTATTGTAATATTTTAATTAATATTATTTAACGGGAATTAACGCGATCTCTTATTTAGGGTATTACATACCTCTGGTTTGCCTGACGTTTCGACCAGGTTGCACCGGCCGTGGTCACAGGCTGACTGGCTCATCGGCGCACGCCCTCCGTCGTCGAATCCGTGAAGTAGAAGGCTCTTCATCTACCCGCACATTTTCGATATTATTTTTGTGTCGCCATGTACCGTCACATACCACACTAACAGTGTCCCTATTCTGTAAGCAAACCGATGAGTCCCTATTCTGGTGTTTAACCGATTGCGCAGAAAAGCGAGGTGGTATGTTTTTTAACACTGGATTCCACGCTGTAGATAATTTAAAACCATCTTCCCGATTGAAAGTTTTATGCTTTTTAATCTCAATCGCTTCACGTACAACTCTTGAGTAAAAGTGACGTTCGGTGGAGAGGACTTGCGTGCGGTGAAATTCAATCCAGTGGTTGATGCCTGCATCGAGTGCATGTTCTGCAATCGCTGATTTGCTCGTCTGTCGGTTCTTCACAGCAGCGATATGCTCTTTGACCCTTTCTGCAATAGTCCGCTTAGTTTGGCCTATGTATGAGCTTCCGCAGCTGCAGTCTATTTTATAAACACCCGGAGTTTGTAGTGGCAATGTATCCTTCGGTGTGCCGACGATGTTGTGAACCTTTATGCCTGGTGTGTATACTGTCGGAATGGAATATTTCTTTAGTACAGACCCGATCTTGTCCGTAACTCCCTTGACATAAGGCATATAGGCCGGTTGCCTGTTCACTTCTGGATACTTGCGTCTTATTTTCGGTTGCTTCCGTCCTCCTTTCACTTGATATCCGTTACCTTTGAGTACCTCCTGAACATGTTTTAGCTCCTGTTCTAAATGTTCAGGGTCACAGAGATCGTAAGCTCTGTTTTTGAGTGAAGTCATAACAGATTGCAAGTGCCGGGGGTGATGATGAGACGTGGCGTGTAGGTATCTGTCCGTATGAGTAGGTTTACGGTACACACAGTGTGACAAGGACCCATCCGATCTCACGGCTACTTTAACATCTAAGAAGGACAACGACCTGTCCGTCTCCATTTCATATGTAAACCTCATTTTGGGGTGAATAGAGTTCAGATGTTGTATATATTGATCCACTTCTTGTTTGTTTCCTTTGACGATACTGAAAATGTCATCCACGTATCGCTTCCATAGCTTAACGGTATTCGGGCCGAGATTTAAAGCCTTCTCTTCAAAAAGGAAACAAACAAGAAGTGGATCAAAATATACAACATCTGAACTCTATTCACCCCAAAATGAGGTTTACATATGAAATGGAGACGGACAGGTCGTTGTCCTTCTTAGATGTTAAAGTAGCCGTGAGATCGGATGGGTCCTTGTCACACTGTGTGTACCGTAAACCTACTCATACGGACAGATACCTACACGCCACGTCTCATCATCACCCCCGGCACTTGCAATCTGTTATGACTTCACTCAAAAACAGAGCTTACGATCTCTGTGACCCTGAACATTTAGAACAGGAGCTAAAACATGTTCAGGAGGTACTCAAAGGTAACGGATATCAAGTGAAAGGAGGACGGAAGCAACCGAAAATAAGACGCAAGTATCCAGAAGTGAACAGGCAACCGGCCTATATGCCTTATGTCAAGGGAGTTACGGACAAGATCGGGTCTGTACTAAAGAAATATTCCATTCCGACAGTATACACACCAGGCATAAAGGTTCACAACATCGTCGGCACACCGAAGGATACATTGCCACTACAAACTCCGGGTGTTTATAAAATAGACTGCAGCTGCGGAAGCTCATACATAGGCCAAACTAAGCGGACTATTGCAGAAAGGGTCAAAGAGCATATCGCTGCTGTGAAGAACCGACAGACGAGCAAATCAGCGATTGCAGAACATGCACTCGATGCAGGCATCAACCACTGGATTGAATTTCACCGCACGCAAGTCCTCTCCACCGAACGTCACTTTTACTCAAGAGTTGTACGTGAAGCGATTGAGATTAAAAAGCATAAAACTTTCAATCGGGAAGATGGTTTTAAATTATCTACAGCGTGGAATCCAGTGTTAAAAAACATACCACCTCGCTTTTCTGCGCAATCGGTTAAACACCAGAATAGGGACTCATCGGTTTGCTTACAGAATAGGGACACTGTTAGTGTGGTATGTGACGGTACATGGCGACACAAAAATAATATCGAAAATGTGCGGGTAGATGAAGAGCCTTCTACTTCACGGATTCGACGACGGAGGGCGTGCGCCGATGAGCCAGTCAGCCTGTGACCACGGCCGGTGCAACCTGGTCGAAACGTCAGGCAAACCAGAGGTATGTAATACCCTAAATAAGAGATCGCGTTAATTCCCGTTAAATAATATTAATTATCATGGAACGCGAAAGTTTAAAAGTTAGTATTGTAATATTTTAGTATCTTTTTTAGTTTCATGTAACGAATGTCGCGCAAGTCTGTAATTTGCCTAAGAATTTAATTTAATTTAAATAAGCTGTCTCTAAGGAGAGACCTATGTCCAGCAGGGGACTATTACATACTGTTGATGATGATAATGATGTAAAAAAAGCTGTTCAGTTTTCTATTAATAAATAAATAAATACTGTACTTTGTATGTACTGTACTATGCCTTTACTAGACATTGCCTGTACTATACGAGTACTTTGCCTGTGCTATACGAGTACTTTGCCTGTGCTATAACTAGGTATGTGCTATACTATGCCTGTACTATACTATATCTGTACTATACTATAGTACAGGCTCTGCCTAGTTTGGGATCAGACAAACACTTGTGTGTTGGGTGTGTCAATTAATATTCCTACACATACCATAGTACTAGCAATAAAAAGTTCTTATTATTCCAGGTACAAGTGCAAACTGTGCGGTCAAGTGCGTCTCTCCCGCCAGCACTTGTTGGAGCATTACACCATCAGCCACACATCGGCTCCCATCACTTACACCTGTGATAAATGCGACTTTACCACCAAGTAAATAAAGTTTACATATATTTACACTATTGTTACAAGCGGGGTATATAGTAGGCCCAAACCTTCTTGCTAAGGAGAGACCTAGCTCCAGACTATTAAAGGCTGTTGATGTGATGTGATATATTAAATGCAAATTGTGGGTTAATTACTTGATTTCACTGTATTTTCAAACACTCACTACTAGGAATCACTATAACTCTCGTTAGTTGCACTAGAAAGTCACTCCGATGTTAATTCGCTGTGTCGTAAAACGTAACTGTCTCGAACGGCCAACACGCTCCGCTTTTATAGCGCTTTTGAATTTTACTAGAAAGTTCCCTTTTTTTTTTGTTGACGGGGTGGAAAATCCCTTCGGATCTCCTGCTCCTCGGGGACTCAGGAGCCACCACTCCGACGGCCGGCCTTAGGTGTCTTACTCTGGGGAGGACCCGGACCATGTTATTTCAGGTCCTCCATGCCTAATCAGGCCCTATCCCAGGGGAGAACACTTCCCCCTTCAATCGCGGCATGGCGGCCCGATCGCATCTTAATGCAATCAGGCCGGCCAACTAGAAAGTGCCCTAGTATTCGATAGTCTGTTCCAGACAAACAAGAATATTCCATTCAATCTTATGGCGCAACACTATTCATAGCACCATATTTGGAATTCCCATAGGCCGTACTATAAACCATCTGTGTACCAAACATACAAATCTGTTGTCGTTTTTTGTTTGTTTGAAAAAAAAAAACACTATTTGCTTTGTAAGACATTGTAAGCCTCGCACAACCAATCTGTGGAACGGGTTATCGTCTGCGGTATTTCCGGACCGATACGACCTTCAAACCTTCAAGAAAAGAGCGTACACCTTCCTCAAAAGCCGGCAACGCGTTTGTGACTCCTGAGTTGCAGACGTTCATGTGACCAGCTGCCCGTTTGCCCCCTCTTCCATAAAGAAAAACAAACGTCCATCTATGTTCATTCATTAATCCATCCATCTGTGGCGACTCCTACATACGAAGAAACAGAAACATACTACAGCGCCATCTAATGAAGACACAATGAACTACGGAGTAACTACTGAATGAGAATTGCTAATCCTGTATCGCGATATGAAGAATTCTCTCACCGATTAGCATATATACAACTGCCCAACAACAACCGTTGGGCCGCGGCCCGCCAGGCATGATCACTTCGGTCGGAGGATCCTGCCTTTGTGTTTGAGGAACATGACACCCGGTCCTCCACACATCCATCCGCCATACATCTATCCAGAATCTCTTATATATTTGTTTTAATTAATTAATTAAACTTCGTAGTAGCCATATTGTATTTTATCAAAAAATGTAAATGATGGCTTTTGTCGTCAGTAAGCGCACAGTGATCCAGCGCCACGTCCGGTCCCAACATGGCGCCGGCGAGAGGCACCCGTGTCACACCTGTGGGAAGCTGTTTAACACTATTGAGAGTCTCAGGGTGCATAGTATGTAAGTAAATACAATAAAATATAATTCAATATTATTATTATAATTAATTAAAAATAGAACGGCTACCGGATATCCGATATCCGGATATCCGGCTATTTGTTTTTAAAGGCTGTCCTGTATCCGACTCAGCAGCCGTCGCATCTCTACTTCTGAAACCTTCTATAAAATTTTTAACAAAGTTTTTTTCCTTTATTCAGGCGTCACGACAAATCGAAACGGCTCCACTGCGATCGGTGCGACAAATATTTTATATATCCGTCTCTTTTACACAAACACATGCAGGCCGTGCACGAAAAGAGAGAGTACTATTGTGTGGAGTGTGATATTAAATTCAAATCACCGGTGAGTACCGTCTTTTTTAACCGACTTTGAAAAGCGGAGGACAGAACTCCGTCATTAATGAATCGATTAAACATATAGATTGTTTTTCGTATTAAAATATCAAGTTTATATTTTTAATATCGGTGGTGCAGCGGTGGCGTATGAGGCTGAGGTCTCGGGTTCGATTCATGGGTCGGACCAAATGTTTTTATGATCTATCAATATTTATTTCGGCGTTTGAGTGTTTTCTATGTATGATATATCTGTATTTACGAGAAAAATGCATATAAGTATTCTATCAGTCAATCTAGCTTTCATAGTACAAGGTCTGCTTAGTTTGAAACTAGATGGCGTTGTGTGTCAGCTGTCCGAAATATTATTATTATTTTCTTTATTACGTTATAAAAATATTGATTACATTTTTAAATATATAACAAAAGAAATATGTTTGTGACTCCTGAGTTGCAGACGTTCATGGGCGGCGATAGTCACTTTCCATCAGGTGACCCGTCTGCTTGTCTGCCTTGCTTGAAAGGAAGTCCCTGGTGCTCCGACATACCTCGGGTCATCTACAGACGAGTAGACGACCCCCCCCGTGTGGGAACCCCATGTTCCCTCTGCTCCCTGGAAGCGAGCGCGCTTCGCAACGCGCTCGCCGCCACCCCGGCCTGCTTCTGCTAGGGTGACAGATGGCCTCACCTGTCACCCCCAGGCCTGCGCTTATGGAGGACGGAGGTCGTTCTGCGACCTCCGGCGCCTGAGTCGCCTGCGCTGCCTGGCCCGTGCCCGGGCCTGGCTGGCCGGGAGAGTTCTAAACCTCTCCCGGTCCCGCTCCGCCATCTCCTTCGCGAGCATAACTTGCTCGCAGAAGGAGACGGCAGAGTTCCTGTCTGCCCCCTTTAACATAAAAAAAAATATATAAATAAAAAGAACAGTAGACCACCGACATCGGGTACAGGGACCAAGACAGGAACCTCCTCACTATACGGGCCGTGTCAAAGAGAACTACCTTCTGCATCAGACCCTTGATCCAGCCATCTAACGTGAGCCTCATTAGGTGTTGGTCGAGGCTCTGTTTGTTGGTTATTATTATAAAAAAATCGGTTGTCTGTAAAGTCGGTTTACTGACGATAGTTGAACGTGACAACGTCATAAGAAAATACTGATGGAATGGTTGCATTTTTCAATAATGTATTATTGTATACGAGTAGCAGCTGTCCACGCTGACGCATCGCTCACTCAAGTAGGAGAGAGACAGATGTCGAACGCTCCGAACGCGGAGGCCGATTGTGCCTCTTTGTCGCTCGTTCCGCGCTCTCGCTTGCACTTCACGCGTTAAATGGAACGCCTCAGAGCGAGGTAACGCCGCATGAGTCATGTTTTTTCGTGCGTGCAGCCGGCTCCATCGAATTATAAGACGTTGTCACGTCAAAAATACCAATATACAACAATAATAATTGTTACAGGAAAGTATGAGGCTGCATTTCAAGAAAGCAAAAAGGCATCGAGATGATTCATCTTATAAGTAAGTTTTTTTTTTAAGAAAATACAACTCAACACAAGGAATATATCCTGTGTCGCGGGGGACTTTACAAACATACATGAAACGGACACAAAGTACACCCAGACTCAGAACAACAATTTGCTGATCACACAAAGTGTCGTCCCATGTGGGGTTTGAACCCACAACACTCAGCTATTAGTTAGTTATTACTACTAAATACCTTGTGACGTCATAAGAGACTTTATTTACTACTACAAAGTAAAGTAATACTTAATAACAGTCCAAAATGGTCGATGAATTGGCTGGGTTACTCTTCTGTTCGCTTTGATCACTTCCATGTTTATCACACTGGAGCTCAAAGTATTCTGTCTTCAGCAGCAACAGCCTTTACTAGTCTACTTCTGGACATAGGCCTCTCATTAGAAAGGAGGTTTTGTCCTACTGTACCACGCTGGCCAGACGGGTTGGTATAGGGTTTGTGTCAAGTTTTCCTTCTCTTTGCAGTGCTGTTGTCCTGCGTAGTTTGCTTATTACTTTAGTTATTTACTGTTTTGTACTTTCTAAAGGGGCCCCAAGTTTTTGTATGACTAGGGGCCCCGTTATACCCACATATAACTTTTCGTGCATGTTTTCAAATCGTTTGCACATTGCATGCGCTATCATAGGCAAGTGTCAAGGAAAAACCATGAGGGTATTCTATACTTTGGAGCCCCAGGCTCTCTCTTCAGGGTGAAATAAACCGCACTTACTGTAAATCCCTTATCCCTGCCGTCTCCTCAAGGTACGAGTGCCCCCACTGCAGTGAGCGCTTCGTCTCCACGTCTACCCTGGCGGTGCACCTGAGCACCAGCCACGGGGAGGCCAAACAACACGTCTGCAACATGTGTAACAACCACTACAGCAGCAAGGTATACCTTATTTATTTACTAGCTAACCCGGCGAACTCTGTTCCGCCTTAAAGGCAATAAATAAGCTGATTTTCGAATTTAGTAAGTTAATTTTTTTCTTAGAAAAAATCTTCCGTCTTTGAAAATTCTTCGATGAAGCATTCCAAGTATAATAACGTGGCGTCTCCGAGTAAAGCAAAGTTCGTGCAAAGTTTTTTTTTTTTCGGAATAAATAGTATCCTATGTCCGTCTCCTGGCTCTAAGCTACCTCCTCACCAATTTTCAGCCATATCGGTAAAGCCGTTCTTGAGTTATAAATAGTGTAACTAACACGACTTTCTTTTATATATATATATAGATTTATCTTTTTATTGTACACCATTGAAGTATTATATATACAGATATTAAATACATTTGGTATAACAATAGGCGGTCTTATCGCTTCAGGAGATCTCTTACAGAGAACCTTTATATGGATATTGTCAAAAAAAATAGGGTAGCCTGGGATGTAATATTGCAACAAATAAAAAAAAGAAATAAAAAAAAAGACGTGTGGCACTCGGGGACTGTCGCGGTAAAGCTATTGTATAGCATTTTTTATCAACTTATGCAATTATAATTATTTATTTATTTTATTTATGCATTTTTTTTTTCCTTGATATTAATTCAAGTTACACTTTTTGAGCGTGGTGACCGATAAGAAAACAATATTTTTTTCTTTTATTAAATAAATGAGAAGTTAATATTTTTCAAAATATTTTTATTATCTTACAATACATGTAGGTGGAGTAATACCTTGAGTGGACCTTGCACCTACCGACTATTACTTTTTCAAAAATTTAGACAACTTTTTAGTGGGTAAAAAATTCAATTCCCGAGAGGCAGTACAAAATGCCTTTGAAGAGTTTGTTGCCTCCCGTCCAGCTGATTTTTACAAGAAGGGCATCAATAAACTGCCAATGCGTTGGCAAAGATGCGTCGATTGCATGGGTGATTACTTCGAATAACAGAAATAAAAAAGTTTGAAAAAATAAGTACTTTCACTTATTGCATACAAAACGGCAATTTCATAGGTAAAGACCTATTACATACAGGCAGAGGTACATAAATACACAAATTCCTCTATGATGCCAAGTATTGATTTGTGACTACAGTGAAATCAGTCTCGAGAAATTTTTGCATATCTAGTGGTGTGTATATTACTCAGATCTTAGAGCGCGTTTCCACTATATCGTTCTGGCCTATACAAAAATGTTTCGATATCCTAACATTACTATTTAATTTTATACTTATCCCTAGCAACTAGGTTTTTAAAACTCCGGGGGTCTACGGGGGGGTCAAATTTTTTGTTATTTTTGGCCTAGGACGCACCCTTTCCGAGATATTTCAATCTAAAGCAAAAAAACGTCACTTGATAGTGGAAAGTGGAAACACGCACAAAACCAGAATAAACCAGTTTACGCTGTCCGCTACCATACACTACTACAAACGCGAAAATTTCTCCAAGCTAATTTACCTATAGCTTTTTAAATATTTGCAGTGATTTAGCTTGCCTAACTGCTTCCGGTAGATTATTCCACAGTCGAACTGCTTGCGCTGAGAACGACTTGTCAGTAAAAAAAAAATATTTGGGCTTATTTCGAAATGGTCCCATTTAAATTACATAGTAACGAACGTAGTGTAGGACCTCCACAGGCCAGGTGGAGTGACGATTTGCGCAAGATGGCTGGCATTAGCTGGATGCGAGAAGCCCAAAATCGATCTAAGTGGCGTGCAATGGGAGAGGCCTATGTTCAGCAGTGGACTGCGATAGGCTGATGATGATGATGATATTACATATAGATCTGATGTTGAGTTTCGGAGACAGAGAAAGGAACTCTTCATAAAACGTCAGCAAATCAACCGCGATTGCTGCTAGGTTTTTAGTGCTCTTTGTTAGTATTGAAAGGGATTTATTTATTGCAGGAGTCGCTAAGAGGTCATATATGGAGGGTCCACAATCAAAAGAAAGAGCCACTGGCTAGCTGTCATCTGTGCGAGAAAAGTTTTACGGTATGAAGTGTTTTTTAAGCAATACTTATTGACAAAGACAACTCACGCACTAGGAGTATATCCTGTTGCACTAGGGACTTCCTTCGCACCAGGGACTTCCTTTCTAGGGTATACCTGGTTTCCCGGCTATTAGTACCCGAGACGGCGTGCGGTTTTAGTCGGTTCGAGTCCGACATGCCACCGACAGGTGGTATCCGAGGGGATTTACGCACGGAAAAAAAAAAAAAAACAATCAAACTATCTCCATACTCTGACTCTCTCTCTCTGACAGCACGGATGGCGTAGTGGTTTAAGCGGTCGCCACGCCGCTTCCTACTACGCCGCGTGTTGTGGGTTCAAACCCCACATGGGACGACACTTTGTGTGATCTACAAATTGTTGTTCTGAGTCTGGGTGTTCTTTGTGTCCGTTTCATGTATGTTTGTAAAGTCCCCGCGACACAGGAATATATTCCTAGTGCGGGCGTTGTCTTTTTTAAAAACAAAACAAAAACAAATGCCGAATTTCATGTAAACGGTTCAACGGTTGCTGATTTACGATACAAACTTCCACCCCCCTTTTTAAAGGACGATTCTGGGATAAGAACTATCTTATGTCCTTTTCCGGGACTCGAACTATCGCTATACCAAATTTCATTGAAATCGGTTCAGCTGCTTAAGTGTTAAGAGGTACCAGACAGCGAACACTTTCGCATTTATAATATTAGTATGGATATTGGTTACAGCGAAAGAGTATCCTGAAGATCCACGTGAGAAGTCATACAGGAGAAAGGCCATACATATGCAGCTGTGGGGCTGCCTTTACTCAAAAAGCGAGCCTGAAGGTTCATGCAGCCAGGCATACGCAGGTAACTATTTTGCTGCTATGGTGGTTCAAAGTATTATGAAATACCGTATGCCGTTAATCGGGGAGGGGTGGGGGGGGGGGGGTTCAGGTATCCATTAGCGGCTCGTTGGTCTGTTTACAATACTAAAATACAATATATACTAATAGTATAAAGATTGGTTTACGTGCTTTGGGTCGTTGATTTTGACCAAGATCGACGTTTCTTCCCAGACTGAGTCTTAGCAAATGCCGGCGCCTTCTAGCTGTAAAGTCCGACTTGTAAAAATTATCTGAATACTCATTTTTATTACAGAAAGATCATGTTCCAAGAATTGATGTCCAGAGTTTACCTCAAGAAAGTTGAAATAAAATTAATGATTTTTGTGAAATTTTGTAAATAAAACGATTTAAATATAATTTATTGTTTTATTAATAAAAATAAACTTTTCCATATTTAAACAATTTGTCTTCGTGAATACAATATATTTATATTATTTCAAGATACACCGTTGTGTTATGCCAGACAGGTCGCTATGTCTCTTGATAATTATGACCCTTATTGGATTCGAAACAGTTGGTATCTTTAATTAATATAAACATCACTCATGAAAATTATTTTTCTTATATACAATATATTTATTTGTGAACTAAATATACAGGGTGTAAGGGACGTCGTAACGAATACTGAAATAGTGTATTCAGACCATGACTCTGAGTCAAAAATCATTGGATATTTTTTTATAATTTTCTATTATTTCAGTTAAAAATTAATTCACAGTGAGTAAGCAGAACATGTCCGTGTGGTGACGGATTAAGAATACAGAGTGTCACCACCCCTATTCATCCCGTGGGTGTCGTAAGAGCTGACTAAGGGAAAAAACTACGCAGGACAACAGCACTGCAGAGAGAAGGAAAACTTGACACAAACCCTATACCAACCCGTCTGGCCAGCGTGGTATAGTAGGCCAAAACCTCCTTTCTAAGGAGAGGCTTATGTCCAGCAGTGGACTATTAAAGGCTGTTGATGATTGATGAAGCAGAACATTTTATTGAAAACAATTTAATAAATACCGCATGCAGACAAAAACTGCAATGTAATTAATCTAACAGCCGAAGCGTGCGGGTCCTCCCCTCCGGCCGCCAACTTGTGTTAGTGTGCGTAGACTGTTTGCACGGAATACACATGTAGTTATCACTTTTGTGCGATACCTACGGGTAATGACCTTCACCTTTGACAGCTGATTGCATAAAAAATTAATATTCCGGTAAAAAATTCTAATGGTTTTTGACTCAGAATAATGGTCTGAATACACTATTTCAGTATTCGTTACGGCGCCCCTTACACCCTGTATAATTTGTGTACATTACTTAGTATACTAATATATCTCCAACAAACTGTGAATATTTCAATATTAAAGGAATGTATTAAGTGCGCTTATAAGTTAAGAGATACATATTAGAAAACGGGGTTGGTTTAAGAGCGATACAATCCCCCCCCCCCCCTTCCTCTCCATATAACAAACAACCAGAGATGGTTGCGTACGGGTTTAAGTAGAGACGACCTTCAAACCTTCAAGAAAAGAGCGTACTCCGTCCTAAAAGGCCGGCACGCGTTTCCTTACTTCAGGTGACCTATCTGCTCGTCCGCCCCCTCTAGTATAAATAAATAAAAAAGAGACGGATGCTATTTTACGCTATTTTTCTAAAAAAAACATTTCACAAGCAGCAATTTTAAGAAAGATTAAGACTCTTCTTATTTAGTTCTAGCACCTTTGCCAAGTACCTACTGGGAGCAGCACCGATTTTAATTACACTTATAAATAGTTTAACATTATTTTTTAGAATTCTTAAACTTACACAACTACTGTCATCGGTGACATAATTGAACGATCAATGAAATTGACAGCTGTCAGCTGTCAAAATGATTTTATGTTTTTTTTTAGTTCAAGATCGCGCCAAATTATTTAAGTATCGCAGATTTTAATGCGCATTTATCATTATGAATTATAATAACCTGTATTCTTCATTTACTATTTTTCATCCTTAGTAGTTTATTTCTTCAATTTTGAATGGGACCAAGCACACAGGTACACTTGCCCAAATAAATAACAAACTTCTGCAGTAACAAACATACAACACAAACAACCTAAATAAGAACTCGTTTTTTTAAGTCGATTAATAACTATTAACACAAATTAGGGTACCTTAATTATACCTGTAAAACCATTTATAAGAATAACAATCTGTGACGTCATACCTTCTTATTGTCAAAACCTTTACCTCTAACAGTGGTTGACGTTTAAAGTTGAAAATAATAATAAATTTTAAATCCTAGTCTTCTTTTACACTTAATTTCATGAATAAATATTTAAAAAAACATGATAAAAACTAACCTATTATTGCATACGGTCATCGCTTAACGCTTACTTTAACAGCGTGCTCTTTATTTGACCTCAATCTATCAAAAAGGTTTTGAAATTCTTATTTTTGAAGATATTTCCCATAAATAAGTCTTCAACCCCAATAAAATCTTCGTCAGTTCTTTCTCATACAATTCCTCTTTTCTAGAACAATCATTGCCTTCAAAGCACTCGCCACCGTGTACCTAAGTTCGTGAAATTTATTAATAGATAAACGATATGTGTGTTTTTGTCCGTCCGTCAAATGGAATGTTAATATAACGAACACATGTTGGCTATGAATCTCTTTGCTCTGATGTGATAAACTTGAGTTAAAATGTGTTGATTGGCTGAAAAAAGAGTTTTATTATTAGTCTATGGTTTACGTGACTCATGGCACTATGGCGCTAAAAAAGGTCTGATTATATTGGTCCCTTCCATGTAACAAAAACATAGTTAATATACACTATGGCTCGAATGCGTGTGCGTTAGGCATGGAACAAAATCACATTGAACTATGAAAGAACTGTGTAGGTTAGGGTTCCTGCTTTTACTCACACGTTGCCAATAAGCTGTTTTCAGACGATGCATAAATACCCTATTTCGACTATGTATCAGTAAATCTTAATATATATAGCTACCATTCCCTACATAACCTACCTACCTAGCAACCCTAACCTACGTACGCAAAAATGCCACAAAGCCATTATCCAAAAGTTGAAGTTGATACGCGAATAATAAATCACAGTTCACTGTGATTTTGTGCCACATCCTATAAATTGTTATAGCGGGGGGTAGTCACTTTCCATCAGGTGCCCCGTCTGCACGTCTGTCCCCATCTAACAGACGTGACACTGGACGTGGGAGCGCCATGCTTCTGCACGGATGGGCTGGCTCGACCGGAGTGATACCACGGCCTCACAGAAAACCGGTGTTAAGCAATTCTTTCGTTGCCTTTCACTGAGTGAGTGAGGTTACCGGAGCCCAAATCCCCCCTCCCGCTGACTCAAGCGGAAGTCTCCAAGAACAGCAACGCCCCTGTGACTTTTGAGTTGCAGGTGTCCATGGGCAGCGATAGTTGCTTACCATCAGTGACCAGTCTGCTCGTTTATAAAAAAAAAGCCAGATCGGCTATACGGATCTTAATGATATTTGGACATACAGGTAGATTGTATTCCGGAACAGCACATAGGCCTGTTATCATGAATTGACATGACATTAAAGTTAGTCCAAGGATATATGTTACCTTAAAGATATATCGATCTTCCACTTCATGCTAACAAGACCTGGCTTCACTCTTAAATGTGCTGGTGCACTATCATACATTTTATCCGTACAGAGTAATGTTGCAAACTCCGTTACACACTCAGGTGAAAACCTGGAAATAGAAAATCTAATTAAACAAAACTCGCAATTATAGTTAAACCGCCGTAAGCTTGGCCCTCCTGATGGTTTGTGGGACGCGGGGCGGGGGTGCATCCAACCAATTAGCTAGTGCGTCGCTGTCCGCCGGCAGTGACTGACGTGAAAGCATGGCTGTACGTGTTATTTTTCTTAAGACTGCTACACACGATATTATATTGCAACATGGATAATCTGCCGACTCTGCGTCACAAAAGGATTTAAAAACTTGAAGTTCGGCTTACAGAGGTTTTACTGTTAAAGTTCTAATAAAGAATATTTATTATTTTACTTACTTTTTAAATTGTATCTGAATATAATTTAAATGATGAAGATAAGGTGATTTTATTAAAATTATTTTACAGTATTAAATTTTACAATTAATCATAAAAACGTACAATACACTGACATTATAATACATGGAAATAAATTCGATTTTTATTACATCGTGTGTAGATTAAATCTCAAACAAATAAATAATGAAGATTGAAGATATCGAGTTAGTATATCGTGTCATGTATAGCCGAGCGAATCACCCGCCCCGCGTCCCGCAAACCATCAGGAGGGCCAAGCTTACGGCAGTTTAACTATAAAAGTGATTTTTGATCTATGCTGTCATCTGTTTATGGTGGGCCTTCGGTAACTGGTTTTATTCTCTTGGGAGAGCCATGCTCATTTTGGCCTGGCTCGACCGGAGCGATATCACGGCCTCACAGAAAACCGGTGTAAGACAGTTCTTACATTGCTTTTCACCAGTTAGTGAGGGTCATCATCATATTAACAGCCTTTAATAGTCCACTGCTGAACATAAGCCTCTCCTTAGAAAGGTTTTGGCTTACTATACCACGCTGGCCAGACTGGTTGGTATAGGGTTTGTGTCAAGTTTTCCTTCCTGCAATGCTGTTGTCCTGCATAGTTTGCTCCCTTAGTCGGGTGTTACGACACCTACGGGATGAAAGGGGGTGGTGACGTTCCGTATTCTTAATCAGTCATCACAGCGATATGGGTGAGTGAGGTTACCGGAGCCCAAACCTTCCCCTTTTCCCCTGATTCTGGGGGGCGACTCAGAGGTCAGAAACGCACTTTGCAGTAGCAGGTTTCCATGGGCGGCGGTTGTCACATCATTAGCACACACAGTTAAAGCGGTAAAAGTGACCTATGTATAATATCTCCATTCCAAATTTCATGAAAATAAGTACAGAGTTTTTTTTGAACATTTGACACACAACGCCATCTAGTTTCAAACTAAGCAGAGCTTGTACTATGTAAACTAGATTGACTGATAGAATACTTATGTACTTTTTTTTTGTAAATACATACAGGGTTACTGGGTAAGTCAACCTCTTTCTAGGGTATACCTGGTTCCCCGGCTATTAGTACCCGAGACGGCGTGCGGTTTTAGTCGGTTCGTGTCCGACATGCCACCGATAGGGTAAGTCAACCTAAATACTTTAAGGTAAGAAACACAAATAATTGTCCACTTAGCAATAGTTAGTCACGAATAGTCAACGAAACAGTCCAAAAATACCAGCCAAGTTTTCAACTAGATACTACCGGGTTTTACGGAAATTCATAACACCCCCAGTCTTTCATCTAAGTTTTTTTTATGAATTCTTATAATATCCTAAAACATGTATGTATCCTCAGGTATCTAATAAGGTATAATAACCTTATTAAATAGCTGAGGATACATACATCTTTTTTAACAAATCTGCAGTTTAACTGTCATAGATTTTTTTATATTTGTCAAAGAAAAAAAATATTAAAGATCTTCTTTGGACCAGTTTTTTACGTTAACTACAATTTTAGTAATTGAAATTATAAAACTATTTATCAACTACACACAAACAGCAAAAAACATAAAAAAAGGATATAAAAGTCTAAAAACATTGTATTAGGCAAAATTTTGGTGAGTTTTATAAAAATCTTATGAAAATATTATATTATATTATTTTTGGAATAAGGTATTTCATAATAAAATCTATCAGCAATGATGAAAACTACAACCCCTTAAAGTATTTTAGGGCAACTTACCCATTAACCTTATACATATTATACATAGAAAACACCCAAACTTCGAAACAAATAATTGCAGATCATACAAACATTTGGTCATTTGCGAATTGAACCCCAGAGCTCAACCCAGCAGTTACATACGCTACCACTGCACCAGCAAGGCAGTCAAATTAGCACTGACAGAGCTACTTTTGCGAGGCAGGTTTAGCGCTGACAGTTTTTTTATCTTTTTTTACACGCTTTATATTAGCTTCACTTGTATGTTTGTTTGCATGTTTGTAACCGACTCCTTTGGGCGTGATTTTGACTGACTTTAAACGGTCAGAATTCGTTCAAACTTTGTAGATATATCGAGGACCGATGACAATATACTAATTTAAAAAATAAATTAAAAAAAAACACGCTTTTATAGAAAACCAAACTAAAAAATAGAAAATAAATTTTAAGAAATTTTGTTGTCAATAGTAAAAAGCACCCCACGCTTTTTTCAATTTTTTTTTCAATTTCAAATCAATTTTTCAAACATATTTTTTTTAATTTTTTTTTTTAATATATCACACATCTCTCACACGGTCGTTTGATCCCAAGGCCGAACAGAGGTAACCAGACTGCTGATAAACATACATATATATTTTTTAAATAGATTCATTCAATTATAGATAAATTACACCCTGACACAGAACAAATGACCATACTCATCACACAATATTTGTTCTGGGTGGGAATCGATCCCAAAACCTCCGGTTTAGCAGTCAGGGTCACTAACCACTAGACTAACACCCCCATCATTATATATATACTTTCGCATTTATAATATTAGTAGGGATGATTACCTTAATCCTTCTAGAAACAGTTTCACATCTTCATGCAGCCAGGGTTCATTGGTTGCAGACCGTAATCGAGCAAAGTGTCTAACAACTTCTCGGACCGCTGAGAACTTGTCAGCATTCATGAGGCTTGATGTTCTAATGTCTGGTTTTCCTTCTAGTTCTTTTAAAGCCACTGAAAAATTATATAAATAAAATCTATACTGTTATATTGTGTCCGTGTTCATAGTTCATTTATTCACAAACAATAATATAATTGTGTTTGAATGTATAACAATTCGCCGCAATACAAAAAAATTTAAAAATTAAAACAAAAATATAAATAACATAATAATAAAAAAAAAACGTGTGTGGTGACGGATTAAGAATACCACCACCACTACTGCTCAACCCGTGGGTGTCCTATGAGCCGAAGGGAGCAAAGTCTGCAGGACAGCAGCACTACGAAGAGAAGGACAACTTGAAACAAACCCTATACCAAACTATCTTGATTCTTATAGCAGGCCAAAACCTCCTTTCTAAGGAGAGGCCTATGTCCAGCAGGGGACTATTAAAGGCTGTTAATGATACTATAATAAATACAGAACTTGGAATGAACTTTCACTCCAAGATTTATTTGAGACCACCCAGAAGTAGAGAAATAGGTTTGAGGATTTAGGGATTACTTGCAGTAGTGGGCTTATGATTATGGTTATGTAGCTTATTTTAACTATTGATAAACAAATAATAGTTTGTGTAACTACTTACGAATAACAAACGGTTTTATCTCCTTTCTTTGTATTTCTGGGGTTAGTAAAGATACTGTTGTCCATTGCGATGGGCTTTCTGTAAGTAATTCTAATTGTTGAGACATAGTTTAGTAGAAAACGATTAAATAAAAACTATATAAGAACACAAAATCAAAACAATGTCAAAGTCAATTAAAAAGTGTAATGTCAAAACACATTGTTCGATTCTGACACCAACTTTTTAATTTTTTTTCAAGCTTTTGTTTAACAATCGGTATTTATTCGAATTTAATTATTTTTTTTGTCTAACAAAGACCGTACCGTACCGTAAGCCTTTTGATAATCAGTTAATCAAGACAACTAATTAAAAGTTATACAGATTAACTTCACTTAAATCACTTCACTTCACTTAAGTTACTTAAGTTGCACAAAACACAAAAATCTAATGTGTGAATTACATTTTGAAATATTTTATACCAAATATTTTTTTAAATTTAACCATAAAAAGAGGTAGCCCAAAAATAGGAAATTAAGTGAAAACTAATTTATAAAAAAATGTTGACAGAACAAAGTCTGTCGAGCCAACTAGTCTAACAGTAAATGCAATTTACTATTTAAATGTTTCTACATTTTTATTTTCACTATTTTTGTGGATTCAGTTTAGTGGATTATGAACCATAACGTTCATTCATTTTCATAATAAATATGTTCATAGAAAAATCTAGTATAGAGCAGTAAAAAGTATAAACGGAAAATGGATTTGAATTTTAGTAATTACTATCATATTTATTCTTGTTCTTCCAATAATTGACTCTTGTCACTATGACAAAAAAATGTGACTGTCCCGTCACGTCTACAAAGTGAAGGAAAGGCAGGCGGAAGGAAGCTGCAAGCACTCCACTAACTCCTCAGTGAAAGCGACAAAACCTTTTTTGAAATGAAAGGGGCAATCCGATATTTCATCGCACGTTTTTTCTAATGATATATTTATGTATATCATTAGAAAAAACTATAATTCTCGGATCTATATAGTACTACTGTCGGAAAAACATTAAACTGAAATAAAAAACTGATTTGATACATTGAATTGTGATACGATGTCGATTTATTTCCGAATATTGTGTGTAGTATGAAGTAGTAAGTATTACTGTGTAAGTTTTTTATGTAGAAAAACCTTTCATGAGTCTCATCTCAACTAATTAAATAGATAAATTTAAGTTGCGTGCCATCTTTTTATATGTCTGTTACGCCGTCACGTCCTAGTATTAGATATATTAAAATTTTAGTTCTATTACCCATTTGAAAGGGCGTCTCAGCCGACAATCTGTATTAAACTGACCGTCTGTATTAAACTGTCAAAAATCGTTTGAAATTTAATTCGGAGTGCGTGATACATAAGTTTGGTCACGGTACTATTATAATACAGTACTCCAACTTCATACAAACGGACGAAAAGCGAGCTATACCTACGCGCCTCGATCTCGGGGTGCGCTCGGGGCGCAGACAGTCACGGCTGTACCGCAGTGTCGAACGGACTGTGTGTTGTTTTTTTAACAATAACCGCGCGATTTTTTTTTTTCTAAAAATCAGTTAATATGACGAGTAGGAAATATTGTGCTGTTTTTGGTTGTATGAATTCGTCAATAACGCATCCAGACATAAGTTTTTTTAAATTACCTGGAAACTCTGAAAGGTAAGACTATAAAATAATTTTACTTACTAGTAGGTAGGTACATAATGTGTGTCTTTTTAATGGATAAGTATTTCCTTTTATCTCACGAAAAAAAAGGTGTTTGGATTAATAAATAAAGCAAATAGAGTAACGGAAAGTTATTGAGACGAGTGAAATAGGTAGTTATATGCGGTTCTGAATGAATCATGATACGGTAGGTACCTACCTACTTACGCTTGTGTTAAAACTTCGGTGCATGTGTGTTTTCTTACTTTGCATAATTCAAAGTAAAGACGTGGTATTTTATTATTAATAATATTTGTTTATTATCTGTGTGTATGAATAATACTAGAAAAAAAAATTTACCGTCTGTGTGTCATTAGATGGTTTTCGAAATTTTCACAAAGTGTTTCTGCTGCTACTATAACAACATATACCACTAAAAACTGGTTTTATTTTCTCGGTATTAACAACAACAGCTAGACTCATATATAATATTTAGATGTTTGAGGGTTGTGATTTTAAAACATTCGTAGTCAGCTGTTCAGCTTTTTAATAATTAATTAATTGGTGACCAAAAGAATTTTTGTTTTGAGTTGATGCGAGTTGTAGGTAGGTACCTAATTTATAGAGACGTTAATAAGCTGAGATAAAAAGTTACTTACTCGTCAGCTGTTTCTTGCATTCTAGTTGAGTAGGTAGGTGTTGAAGTTTTTAAGGATTGGAGTTTTGTAACGCGTAAGGAGAAAGCACATTTTTTTTATTCTATAGAAGGATTTTTAAGCTATTGCATAGCTTTTATCGCGGGCTCTAAGCGCGGCGCGGCGCGGTGACCGAATTAAGAAATTATCAAAACCTAACGAAAAATACCTGACACCACGCAGATTTTTTTCTTTTAAAGAAAAAAAAATGTTATGCAATAGCTTTACCGCGGCAGTCTCCGAGAGTGAGACATGTATTTTTTTTTTCAGACGTCTTCAATGGTTGCAACTGATCCGGCGAGATGATTTGAAAAACAAACCTAACTTTAGTTCCTACCAAGTTTGTGAAAAACATTTTAATTTGGAGGATGTGTTACATTCTTCAAATAGAAAACCTTTAAAAAAGAATGGCCTACCTTTGTTGATGCTGCCAAGCTTAGCTAGTACTGATCCAGGAGTCTCTCTAAAAGAAGATAAGCAAACCCAAACTGCTCCGTTGGTAGGAAATGAAAATAGTACACAGACTGAAAATGCAACAAACGGAATCTTTGCTCAAACCTCAACTAGTCTCTCTAGCAACACTCCAAGGAAAAGAAAATTGAAACTTGAACTCCTCCAATGCAGAAAGAAAATAAAATTACACGAAACTGAAAATGAAACACAAAAAGCTGAAGAAAATACTTTCCATCGACTTTGCGATAAATTTTTGACCGACAAACTAGCTCTCCTGATAAAAGCCCAAAGTAAACTAAAACAACATGGAAAAGGAAATCGATATGATAAAGACTACATCATTTACTGTTTAAATTTATACTACATCAGCCCACAAGCATACCGGTTTTTGCAAAGTGCGTTATGTTTACCCTGTCCTTCAACATTGTTCAATCATTCTTTCCCAATTACAACGGAAATCAATGAAAGAGCTATGTCTCTTCTTAAATTAAAAGTTGGACAAATGACAGAAACAGAAAAAAATTGTTCAGTTATGATTGATGCAATGTCATTAAAAGCAAATCTGTTCTTTAATATTAAAGAAGACAAAATTACCGGATTCCACGAAATTGAAGGATTGCAGTCTCCTGAACCCGCTAAAAATGCGTTAGTAATAATGGTTCGTGGTATGTTTGTAAACTGGAAACAGCCTATATCATATGCATTTATTTCAGAATGTCGAAACTATGAAGAAATAAATAAATGGATTGATAAAGTACTGCAAAAGTTATTCGAAATTGGTCTTAACGTCCGTATTTTTGTGTCCGATCAAGGGTCTGATTTAATGAAAGCTGCCAAACAAAGATCAGTTTCAATTAAAAGACCATATTTTTTTATAAATGATAGAAAAATTTATTATATTTTTGATGCACCGCATCTAATTAAAAACGTTCGAAATAACCTGATGCAATATGATTTCCACTTCGGTGATTCTATAGCAAAATATGATCACATTGTCAAGTTTTATAATCAGGACATAAAAAAGAGTTTGAGGCTTGCACCTAAACTTAACGACAGTCATATCAAACCCACAAACTTCGAGAAAATGAAGGTTTGCTATGCGACACAACTTCTTAGCAAGTCCGTTGCAAATGGCATTCGTACGTATATAGATAACAATGAAATTGAAGAATCCGGCAGAGACACGGCAAAATTTTTAATGATGATGAATAATTTGTTCGATTCTTTGAATACATCTAATCTGAGGAATAGTTATGAATATAAAAGAGCGTATGAAGGCAATGAGTCACAAAAGGCATTTTTTAAACAGATGCTAAGCTTTTTCAAAGATTTAAAATTAAAGAATCCAAAAAATGGCAATAACGTCACATCAAGTGTTAGATTCATTGATGGTTTCCAAATAACTATTACATCCATAATGCTCTTGTTCGATGACTTGCGGATGGAAGGATTTAATTTTCTTATGACTAGAAGATGCAATCAAGACGCTCTTGAAAATTTTTTCGGACAAATTCGAACGAAAAATGGCACGGCTCTAAATCCGACTTGTAGACAGTTTGCATTGGCGTTTAAAAACTTATTTTTCTGCAACATCATAAAACCTCCAAAAGGCGGGAATTGTGCAGATGATTTCGGAACTCTTCTTGTTGAATCGACGAACAAAAAAGATACTAGCGATGCATTACTGGTATCATCCAACAAAATATCAAATACAGATTTTGAAGAATTTTCCAGCATCCAAATTACTAGTTCGGATTACAATCAGCTAGATATACCAGAAAAAAATTCACTTTTTTATATTTGTGGGTATCTTCTTAAGCGTTGTTTGGAGAAACATGATGATTGTCATGCTTTGAAATCGTATGTGAAACCCGATCAAAAAAGCCCCAATTTCAGCTCGAGTCGGTATTTAAGGTACCGGGACTACAGTAAGATTAATTCGCGAACTTTTTTGATTGTACCCAACGATGATTTTGTGGAATATATAGAAAAAATGGAGGAAATATTCCGAAATTCACTTAAAACCAAACATGTAAATTGTAAAGTAGCTGCAGGTATCTATAACCAAGTAAAAGATATTCCATTTTCTCCACCTTGTCCATGTTTCCCAAAACAATTTTTAATTAAGCTTTATATAAGAATGCGGATTTATTATACTTTAAAATTTAACAATAAAGCATTTCGTACGACTCAGTCGAGGCGCAAATATTTTTCGGTCTCAAATTTATAAGCCCGATTTATTTTTCAAACAAAAACATGTTTTTTTAATTAAATTTACCAATCAAAAAACAACACTCATTTTTATTGAACACTTCCTATTCAATATACAAAGTATTTCATTTATTTATATAAAAAGGATATTTACAATCACAAATCTAAATAGAAACAGAAAGTAGGAAAATATAATTAAAATGCTGGAGACGGGCAGCCCTAACGCATGTTTACGTACCGCGCGGCTGTAGGCATTTATTTCTATCATGCGGCCGAGTCACAGTACTGTATTATAATAGTACCGTGGTTTGGTAGTGCCTATGGTATAATAATACAAGAGAAATTAACCTCGAACTGAAATATCACTGCTCGGACAGGCCCTAAGCGTCATTTGGTAATAAAAAAATCCAACAGTTTTGTCCCGAAATTGACGGTGGACAAAAATGTAATCCAGTTTTCACGTCGTCGTTTCGTGCGCGTACCTGTATCTGTGATATTGCCAACATAAAATATTTTGAAATGATTTTTTTTGGCGACTTGGCAACACTAGGACGATAATGGTCGCTTGTTTGGCGTTCTCTTGCTCATTGTCAATGCTATTTGGTAACGCGTTTTGCGAAGTTAACTACTTTAGTGAATAATAACTCTAAGTGTATAAAGTAACTCACAACCGAATTGTTCACGAAAATAGATAAATAAGTGATATTATATCTTCAATTATGGCAGCGGTACAAGGAGCTCCTGGAAATAAGAATTGGCCGGCGAGGCCGGGGATTCAACACCAAAATAGTCAAAATCAACCTAATTTAACGCTTAATAGAACAATTAACTTATATCCACTGACTAATTATACATTCGGAACAAAAGAGCCATTGTTTGAGAAAGATGCGTCGGTGCCAGCTAGGTTTCAAAGGATGAGAGAAGAATTCACCAAAATTGGCATGAGGAGGTTAGTATTCTTTAATTGTAGTGACTTTTCTCATTAAAACATTGTCTACAGTCAATATACGAGAGAAACCAACGGCTTTGTCCGCGGAAATATATTTTTTTACATTTATTTTACACATTTGCAAATGGCTCTATAAAATATAGTGAAATAATGGAAGACATCATCTTTTCTATCCCATTGGAACCTCTGAGATGAACCAACAACAATGATGATGTACAATGTTTAGAGAATATAATAGCATTTGCCCACTACTTTGCTCTCTTTAATTGATCTGCTCACGGATTGATACCCAAGAGTCATTCTTTCAAAGTGTTAACATATTAATAATATAATTTTAATATACATAGCATTTCCTAAATCTTAGGTGGTTTAGTTTAGCACCGTGTATGTTTAGGCCGAAGCCATCCCAGTTCAGTTTGCAGAAGATACTTTTACTCTGAATTACGAGATATTTTTTAAACTTAACTTCTAAACTGTTTAATATTGTATGTACTAATTCAGAATAAAGGGCTTATTATCATTATTTCCTAAGCCTTCATGTTTTATAATGAATGCTAAGGGTTATATATTTCTAAATATATACAAATAACAGATAAATTACAACCCAGAACAAATGATTGTGCTCATAATACATTTTTTTAACCGACTTCAAAAAGGAGGAGGTTCTCAATTTGATTGGTATGTTTTTTTTTATGTATGTACACCAATTACTCTGAGATTTATGATCCGATTTACGTGATTCTTCTTTAGTTTGATGCGGAATAGTTGCCATTTGGTCACATAAAAATTTAACATAGTTAGGCCCAGTAGTTTTCATTTTATGAACATTTTTAATGAATATTATTGTTTACTTGGATGATATAATTTTAGTTTGTGTACGGCCTTTTTAGGAGTTTACATTTAAGTTAATTATATATTATTTTATGAACATTTTTTTAGGACTTTTCATTTAAGTTGATTATATATTATTTTATGGACATTTTTAATGAATATTATTGTTTACTTGGATGATATAATTTTAGTTTGTGTACGGCCTTTTTAGGAGTTTTCATTTAAGTTGATTATATGTATATTACTATTAACCCGTGTCCCGATAAGTGGGTCTTAGGCTACCTGTCATTGAAGCGGAGCGAGCTTGCGGAGTAGAGAAATTGAGAAATATTAAAACCAATACGATTGCATACAAAATTTCGGAACGAAGAAATAAATTAAAGGGAAATTTTAAAAATAAGTCAAAAAATAAATTAGACTTAATTGTCTTAATCATTGCATTTCCTGTAGTGCTTTGTCATCATGTGATTTGTGTAATAATTTAGATGGTTCCAAATCACTTAATGCCACCATCTAAATTCTTCACTCGACTTAAAGCCACATATATCTGACCTTTTGCAATTTTTTTTTCCGAGGTTTATCATCGCCCTCTCCAATGTCGTACCTTGGAGCTTGTGAACGGTGACAGCCCAACTTAAAATTAGTGGCAGCATTAACCTCTCGACATCAGCGTAACCTTTATTGGCCTGAAAAGTTGCAGATGTTGATGCGATTGAAACTAGGCCCTCCGCATCTTTTACCCTAGTGCTTACCGTCTCGTCATCAAATTTAATCAATACTGCTTCGGGCAGTTCTCCTGCTTCTAGTTGGTCACGGCGAAGGGCTGGCCACTTGATTTTTTTATTGCTCCGTTGACTAATCCATCAGAGACCGCCATATTTCTTCTCAGCATCACCCTAGAGCCTATCTCTATTTTAATGCTGTGTAACAATCCACCACAGTTGTTAACATCTACAGGAATGACACTATGCGGAGGCCGTTTACCATTTCAGACGTCTCTTTGGCAAGACGTTCTTGAATCTTAGCTAGTCTAGACTCATACTGTTCAAGAGTTTCTTGACGTGAACGTAATTTTATATAATTTTTCATAGCTAACAAACGTTCTTTACGATCTATCTCTGTCTCACAAGAACGTGAAATAGAGTTTCAAACAGCATTTTTTCGGAGTCGATTCCTTTTTTCCGTTCCCGTTTCTTGGGATCTATATTGTTTAAGGCGCGCTGCACCTTTCGTAGGCGTACCCATAGCTACTTACTATTTGAAAACTAAAAAAATTACTATTAGATATATGACAATAAAAAGCAACGAAATGTTACAGTTTACCTGATGTAATCTAGAAAAATCCTACTGTAGTTAACAGAACAACCTATTTCAGACACTAAAAAGTAAAAAATAAAAAAAACTACGTTTAAAAAAACCGATTTCAAAAACTAAAAAGTATAAAATAACTTAATAAAGATTAAATTTAATACACCTCTTATGCAAACCTTTAATATTAATAAAATACTATTGTTTGTATGTGCTACCTATTGATAGGTTTGAAGTCTGTGCCAAGCCCTAAGCAAAATAAAACTTAATATTATAAACAACTTACTTACTGTTATGAAATTTCTACTCTAAAGATTAACCTACGCTCATCATCATCATCATCAGCCTATCGCAGTCCACTGCTGGACATAGGCCTCTCCCATTGCACGCCACTTAGATCGATTTTCGGCTTCTCGAATCCAGTTTAGGCTCTGCGTTGATGAATCAGTTAGTCAGGGAAGTAATTTGATGCTGTGGTATTTAATTTCATATAACTATATTTTATAGTCACTTTCCATCAGATGACCCGTCTACTCGTTTGCCCCCTATTGCATAAAAAAAAACTTATTGTTCACAGGTCTGTAGAAGGAGTCCTACTGGTCCACGAACATGGTCTACCTCATGTCTTACTGCTGCAACTCGGTACAGCATTCTTTAAGCTGCCCGGAGGTGAACTGAATCCTGGTGAGGTAAGGAATATCATCAGAGACCGGTGATGGGATGAAACTTTGTAAAATAACTGAGGGCTCATTCGACGGCGTTGTTCAGTGTTGCGATTGGTCAAGATTTCAGTGCGGGCCAATCAAAAGACCGAACGCGGTCACTGTATCGAGTAGATTGTGAAATAGATTTACATTAAACTCTCAGTTTTGAAATACACCCTTTAGAGTCCAGCAATATAAATATATATATATTTCAAACCTTAGTGGAAGAACTCGTTTTATCTTTTGCTGTAATTTTTTTAACATCCGACGCAAAAATACCTCGTGCTGTAAGTTTGTGTTCTCGTGTCTGCCTGTGTTTAAACGAGTTCGGTCTAAACGAATAAACCGATTATGTTGTTTGAAAGCTGACGTGATCGAGATGGTGCTTAAACGTGATCGAGATTTTTACATTACTTCTCTGACGAAACATATCTGTAATGTTAAAACTCCATACACGGATATTACGGATGGCGTAGTGGTTTAAGCGGTCGCCACGCAGCTTACTACAACGCTGAGTGCTGTGGGTCCGACCCGGACGGCACTTTGTGTGATCCACAAATTGTTGTTCTGAGTCTGTTCTTTGTGTCCGTTTCATGTATGTTTGTTAAGTCCCCCGCTACACAATACATTCCTAATGCGGGAGTTTTATTTTTTAAAAGACAAAAAAGAAAAGACAAGTCAAAATCAAGTTCATCAAGTTATATTTTTGCTTTTTCAGGATGAGATTGAGGGTCTCAAGAGGCTACTCACAGAAACTCTTGGCAGACAAGATGGTGTTAAACAAGAGTGGGTCATCGAAGACACCATTGGTAAGTAGTTTTGAATTTAAATTCAAGACATGTTTGAATTAACTGGAGTGATTCCAGGGCCTCATAGAAAAGTAATGGTTATGCTGTATGAGTGAGTTATGTTAACAGAGTCAAAAAACCTTCCTCCCCTTAGAGTTCGGGGATGGGAAGTTTTTTTTAATTTGAGGGTTGTGGTTTCGATCCCTACATGGGACAACACTTTGTGTGATCCTCAAATTGTTGTTCCGAGTCTGGGTATTCTTTCTGTATATTCCTAAAATGGAGGCCATCTTTTAAAAAAAAATTGGTGAATTATATATTATGTATTTTATTTGCAGGTAATTGGTGGCGACCAAATTTCGAACCCCCCCAATACCCTTACATCCCGCCTCATATAACTAAGCCAAAGGAACATAAGAGGCTATTTCTAGTCCAGCTCCAAGACAGAGCTCTTTTTGCTGTACCCAAGAATTATAAGTTGGTTGCGGCGCCACTCTTTGAATTGTACGACAACGCTCAGGGCTATGGACCAATAATTTCTTCTTTGAGCCAGAGTTTGTGTCGATTTAACTTTGTGTACATGTGAGGTTGGAACCAGTAGAGGGCGCTGGATACTACCAAGGAGGTTGGCAATTTCTCTTTAACTGACTCCAAATAAAGGTTTTATGTTTGTTAACTCGGCACTCGGTCGTGATGTAGGTACTGATTTGAAAACCCTTTTTTTATTTGGGACGGTATATTTTCTAGTCGATGATGAAAAACAAATACCATACCTATTCTTTGTTGCTTTTTATTGAATGACTAAGGATCCATCCTGACGTCAATAACTACGCTTATGGCGTAATAAGTTCCCTTTTCCCGATTTTGTGCCCTTGGCAGAAAATTTACCTCCAGGAGATAAACTCCTCTGGCCAACCTCGAACGCGCTTAATAGGCTGCTTACCCAGGTTGGCAGATCTAAGGACAATCTGTCCAAAGCGTAAATAAATGGGACTGTGGCGCAACTCCACAGACAATGGGCCACTTGTTAACATGCCCCGCGAGCTCAGATTCGTGTACGCTTGACGACTTGTATTAAGCAAGGCCAAACGCCATTCGCGTCACCGAGCACTGGGTCAAAATCGTGTCAAGTGTTGCCATCGATACGATAAGTAATTAAGGTTACCGGATGCCCAACTCCCCCTCCCTCACCCTTCTCTGGGGTGGGGTACACAAAAGACGGTGATAATCACTTACCATCACATGACCCGTCTGCACGTTTGCTCCTATACTCTAAAAAGTATTAATAACTTTCTTTGATCTTGCAATTATAAAAAAATCTTTAAAACGGACTTTAAAATAGTTTAATTATGTAAATTGTTTTGAATACTTATTTTTCAGTATTTCCTAAGTTAACTTACTGTCCATGTAAACATGGCTATAGAAATATTAACTGTCAGACTTACTTAAAAATTAAAATATATATAAGATCTTAATACTTAGGTACATTTTAAAAATGGAAATGCCAACCTCCTTGGTGAAGAATACCACAAATAAACGCCCTATTATATACTAAGTGTTGCCACAGTGGAAATAAGTGCAGTGAGAAAATTCGATTTTGATATTTATATTAGATTATATGGTTATAATCTAGAATAGGTATTTCTAAACTATTTTGGGCAAGCTATCGACTGCGGTATTCCGGAACGAAACCACCTTCAAATCTTCAAGAAACGAGCGTACGTCTTCCTCAAAGGCTGACAACGCGCTCGTGACTCCCGAGTTGCTAGCGTTCATGGGCGGTGGTAGTCGCTTTCCATCAGGTGACCCGTCTGCTCGTCTGCCCCCTCTAACATAACATAACATCAATATGTGAAGATAACTCTTTGTGCCTCTTTTTAAACAAATATCTCCACTGTATTTAATTCCACCGTTGCTTAACTAGTGAATGGAATGAATGAATGAATGTAATTGTGTTGACAGATGGAAATAATTTTACTTTTGAAATATAGAACACCATTTTCTTTCAATCTATATAATATATAAAAAAAATAATTGTGTGTGTACGCTACAAAAACTCAGTTCTGCAACGAATTTGCTCAAATTATGACACGATAAACAACTCTCTTCAAAGATGGTTCTTATTTATTTTTTGCGTCATTTTTGTTAATTATTTCACATTAATGCAACCAGAATGTACCACAACGTAGCGTGGCGGGGTACAACTAGTTTGATAAGATCTTTAACGATATATAACGTTTCTTTGTTTAGTTATCTTCGAGATAGTGGACAGTAGGGATGGATTAAAATCACAATCACCTGTGTTAAATCATATGATTTATAAATCATAAAACCTCTCATGTACATGATTTACTAAACCACTTAATTATTATTATTACGCTAGCCCAAGACATGCGAAAGGTCTAAATAAAAAAAAGATTATGATTTTAATGTCATTTATCTTTGTCTATGATGAAATTACAGTCATATGTGAAATGGCTGTGATTTAAACCAATCATTTCATCAAATTAATGTGATTTAAAAGTAGCAATTATTTCCATGTCTACCCAATAGCTATATATAGCTATACACATGGTGGCCTGCTTGACCTCAGTGAACCTGTGGCTGTAAGTCAGCTACGGCCATGAAGGAATTCTGTACTGGAGACCTAACTGAAGACTGGTTGTCCAGCTCACAATCAATTGTTCTGTGCCTGGGTGTAATGTATCTACATAATATGTGTATTTAGAAATATATAAGTATGTTTATCAGCAGTCTGGTTACCATAGTACAGGCTCTGCCTAGTTTGGGATCAGACGGCCGTGTGTGAGATGTGTCAAGTTATTTTTATTTCCAGCTGTCAACGTTATGTCAAAGTGACAACATGTTATAACATGTCTTTCGTATGCTGTAATAGTGTATAATTATTTTTAATACCTGTTTTGTGTAAATGTAGTAAATAAGTGTGAAAATTTTCGTCTAAAAAAAAAAAATTATAACTATATTTTCAGATGTTTTATTTCACAATGTACCTGAAGAAAGAAGAATGTTATTTAGTGTATAAGTTTATTTATATAAGGTTTATACATTATATACAGGCTGTGATAATATTTATTCGAAATATTTTATATTTACCTACAATTTTTTGTTGTTATATCAAAAAGTTATTTAATTGATAATAAGTAAGACATATGATGTGGGGGGCGTCAATGGGGTTGATAAAATCTGTATCATTTTATTGAACGCCAGTATATTTTTGTATGAAATACTGAGCCGTGACGTCATACCTGGCTTTTGTTTGTGAAAACATTGAATTAATAATGGAGTACAATTCATGATGTATTTAATGATTTAAGAGAAATAATTCAAAGACCTTGTTGGTAAGGATTTTCTTAAAGATTAGGATCTAACTTATTAAAACTGTTATACATTGCGTATTATGTTTGAACATTAAAGATATTGTAACAAGGAAAGCACGCAATGAATTTCATTGTGTATTTTTGCTCGAAAATAAATGTCAATATGCTAACTGACAGCTGACTAATGACGTAACAGTATCCAAGTGTGTGTACGAAACGCTGCCTTATAATAACTGTGTAAGGGCGTATTTAGTATAACTAGTAAAGGCGTTTAGGTGTATTTCATCTTAACATACATTTGATAAACATTTTAAGTGTGTGCATCTGTTGATACACGACTTAGGAATGTTCTGTGTTTGAGTGTAATTTAAAATGTATGTATTTAGAATTATATTAGTATGTTTATCAACAGTCTGGTTACCATAGTACAGGTTCCTCCTGGTTTGGAATCAGACGGCCGTGTGTGAGATGTGTGAGGTAATTATTATACCTCTTCAACACAAACGTAGGATCTTCCCACCAGGCGAGACGATCTTACCTGGCGGACATAGCCCAATAGTTCTTGAAAAATTGGCCTACTAATTGGCGCGAGAACTTTTATATCGCGATCCAGGATTAGTACTTACCGTCCGTAGTTCGGTGTGTCTCCGTTAGATGGTGCTGAATTATGTTTTTTCATTGTATGTGGCAGTCGCAACAAAGTTATGTAACTAAATGCAATAATTATTGAAGTGTTGTATTATCATCAACAGCCTTTCATAGTCCACTGCTAGACATACACATAGGTCTCTCCTTAGAAAGGAGGTTTTGGCCTACTATACCACGCTGGCCAGACGGGTTAGAATAGGGTTTGTGTCAAGTTTTTCTTCTCTTTGCAGTGCTGTTGTCCTGCGTAGTTTGCTCCCTTAGTCGGCTCTTACGATACCTACGGGATGAATAGGGGTGGTTACACTCCACATTCTTATTCCATCACCACACGGATAGACGTGATATATATATACAAATGTTATAAAAAGGTGCCACGAATTCGATAATAGTGTCGTCCTGAGCCGATTCGGTAAAAACCTAAAAGCTTGATTCGATAAAAACACGTGTGATAATAAACTGTGATAGTTATTTTTAAACATTATAATGTATGCTAGGATTTTTTTCCTATGGACGAGAACAGCACTAGAGTAAGTATGTAGTTAATTTAGTTGAAATATTTTTTAAAGCATATGTAATACACCGAAATAGTGTCATAAATGTACACCAGTATAGCAATAACATGAAGATAATTATAATAAGAGTATTGTACTATTATTATAATTATTTTCATGTTATTGCACCTACCGACTATTACTTTTTCCAAAATTTAGACAACTTTTTAGTGGGTAAAAAAATCAATTCCCGAGAGGCAGTACAAAATGCCTTTGAAGAGTTTGTTGCCTCCCGTCCAGCTGATTTTTACAAGAAGGGCATCAATAAACTGCCAATGCGTTGGCAAAGATGCGTCGATTGCATGGGTGATTACTTCGAATAACAGAAATAAAAAAGTTTGAAAAAATAAGTACTTTCACTTGTTGCATACAAAACGGCAATTTCATAGGTAAAGACCTAATATAAAGGGTTACTGGGTAAGTCGACCTAGATACTTTAGGGAGTTGTAGTAGTCATAGTGCTTGTTCTTGAGCCATATAAGCCAACCTCAACCAAGTTGGAGAGGAAGTCTATTTTGCGGTACAACTGATTTCCCCCTACCACAACTGGCCGGACCTCCCCCCCACACATTGCATGATTTTCATGTCTTCCCTCTGTGCCTCAGTCAGTTCGTGCATTATCTCTCTGTCACTTTTTAGTGCTGCGTCTACCCCCCTTGTAGCACCGTCTTTTTTCTTTTCCTTCTATTCGTATCATGGTATTTCTACCCGTCCCGGCTTTCCCCCGCATCCGCACACCGCTAGCTACCCATTCTTCCATTGTTGGCAGCTTCTCTGGCATAACCCACTCCTCTGCCATGAATTTTTTGGTCTCTCTTATTAAGTCATTGATATACCGTTCTTCTATTGTCTCCCCGTTATATTTTGTGACTGTCAGCCAGTCGCCTACATCACCCTTGAGCGAGTTTGGGTCCACGGGTGGAACATAGCCTCCATACGTTTCCCAGTACGTTAACAGTCTCCAGTCTTTATGTATAAAAGACCCACCCAACTTTAGCTATCCGGTTGATTCCTTTAGTAATTTTCTCAAGTTGTGCGGACATATGTCCGGAGTCATATTTCTAAGTCGTTGGTACTCCCCTAGCACAAGCCTCGCCTTCCGCCCCGGGTGCAACCGTGCCGTCATGTGTATACCGTCCTCGATCGTTCGGTAAGGTGCACCCAATACACTTGTGCTGCCTCGGTAATCTATATCTCCTCAAGTTAGTATTAAAGTTCGACATTGGTGCCTCCCAACCCCTCTGATTGCAGCAATATAGCCCCGCACAACCAATCTCTGGAACGGGTTATCGTCTGCGGCATTTCCTTCAAACCTTCAAGAAAAGACCGTACTCCTTCCTAAAAGGCCGGCAACGCGTTTGTGACTCCTGAGTTGCAGACGTTCATGGGCGGCGATGTTCACTTTCCATGGGGGAACTGTTTTGCTTCTGAACAGATGTATAATCTCCAATAAATGTATAAACTCAAACTGTGATAGGATCGATGAACCGAACGAACATGTCTCATGTTTTTATTTGATTATCAATGATAAATTAATTAAACTAACAACACTGATATGTGGGAACTTGTTATATTTTTTATTTCGAATGATGCAAAACCCTGTTGCCACAACTATTAAATATAAGCCCAAAGTTTGAACGAAACCGAAAAAATGAAAACCTAATATATCATTATGCCTTGGTAGTGAATCAAATAAGTTTTAACAATATAATTTCAGTAGACCATACATATGTCAATGTATTTAGAGTCTTGCGTACTAAAACTTACATTGTTTGTAAAACCGTCGCAATGTGTACAAAATATTGCATTTTTAATTTGCATAGGACCTAGCACCGCCCCTTGTGGCACACCACCTCATCGACTGGTGGAAGCCTAGTTCTCATCTACTGCAGTTATTCTTTGGTCTACTGTGGTAATCATTGCAGTAGTTGTAGTATGCTAGGCCTTGCAAAACGCCTAACTAATGGTATCTAAATTTAGAATTATGGTGTAAGGTGTTGAACGCCTTCGAGATGACAAAACCTTCAAGAATAGTTACACTACCTCTATACGAGTAGGTTGTATTTTTCAAAGTTGATATTCTGGAAGGTATTTTACTAGAGATATTAAATAAGAAAAAAAAAGTTATATTTAATAATTTTATTAAATATAAATACAAAAATTACAAATATATTTGTATTTTTTATTATATTCATGTATACAAATCTGTACATCTATAAAATAGTGTGTCTATGATGGCATTTTGATAACTTATTTAAAAACGACTGTTGAATTACGTTTTTTAAATAGTTCAACAGGCTATACAATTGTTGAATAATAGGGTAGTTGACTTTTTCATAAATAAATAACAATATTCGCTTCATTAAAACAAATCTCACAAAACAATTATTCTACCTCTATCACTATTAGAAATTTAAATCAAATAAACCTTGAAATATATTCTTCAATTGAGTAGCTCTAGAATAGTGACGTCATAAGTTGGTATTTAGTACATTTTTCATACAAAATTGTCGTTTTAACAGATAATAAAAAGTAAAATTGACTAAGGTGTGAACTACCCTATTCTGGATGGATATTCTACATATAGGTATATGTTTGAGTCAGTATCATTTAAAACCCTTAAGTTATATTTTTGGCTATTTATCTTTATTCATTTTCCTATTTACAGTTTTCCTTTTGGTAATAACCTCGTCGCTTCTCTGTGGCCTGTGTCTGTGGCGCCGTGGACAGTGGAAAAGTGGTGGCTGTCTGTGGCTTCACCTGCGAAGAGCACTCGTGGCGCTCCGCTTCTGTCCACGAGAGGTTCCGCTAGGATTTCGCGAGCGTTCGGATGTAAGGGTGTTTGGAGGTTGTCATACGTGTAACTTCCTCGAGTGAACGGGTTTGAATACCATGTCGACCTGAAAGTTTGAAATTTAAGAGCGAGGGAACAAGATTAAGAGCGGTTTCACGTCCGATCCGAACCCGTGAAATTACGGATCTAGAAATCTCGGTCTGAATTCGGATATTGCTTTTCGGATTTCTGATACCAGATTACGAATTTGGAAAGCTGATTGACTGACTGAATTCGTATGTCGTTTAACTATTGCGATCGCTGATTCTAATCCAAGCAACTCAGGGGTCACCTTTTAGCATACGTTACTTGCCGCGGAGCCACTGCAGACCGTTCACGTTGTTGATCATGAGTCCTTTCGTTCGGCGTCAACTGGCAATGCTATTGTACGTAGGAACGACACTGAAGAAGAACCGAATAAAAATAATAGTATGGCTATTTTGGTTCGTCAAAATTCTCCGGAATAGAGATTCATGGATAACTGAATAAAATCAGATGACGAGAGTCGGATCTAGTGCGTAAGCTAGCATAGAAGTAGTTCGGACCGTATTTTCACGGATACGGATCGGATTCTGTCGAAGTGCGAAACCGCTCTAAGGAATTGCTTGATTGAAAACCCCAAGTTAAGTTAGACTTACGTAGTAGAAAGCAAGTCTCGTGCCGTCGACAGAGTTTTAAGGAATAGATATGATAATCGGGAGTAAATTATAAGAAACGGTAAATAAGAAGATAGATATTATATATTGTAGACGGAGATATTACTTAAACAGGATCTGTGTGGTGACGGATTAAGAATACGGAGTGTCACCACCTCCATTCATACCGTGGGTGTAGTAAGAGCCGACTAAGGGGACAAACTACGCAGGACAACAGCACTGCAAAGAAGGAAAACTTGAAAGACCCTATACCAACCCGTCAAGACAGCGTGGTAAGGTTAGCCATAACCTTTCTAAGGAGAGGCCTATGTCCAGCAGTGGTCTATTAGAGGCTGTTGATGATGATAATTTCTACAGATGAATTGGGGAATGAAAGCAAAAGGCTCGAGCATATTGAGCTATTGCCGACGATCTGACGATAACATGCTAAGGGTATGTGAAATTTACAAGAAGCAACTGGCAGAAATATCCTGGGGAGGATATTTCTGCCAGTTGCTTCTTTTCAGGGCTTTTCTAGCTACATTATTAACCTAGAGCGCTAATTAGGGAGCGTTCAAGTATTACGTAACGCAATTTTTGAAGATTTTTGACCCCCCCCCTTCCTTGTAAGCCACCGTAACGTTTTTCTGTGCCCCCCCCCCTTCCCCCTCTCTAAACGTTACGTAACACTAAAGTGATCATTTTCACCCTAAAGTCGTAAAAAGTTATGTAGTTTTTACACTTGGTATAGTTTTAATCTACTAAATAAAAAAAAATGGAAAAATTGAGTGAAAATTTCAATCGAAAAAATGAGATATCAATTAAACGAATGGATACTAAGTTATGATTTTGTGCGTGTTGGTTCTCATATTTATAATAAGGAGATTAAAAAAGAATTCAGGTTTTAAATTTTATTCTCTCAAAGTTATAAGGTTTACGCCGCCATGAATGATCCGAAAAATTCATATTAAAATCCATTAAAGCCACTTTTTTTAATATTAAAAAGGCTACATGCAGCTCAAAAAAATATTTGATCTATTAATTAATAATTTATTGCCTTAATAATGTGTTTTTTATCCCATTTATATGTATTATCCCATAAAAATTCAAATCACCGATCAAGTGGCGTTAAATCGTAGTTAAATCAATAATTTAACTACGATTTAACGCCACTTGATCGGTGATTTGAATTTTTAGGTGAGAGTAGCATACCTACGCTCGTGCTTAAGGCATGCAAAAAATGACAACCAGACTAATACAATCGAGGGATTCCCCGTAACGTAAATGAAAAGGGTTGCCAGTTTGCGAGTTTTAATTCCCTAATTTTTTAGAAACAATGTTACGTAACGTGTTCTAAGAAAGACCCCCTCCCGCCCCTGTAACGCATCGTAACGCGTTACGAAACCCCCTCCCCCCCCCCCCCCCAAATTGCTTTACGTAATACTTGAACCTCCCTTAGTCACTAACAAGCCCCATTTGGAGGTAATAAGAACCTACTTACCGAACATGAGAGATGTAAAATAATATAAATTATGTGTAAAACTTACCTCAACATGTCTATAGGTTCCGGTATGGTTTTATTCTTACCCATGAAACGTCTTATAAGTTCCATGGATTTCCTTTTAACCACATCTTCGGGTAATGTTTCTATCTACAATGTTAGTAAAAAAATTATTGAAAAATAACTTCCTTCTTAAATATACGAAACTAACAATTCCGCGTGTTAAGACATTACATACCTACCGTATATATATAAGCATTCATAAAATGAAAATGTCTAATAAGTGATTTTTATAATTGAAATCTTGAAGGCAGCATGCAGCCTCCATATTTTAAAAAACTAGTAATGTTAGTACCATTTTTCACCAACAGCGACGCCACTAGCGCAATAAGTCAAGCAACACATTGACATAACAACTGTCAGGCATGATATGTCAATATGACAGTATTTTTTTTTTAAGACGGCACATTTATATGGTCCAAATCAAACATGCCATAAGAGAATTATATACAGAGAATTATATTACAGCCTGTAAATATATATTAGAATTATACGAGTATACAGAATGTAAATTTAAATTAGAATAGTTGTACAGGATTTAAATGATTATTTGTGAGAATTACACTGGTTGTTACTGTTGATTTAGCTTAAAAAAGATAAAACGCTTTTATTAGTGTAGGAGCACTATTATTATTTTTTATAAATTTTCAGGTTAATTTAACTTGTCACTTTCAAAATAACATTTCTGTATTGAAAACCGCGAATTTCTTTAGAATTCTTAGCGTTTTATCTTTATTTACGGTGGTTTACTATATACCTACATCTTTCTGTAACACCCTGAATTAAATTAAATAATAAACAACTAAGTAATTATATTAGTACTAAAAAATACTCAAATACTTAGGGCATTCTGGATTCTGATACTTAAATAAGACTAAATTTGAAGCCCTCGAAAATTTTTTTGGTGCCCTTAACCTCAAACACTACAATAGTGGTGACCCCGACCTGATCATAATCCTTGACAATAAGTGGGTAGTGTGGGTCAGAATCGCGGGTGTATGGTTGCGGAAATTAATATGTTTTCATACGTTACTACAAATCGTTACTCTTTTAAGATGAAAGCAAAGGATCTATCGCTGAGTGAATTGGCAGAATCAACAAACTCTTCGTTCATTACCTTAGTATTATCTATAATAAAAATATTGTACCACATTCACACAACGCCATCTAGTCCCAAACTAAGCAGAGCTTGTACTATGGGTACTACACAACTGATATAATATACACATATACATATATACTTTTTTTTTGTAAATACCTACTTATTATACATAGAAACAATCAGACCAAATCAAACATTAAATGTTCATGCACACAAATGTTTGACTTGAGCGGGAATCGAACCCGTGACCTTTGGAATAGCAGTCCGTTACACAAACCACTACGTCATTCTGTCTATATACCTACGTATATCTCTGTTGGTGTATATACATATTAGGTACAGGGTGTAAGGGACGTAGTAACGAATACTGAAATAATGTATTCAGACCATCATTCTGAGTCGAAAATCATTGGAATTTTATGCCCATTCGAAGGATAAATATTTTTCTATCATTTATTACCTCCCCATAAGTGCACCTTTTTTTTTTTTTTTCTCTCCCCCCGGAAATCCCCTCGGATACCACCTGTCGGTGGCATGTCGGACTCGAACCGACTAAAACCGCACGCCGTCTCGGGTACTCATAGCCGGGGAACCAGGTATACCCTAGAAAGGAAGTCCCTGGTGCAACCCATAAGTGCACCTGCCTCATTCTTCCTCTACATCACCCTCGACTCGACTGGCTGAGAATGCCTTAAGCATTAAGTCCGCCGATGTATATATTGTTATAAATAAATAAATATGAATAGAATGTACCAGCAATGTACTTGAATGTACCTTCATGAAATAGGAACAATTACAATAATAAAGTCAACCGATGTCCTGACAGAATGACGAGTAAATACTGATAATGGATGTAGTTATATCTTGTGGTCACCTAATATTTACTAGAGGAATGTCCCTTCAACGTACCTCATAAGAATATATCCTGAAAATATATTGCGAAGAGTGATTGACGAGAAAATCAACAAATTTTGACGCCTACTATCTTTTTTATAGCAATATGAGTTTAGTTTTATTTGCTCGTATTGAAAGGCCCGTGTAGTGACGGATTGAGAATACGGAATGTCACTACCCCAATTCATCCCGTGGGTGTCGTAAGAGCCGACTAATGGCGCAAAACAGGCAGGCACCAGCACTGTAAAAAGAAGGAAAACTTGAAACAAACCCTATACCAACCCGTCTGGCCAGCGTGGTATAGTAGGCCAAAACCTCCTTTCTAAGGAGAGGCCTATGTCCAGCAGTGGACTAATAAAGGCTGTTGATGATGATAATGATGATTGAAAATTAAATGACAACAAATTTATAGATAAACATTGAAGAGGGAATTAACATAGCTTTGTACAATGACAAAAAAAACGTGTGAAAGTTATATGAAAGTAAACAAGATTTTTGCCTTTTAAGAATATGATCATTATAGTGACAATTTAAATGTCATCCTCACATCGCCTTAAAATTTCAATATCAGCCAATAAAACAACTCCCTTTTATACACGAGTGGGTAAACATTTATATGAGTATTTTTTAATCTGTTAAAAAAGTAAAATAAATAAATTTAGCTAACGTAATCACTATGCAGACCCCGCCATCCTTCATGCCATAAAACCTAAGCAAATTAAAGACCCCCGCTACTTTAGTTGCTTATGTAATACTTGAATGGACCCTATTACAATATGTTTACATATACAATATACAGTGTGTAAGGGACGTCGTAACGGATACTGAAATAGTGTATTCAGACCATCATTCTGAGTCGAAAATCATTGAAATTTTATGCCGGAAAATCAAACTTTTTATGCAATCACCTGTCAAATGTTAAGGTCATTCCCCGTAGGTATCGCACTAAAGTAATAACTACATGTGTATTCCGTGCAAACAGTCTAAGCACACTAACACAAAATTACGGCCAGTTTTTTTTTGTATTTATTAAAAAAAAAACCGTAATATGTTCTGTCTACTCATTGTGATCTCATTTTTCATCATTTTTAACCAGAAAAAGGGAAAATTAAAATAAATTAATGAATTTTCCGTCAAAAAATTCCAATGATTTTCCTAATTTTAATTTTAGCTCGGAATCATGGTCTGAAACCACTTTTTCAGTATTCGGTACGATGTCCCTTACACCGTGTATATTGTATTCTAACAGAAATATGGCGGTCTTGTTATATTTTGTTTTAAGCGTCTGTATTTACCTGTTTAATGATTGATTGATTACGGTACCTAGTCACTAGGGGGCGTGATGTGGCATACACAACAATTATATAAATAAATATTATACTATACACACATACATAAAACACCTTCTATTCAAATAAATAAAATTTAAGTGTCTGTAATGTCAAAACATTAGGTTTTTATATGCTCACACGGTTATTTGCGCGATACCTATGTTTAAAAACCAGATTATTTTTTTATTGTCTGTCTGTTTGTTTGTTTCGGGTAATCTTCTGAACGGCTGTACCGATTTTAATAATATTGCCTGGACCGGGAATCGAACCCACTAAGGCACCGTTTTTCAAATTCCACGTGAACGAAGTCGCGGGTACCAGCTAGTAAACATATATAATAGTATAACCACACACAACTCATTTTATATCGGCACACAAAAAACTTTATCACTATGCAAATCCAAGTGTTTGATTGCCGGTCCTGTTCACCGGGCGGCGCGTGCGCATTGCAGGACACAAAGTCATTTAGTCATAACTATATCGCATGAAGCATGTATTGCTAGCTACCCTACTACGTGGAAAAACTATGCTTCTGCGCATATGGGCCTGCTCGACCGCAGTTAATACCAGACCTCACAGAAAACCGTGTGGTGACGGATTAAGAATACAGAGTGTCACCACCCATATTCATTCCGTGGGTGTCTAAAGAGCCAACTAAGGGAAGCGAACTCCTCAGGACAACAGCACTGCAGAGAGCAGGAAAACTTGACACAAACCCCATACCAACCCGTCTGGCCAGCGTGGTATAGTAGGCCAAAACCTCCTTTCTAAGGAGAACTGTTAAAGGCTGATGATGATGGAATTCTTTCGTTTTTCGCTTTTCTTCAAGTACGAGGGGTTACTAGAGCCCAACTCCCCCAAATTCCTGAGGGGTAGGGTTCTTAAAGGGCGGTTACGAACTTGTGTCTCTTTGAGATACCATTCTTTATGAGCGGTGATCGTCACTTACCATTAGGTGACTGCTCTGTCTTAACCGTAAAAAAAAGTGATATACATGTAGATATTTACCAATTTACCCATACGACCGCTCGTCCACAGTGTTAAAGCCTTCTGGCAACCCATAGGGCTGCTAGCCGCAAATATTGTAGTAACCCACAAATCCTCACTAGGTACGTTAGACCTGTCTTCTTTCCTCCACACAAAACCATTAAAACCAGGATCTTTAGACCACCACACATTGTCGAAGAGCAGCACTATTTTATCGACTACTCCTATCGATATTGTATCGATAATTGCCGCTTTACCGTCGGGCAGTGGGGGGTAAAACATTGTTGTGTATCTGGAAATTTCCATTTTTTGCGATGCTTTCTTCAAAATATTTACAGGTAAGCAGTTTGAAACTTGAGCGATTGTCATTTGATTCAATAATTTTTGAAAATGTCAGTTTATCATACAGATATTAAAAATTTCTAGTATTCTCTTACAGACAAAATACTCTTCTAAGACATCTATTAATCAACCCCGCCACATTACCAGGTTTGCCACAATCTAATATACGAACCATTGACAATTTAATATATTTTTATACAGATAAATAATAGTGCGAATACATTTTTGTCATCTTAAAATCATAACCTTGAGGAAATCAAACTCCTTTATAGAATCTTGTTCAAATAGGATAAGCCTACTGAGTGCTGGCCATATCTACCGGAGGATCACAGTCCTCTGGACGTTGGAGGAACGGAAATAAGTCCTTATACCCTAGAGCTGAGATCGCGAATCTCCCTATACCAAGCTCATTTAACGGAAGATAGGATTCCTGGCTAGATAAACAGACGATCTGAGGAAGATAGCTGGGATAAAATTGGAATTGGCGAAGGACTATTAAGCATGTTGATAGGTCTTAAATTACAAATAGATATAAATAAATTTCTGACATCAAACACAACGCCATCTAGTTTCAAACTAAGTAGAGCTTGTTCTATGAAAGCTAGATTAACTGATCGGATAATAATATACTTTTTTATCTAGATACATACACATTATACATAGAAAACACACAAATAAATATTTGCAGATCATACAAATATTTGATGCGACCCGGGAATCGAACCCAAGACAGCATACCACTGCACCATCGAGGCAATCGATGATATATAGTTAATGTCTCTCTGCTTTTGACGACTCCTTTCTATTAGGTATATATATCGTCAGTCTAAATGGTGGTACCCCCAGCACCACAATTTCAACCTACTGACACCAGGTGTAACAACCAATATTTTGTAAAATTAGACTTAAAAAACAAATTGTTTTAAACTAAAATATTTTTTGTTTTATTTCGTCTTGACAAAGCAAATATAATGCGGATGCGTATTACAGAGTAAACTTTATTGCACACATAAAATTATTGATCATGTACAAAAATGGAGGCCTTATTGCTTAAAAGCATTTTCTTACAGCCTTTGGATGGGACCAATCGACTGTAAATAGACGAATTCTTAGGCAGTTTTTACACCTAGTTTTTAAAAGTCGTTTCTACTAAAAAGTTTATCAAGTATATCACGGATTAAGAATACGGGGTGTCGCCACCCCTATTCATCCCGTGGGTGTCATAAGAGGCGACTAAGGAAACAAACTACGCAGGACAACAACACTGCAAAGAGAAGGAAAACTTGAACCCGTCTGGCAAGCGTGGAATTGTAGGCCAAAACCTCCTTTTTAAGGAGAGGCCTTTGTCCAGCAGTGGACTACTAAAGGCTGTTGATGATGATGTGATGATGATGATTTGACCACGAGTTTTAAAATAGTTGATTATTGCAATTCATATACATACCTGTTAATTGCCTGCCCCTACAACGATCAATGAAACCTTGTTGAAACTTTGAAAGAGATCACCTGGCCTTCGAATACCGACAGTTTGGAATAAGTTAAAACTCGAAGTGTCATTGTATAGAATTTCGTATTGATACAGGACAAAATGTAGACTCTTTAATGTTGTTTATATCATTATTGCACAAATTGTTAAAAAGATTCAGGAAAAAAAACTCAAGTATCTCAAACATGATTTGCTTCTATGCGCCAAATGTGTTTAAAAAGGGGTATAGTTAATTTTTAAACTGGAAAGTTGGACTGCGAAAGTTTAAGTCTTAGAAGATTGAGCACATACCTCGCTCAGACCATCAGCCCGGAGGTGAAGCATGAGTTAAAGAAGCAAAAGTGGAAAAAAGGGACTAGTTAATCATCCTGTTCCATAAGCATATCACCGAAAAAGGGCTTTAGATTTTTATTGTTTTACTAAGAAGAATATAAACGAAAATAATCAAAGAACCGGTCACCAAAATCGTTGGTATTATGCAGTTACAAAAAATCCTTCATAATTATCGAGAAAAAAAGACCCAACACCTTTGAAACTTATCAAAATTGTTAGAATGTCATGCTGCATTTCCCGTCCCATGCACAAGAAATATGCAGCATACTAACCAATATTGTCGCGTCTCCCGCAGTCCATAAACAGATGGAGGTGTTCGAACCCATTTTAAGTTCAAAACCTTCAATTCTGCGCATCCATCTATCTTCGTACGAGATTTCTTTTGCGGCCTCATCACTCCACAGAAAGCCGTGGAGGCCAGAGCTCGTGTCCCACCAGATTTTCTCAAAGTCGAGAATGATTTTGCCAACAACACCTATTGTAATGTTATCTATTGATTCGACTTTGGATGAGGGTAGTTGTGGTGCAAATAGAGTTTCGTAGCTAAAACAAACGAGAAATTGTTACCGGTGCCAGGAGCAGTATCAAAGTCCAGGCCACGACTGTAGACTTTGAAAACTCGACTCGAATACAAAAACTGAAGGTAGTACAAATTTCTGAAAGCGATCTTGCTAAGCTCGTATGGTGAACACCAATGGTGACTGCACGGATGGCGAAGTGGTTTAAGCGATCACCTACCACCGCTTCCTACTGCGCTGAGTGGTTGTGGTGTGTGCGGGAGTTGTCTCTTATAAAAAAGAAAACTCAGAATCTATATAGGGTGGTTAGCACACAGCCTGTATCTCCACTCGATCGAGCACCTTTGCGACTGTGCGTGAGACCACGAAACTACCATAATCATGGTTACAGAGCTCAAAATTACTTTTAAAGGAAAATGAGAGAATATTCTACATTATAGTAAAAGTGACTGTACCAGTACGGTACCGTTCAATTCATTGCTCCCGAGTGGACTTACAATTCGACCTAACAGAAATTGCCCCGAAATCGCGCAATAACCATGAAATCTGTTTGTTTTGTTCTGTCTGAAAATTTCTAGTAAAAATTTTTTTGTAGGACAAAAAGTAAAGGCTGTAATATAGATGACAAAATGATGTGTAAATTCTGCTATTTTTACAAACATCTTGTGTTGAAACCCTATTAAGATGTCTAAGGTCTATTCAGTGGGTTTCGTGTATACAATTTACACATCTCCCAATTTAAATAAAATGGAAGTGTCTCCATGTAATCATAATACCAGTTTTGTATTAAATTCCTCTCAATGTCCACACAGAAAGAACATATTTTAAAACTTTTTGCCCGTCTGTTTATTTGAAGCTTTGCAGAACGGGCATACATAGGACTTTTGCATAATGAATACGCACTGCGTCAAGAGAAAACGACGTGAGGGGTCTATGGTCACCGGTTTTCACTTTTCGCTTTTTGGTAAACGTTTGTTATAGTCATTATATTTAATTTAAGTTGAATTGAACAAAAAGAACAGAGCCGTCGAGTGGTGTGTTAAATAATCTATGTGCGGCGATGTATATAGTTCATGCACTGCAGTAAGTATAGCAGGAAGTGTCGGAAAAGGCTTGTTACACATTTTTCTGTCTTGCTCCAGTCCGGTCAGTTCGTGTAACGCGCGAAAAGGAACTTGGTTTCAAAAATAAGTTTTATAATAATTATTATTATTGCTAGTGCACCTTTAAAAAATGTGAATACCATGAAGTTTTTATCATGCGTTACCACCATAACATGGGGTTACATATGAAAATGTTTATCGATTTCCTAACACGATAAGACATCACAACAAACACATAGCAATCAATGTCAAACGTCAAAACTGACAGATGTCAGATTATCAGGGTTACCCGACTAACATGTTATTAAACCAAGGTTAATGGATTTTTAACCTTCGATTACCCTACATGCCTTTTATGCCCTAGACCAGAGCCCAAAAAAAATTAATACTGACCAATTTGGCACTTTCTCCACAACTCCAGAGCGTCAAGGCGTTTTTATTTGCCATTGGTATTGTACACCCCCCAATTTCCAAAATCCAATCCCCCTCTAACCCTTTATTGTCCTCCCCCCTCCAAAGTAAATCTCGACCATCGCTTTCGCTCTCCTCCAACCACCGGTATGGGAATAGTAGTATAATTTTTCCTACCACACCAATAGATACATAGTCTAAAGCAGATATTTTTGATTGTGGCAAACTTGGAGAAAATAGGGTTGCATGTCTGAAAAATATGTATGTGTGCTAGAATAGTTAAAATTAATGTAGTAGTTAAATTATATGTTATAAAGACTTTTTTTTATGAAAACGAGAGTAGATTACTGAATCAAATGACATAAATATATGTTTGGCAATACATATTGTATGAAGTTTTAGTTTTTATACAAATTATTATGTAAACCTGATGTAGCCCGTAATTTTATATAAAAAGAAAACAAATATTGAAGTAAGTTTAAAAGATCCCTGTTCCAAGATGCAACGCAAATCAAATTTAGAAAAGTTTTGTCATCACAAGCAATTAATAAAAACTAGGTTGACTGAAGGTGTGCAACATGAATATTACATTTCAATAAAAAAGTTAGACAAGCTTTGGCGCGTAAATAGGTCACATTGACAGATGGGTTCAAGGGTCTTATAAAATCACTTTATTTTCAGGAAATATGTGGATGCATGTCAATTTGTAATCCGAAAATTGTTGAATTGAATGTAAACTGACACGACTGACATGACCCTTGATACGTGGAGTTTTTTTAATATATAATAGACAAAATTAAGAGGCAATTTTGTCTTTTCGTAATATTGTTTAGAATATAAAAGCGAGTTACAAAAAATAAAATAAAAACTTCATACACGATCGTATCTATAAAAGCACAACTGCAAATATACTGAAGTCCAAAACATAACATTATTATTTTTTTAAACAAAACAGTTAAAGTGCAGAATATCACTATAGCAACACTGGAGTGACATTTCAAAATGTGACAGTCCTAATAATGACTTTAGAAGCGCGCCAAAAATTTGTCAATGTCTTTTTTTACAACAAATTAAACAATATCTTGTAACAGGGCTCTCATCTTCCGTATTTCCCGTATAAGTAACCGCGCAGATCATGCGTTAATACGTCATGCAACTTTTAAAATAATGTGTAAACTATTAGAATGTCAATTCTCGTAACTAGTTCGGTCAAAATTCATTTCTGATCAACTCGATCTCACAACTGTGATAAAATGTGTTTTCGTAGGTAAGTATTAAACATCCAACCTTGACTGTAATGTGATTATATCGTATTGTAACCGAAAATTAAATCGGTAATCTGGTCTTAGTAATATAATAATTTACTACGAAAATAACTTTTGTGACAGTTGCAAGGTCGAGAGTTGATCGGAACTGGATTTTGACTGAACTTTTATTACGAGAATTGGCCTTCAGGAATGAAAGCTTCAAACCTGATGGGGATGCTACATCAAGTGATATAGTATTCTACGGTGTCCGTTACAAGTGCGTAGATATCCAATCCAGTCCCAATCGGGTCAAAAACTAGACAGACCCATGAAATATGATTGTATGTAATTTATTTAAACTACACCGGTCATTTCCACTTGATAAGTTATTGTAAACTGGATAGCATGAATGGGATAAATAATAATCGCCGTCTGATCCCAAACTAGGCAGAGCCTGTGCTATGGTAACCAAACTGCTGATAAACATACTAATATATTTCTAAATACATACATATCATAGAGAAATTACACACAGACAGAACAAATGATCATGCTCATCGCACAATTATTTGTCCTGGATGGGAATCGAACCCACTGTGGCCAAGGTTGCTGGCTGGCTGAAACTTGATTACTGCTCATCATTGTGGGAGTGTACAATGGGGGCCATGGTGCTGCTGAGGATATTCTTTGAAAGCTGCTTCCAATCACGTCGGGGCACCACTGTGGAGGAACGGGTGTACCTCCCTTCAACACAAAAGGAGGATCCTCCCACTAGGCGAGGTGATCATGCCTGGCGGGCTGCGGCCCAACGGTTGATGTTGGGAAGCTGTATATATGCTAATCGGCGAGAGAATTGTTAAAATCGCGATACAAGATAAGCAGTTACTCCGTAGTTCGGTGTGTCTCCGATAGAAGGCGCTGTAGTATGTTTCTCTGTATGTAAAAGTTACCACACCCACTACCTCAAGAGGTAGTGGGTGTGGTAAGCCAGCTTAGCAGTTAGGATCACTAACCACTAAGCCAACAGGCCTGATAAATGTAAGTATTTTCTTTCTTTCTTATTCACCATCGGTGATCATGGCGCTTGCAATAGTGCCGAAATATCAGAAACCAATTTCAGAAAATAGACTTTTGAAATATTCCGTTTACAATAACTTATCAAGTGAATACAATATTTTTTCCTGATTCTATACTTCCCTATTTTTAAGTCGGTTAATAATGTTACCTTTTATGCATTATTTAGTGCTGGTCATACCTTTCCTTCAGCACGCCGAGTGATACTGTCACAATGACATTCCTCGCCTTATACGTGGAGCCGTCCTTGCAGGTCACCTCCACATCCTGGGCTGGATCCTGGGGGTACGTGATCTTTGTGACCTCCTTCTCAAGTTGAAGGTTTAAGTTCGGATACCCTGGACCGTCTCGGTACGTGTTCTGTGATGAAATTCAAAAAGTATTTTTTATAAAAATATTGGTATAATTTTTGGTTCATTTAGGTAGGAAATGTCTAATCACTACCTAAACACACTACGCACCTACTACCTAAAAACACTACCTCGGTACCTATCTACTACCTAAACACACTACCGACCTACCTACAACCTAAACACACTAACTAACTACCTGAAGGCACTACCTACCTATCTACTACCTTAAGTAAGTTTTTGAATTTGATTTGCCCAATGAGCGCGTGGGTTCTCGAGCTGGATGTCGGTTGGAGGCTGTACTAGCTGTAAAGTGATACGTAAATAAAATTCTATGTAAACGCCGTTTTAAACAAATATGGTGCTTAGAAGCATATTATATTTGTGACTAGCTGAGACCCGCGGTGTTACCCGCGTTTGTTGTTATAGCCGCGGGCAACGCCGCGGGGCGAAGCTAGTCTAAAAAAAGTAGCCTTAGTTACTCCTTATGTCATCAGCTATCTGCCAGTAAAAGTCCCGTCGAAATCGGTCCAGCCGTACCAGAGATTACCCGGAACAAACAGACAGACAGACAGACAAAAATTGTAAAAAAAAAATTTTTTTCATATGTACCGTGTAAACATACATATGCATTTAGTAAAAAGCGGTTATTTCAATATTACAAACAGACACTCCAATAGATACTTGAAATTCAAATATAGAAAAAGTGCACAAAGCTAACATTTTTAATATTACTAAAATTGTAAACAGTTTGTTTGTTTGATTGAACTCGCTAATCTCAGGAACTACTGGTTCGAATTGAAAAATTCTTGAAGTGTTGGAAAGCCCATTTACCGAGGAAGGCTGTGGGTTATATAACATTACGATACCACCAATAGGAGCCGAGCATCAATGACAAATGTTGCAAAAACGGGGCATTTTTTTTGAGAGGTCATGGTCATGGTCATACTTTTATGACCATGACCATTGACACACAAGTTCGACTGGGTAGTCGAACTTGTGTGTCAATGGTCATGGTCATAAAAGTATATGCGTCCAGTATATATTTTGATCTGTCGGCATAGAAAAGTCTATACAATGGCAGTTCAAGTTATACTGGTCAAGAAAAAGGGACAAGCCATTCTAACAGGTCGAAATTCGACTGCAAGGCTATCTTGAGTATTATTAGTTACTAACTGCGCCGCGCGGCGTTACTCGCGGTTTATCAAATACATTTCAACCCCTTGCTTATCCCATGAGACCCTTAATTTTATCGGTATAAAAAGAAGCCAATGTGTTGGTCAGGGTGTCACCTCCATTTCTAATTTTATCAAAATTTGTCCAGCCCTTTGAGCATGAATAATGACAAACATACAAACACACACTTAACTCACCAATAATATTTCGAAAAGAGTTTTGTATCCATTCTTGTGCCAGCTTAAATGCAGGTCCCCCTTCAGGTCCATATATTTCGAGTGGGTGGTGATGTCATTCCAGCTGTTGGAAGCCTCGTAGTTGTTTACGACAAGGTCCATGAAATGAAGAAACTGATCTATGAAATCCTTGTCTTCTAACAGCGAGGGGTACTTTAAGGCCATGTATTCCATCAATCTGTAGCAATGTAACATAGATTAATTGGAGAGGGGTGGGGAGGAAACGAGCATACGGGACCATAGACAACTGTAACTCAATTCACAAGGTATTTGGAAGGACCTCAAATAACATGGACCGGGTTCCCCCGAGTTGGACACCTGAGGTCGGCCGTCGGGTTGGTTTTTAGTAGAATAACCACATACTCCTGAGTGTGTAGATTAGCGAAGGTGTGGGGAAGTGGATTTATTGTATTTCCAACTCCTCCAATTTTCTTCTGATTAATTTCCTTGCGGGTTCCCAGACAGTTTAATTTTTTCCTGGGACTTCCCAAGTGTTATAACTCGGTGTGTTCATCACTCACTGCTGTTGATCCTGGTGTACAGGAGTTACAGTGGTGGGCGTGTGAGAGGGATTAGTCCCACAAAAAAAAAATCCCAGAGGAGAGGGGGGGGGGGGGGTGGTGGTGGTTTGGTTTGGTCCTCCAGTAACCTCTCTCGATAAAATTGCTTAGCATCGGTTTCCTGTAAAGCTGTGATATTATTCCTGTCCAGTGAGATCATTTGTGATGAAGTGTGGCTGTACCACGGTAAAACGCAGGATGAGTCAAACCTTTTCCTGATCTTGGCCAGCATTATCTGAGCTGGAAGTAGTCTTCCTCCTTTTAGGAGCATAAGATCATAAGCGCAAAATTATAAACGATCTCATAATGTCAAAAGAGCAGAATATCAAAAGCGCTAAATGTCAAAAAAATACTTAAACGGGTTAGCTGCTCTTATTTTGATTTTTCTTTTTTTTTAAATAATGTCCAATATAGGCTGTTTCGTTTAACGTTGTTGATCGCAATACTAACCTTTTTTTTTAAGGGGGGAAAACCTCATGGACTACCTCCGCCTTTGGAAAGGCGGAGGGGCGTGCCGGACTCTTACCGGCTAAAACTACCCCGGAGTCTCCTGGCACGTGCGCGCGGGGCCGCGGGAATCCAAATTCTTCCGCAGCATCGCACTACTTTTCATTTTCTACACTTTGAAATTTTGCGCTTTTGACAGTGTGCGCTTTGACATTCTGCTCTTTTGACTCTATCATTCATAACCTACTAGCATTAGCCTAACCTACTCATCATCCAGATAGACTGTTTTATCACCCAGTCTTCACTTACCTTCTCGTGAGATACTGCCCTAGAGGCTCCGGTTCCTCCGGAGGGTCGTCGACGGACTCCAGAGCATAATTCACCAGATCGTTGATCATTTTCTTGTCTGGCATTGTGCCATCTGACCTGGATTAAGAAAAGGATAAGGAACTATTGATATACAAAATTGTGGCTCGATTTCAAATGAAACAAATGACCTGTATTTGGCTTAAATCTCACTAAAGTTATACGAGTACATTGACCAAAATTTGCTCTTAGTGCAATAAAACTACTATTAATTTTGGTCCTTCGAGCCGGCTTTGATACAATAAAGTCATGAATCGATTGTTACCTGAACACTTGGAAAGAGACATCTTGAGACAGTATGGTAACGTTGTTTTGTATGGCAAGGTCATAGACACGGCTGTTATGGTCGCCGTGGATCCTGGAAACAGGAAACATTCGTTAGTAGGCCTTAACGTGTGTTGAGATCTGGTGAGTTTGAAGAGTGATTGTCTAAAAAGGTATCCTTCATAGGGAAAATATGCCTTTTATCACAAGTATCACAAGTTACATAGGTAACATTAAGGTAAACGCTGTCTTGCACATGCGGTAAAAAAATGGTGTCCTCTTTCTTGTACAAAAAGTTTTGCTATCCGGGAATCGAACCCGGAGCCTCATGGACTCCACGCGAGCGAAGTCGCGTTGAACGAACATCCTATTCTTTTGTGCTCCAAACATCACCTCACGAAAATCATTTTTCACAAATATCACACAGATTCCTTCCATGTAGGACCTAAAATGCTACTATCTCACGTCAGACAAACATACTGGTTATTGGGGGAGAGGGGGGGGGGGAGGAGGAGAATCGCCAAGCGTACTTTTCATGGCTGCGTACGTGGATCTAGGTTAAAATCAAAACCTAATCAACACATAAGGGGGGACTTGGTGGTATTTCTTTTCCTGCATACGGGTAGGCTACTGCTGGCCTAGTGCTGATTGCCGATCGAAAGGGTAGAGGCTGTAGGCTTATGGAGACTACAATATATTGAAGAATCCTTCAACCCCGTGAGTATGTTGCGGTTTCCCATCCCTATACAAGGAGCGCGGAGGCGCCTCCCTACGATTCACCGATCGCCATCTTGAACATCAATCGCTCTTTTGGTGTCGGCACGCGTCGTGTGCGCAATGCACTATAATTATTGTAAGTTAATTCACAACACAACAGTTAAAAAGTTCATGAGTCTCGTTATTTCTACAACGACCAGAACCACACCCATCGAACTAAATAATGGTTCTTCTTCCAAGAAACGAGGAAGAACATGCCATTTTTGTACAAGGAAGAGGACGCCATTTTTTTTAGCACACGTTGTGACGTCATTTACCGACGAGAACCACAGCTATCGAACAGATAGCGATAGAGATAGCTAGTGAACAGTATTTTAAGTGGAATTTTCTCTCACCATTCCGCTCCCAGCTCCACAACTCCACTGCCAAAAGGAACGGTGTTGACTCTCCCTCCGACTCTATTCTGCGCCTCGAGAGCCAGCACTTTCTTGCCAGCCTTACAGAGCACTGAGGCAGCGGTACAGCCTGCCGCTCCCATGCCTACTATAATTGTATCATAGACTTGCATTTCGCTGTAGAAAAAAAAATTATAATAAATAGAAGCATTTTGTGCAGCGGGCCTGGTGGTCTACTGGTTAGCTATTTTAACTGTAGGTTTCGTTCCCGCTCTGGACAAATCCGTGTGATGAGCACGATTTTTTTTTCATTTTACCAAATGTTTGTATGATCTTCAAATATATGTTTCGGATTGTGGGTGTTTTCTATGTATAATCAGTCAATCTAATATTCATAGTATGAAAAGACAATGAGTTAGTGTAGACTACCGATATATATACCGATGTCAATGGCCACTCGATGGCATTTCAATAGCGTGTCAGTGGTATGACAGTGGCTTGGCGCGAACATGAAATAGCAGAATTGAGGCCCTGCTTAGGTTGAAAGTAGATGGCGTTGTGTGACAGATGTCCAAAATATTATTATTATTAGCTATGTTTCTGTGTGTAATCTATACAAATAATTACAATTGAAGTGTCAAAATTAAAGGTTTTTTCATGGTTATTTGCACGATACCTATGCCTAAAAACAAGTTTAAATATTTTTTGTATGTCTGTTTGGTCATCCCTTAGTTCATCCCTTATTTTACCAACAATATGGGCTGTACGGTTGTATTGGAGGTCGTCATTTTCAATGTTAGAAATAAGAAGTAGGAAAATTCAATGCAAGATGGTAATCGAAGATTGATTAATTGGATTACGTTATTTGCTTTACAAATTAGTTACAAGTTGAAGAAGACGCAAATCTATACTAATATTATAAAGCAAAAGAGTTTGTTTGTTTTAACGCGCTAATCTCAGGAACTACTAGTCCGATTGGAAAATTCTTTCAGTGTTAGATAGCCCATTTATCGAGGAAGGCTATATATCATCACGCTAAGACCAATAGGAGCAGAGCACCAATGAAGAATGTTTCAAAAACGGAGAAAATTTATTACTGTTGAGAGACGCAGACGAAGTTGCGCGGGTCAGCTAGTGCATGATACAAACAAGAAACGAATACATCTGTAGATATACATACGTCGTTGACAGCCATGTGTAATAATTTACTTTGAATTAAATACGTAATAGGCCAGACAAGAATAGTCAAATGAGGTCCAGGTGCGAGTTTATGTCACACTAGCTGACCCGCGCAACTTCGTCTGCGTCTCTCAATAGTAATAAATTTTCTCCGTTTTTGAAACATTCTTCATTGGTGCTCCGCTCCTATTGCTCTTAGCGTGATGATATATAGCCTATCGCCTTCCTCGATAAATGGGCTATCTAACACTGAAAGAATTTTTCAAATCGGACCAGTAGTTCCTGAGATTAGCGCGTTCAAACAAACAAACAAACTCTTCAGCTTTATAATATTAGTATAGATTTACTCGATGGTCAGGGCGCTGCGGTTGGCATGCACTGAAATCTTAACCAATCCCAACGCTGAACGCACTTGCTGTCGAGAGCGAGTCGATGTAAAACAAACACGCACTTGGTCCTCTAATGGTGACTACCGCTGCCTTCCCTGGAAGCATGAGTCTCCCAGGGCAAATTTATAATATCTACTAGCTGACCCGGCAAACGTTGTTTTGCCATATATACATTATTTCAAAAAAATATATTATGGGTATGAAAAATAGATGTTGGCCGATTCTCATACCTACCCGATATGCACACAAAATTTCACGAAAATAGGTAGAGCCGTTTCGGAGGAGTTCAACCACGCACACCGTGACACGAGAATTTTATATATTATATGTATTAGTTATTAATGAACACATACATACCAACAAAATATTGAACAGTTTTTTATTGCCTATCTTCTTCCACGGAGTGTATTTTTTATTATGAACAATCGGATTATATACGGAATTTAACAAGCTTAACATATGCATGAAAAATGCGTAACATACGCATGAAAATCGGTTAATTATGCCATTATAAATGATAAGCTATCATCTTTTTTAACTTATTGTAGTTTAATAATACGAAAATAAACAAAAAAGTGCAAGGTTTTATTTATTAATACAATATTGTCGCAACTTTTAGTCTCTCTTATAGATAATTCAAACAATTTCCATTTTTTTCCTCCACCTTTCCTGTGGGGGGTGGGGATAAAAAAATCATGAAATTCGTGTAACGTACTAGATGGCCGCTTATCTGTCTTAGGGTATGTCAATATACGAGGGGTGATCAATAAGTAATGATAATCAATATGAAACAGAACTATTAGATTAGAAAAAGTATTTTATTTTTCAACATAGTCTCCTTGCAAGTTAATACATTTAGTGTATCTTTTTTCTAAGCCCATGATTCCCTTAGAAAAAAATTCTTTGTCTTGACCCTCCCAAAATGCCTCTACTGCGGCCATCACTTCACTATTGTCCTCAAATTTGTTGCCCCGGAGGTGTTCTTTGAGCCGAGGAAAGAGGTAGAAGTCACTGGGAGCTAGATCTGGCGAATAGGGAGGGTGTTCGAACAGTTCGAACCCCGTTTCTTCAATGGCAGCCATCGCAACTGCGGCTTTGTGAGCCGGGGCGTTGTCTTGGTGAAACAGCACTCCAGCGCGCAGTTTACCGCGTCTTTTTGACTTAATAGCTTCTCGCAATCTTCTTATTTGGCCTGCGTAGTAAGAGCCATAGTGGCCCCCTTTTCCAAATATTCCACCATAATAATTCCTTCTGCATCCCAGAAAACAGACGCCATAACCTTTCCCGCTGAACTTGACACTTTGAATTTCTTCGGCGTTGGTGAGGAAGCTCGTTTCCAAGTCATTGATTGTTGTTTGGTTTCGGGATCAAAGTGGTGGATCCAGGTCTCGTCCATGGTCACAAAACGCGACAAAAAAAATTCTTTATCGGCCTGGAACTTTTGAAGATTCACCCTCGAAATGTCGACTCGTTTCTTTTTTTGCTCGTCGGTTAACATTCTCGGTACCCAACGCGCAGAGACCTTTTTCATATGCATTTTGTTGACAATGATTTTTTGAACGCTGCCATAGGAGATCCCTGTGACCTCAGCTACATGCCTTACGGTCACCCTTCGATCGGCCAACACGATATCTTCCACTTTTTTGACGTTTTCTCCAGTAAGGGACGTGGAAGGGCGTCCCTCGCGATGTTCATCTTCAGTGGAGGTTATGCCCAGCTTAAATTCCTTTGCCCAGCGTGCGACTGTGGAATATGGAGGAGCAGACTCCCCCAATGTTTCCTCTAAGTCGCTGTGTATGTCTTTGGTAGACATTTTTTTCAGGCAGAGGTACTTGATGACAGCTCTTATTTCATTTTTCTCCATTTTGATGTTTTCTCTTCGACAGTTCGTATTCAAATGAATGTATCTCCCGGTAATGGTGTCCTATTTATACATTTTTTTGAAGCTGAAGTAGTGGATATATAAGCAAGCAGAAAAAAAATAATTTGGGTTTTTGTGCGTTCTAGAAATACTCGATTATCATTACTTATTGATCACCCCTCGTATCTACTTCATATTTTCGCATCTCATCTCTGAAATCCGGATGGCGTAGTGGTTTGTGTAACGGACTGCAATTCCAAAGGTCGCGATTCCCGCTCAAGTCAAACATTTGTGTGCATGAACATTTAATGTTTGATTTGGTCTGGTGTGTGGTGTGGTGACGGATCAAGAATACAGAGTGTCACAACCCCTATTCATCCCATGGGTGTCGTAAGAGCCGACTAAGGGAGAAAACTACGCAGAACAACGGCACTGCAGAGAGAAGGAAAACTTGATACAAACCCTATACCAACCCGTCTGGCCAGCGTGGTGTAGTAGGCCAAAACCTCCTTTCTAAGGAGAGGCTCATGTACAGCAGTAGACTATTAAAGGCTGTCGATGTGACGATGATGAGTATCGTAACTCGAACAAGCTTCTAGAATTTTCGAAAATAGTTGAGTTTACATTTGTAGGCCAAAACCTCCTTTCCAAGGAGAGGCTAATGTCCAGCAGTGGACTGTTATAGGCTATTGATTACATTTGCTTTACACTGGTTTTGGCAATTTCTGCGCCCAAGGTTTGCAGTTTGTGCCTAGGCACCGGTGGCACCCCTGTATATACTGTTTACACGTGCGAAGTATGGTTCTCAAACTGATTGTATGGTAAAGAAAATTTCCTTCTTAAAAAAGTTAAACCTCTTACATATAAAAAGAATTTTGTAAATCCGTCTGTATATGGCAGAGTTATGCCTGAACACACAAAAAAATTAGCTGAATTAATACCCCCCTCCTTTTTGAAGTTTTTTCCCTGTTTGTTAATTAGTTGGTAATCGGTTCGTTAGTTAAGGTGATAGAGTGTATCAAACAAACCTATATTGGCAGGCCTGTTGGTGTAATGGTTATAAACCTGACTACTAAGCTCCGGCTTAATCATGCATGATTCCAGATCATGGGTTCGATTCCCACCCAGGGCAAATGTGGCACATGTGGCTGAGATCTCGGGTCCAATTCCCAGGTCTAACCAAATATTTTTATCGAATCGAAGCTTGGGCACTTTCTATGTATAATATGTATGTATTTACAAAAAATAGTATTTAAGTATTCTATCAGTCAATCTAGCTTTCATAGTACAAGCTCTGCTTAGTTTGAAACTAGATGAAGTTGTGTGTCAGATGTCCAAAAAATATTATTATTTGGGTAATAACAAAATAAATAGGTATTAGATTTCTTTGAATTGTTTGGCAGCTGGCAGGTAAAAAGGAACCTATGAACCTCTATATTTACTGTAAAACAAAGTTCTCTTGCAGACAGCTATTTATTTTGAACTTTTCAGAGTAATTTTATCATGCCATCCTTTGAGCACACATGGGCCTGATACACCGGAGTAAAACCACAGACACACAGAAACCGCTGTTGAGTAATTCATTCATTGCTTTTCACCAGTTTCACACATTTCTATATTATTATTTATATGTAGAGAAAGAGACTATGTATATTGGAATTTGTATGAAATTTATTTCATAGAAACTAATGACATTAATTGTGGTATTCTGGAGATCAAGCTCGGCTAAGATATTTAAAGTTGCCGTG